CTTTAATAATAACTTTATATAGGTTACCTATCTACTCTACTAAAGCTAGAAGATCTAATAGATTATTAGCCTTATTATAAGAAGCCTTATATACGCCTATATTTCTATCTAAAAGGTTTATTAGCTAGTCTACTTCTTAAGAAATTAAATCCTTAAGAATTATAATTTACTAAATTATTTAACTAAATAAGTAATACCTTTAATTACTAATTATATCTTTAGTAATATTAAAAACGCGCTTAATACTAACTTAGGTAATTAGTATTACTAATATATTCTTTATAACCTAGGCTAGTTAAGAATATATACCTTTATTAGCCTTCTACTACTCTAAAACATTAAAGAAGCTATTACCTATTATATACATAGTACTAAGGTAGGCTTCTTTTTCTTAAATAGTTTAGCTATTAGAATTATTAGCTTCTTAAGTTTAGAAACTCTAACTTAAGGCAGAAAAACTACTTAGTTATAATAAAGAGGTAGAAGGCTTTTAAAACTATTTACTACCTTATTATTTTTATAGATAAAGGGTTAAGCCTAGTATAGATTTACTTTACTTCTCTTAGTTATAGTAGCTAAGGTAATTAAGAAATTATATATAATATATATATTTATCCTAAGAATCTTACAATTTATCTTACGCACTTAGTTAGTATATAGCTATAATAAGTAACTATAATAAATAGACCTTATATATTATAAGTTTCTAAGTTAAGTTAAGGATTATTATACAGTTAAATAAGAACCTATACTTTATATTAGTTTTTAAGTAGTACTTACTTAATTTTACCTAACCTCTTCTAGCTATAGCTTATACTATAACTAGCTAATTAGTATTCTTTTAATTTATAATATCCTTATTAAGGTCTTCTATTATCTAGTCTAAAAAGTTAAATAGTTAATTATATATAAGCTATATATACTAGATCTATAGCTTCTAGTTCTTGCTTAAGAAGCTAGTTACGTCTTTAAATTACTTAAGTATCTCTATTATTAGCTTAAAGTAATACTACTTAATAGAAGATAGTTAAAGGCGTTTTAGATTATAAAAGTCTACCTTACTAATATTATTTTTAGCTAAAATACTACTAGTATAAGCATCTATACTAGCCTTAAGGATAATTTCTTACCTTAGCTATTTATTAATATATCTCTATAGCTTAATTATATACTTATATATATTATAGGTAGAATTCTATCTTATCTTTACGTTATAAATAATAGATAGCTAATCTTTTACTAAAAGGTATAGCTGTATTAATATAAAGTACTTATAATACTATAGTAAGATATTAATTATAATATAAATAGCTCTAAGCTAGTAGTTAATTAGTATATAATTAATATATATAATAAAAGGGTATATTTCTTATAAAGTAAGTTTAGAACTAATATCTACGCTTTAATATCTTAGATATAGCGTCTTTATAGAGTATTAATAACCTTAGTAGAAGTAGCTAGTTTTAGATACTAGATAATATCCTAGATAATAAGGTTAATAATGTAAGTAAGGTATAAAATAGTATTTTCTTATAAGCTCTAGGTAATTTTATTATTTTATAAGTTTACTTTAACTACTTAAGTAAGCATAGTATTATTACTAGTATTATTATAGGTAATAGTAAGAAGCCTATACTTAGTACTAGTTTTAGAAAGCACTTTACCTACCTCTTCTACTATAGAAATACTAGTATACCTACTACGTATTAGAATAAAATCTAGTAGCTTCTTTTAAAGTTTCTAATTAGTATTAATATAGTACTTTTTAATAGCTAGAAAACTAAAGTAATTACTTATAGACTACCTATTTAATATAATTAAGATTTTAGTTATTATACTAAGATTAGAGAGAATAGATATTCTTGCTTTACAGTATTAATTATAGAAGTTACGCTAGAATTTATAACAGCTAATTATTATAGCCTCTAGTTATAGGAATTAAATAAAGTAATTAAATAATAGCTATTTAATTATTTAGAAGGATAAATTACTATTAATAACTAGCTATATAAGCTCTTTCTTAAAGTCTAAAGTAGAATATAAAGAAAGAGAATTATAAGTTCTTTTCTTACTAAGTAGAGTAGACTAGTTAAGAAGTATTAATAAGTATAAGTATATAGAAATAATAGTAAACTTACAGCTCTTTAAGTTTAGATAGTTAAGTAAGTATTTTATTTAAATAGTCTTTTTAGCTAATAGGTATTAAAGTGCAAAGTTATAGTTAAAGTAGTATATATATAGATAACTCTTTATAGAGTCTACAGCCTTACTAAAATATAGCTATACTTAACTATAGTATATAGCAGAGTTCTAATATAGATAACTAGTTATAGAGTTAATAGCCTATTTAGTCCTACTCTACTACTTATTTTAGGTTAAAAGTATATTTTTATTATTATTATTCTGCTCTATTACTATAGGTAGGTATTTAATAAGTTCTAGGTTTAATTTTTCTCTACCTTTAATAATTTAGGAAGTAGTTAACCTTAATATATAAAGGCTAGGTAGTAGCTTATAAAATTATTAGACTTCTTAAATAGGCTTAGGTAATAGGTTAATTATATATCTAGTAGTATTAATTAATATAGTAAGAGAGAACTGTAATAGAAAGCTATAATAAAAACTAAAATAAACTTATAGTAATCTTACTATTATATATAATCCTTACTTTAACTATAAAACTCTAAGTCTTTACTCTAATAATAATATATACTAAGAAAGTTAAACTAATTATTAAAAGTTAGTAAAATACTAAGTTAAATACCTTATAGCTAGTGCTTTATATCTACTTTACTATTAGGTTATTTTATCTAAGTTACTATTTAAAGAATATTATAGGTTTTAAGTTATATTATTATATATAACTATTAGCTAATATTACTACTATCTAACCTAAGCTTTTAACTTTAGTATTATTATCTAAAAAGCCTTTAAAATCTATAAAGCCTTTAAAATTAGTCTTATTATTATACTTATTAACGCTCTTATACTTATTTTTACTTTAGTTATAGTATTTATTAATTTCTAAATTAATATTAACTTCTTCTTTATACTTATTACTATTATTCCCTTAAATATATAGGAGATTACTGTATAAAGTAGAGATATTTATACCTAAAAGTTTATAAATAGGCGTAGGTTTAAGTTACCTATTACTATTAGTATATAAATATAATAAAGGTATATATTAAACTTATAACTAATTTTTACTAGTTACTATTACTAATTCTTTTACTATAAGCCTAGTAATAAAGGCTTACTACTCTTCTTTTATACTCTTACTTTTAAAAGATTAGCTATTTAACTTTACTAATTCTTCTTTATAAGTATTATATAAAATCTATTTAAAGGCACTACTAGTACTAAATAGGTATAGTTAGGTATAAAATTAAGGTTTAGTACTTATACTACTCTAGCCTACTTAAGTAACTTTTTATAAAACTTATTAATATTAGTATATATTAACTTTCTAGTATAGATCTTTCTATTTCTTATAGACTCTATTAAGCTTAGCCTCTAACTACTTAGCTAGAGTTTATTAGTAAGATTATATAATAAATAACTATATTAACTTACTACTTTTCTAATTATTAAAGTAATCTTATACTAGCTTCTTAAGTTTTTCTTTAAAATACTTTACCTACTTATTTTTACTTATAGCTATATATTAATCTATTTTTTTAAGTTACTAGTTAAGCTAATACTTTATAGTATAATCTATAGCTTTAGTAGTAAGAAGTGCTTTCTTTTCTTTACTAAGTAAAGTAGTTTAGTTTCTCTAAGTAATAGTATAATTACTATTACTAAGATTACCTATAAATAGTTTTCTAAAATTTATTAGGTAACCTTTTTAAGTACTAGCTTAACTATATTACGTAAGAATATTTTAGACTTTATACTTCTTATAATTAAACTCCTATATAAGTAAGTATTTACTATAATAAATAAATATATTTAATACCTTAGTTAGATTAAACTACTTCTAATACTTAAAACCTATTAAAGAGTTATTTTCTAGAGCTAGTAGTAAGCTCTTTATAATATTATTAGGCTCTTCTTTAATAGTATCTATTATATATTATATAATTAACGTCTGTAATAATGTAGTATAAGTATAGTTATTAAGTTAAAGTAAGTAGTAGGTTTTAGATAGAAAACTTAAAGTAAGAGAGTATAAGTAGCCTATATATATATATTACCTACTTAGTATAAATAGTAAATTTTTATTTACTTTTACTACTTATTATTCTTAAAACTTTAATAAGCTTATCCTACTATTATTATACTTCTAATAATACTTAATTATTATATACTTTAATTATATTATCTAAAGTTTACTCTACTATAATAGCTAGAATAAGAAAACCTAAGCTAAATACTACTACTACTAAGTAACTAAAAAAAAATTTAGCTACTAAAGCTATATAAAAAACTACTATAAAGAAAATAACTAGTAGAAAGTAGATACTAGTAAAGAAGAAGTACTAATTTAAGTAAAGTAGTATATTATTATATTCTTTAATTATAAATAGATACTAATAATACTTAGCTATAGCCTTAAGAGATATTAAGAAGTATTAGAAGTCTACTAAGCTTCTTATTTATAAGTTACTATTTTCTTACCTTATTTATAAGATTACTAAAGCCTTACTAAAGAGTATAAGTATATACTATTAGAAAACTATACTTAAAGCCTTTTAAGAAGTAACTAAGTTATTCCTTATTAGTTATTTTAAAAGTATAGTTAATTTCTTTCTACTACTACTAGTACTATACTTACTATAAAAGACTATAATATTAATACTATTTATACTAAATAAGTTACTATTTAGCAGAAAGACTTAGTACTAGTAAGATATTACTATAGTAGGTTTAGTATAATAAAATTTTAGGTAAATAAATAGGTTTATATAATTAGCTTTCTCTATATAAGAATACTTAAATTTATAGTTTAAATAAAACCTTCTATAAGCTATAATAAATAACTATAATAACTGCTATTCCTAATCTAATACTTACTAAAATACTTACCTATATAATATAAAATTCTAATTACTAGAAATATTTTAGAGTAGATATAATATAACCTAACTCCTACTTAAGGTCTATATAACCTTAACCTAACTCTAACCTAATACTAGCGTTAAAATATTAGGTTAAAGTTAGGTTAAGGTAGACTGTGCGTTAGGTTAGGGTTAGGTAGGGGTTAGGTTATACTTATGTAAGACCCAACCCCTACCCAACCCCGACCCATTTACCAGCGTACCAGAGACTATCCGTTGTAGTGGCATTGCTCCTCGCCGCTTAGTTTCAGCGTAAATTTTAGATCGGTTCTTGACGGCAAGACAACTACACCCTTCGTCCGTCGCAGGAGGATGCACTGAAGCAGTCTTCTCAGCCTAGTGATGGCAATGTCGTTATGCCCGGTTTTCCATGGCACGATCATGTCTTTCTCGAAAGCAGCGGGATCACCGTACGGATACACACGAAGAAACTGGCATATTGTGGCTATGTCGCCGAGCCGATTCTGCAGTGGAGTTCCAGTCACTGCCCAGCGGGCGTTTGCCTCAAGTGCGCAAATAGCCTTCGAAGTGCTACTTGAATTGTCGCTCACATAATGTGCTGTTTCAGTTAATATCGATCAGATCTAATGGAAGGAACACTGTCTCAAAACCACTCATAGGACACTCACCTTCGTCCAGAATTATTCGACGCCAATATGCTGTAAACAGAGGCGATTTCTCTGAGCTTTTACATTTTTTCCATTCAGCCTCGACCATTTGATATGTTGTGATTATAACATCGTATTCCCGGAGTTCATCAAGATTCGAGATGCGTCTTATGGAATGGTGTCGACGAATCTTCAACGAGTTCGACGAAGCCAGATGTCTGTATGACAATAAGATATTTGAACGGTAATTAAGCGGGCCCTTACCTTCGAAACTGCTCTTCCCACGTTTCCAGAACTGTAAATAGTCAATGTATGCTCTGTTTGTTCCTGTGGAACCACGTACGATTAGGAGGAACTATGAGTAATGTGGCGGAGACATCCTCGGTTCCCCTGGCCCAGTGATCGTTGGGAACTGTCCCCAGCATATTATCCTCAAGATCAGCCGCAATCAGAGCTATCATACTGCACGACTTTCCCAACCCCATCGAGTCGGCCAGGATGCCTCCTCTGAATTGAATGGGTTTATAACATTGCCACGTCTCGTTGATGTTATTACGGTAACTGATTCGCTTAGCTGGTGTTTCGTCAACATCAGAAAAATACGACACTCACATCGATTGTGGCGATTCCTTCGCTAGTGTCCAGACATCATGTGAAGATTGTTCGAACGCCCAACCACATTCTCTCTTTCTCATAAAATATAGAGCCTGTCGCTGATGTCTAAACGGATGAAATCAGAACAACGTTTCAGCCAAGCGGATGCGACATACGGTAACAGCGGTGTCCTCATGTTGGATGGCGTTCCAAGTTCCTGTAACGGCTGTGAACTGACAAGGGTGTCCAGAAAATCCGAATTGTGTATGTGACTGACAGTCATGTTGGAGTCAGGGTTGCGCAAGTCGAATGTCATATGAATTTTGTCTTCGGCTGAAAAGAGACGATGAGGATTTCTGTACCGAACATTGCGATCTGCTCCTATAGGATCTTGCAAGTACAAGTCGGCTTGTTGGCAGAAGGTTCCTATCTCATCGAGAATCGACTCTGCCCCGTATATGATGACAGAAACGGATACTCTGACGTGTTGTAGATACCGAGTGTGTTCTTTCCGTTTCGTGTTCGTACTTGCCGTTGGCCTGATAACAATCTGAATGTCAACCAAAGGATCGTCGGATAGCGCTTGTAGTATGCTCGCACTTCGTTCATTCAGCGTGCCTTGATGAAAAGTGTTAATAATGGTCAAGCCGCATGGTGGAGAGAATCCTGCAGTCAACTCTTTTCTCAGATTGGATAGCGGGTGACTGTCAAACGTGGCCTCGAGATCTATGATCTATCATAGGATCAGTATGTCGCCATATGTTGACCTTCAAAAGGCACCTACCATGCCAAAACAAATCTGGCTGATTGGCAAGGCATCCACATGAGACGCATCATTCGTGGACAGGCCTTGAGGAGGTCCTGAGTACGACGAACCTTGCAAGGTATCGATGCGCGATTCTTGTAGAGATCCCCAGGGTATGGTTGGTCGCTCATTATCGGAATGGAAAGAGTACGCATAAGACTCGCTGGCGAAAGACGATTCTGGAACCGTATCGGGGTACCTATACCAGCTCTTGGTTGTCTGTTCTGTTTCGTACAGACAACCAGATGAGCCTTCAGTCTGGAGTGAGACGTCATACATCTGCGGTTGTGACACACTAAGGTATGTAGCATGTGGCTGAGGATTGTCGATTATCGAAGAAGTGCAAGCAGTCCCCAGTTTTCCTAGAGTTTCGAGATTGAACGAACGACAGTGCAACTCCGTTTTTGTGGCTGTTGCCGTTCGAGGCTCTGGTGTAATCCGCCGCCGTTTAGTGGATGGTTCCTCAGAACCAGCGTAGTGGCCATTCGTGACATTCTCACGGTCGTAAGTTGGTAGCGGCGGTCTGCGATGGTCCATGTTAATGTATCGGCGTGATTGTTGGTCTTCAAGCAATTGATTCCTCTTGTCTGAAGTTCTCCAGAACCTAATTCACTGAACTAAAACGCTAGATGCCTTTCCAGAGAAAACATTGTGTTGCAGCGGAAGGCTGAGCGTCATGCGTGGCTGATGACATGAGACATCAGCTGCGCCCATGTATGGTTGGTTCGACGTGCATTTCTGCCTCGTCTGTGTGCTCCGCCTCAATTTTGCCCACATGCCGAGCTGAAGCGTGTTTGAACACAACCTCATTAACTCGCATGCTGTCGAGGTCCTGAACAACTCGTCCTCAACGGTCAACTGCTTGTGAGTTGGATCTCCTGTCGATAAAGCACGCGAGATGGCGGCGCAAACATCAGGCTTAGTGCCCCACGTCAGCACATCAACGCCGCCCCGTCACACAACCGCGACGTCTCCAATTTCAACTCTCACGCCTCAAGCACGCAAGATCTTCCAGGAAAGTTTTGACAAATTTCAACAAACCGTCCAAAAGCTATCACCTAGTGATCAGCGTGAATTCAACGATACTACGTTGCGCGATGTCCGGAAAGCAGCTAGGGAGATTGAGCAACTGCTCGCAGCGCGACAGTGTCTTCGGAATATGCAACGTCTGGAGCCTCTCCTCAATGGACTAGAGGCATACGCGGCGGTCGTAGAAGTGCTTTGCAATGGCACGCCGTACCTTGCCTGGATATGGGTGGGTACAACAACGAAAAACATTTTGAGAAACCACACTAACAGACGTTCGTTGTACAGACACCCATAAAGTTGATGATGAAAGTGAGCTCTGTTCTGTTTCGTGTCGCGTGTTACAAACGACTGACATTGGCTTCAGCTAGCAACAGATCATATCAGCGCTTTTGAGAAACTCATGGCGGCATATGCCCAAATTGCAGATAGTCTACCTCGTTTCGACCGCCTGAATAGCGCTTTTCAAAACAACTCTGACTTTCAGCAAGTCCTCGCCGTTGTCTACAGTGACATCATCGAATTCCATCGGAAAGCTTACGAGTTCTTCCGAAGAAGTGGTACAACTTTGACGAACACCTGATTTGCGGACTTATACTGACAAGCTAAGGATGGAAGTGCTTTTTCAGATCCTCATGGGGCCAATTCGACAAAAGGTTCAAGTGTATCCTGGCCAACCTCCGGACACATATCGACCTAGTCGATCGTGAGGTCAACGCTCACTTGATCTCTGAAACGATGAAGTGGAGAAGAGAAGCCACTGCGGTAGCAGAAAAAGAGGAGAAAGAACGAGCAGTGACTCAGCTCGTGGCAACGCTCGACTGGTTGGGTGTTGACAAGATTCCATATTGCGGGCAATCCTACCAGGAGAACACTCTTGACAAGCTTATCCGTGAATGTTGCCCAGGCACAACCGACTGGCTGATCAAGAATAAAGCAATGAAAGGGTGGCTGCAAAATAGAAGGGGTCAATCGGTTCTTTGGTTGAAAGGCAAACCTGGCTCTGGTGAGTTACAATAGCCTGCTTTTTTAACAGTCCTAACGATGACTCTAGGGAAGAGTATGCTTTGTGCAAAAATCGCGCAATTTCTGCTTTCCGATGGACAGTCAACGGTCTTGTTCTGCTTCTACAGTTACAGAATAAGCTGCGTTCATCCGGACCCTACTATCTTTATACTTGCCACTCTCATTGCACAAATACTTCGCCGAAATACCGACCTCTCGGTATATGTGCATGAGGAATTCGTTGCAGAAGCTCGACCAGCTTCTATTAGCAATCTCAAAGAAATCATCATGAACCTGATTCCTCAGCTCAAGATGCCACGGATCCTGATCGATGGTATTGACGAGTGCGTGCGCTACGACACACATGGGAATCCGTCCGACCTTACGTTAGTGAGGGATGTGCTTCAGGATGTCTTGCAACTGGAAACTCTAGCGGGTGGCAACTTACCGCTGAAACTTCTCATCGTCAGTCGGGACATCAAGCAAATTGTGGGGAAGCTGTCCAAGAAGCCTACGATTTCACTTGATGATGAGGTGGATGCTATGACATCCGCTATCCGACGTTTTACGAATCAACGGTTACAAGAGATACGAGAAAGATTTGAAGAGTTCCAGGAAATTGATAGTATCCTTCTCGAGGTTGAGGAAAAGATTGTCCTGAAAGCTCAAGGTTCGTCATGTCTCGAAAACAGTACTCGGGTGCTGTTACGTGTGTGTTCCTGGAATCTACTTTACACCTGCCGATAAGTCACCAACCCTAAGAGCTGACTTTTGATAGGCATGTTCCTCTGGGTGCGATTGATACTGGCCCATTTGGAAGAAGATGCATACAATCTCGACGATCTTGAAGCCGCTGTTATGAACATGCCCGTCACCCTCAACGAGTTGTGAGTCAACATTGTGTTCAGACTCCGAGATATAGTCTAACTGACTTTAGTTACTCTCGAATCGTGGCCCGAATCCAGGCCTTGAATGATTCATCTCGGGAGAGAGCTATGATCATACTGAACTGGTTGGTTTGTTCTCGACGACCGTTGCGCCAGACGGAACTTCAAGACGCTATTGTCTTTGCTGGTAACATGAAAATGACACAAAGATCAAAGCTTCCTACAACTGTCTTGGACCTATGCAAGCCTTTGATCCAAATACATGACGATCGAACAGTCACTTTTGTGCACTTCACTATCCAGGAGTAAGATTGATCGATACACATAAAGTATACTTGCTAACTATTATTTAGATATCTTATAAACAATTCTTCCCAAACCCTGTTCGAAGCTGAGCGTTGCGCCGCAATGACTTGTCTAAATTACCTAGACTTCAGCCTGAATCTCATTGACACACGCACTTCAGAAGGAACGCGAACAGCCGATGTCGGTAACACCCTCCACACCCTACAGCCGTATGTACATGATAATTGGTTGGATCATTTGCTGGCTTTTGCATCAAATCTATCTTTGGGCCAAGATTCGCAGTTTGAACGATACCTGGCTCGTCTCGTGGAGTCAGTTCGACTGCATCAAACGATAGGTGTATGCAGAACTACCTGCTCCGGTTCCGAAGATACCAACTTGTCCATTGCAATCGAACCCCGCCTCGAGCACCTCAGACACAACAAGCCTGTTTTTGAGATGCTAAGTCACCTTGTTCAACATCGGCACCACAGGAACCTGTATTTCCATGCGACTGCGCCGATCCGTAAGTACACAATGTTCCTTGAAGCCGCTTATGACTAAAAGATTTCAGCAACGCCACCAGACCCAACGCCCTTCAATGCAGTACAAATACAGTACGAGAAGATGGTTGTTGCACTACTTACCTGCGTATCATTTCCAGGAGTCACCCCAGCACAGCTAATACATTTCAAAACTCTTCACGAACATCTTGCATATGTTTGCAGGTATCCTGGTTGTTCAAGTATCTTACCAGGCTTTGCTACCAACGACGCACGCATCCAACACGAAAGAACTCACGCCCCAGCAATAGTGTGCACTTACCCTGGATGTAAATACAAGCTCAGCTTTGGGTCCATGCAAAGCCTGAAAGGACACGTTCGGAAATTTCACAGTGCAACTCCAAATATTCCAAGGTCTATACGATCTAAGCAAATATCAACTGTCAACCAAAAAGCTACCGCACCTGGTAGCTTCACTGCAAAGTTAACGCCTACTGATCTACTTCCTATTCAGTACAGTGTTGAGGGTGATTTGAACGCCTTTATCAAGCCAACACACTCCTCCGCCCTTTTACTAGATGCCTTCCAACACTCACAAACGACATCGTTACCACTAGGAGCAGACGAACTAGCCTTGCAACGATTAGCGATGCCGAATACTGCACAATCTATTCAGCAAGTACAGCAGCGGAAGTACCAGCAGCAGATAAGGCTACAAGTGCGGCAGGGGTTCCAGCAGCTAGCAACACTACAGCAAGAAAAGCTACAACAGAAGCAGCAGCAGCAGCAGCCTAGGGCTAGCATGTCTCCGTAAGGTGTGCCACAAAACAGGATGTCAAATCAGCAGGGTCTAAACGTGGCCAACACGAATATCAGTGAGCTCTGGCAACGCAAGATATAACTTGGGAAGACTTTAGGTGGAAACATTACCCAGATACATATGCAGCAAATGATACAGCTTGACCTCACCATTCAAAACCAGGAGCAACAACTGCTTCTGCAACAGCGTGCGAACCTACTTCGTTAGCAGCAGCAGATGACCGTAATGTGGTAATAGGTTATACTGCAGATACCTTAAGACATTCCGAACCCGGCATGCAAGCCAAGAGGAACAATAACAGTATTTGAATAACCATCTACATTCGCAGCACCGGTCTCTTGGTACATTGCGAACGACCAACGCTTCTTTCAGATCAGTCTGTATTTCAACTTGGAGCAAAGAAACGAGCAATGAATCTTAAAAGCCGACTCGAGATGCTGTTCAAAAACTTCGTCGATTTACCAATCTGGGCCCCTCAACGACCTTGGTTCAAAGTCAGGGTCCAGCCAGATGAAGGACATATCCTGATTGCCAACCAAGCACCTGAATGTTTCAGGTCGGCCAGATGCTGGCTGATAGTTTGGCTAATTGGAAGTAGTAAATATTAAACTTGCATTTGACTGATATTCATGATGTAAAATAGAGGTTTCCTTTGGTTTATAGCTAGCTTAGGATTGATTAGGAGTTCTGTCTTAGAGGCGGAGTCCTCAGCTGTACCGTATCCTTCACTGTATTCAGAAAGTTAAAGCGCTATGAGCTATTACGGAGTCAGTGAAAATTTTCGGCTACCCGACGGCATGCATTAAACAACAACCTGTTTCCATTGCCCCTAGTATGCGTCTCTTTGAAGAGGACAGCAGTTCCAGTGGTGTCGGCTGTCCGACACTCAGGATCTCACGCTCACTTTATCTTAAAGAGAGCATTGATTACATATTTTCTGTTTATTTGAGCTTCTCTGAGCACTGGCTCAAAGTACCATTGATCTTTTTTCTACTCCTTTCTAGCCAAGGGACAGTGCCAGGAAATGGAAGTTCATTCTGGCGATTTCCCGTTTGCCCATACATGTTCCATCGTGCTTCATTTGCCCCCGTTCCTCGTGTGCTCAGCAAGAGACTCTTCGATCTCCAACAGAACAACTGCTTTCGAGAGAACATTCGCCGGATTCAACTCCATTTTCTCTTTGTGCGTTGGGAAGAACCTCTTGCGACTGACCAGTGCGTCAGTCACATCTGCATCCTTCACAAAGGGTGCAGCTGCCTGCTGTGCAATCGCTGGGAAGAGGCACATTGCCACTCGTGTTCCCTCGGAGATTGGACCCTTGATGATGTCTCCTTCGTCGTCTTCAGCCTGCATCCAAGAGGGATCAAATTTGGTTCCGGGGAAGCAGAAGTGGATTCGGTAGTCCATGGGACTGATCAGCAAGCTTTGCTTCAATTCGATGGCTTTCCTTGCCCATGCAATGCCATCGAAATACTCGAACATGGGTGTCTTGTGAGGCGCCGTTGCTTGAGCCATCTGCCCGAAGCGTGTAGCTATCATCGTGGCTCGTCGTAATCCGGCACCACTGGCGAATTCGACGCTTGCGAACCACAATTTGGTACCGATCATGTTGAGATGTTTCACCCTCATCAATCCTTCTGTATTTCTGTTAGTGGAAGCAGCCTTGTGAAGAAATTCTGACGTACCCGTCAAGGCAGTCATCTTGTAAATCTCCATCGAGATAGGGTCCACCTCGTTGAACATTGGGTCTGGTGTTGCAAAGACCAATCGACAAAACAACGCGCTCATCAACGTCTGGGCCCCTTTTAACTGCCCGAGCTGCGCAATAAACCCCTCTAACCACTCTTCGAGCTCCTGATCAGCATGACGACCGTTAAGTAGTTCATCGACCTTGGCTACAAGAAAGCCTCTCTCAAATTCAGTCAGGGCACCAAGTTCATGACCAACGACATCTCTAATACCATTCCGTGTATCTTTCCATCCCTGGTCCACGGTCTTTCGTTCTGGAGCCCGCGGAAAGCTCTGTCCGTCGTGTTGCTCGACACCGACCACGCCACGTAACTTCTCAAGATAACTTGCCTTTTCCTGATCGAGCGCTAAATGGTCCTGAACAAGCGTTCTCATTGCGCTTGGCTCATCTAGCTCACTCCCGAATGTATAGTGAATGCTATTTAGCGTCTGCCGAAGTTCTGGCACCAGTATCTTCCCAGAAGTGACGATTTGTTGGATCAGATTGGGCATAAGATCCCACAGTATGTTCGTCTTAGTTTGAGATTTGGTATACTCCTCTCCCATGGGTGCTATAGCTTGTTCCACCTGTGCTGTAGCTTGAGCACTCTCCACATGGTAGGTTTGATGCGAGACTTTGTGTAGCTTCTTGGGTCTTGTCTCCAGATCTACGGGTAGATAGTGTGTGTCTTCATCCTCTTGTTGAGTGGTTCTTGAGATTTGATTACGTTGCTGGGCATTCTGGTACAAGTTTAGCCTCTTGGCTGGGCCTGCCGTCGAACTGTCTTCTGGCAATGTGATGGGTAGCGAACGCTTTTTTGAGGACTGGCCTCTGTCCTTCTCTTGGTGGAACGGTCTTGACACGGCGCAACCTGGGTGGAGTTAGTACTCAATTGTGCTCACGCCTCCACATCGTAGGATTGGTACCAGTCTTTTTCGCTTTGCAATGTAAACACGGCTTGCCTCCCTCGCAAGCAATTTTCTTTATCTTGCACATATCGCACTGGGCAGCTAGTGTTAGTCAGTCGTCGCATGCATCCAGAAGAATCTACTTACCGTGCGCCCCTTTTGTTCATTGGCAGGGATAGAGGCAGGCACGAGCTGGGATGGAACTGAACGAGTTGAACGAACTGGACGAGCTGGACGAGCTGGACTAGCTAGAATCGTATCGTTACTTTCTCTTGAAGCTGCAACAGTATTATTTTGGGGGTTGATTTCACAATCTGCATCGACTAGATCATCATCCATGGTAGTGTCGGACGGTGTTAATGCGGTCACGATCTCATAAAGTTGGACATGTTCATCTGGGTCTTCGCATCTCTTGTTGTCCAGAAGATTCTGCGAGATATTAGCATTACTGACCATGCCCAAGTTAGGCCACTCACGTTCGACTTCGTAGCCTCAACGGCTGTGGTGGGGTTGTGTGCCTCCACTCCCTCCAGGACAGGACTGAAATCGGACTTCGGCTCTTTGGGAGGTCGACGAACGAGGATAGTATCACGGTCTCCATCGCTGGGTACAGAACCTCTATCAACTGGGTCGTTCTCTGTAGTCGCATCAGCCGCAATCGATTCAGCTATGGCTCGATCCACCTCTGATTCCTGGTCTTCATCGTTCTGGAAGTTCCGGAAGTTCTATTTCGAGGTTAGCATTATTCACAAGACATTTCTCTGGCTGCTTACTTCCATCCCTACATCTTGAGAGCTTTGGAAGATGCCTGGAGTGGAGTTGAATGTGAGTGACTTATTCTCGGTCGAGTCATCTACCGCCCACGACATGCGCTGCCGCTGTATATCTGCCACCAGGCTTTCGGGAAGCTTGTTCAAGTCGAGGTACTTTGTGCCAGTATCGTAGAGCGCAGGAATGTTGACCTCCTTCCGCTGGCAATATTTCTTCGCAACCCGTTTTAGTCTGGTTCTGATACTGCTCAAAGTCCTTTTTTCTTTTCCAGAGACCTCCTGCAGTCTTTCTTGAATTGTGTCTGTGTACTTCTCATCGTGCTCTATGCAATAGTCCAGATGAGTGAGGAGGCATGCGGTTTCTTCGACTGACCATTCCTCGCCATTTCTCATGTTGAGTGCTTGCGTGACGACAGGTTGCCGAATCGTGAGCTGACGTGTAGCCTGGTGTGTGGTGGACTGGGGACGAAGCTTGTGGTAGTTGGTGCTGCAGACTGTGTAACAAACAAAGATTTACCGCAATCGCCTTCATCGTTTGCGCGCCTAAATGTGACTGTGTTTTGTTTGTTTGCTGTTTGTTCGGCCACTTCTGAGACAATTCTGTGGGTCCATTACCTTCATCTCACCCGACGGGACGGTAACCTGCAGTAGCGGTGAGCTGTGGCTGGTTCTCATCTTCTCGCTGCCCTGTCGCCCACTTCTCTCAGTTCTGGCCCTCTGAACAACTCCACTCAGCAACTTCGCTTTGGTCACATCAATCACCCCAATAGTGGCCATGTCTAGTTTCTTACGCGCTGCTAATTCACCCAAGAAATCACACTCTAACCCTCTCTCAACATCGGGCAGTACATCCCGTCTGCGAAGAGGCCGCGAGCAGGATCTCTCATCCTCTGATTCGGATATCCCTTCGAAAAAGCCCTGCATTAGAGGACAGCGACTACACTTATACCCCACTCTCAAGCCAGAATCTTTGCCTGCTGATTTCATAGTAGGCATCGATTTTGGTGCAACCTTCTCATCCATTGCATTCAGTACGAACCAAGCGCCCGAGGAGATCTTCACTATTGGTGAATTTTCAAAGGACCCTTGCCCAGCATATCAAGGCAGACAGGTACCCACCACGCTCGCATATCCTGAGAAGATTCGGACACAGGCCACGGAAGATGTTAAAAGAGAACAGCTCGAAGAGAGCCAGCTTCTGTACGGATACGAGCTTCAGATGGAAAGCCGAGCTTGCTACCCTAACACAGGACGTATTACAATGATGAAGTTGATGCTTGACAAAAGCACGTATGCGAGACAGTCCAAGGACAAACTGAAGTCTAGTCTGAAGGCGCTCAAGGCCAATGGCAGTATCAAGGAAGATAGCGATGTCATTCGTGACTTCCTGGTCAAGCTTCTACTACACACCAAGGCCAGACTCGAGTGGATTTACGAACTGACTGAGAGAAGCACAAGTAGGTCTCAAGTTCTTAGATACATCAGTGCTTTCTAACAAGTCTCTGTAGTTGAACTGACGTTCACTATTCCTGTCTGTTGGGACTCTCATGCAGTTGTTACTATGGTTGGCTGTATTCAAGAGGCCATGCTGCTAGCAAAGTTTGGATCAGATGGTACGAGTGCCAGCAGATTGTTCATGGTCACCGAGCAAGAAGCAGGCGCGATAAACGTCCTCCAGTTTGGGTTTCACAACTTCAAGGTTTGTTGGGGTCCCAAAGTTCTATAGCCTCTTGATCAAGCTAACTGTATCGCTTAGAAAGGAGAAGTATTCGTGCTCATAGACTGCGGTGGTGGGACAACCGATCTCGGTACGTATCGTATCGCTTACGCACACCCATTGCGACTGGAAAGCGAGGTGAACGACCCCACAGGTATGTTGACGAGTTATGCTGTTGTTAACTATTGTCTACTAATCTGTTTTAGGCGCTATGTGTGGGTCTGAAGACCTTAACGAACGATTCCGAGCCTGTGTCTACCAGTTTCTCCGAGATGCAGAGTCTTATCTCGTAGACGAAGAGTCAGGAACCACGCTTGACAGTATCATTGATGAGGATATTATGCCTCAATTTGAAGACAAAATCAAGCGCTCGTTCGACATCACGGATACTAGAGAGACATTTGAATTCCGTATCAGCCGCCTACGAGAGAGTGACAAAAATCCTCGACTGAAGCGCAAACGCTTGGTTCTAAGTTTGTAAGTCATCGATATTGCTTTCATGTCGACTGAATGGGCTGATGAACTTACAGCGAGGACATGATGGAGATCTTTAGGCCATCTCTTGATTGTGTCAAGCGTCTGATGGAAGACCAACTCTTGAGCGCCAGGAGGAAGAATATGGCTGTCGACAAGGTAGTGCTTGTAGGCGGATTCGGGGATTCGCCGGCTTTACAAACTCACCTGACTCTCCGGCTCAAGGAGCTTGACCGTTTCCATGGCACAAGGGTCGCGATAATCTTTGCGCCCACTAATACTGGAGCATGTGGGGTTGCCAAAGGCGCAGTACTGCGAGCAAAGAACAAAGCCCATGGCCCTAGGCGAGTTCCACGCCAAAGTATCGGAATTTACCAGCATATTCCTTGCACTGATGTCGACAGCTATCCCAAAGCTGTGTTCGACCAAAAGAGGGAGCTCTGCAAACTGGAGGGAGACTACTACATCATGAACACGATTGTTTGGAAGATTAAGAAGGTAATCAACCTATACTCTCGCATCATTTGTTTCATCCATGAAAGCTGACAATCGACTAGGGTCAGGGTAAGATTGCATCCACGCACACAGTCACTTACGAGTCTGTCTTTATGTGCAACCCAAAAAAGCGCAGATGGATTGCGACGCAGGACCTTTTCGCATCCAGTGAGTGCACGGAAGACTACTACAAGCGAGGTCATGTCAAGAACAAAGGTACCAAACCTATCTGTAGGACTACCTACTCGTGACTAACATCAAGCTCTAGGTCGAACAACTGAGCTTGGCAAGGTCGACTTCGACATCACTCACTTGAGGAACCAGATAAAAGCAAAAGTCCCGACCAAGGGAGACGGTAGTTTGCGACACTACAGCGTCACACTCCTGATCGAGATGACCGTGATTGATCGGGACCTCAAGTTCGTCGCGCGCTGGCCACCCAACGAGAACGGTACAGTGATTCAGGGCGATCAGCAGTACTTCAGTCTGGTGTCAGCTTTCCAGCCAGGCACTGCGTAATGTTAGGTCGTTTTTCAGCTTCCATTGTTTGGAGTTGCTCGCTTCATGGTTTCGTGTGTAAGAGAAGGTCACCTCTGGAGAACTGCAAAACAGTGAGTACTGGATTCTCCTGTCGACGCTTGATAAGCAACTAATGGATTGATCTAGACCAAGAGCAAGTTACAATCGACGCGGAATGTGACCAGTATGCTTGCTTGTACAGCAGTTGTATCGTCTTCCCTACTATCGATCGCTACTTACTCAAAATTGGGGGATATAGTTACTGTAGTGGGTTTGTGTTGTGTGAAATGTGTTTCTTTATATCGTATCATTAGTTTCCATCACGAATTGTACAACAAGTTTAACGGATATGAAGGGAGAGTGCCGGAGAATTCTGAGCAGGTCTGTACTTTGGTAGACAGGATCGAATAAGGGGATTTATTTTATGACAAAATGGAAAACATTTGGTATTGTGAACGGAGAAATAGCCAAAGTTCAATAAGCCAAAATACGTCCTGCGCTTTTAGCAACACCCTGATTGTCTCGGTTTCTGGTCCGTCGGACGAGCACCTTCCGTGAGTTGCTTCCATAAAGTTTGGTTTGTTCCAGAGCATCATCGTCTTCACACAAGTATTCACACACTTTGATTGTGATTCCATCTCGAAAGGGCGATATGTCTCACCTTACCACATATAACACTGCGCGCTCCTCATCTGATATCCAACCACACAAACCCAACCTTCCAACACAATGACAACCACAACCTTCATCTCCAGCACGACCACCCTCTCCACCCTCTTAACCAGCCTGACCAACCTCCCCACCTCCCCTCCAAGTCTCTACCTCGACCTCGAAGGCGCAAAACTAAGCCGCCACGGCACCATCTCCCTGCTAACCCTGTACATCCCGCCCAAAAACACAATCTACCTAATCGACATCCACACCCTCGGCGCAACCGCCTTCTCCACACCCTCAACCCCCCTCCCTACCAACGAACCCTCCATAACCCTCAAATCCCTCCTCGAATCCCCCACAACACCCAAAATCTTCTTCGACGTGCGCAACGACTCTGACGCCCTCTTCGCCCACTACAACATCGCCCTGCAATGCATCCACGACGTGCAGCTCATGGAGCTCGCCACGCGCCGCACCCCCTCGCGCACCCATCTCTCCAGCCTGGCGAAGTGCATCGAACACGACGTCGCGTTGTCGGCTGCTGAGCAGCAGCAGTCGCGGCACGTCAAGGAGCAGGGGTTGAATCTGTTTTCTCCTGAGCGCGGGGGTTCGTATGCGGTGTTCAACGAGCGGCCACTCAGGGCGGCGGTTCGGGACTACTGTGTGTTGGATGCTGTGCATATGCCTGGGCTGTGGAGGGCGTATTCTGGGAGGATGAGTGCGTTTTGGTGGGTTATGGTGAGGGAGGCTGGGGCGGAGAGGGTTAGGGAGAGTCAGGGGGTGGGGTATGTGTCGCATGGTGGGCATAAGGCGTTGGGGTGCTGGAGTGGGGCGCAGATTCGGGTCGCAGAACGGAGGTGGCAAAGTGGAGTGAGGAGTGGGCTTTGTGCGTGAGAGGATAGAGAGTGGGTATAGTGAGTGAGTGTGAGGGGAGAGGAGGAGATACGGGGAAGCAGTTTGTCGATTGAGTTATACGCTGATCGGTAGCCTTTATGCATTTGTCATTCAGGTAGTTTAGATAAATGGTAAGCGTTGGATATAATACGCATCTGTGTGCCACTATCTCACAAATCTCTAACTCACAGCTCACAACTCCCTAATATAGCAAGTTCCATCACCTCGCCTCTACTGTGCCACCCCACCTCTAAAAGGCATGCATATTGTCAAAGCCATTAAATACATACAACCCCTTCCTTTCTTTCCTTCCTTCCTCTCCTCCCCCTACTATCCTAACCCCCACCAGTAACTACCTACCTACTATCCCACCACCCCAGCAATCCCCCGCTCCAACCCCCATCCTCTAAAGCTACACAAAAGCCCCCCTACCATCATCACCGCCCCAAACGCACTACTACACCCAACCTAACAGAACAAACCAACCCAAACCAAAAGACATTATTACACTAACAGCACTCCATCTACATCCCCCCTACTGTTCTGCTAGGCGCAGTAAACACAAAGATGCGTACACATAAACCTTTAACTTTGTAGAAAGAATAACTAGCTACAGCTACAACCAAAGCATAGTGTATAAAATCGAGATATGGAAAGACTGATATAGTTCTTTAATAAAGCCTACATGTAAATACATACGCACAGATACTACTACACATACTACCACACACCAACCACCTCCCGTCTAATCTACACAATTAAAACTTGGCATTATGTCTCTACTACACATTACATTACCCATCCTCTTCCAACCTGTAGATTATATCCATGCCATCCCCTTCAGAATACCCAGAGAGATACTAACTATAGCCTTAGCTAGTAGTTCTTCATCACGCGTAGTACACGATTAACGACTAACAATAAAACCCTTCTTTTTCTGCTGTTTACCATACCTTGCCTCCATGTACCTTGTCTTGACTTTGTTCAACCTTACCTACCCAAGCTATCTAAAATCTATATTCCTAGCCCTAGTCTCAGCTCCAGCACAGCAGACCAACACCAGCTATATAATCCTCTCTGCGGTTCAAAACTCACAATGCACAATACACAACAAAGCACACCCACATAGCTAGCTAGCTAGCCGCATTTATCAGACCAGCCAGTCAGTAAGCACTACGTGTGAAGAAAAGACAGCGCGTTTATTAGGAAAGTAAGGGAGGCATGGGGGAAAGGGGGGGAAGGGGGGACGTTTCTCAGCACCGCACTGTAACTGCAGAGGCACATAACTGGCATGGCAGGACATAGTGTACTCAGGGCAACCATTGAGTTAGTAAGTCAGTCAATCAATCTTGCACTCTACGCTTTGCCATGCGGTTAGTCAGTACACACTCACTCAAACATCACATCACATCCCACACGTCAAAGAATAACACAAAAAATCACATTGGAGTAACCGCCTATCAGCCAAACCCCCATCAAGCGATCTACCTCCCACTCCCCACGGGACTCATAAACCCGGCACTCCCCGCCGTCGGGCTCCTAACCATCAGGGGTTTAAAGTTCTGAAACGGACTCATCGGATCCTTATTACTCGACGACTGACTACTGGTACCGGCGCTCAAACTACCACTACCCTGACTCCCATTAGCCTGACCAGGTGTATTGAACGGGTTGGCAAGAATATAAGGCGAGGGGGAGTACGGATCGTCGAAGGCGTCTGTGAAGCCGGAGACGTTTGAGAGCATGGAGGAGGAGCGGCCGCGGCCGTCGCGGAAGGAGTTCGGTGTGGTGTCGAGGTGGGAGTTGAGGGAGGGGAAGGTGAAGCTGGTGAAGGCGTTGGCGTGGGGGGACATGCTTGTGCCTGGCAGAGGACCTTCGGGGGTGGTGGGGACGGATTCGCGTTGGGTTTGTTGCTGCTGTTGCTGTTGTTGTTGCTGCTGCTGGTGCAGGAGGGACTCGTAGTGCTCGATCGTGTGCATGATCTGTGTGGTGGCGAGGTGGTGCTCTTCGGCGCGTCCCTCGTACCCGTTGATGTTGCTGCGGTATTGGCTCTCGATCTCGGCTCGTTGTTGTCGGAGGGCGGCGCGTTCCTGCTCTCGCCGTTGCTTGGCGGTGAATCCTTCCTGGTTGGCGGTAACAAGGCGGTCATGCTGCTCGTTGAGTCTGGTCTGGCGTTGCTGGAGACGTTCCCTCTTTTGAAGCACAGCGGTAATGTCCGACTCGACGCTTTGGACCTGGCGTTCGATCTCGGCTTTGACGTTGTCGAACTCGGTAGACACAGCGTTCTTCTTGTTGCGTTCCTTCTTCCACTCCGCTTTCTTTACTGCGGCCTCCTCAGATTCGGCTTCCGGAATCCCTCCCATGTTGTCAACTTGAAGTGCGAACTCGGCAGTAGCATCATCGGCCTGACGTATATTTTGCGTAAACTGAAGAACACGTTGGCGTTGGCGCTCGTCACTACCACCAGCATTGGCAAGGCGGTTGACCAGAGTATCCACCTCCTTCTTGATAGTAGTGATGGCCGTCTTGTGGTCCTTCTTGTTCCGCTTCAGGCGATTGCGCTGCTCCTGGAGCTGTTGATCGGCCGCAGCGATCGAGTTCTTCAAAGTCGTAGTAGGCGAAGAAGGGCGCAGAGTCTGATGAGCTGACGGGGAGGCAACATAGGCTGAAAAGTTAGACATATCTGCAAAAAATGTACAAGAGATGCTATGCTTACCTAGTTCGGCTACGGGGCTGGCCGAGGTAACAAGGCTGGTCGAGTAGAAGACTTCGTTGTCTGCGGTCCGGACGAACTCGCAATGGTAGTTGTACAGAGCCGTCAGACCAAAGATTTCTCCCACCCAGAAGCCCGTTTCCTCTTGACCCTGGTAACCGAGCGGAGCGCTCTGGCGAATCCTGGTTGAACTCCAATCTGCTCCGTTCACACGGATGTAGAAAGGTTTCGACTTGTCGATGCCAGATCCGATACTCGAGTCCTCGTCGTCTTGAAACTCGGACCCATGCAATAAACTGACACGAAAAGAAATGTCGGAGGAGCCGACTTCTGAAATCCAAACACGATCGTCTTCCGATCTCCAAACAGCGTTTCCAATGTGATTTGCGTCTTTTGCGTTAGCCTCGTCGGCGTCGTTTGCCGCCCGGCTACTCTCCATTTCTTTTAAAACTGTAACTTTTGTACTGGCAAGTGCAGCCCAAAAAGGCTGCTGACTACGAACGTGGGTAGCTTGCTTTCTCTTCCTTCGAGAAACGCTCGCTTTGTCTGTTTTCGAGGGTGCGGCTGGCGAGGGCCCTGGTGGGCGGCCGTCGGTACTCGAGGAATTTGGCACGTCGGCGGTTGGGTCGAGCGTGGTCGAGTTGGCACGTTGGAGCCCGCCAGCTTCGGGGTCAGTCTTCTTGCCGGTGGGCAGGGACTGGGCTACGTCTCGCCGAGAAAGAGAGCGTCGGATGATACGAACGATGCCTTGGGCTAAAATATGAATTCCCAGGAGGCTGCGGGGCCATCCGTGGGGCGAAGAAAAGCTTTCCAAATAGGTCGGCGTAGCGGGTGGGCTCGTCAAGAATTCCAGGCCTCCCCGGGCGAGCCCCGTCCACACGAGGTGGACAATGTGTTGCCGGAGAGGCCTGAATTTGAAGAGGTGGTTGGAAAGAATGATGACGAAGCAAATGAAGATGCCGTTGGTCGTGCCGTTCTTCCCGGCTGCGGCGCCTCCGAGGGCGATTGCGATGACGGCCTGGGCGAGATCCAGCAGAAAGTTCTGCATGGGGACCCACAGCAGCAGCCACACGATCAGGATGGAGGCGTCGGCGAAGATTGTGGTGAAGAGGGAGGGGGTGCCGCCGGAGCCCTGGAAGATGTCGGTGAAGGAGGGGAAGGCGGAGAGGGCAGAGAGGGGGGTGCCGGCTTGCGGGGGGACGAAGGTGAGGGTTGCAAAGAGGAACTGGACGACGGTGAGGACGGTGGGGGGCAGCTGGAGCAGGATGATGAGGATGGCGAGGACGTCGCGCAGAGGACAGGACGTGAGAATGGTGGCCGGGACCGAGAGCAGGGTGGCCATGGACAGCGACGGCGACGCAGCCTTCTTGGAGTCGGCGCGGCGCAGGACGGGGGCGGCGACAGCGTCAAAGGGCCCGCCGGCGTAGGGGCGGCAGGCGTCGATGTTGTCGAGCGAGGCGTCCGAGGCCGCGCGCGCACGCTCCTCGCAGCCGGGCAGGGCAGCGCTCGCCGTGTTGTTGGCGGGATTGGGCAGGCGCAAGGGCGCGTCTGCAGAGCTGCTGGCGGGCTGCGTGGGCCGGTCGTCGTCGTCGTCTACAGGGCCGTGGAGCGGCGGCGTGTCGGGCGGGACGTGTCCGTTGGCGTCGACAGCGAGCAGCGGGTTGCTCTTCTGCTTGGTGACGCGCTTGCCCGGGGCGGCGAGGCCATTCTCGTGTCGCTTGTCATGCTGGTTCGCCGTCTTCTTCCCCCTCGCTACCATAGAAGGCGGTGCGGTGCGCTGTGGGCGGCGGCGTGAGCGAGGGCGGGCCGTCTCCCCAGGCCGACTCGACTGCTGCACAGGACGAGTCTTGCTTCGAGATCGGGAGCCGCTGCTCTGCGTGTGGGGGTGCCGTGGCCGTGTCCGCGTCGGGTGCGTGTGCTGCAGCAGTGTGTGGGAGTAGGAGGGCCGAGCAGACTACGCTGGAACAAAGACGGATTTCTTGGCGCGCTTGCTGTCAATGTCAGTCCGCCAGCGCCGCCAGTCAGTCGGGCAGGCAGTCGAACGCGTGGGCGAGTGAACCATGCACGCACATTACATACATACTTGCATCCTTCCATTCATACCCACCCACGATAAAAACTTGGGACGCCGGCGAGGAAGACTCTGCTTGCTGTCGCCTAGCGCCCACCGAGAGTACCATGACTACCATGACTACGCCTACTCCTACTCCTACTATAACCACCTTCTCACTACTACTGTCCCTTTCACACCACTCACCCCCCTCTAGACTACCCCATACATCAAGCCACACGCTCCTCTACGGCACAGCACACAATGCACCCGGCAGAACTACTCACGCTGCTTTTTCCATGTTGGCACGCAGATCCCCAGTCGCCGAGAAGCAGCCGGCTGCAAGGATCGTCGTCTGATGCTCGCATGGAGAACTGATCTCACCACGGCCCCAGCCACAAAGAAGCCTCATCTGCGCTTGGCATCGCCTTTGCTCATCGTCTTGCATGTTTCATCTTGACTGTCCACAATTGTGAATATCTGCTGCTCCCCTCAATCGCGTCACTACGCACGCAGCTCTTACACAATCACGATGTCAATCCTCCATACAGTCCACAAGCATCCACACCCAGCCAATTGCCTTGCCGTGCACCCCGGGCACCATATTAGCCCACTCTATTCATTTACGTGCGCCGGGACCCCTGGCAAACCACCACACCACCAGCCAATCACCGCTCCGCCTATCGTCTAGCTCACCGCCATCGCCGACGCTTGCATCCGAAGTCTCTGCACCCCGCGACGACACTGTATTACTCACCATTCCCGCCCAGAAAGTGGGCCCACCTCTGAAACACGTCAAACTCCACAAGGCTGTGTGTCTGTCGATTCCCAAACTGCATCATGCGACTATCAATGCAAGTCCTCCACATCCTGTGGGGAAAAAAGCGTCACCATCCGCTCCAAGCCGGCGTTCAAAGCGTAACGTCAAAGTACCCAAATGACATCGCTTCTTTCCCATGTGCAAATGCGGAAAAAAGCCACACAGTCACGCGCTCAACGGGCATGCAGATCCCCAAGATAGGCAATTATCAAACGCCATGAGCGGACGGTAAGTGGGAACCGCCCCCTCGGCAAGGATTACGGCACGCTTTGCATCCAAATACCTAGATTACCTATCTTTAAAAACAAGATTTCTCTACCCTATGCCTTCGCTGCACTGCCGAAATCCTCTTTCGCGTCTGCATTGTCCCAGCTGCTCTTCTCCAGCTCGCGCACCCGCTCAAGCAGGCTTCTGACGCGATTGCTGTATTTCTCCTTGGCCTGCTCCTGCAGGTCGAAAGTCTCGCGGAACTTTTCTATCATGAAGGGCTTCAGTGGGGATTTGCGTGCTTTGTTGTAGTCGTAGACTACTATGTCCTCGACGCAGCGGGCTGCTGGACGGCGCTGTGCTTCCGAGAGTATGACGACGTCCAGAATGAAGTGGTCAGCGTCTTCCTGTGGCCTCTCGCGGAGTTTGTGCAGGACTGTTATCCTGTCCGGCCACTTCATTGGCTTTGGTGTTGAATCTAGTCAGCAGGGCTATTTCTTCCATCGCGTCCCCATGCTCAGACACTCACAAACTTGTAGTCCGTCTTGATGCTCCGAAGAATCAGCCCCACACCCTTTGGCGTCATGAGTTCATTCCACTCCTTCCTATTCGCGGGGTCGCTCGCAGCGTAGTTGATCGCCCAATTGACGCGGGCAGACTCGGCGTAGCGGTTATACATGACATTATTGACATGACCTGCTCAAGCACGTCAGTCAATCAACAACCCCTCCAACTCGCGCCGCAGCGCAGCCAGAACAGTAGGTAGACTCTCATACCCTTCCGCGCGTCAGCAAGCCCCGCAGCCAATCATCACACCACATCATCTCACCATGCTATCCTACACAATCACGCATTAGCCATCGCCCACATAGCAGCAGTTCGCAAGAGAGGAGCAGAAAATACCATTTCCCCCCACACAACCGCATGCCGATCAAGTCCCCTGTACTCCACGCTCGTGAGAAACCCCTCGCTGCCCGCAACTAGATCCCGCCAGTCTGCCGCCATCTCCCCCAGTATCGCCCCGGCTTCCTGCGTCTGCGCGCCGTCGATCCCGAAGGTTATGCATTTTCCCAGGCGCGACTTGATGTCTGAGAGCCAGCGTGGGCTGAGGGCGGCGGTTGCGGGTGTGGGCGTGGAGGTGGAGGTGGAGGTGGATTGGTAGCGTGGTGTGGGGAGGCGCTGGGTGAGTGGGAGAATCGAGGTTAAGGTCGGATAGCGGAGCGCTGGGCGCGCGAGGCTTGGGCGCATGGTTGTTGCGGGTTTTCTGGGCGAGGCGGCGGTTTTGGATGGGGAGCTGGGGCGCAATGGCTGGGTGGATGGGAAGCTGGGAGGAAAAAGTCGCGGTGCGGAATGAGGCCGAGCCGAGGGCCGCTGCTGCGAGATGTCCGTCGGTTGGTTACGTCAGACTTGTGCGCGCGAACAGCAGCGAGAGGAGATGCACAACGGCCTTTTTGATTCCAACGACATTTCTTCTACTCTTGACAAGAGAAACCAACGCAGTATCAATTTAGGCTAGATATACTAGTCTTCCAACTCTCAATAACAGTGGGCTTGACGCTTCATCCACAACATGCCGTCCCCAAATCCCACCCTCCGCTACCAAGTAATCCGCATATACAAAGGTACACACCACAACCCCACACATACCTCCCCCCTCCCTCCTCCTTCCTGCCCCAACAAATCGCCCTAACTCATACCAGAGCTCCTCTTCCTCGGCCGCGACTACCCCCAAGGATTCACCCACTACCGCACCCGCCTGCACAAAGCGTTTTCCAGCCAACGCGACGTGACAGACGAAGAGGCGATCAAGCAGGGGATTAAACGGGCGGAGTTTGTGAAGAAAGGTGCGTTTTGCTGTGTGTTTGATTATGTGTTTTGGGGGGCTAACTAGGGGTTAGAGATCGAGGCTTTGTGAGTGTGGCGCGTTTCTTGGGCTATGGCTTTTTTTTTGAGGGAGGGGGAGGCGATGGATGGGGTGTGGTTTGATTTGGCTTGATGTGAGTTGTTTTTATTTTTATTTTTTGGCTAATAGAAGGGTAGGTATTACCTCAAGAGGTACCGCACGTTGCGCCAGCGGTATGATAAGATTGCGTAGATTGCGCGGCGTGGCGTGAAGTGTCGTGTTGTGGGGAGTAAGATGAGTACGATATAGGTACGATACAAGTACGGTAGAAGGAGAAGATGATGGCTGTTGATGGAAGCCGGATATCACGGAAATTGGCAAGGAAAGGGGAAGAAGAAGAAAAAAGAAAAAGAAAAGAAGAAAGGTAAACGGCACGTGTAAAGAAAAGAAAAAACCCCCTACACCCTCTTGCACCACCAGACGCCAATCTCGAGGCACTCGCCGCTCGACGCGCCCTTTTGCTCCAGCAGATCGGCCATCATGTAGCCCCACCAGACGCGCCATTCCTCCTGGTTCTTGCCACTGACTTCTTTGAGCCGCGGCTCGAGGCTTTCAATCAGCTGTATGACGAGGAGCAAGGCCGTGTATCGCAATGCGCGCTGCTCCTCCGTCAGCGCAGAGTTGTCAGACGCTGCGCATCCCTTTTTCAGCATCGTCGTTTCGCTGTCGCGTCGTTTCCCGGGGTGGTTGCGCTCGGCTGCGGCTTCGCGCTCCCAGCGCAGTTCGCCGAGCGGAATCGCTACTCGCCGGTTCGTTACGTCGCATAGGGCTTCGGTTTCCTGTACCAAGATGCCCGATATACGCGTGCATGGAGTGGAAAGCAACTTGCAGCGGTCTAGCGCCTCTGCAATCCAATTATTCGTGTCTTGGAGGTATTTGTTCTGGACTTTGGTGAAGGGTGTGCTGGGGGAGATGAGAAATGTGCCTGTCGCGAGCGCGCGCGCATAGTCTTGCTGATTCCTGCCGGGGGGAGGCGGTGGGTGCGGAAGAATAGAGCGGATCGTGTGGTCGGAGTCCCACACTTCCAGCGTGCCTCCAGACCTCAACACGCGCGTTGACTCGTCGATGATTGTTTGTGATTCCTCGAGGGGGATGACGACACTCAGGTCTCTCAACATGACAATATCGAATTCGCCATCACTGAACGGCAGGGGCGGATTCCGCAGGTCGTGTTGCACGAATTTCCAATCCAGTCCCTGTCGTTGCAAGTCGCCAGCCAGAGGGACTATGTCAAGACCTGTAAAGGAGACGTTGTCGTATCCCAACCCGCTCAAGTAGTCATGGCATATAGACGACCAGTATCCGCTTCCACATGCAATCTCAAGTATCTTCTTGGGAGGGTTCGCAGGGTCTACAGTGGAGCCCAGTGGTTGGCCGAGTATGGACGCCGCAAGGAGGGTGGATAAGTTTTGTCGTTGAAGTTCGGGGAGGTCGCAAGGGAGCGGGTAGTTCTTCACGTTTCGCAGGCACCGCCGTCCATGGCGCAGTACAAACGGTTCCGAGAGGGAGGCGATGCCGTCTTTGGTGCTTTGGGTCGAGTTGCTCGAGATGGAGCCGCGTGTCGCATCCATTGGATAGTTTGGAGTTTGAGGGCTTCGAGGATCAGACGAGGTCGCGGTTGATGTTGAGGAAATTGTTCTACCGAGGGAGCTTGTTGTGGTTATGTCCCATGCCTTTGCCTCTCCAGCAGGCTTTGGTTTCTCGACGACAGGACTAAGCAAATAGGGGGGAGGATAACGAAACTAGAAATTTTTATATTAGAATCACGACTCCCTGCGCAGATGCTCGCTGGGGAGTGCAGACCAGCAGCCATTCAGCCATCCTTTACCGTGTACTCGCCCCACTGTTAGCGGGCCCTGGTGTTGGGACCAACCTAGCCGTTTGGGCACGTATTCTCGAGTCAGCGGGCGCAACACGAGTAGTGAGTGAGCTAATGCAACGCAACAAGAACAAAGGACTGCGTGCTGCAGAGAAGATGTGAGGAAGGTGAGGCGTGGCAGCATGGCGTTGAGGAATTCAAGGTTCAAGAACCGGTTCGGCAAGGTTGAACTCAGCCCCAAGAGGCGACGGGAGCTTGAACCGAGGAGACATTCGCGACATCTCCAATCACGATGAGTTTATCCAAGATTGCGATACCATGCCGGGCACAGGTCGTTGCCAGTAAGATAACATGGAGGTGGCGTCTCGTCTCGTCTCTGCAGCCGCGGAGACTCCCGCCGTCTCCAAGCACCTCTTCGAACACGAGGGCAGAAGAACTGCGTGTTCCCCATGACCTTCAGTCTGCTGGCTGGCCTGCTTGCCTGCACTGCTGGCCAGGAGCAGGGCTGCGCACATGACTGCATGTGAAGTCGACGCCAAACGCTCGAGCACGCCATCTTGTGAATGCGATGGATAGGTGTCCAGGCCCAAGAAAAAGAACAGGTCGTCTTGGTGTTTCACGACAGATCTGCGCGATGTGTTCGCTGTGCACGTGACCCCAGCAGCTGCGAACCTTGCCCTTCACGTCGGCTGGCCATAGCATCACCCTACACTCTCTATTCTTCCCAGCGCTGCGGTTGGAACAGCACCCGGTCCGTCTGCCACCATTGAGAAGGCTTGCACTGCTGCCTCGCCCAGGCTGCTCCACGTCTCGTAAGTGCGCGACTTGTACCCGCTTCTCTGGCCTTGACTCCGGCCTCGACCCTACGCCAACCCCCGCACAGCTGTTGACCGCGCCAGACAACAAAACCGAGATATCAATAGCGACTCGTGCCTTTTTCTCGTGCCACGGCTGCGATTCCCCCCAAGCGAGGCCGCCACATTCGCTCACCACCACGTCGACGCCGTCCCCCACCTCGAATCCCACCACAACGCGCAACCCGGCAGAGGACCTCAATATATGCTGTGCGGGTGCAGCGTGTGCTAGCCCAAGTCTGTGACGAGGAACCAGTACGGGCGCCCATGTTAAAACGAAGAAAGTCGCGTGCCCGAACCCTTCCTCACACCTGAAGCCCCCCGCTCGCAGCAACAAACGTCCCGGGGCCTTCACCTCCGCTACCCGCTGCTCTCCCCGGGACTCTCGCCAACTCCCGCCGCGATTCCCTTAGATGGCCGATTACTCGGTCTACCAAAGGGGAGCCGGCCAGACCTTTTACCCGCAACACGCGCAGAACATACGAAACCTCCCCAACCGAGTGCGCTCGCCCACCAATAGCGCCCGCATACCCTTTCCCAACCCCGACACACCTTCTCCCTCGCGCTCTCCAGGCCGACAGTCCCCGCAGCAGTTCGGCATGTTCAATCAAGGCCATGGGCACCAGGGCCACAATGTCATGATGAACGGGCGGGCAGGCCACCAGGGCTATGCGCTGCAGATGAATCTGGGCAAGCCCTTTCAACACAACCAAAACCACCAGCACCATGGTCACACCCACCCGCAGCACCAGGAACACGCTGGCGGGGCCCACAACGGACAATACAATCACCAGCACAACATCTCCAGTGGCGCCATGGCCAACGCGCAGCCCCACTTTGCGCAGAGCCTCCTTCAAAACGGCACACCTGGCAGCGTCCACAGCGGCCTCAGCAAGCCCCCGAACGAACACTGGGCAGAGCAGTTGCGACAGGCACAAACCGCGCGCGAGATGACACAGTCGCACTCGCATGCCAGGATTCACCCGAGTGTCAGCAAGAGCATCGTAGCAGGGACAACAAACGGCATGCAGAAGGAGTCGGACAAGGAGGAGCGCAATAGGCCTGCGGCTCAGCGGGTGGAGGATGCGAAAGAGAATCATATCTGGACTATCCTCGATTTCGGTGGACAGAACCTGAAGGTCATTACGCCCGCGTTGTTCAACTACACCTTTTTGACCAAGCTCTACGTGAATTGCAACAAACTCTCCTACATTCCTCAGAACATCGGCCAGCTACGGAATCTCACCCACTTGGATCTCTCCCTGAACAATCTGCAGTACCTGCCACCAGAGATCGGCATGTTGGTCAATCTGAAGCAGCTGCTCGTCTTCGACAACAACCTTGACAATCTCCCATACGAACTGGGCTCTCTGTATCAACTGGAGATGCTGGGCATTGAGGGTAATCCCATTCCGGACGATCTGAAGCAGATCATTATGGAGCAGGGGACCACGGAATTGATCAAGCATTTCCGTGAGACAGCGCAAGGTATGTTTATACTGAATTTGATGTCCATGCTCATAGTCCTCATATTGCACAGGGCCCGAAGCACCACCGGAGCGAGACTGGATCGTGCTCGACGAGATTCAAGATCCCACGCAAGAGACTGTAACAGCATTGAGCTACAACATACTGTGTGACAAATACTGTACGCAATCACAGTACGGGTACACACCAAGCCAAGCGCTGGCCTGGGAAAACCGCAGAGAGAACATTCTCGGTGAACTGCGGGAACGGAACGCCGACATTGTGTGTTTGCAGGAGATCGACCAGGACAGCTTCAATGAGTATTTCAGGGAAGGACTGGCCCATAATGACTACAAGGGAGTCTTCTGGCCAAAGTCAAGGGCGCGGACCATGGCAGAGCGAGAGGCCAATCGCGTCGATGGATGTGCCATCTTCTTCAAGAACAGCAAGTAAGTTGACGTACAGATGCACTTTACCGTGCAGATGCTCATGCGTATAGGTACATCTTGCTTGACAAGCAGCTCATTGACTTCGCCAATACCGCTATCAACAGGCCAGACATGAAAGGAGAACACGACATCTTCAACCGTGTCATGCCTCGAGATGACATTGGCGTCGTGGCGTTCCTCGAAAACCGCGCCACTGGCACAAGGTTCATTGTGGGGAACGTACACGTCTTCTGGAACCCCGCTTTCACGGATGTAAAGATCGTGCAGGTCGCCATTCTCATGGAAGGGATCGCAAAGTTTGCCAACAAGTGGGCCAAGATGCCTGCTTGCAACGACAAGGTTGTCTTTCGCTTCACAAACGGTGATAGCGAAGAGGGCAGGGAGCTCGATCCTACACAGGAGCCGGGGCCGTCGAAGGAGTATACAGATGGCTCGCAGATACCGTTGCTGTTGTGCGGCGATTTCAACTCGATGCCTAATGACGGTCTTTGCGACTTGATATCGCAGGGCACTTTATCCAACACGCACAAGGATCTGGGCGGTCGAAAGTACGGCAACTTTACAAGAGACGGCATATCACACCCCTTCAGCCTCAAATCCAGCTACTCGGCCATTAACGAACTGGCCTTTACAAACTACACTCCTGGCTTCGTAGGTGTCCTCGACTACATCTGGTACTCGACGAACACGCTCCAGGTGGTCGGCCTACTCGGCGACATCGACAAAGACTATCTTCGCCGGGTACCTGGATTCCCAAACTACCACTTCCCTAGTGACCACGTTGCCTTGTACGCGCAATACATTGTCAAGGGTCGGAAAGAAAAGAAAGTGCAGGAAGTGGACTTTGGACCGAGTCGGGATCGGGACCGGGATCGCAGGTCTTGAGCACAGTATGTTTGCCGTCAAGCCCGTCCATGTTCGATGCCAGGGATGATCATTTGGTTGGGAATCTGTCAGTAGGCGCGCGTACAAGCGCCATTCGTCGTTTTCAGGCGTCAGTCATATGCTCGGTGTTCGGTTTGTGCATCTTCTTCCCTCACTTTTTTTTCCCCATAGCACGGAGGGGTTTGGAATTGATTGCTCCAGTCAGTTTCGGTTGGAGGTTGGGCGGGCACGACTCGGTAGAAGGTGCGCGGTTCTCTGTTCGTCTTGTATTGGGTGTGGTGCATGCAGGCAGGCGGGTTAGTACACGAATCTCACATCATGTCTGTTGTTCCTGCGACTGGATTTGTCTGGCATACTGTCACGATCAAGGCGGGATCTTTCATTTGATTCTCTTTTCTGTGTGTAGGGCGTGGATGATCTGGAAGGCTTGGTTGAGGGGTGTTTTGCGAGCGGACTGGGTTTTTGGTTTTCGGTAGTTATCTTTTTCTTGTGATGTATAGGTAGCTTTTTAAAAGACCATGTCCCCTTCCCTTGAGGCTGGGTTGACTGCGGTTTCTCTGTTCACGTCGACGTTTTGCTTTTGACTGTGCCATGACAAAGCCAGGTTTCGAGCATGGCTATCCTGGTCGAAACTGCGGTCAGTGAAAAGTACCGCCATTCGCTGGTTGAGTTGCCCAAAGGATGAGGGGGTCCTCTGTTCGCTTGACCGCAGGTTTACACGTGCTGCTAGCGTCATAGCATCAACAGCCGTCCGCGCGCCTTCAACACTTTCTCTGCCACGTAGGTTCCTACAAGACCTTATCGTACACCTGTCCACCACACTTGCCACAGCTTTCTTCGCATAGCAATTGACACACCATGGCCGCCCACGCTACCGCCGAGCTCCCGCTCGACCCAAAGTACGACAACTACGACTACCCCACAATCGCTCCAACCCCCCAGAGCGGCCACCCCGGCCATACGACGCCTGAGCAGAATGCACAGGTCTCGCAGCTGCGCATGTCGCTCGAGCAGGCGGGACACACGAAGAATCTCGACACTTTGACCCTGGTATGCTCTAGGCGGTGTGGACGCGTGGACAGTGTTGCGGAGTGCTAAGTAATCTTCAGTTGCGATTTCTCCGCGCGCGCAAGTTCAATGTCGAGCTTGCCAAGCAGATGTGAGTGGACGGTGCTGTTTGAGGCGGTTGGCTGGTTACTGACGGGCTGCAGGTTCGTGGACAGCGAGACATGGCGGAAATCGTATGCGGGTGTGGGCGTCGAGGAGCTTGTTCGCACATTCGACTACAAGGAGAGGCCCGAGGTGTTCCAGTTCTACCCCCAGTACTACCACAAGACGGACAAAGTACGTTTTCACACCCTACACAATGCTCAGTCTGTGCAGTCATTGACCGCATCTTGACAGGATGGCCGCCCGCTTTACATTGAGCAGCTTGGCAAGGTCGATCTCACCGCGCTCCATAAGATCACGTCTCAAGACCGCATGATCCAGAACCTCGTCTGCGAATACGAGAAGATGGCCGACCCGCGTCTCCCCGCCTGCTCCCGCAAGTCTGGCTACCTCCTCGAGACGTCATGCACAATCATGGACCTCAAGGGCGTTGGCATTTCCAAGGCGACCTCCGTCTACGGCTACCTGCAAGCCGTGTCCGCCATCTCCCAAAACTACTACCCAGAGCGTCTCGGCAAGATGTACATCATCAACGCGCCCTGGGGCTTCTCGGGCGTCTTCAGCATGGTCAAGAAGTTCCTCGACCCCGTTACCAGCGCCAAGATCCACGTCCTGGGCAGCGGGTACGAGAAGGAGTTGCTGGCACAGGTGCCTGCGGAGAACCTCCCTAAGATCTTCGGCGGAAAGTGCGAGTGCCAGGGTGGTTGCATGTTGAGCGATGTCGGTCCCTGGACGGATCAGCAATGGGCCAAGGAGCCCAAGTGGGCGAAGAGCGATGCTATCGACAACACGCAAATTCCTGGTCCCATGGATGGCGGTGCTCAGCAGCCCATCGCACCGGCGCCTGCTGGAGCTGATGCTACTCAAACGCATGCGCTCGCTTAGGAGGCAGGCGATGTTAGATGGAGGAGCTCTGATACACTGATCAATGGTCAGGAAGATCACGGGGAGAAAATAAACGAAGCTCGAGTCTAAGGAGCATCATAAGAGCTAGAGAAGAAGGTAGCTTTCCTGTCGTTGGCTTGTTTTCCAATCGCATACAAACTGGTCACGGTATAGACTGATTATGACGGCGTCAAATCGGACATTGAAAACGACTTGGTGCTGATGTTTGGAAATATACTCACAGACTATGTGTCCGCCTTCGCCATACTAATCCAGAGTTCGAAGGCCACAAAGATGGTATTTCATGCCAACACATCGTCACTCGTACACGATATCAACCCCCAAACGCCTTCTTCGATCCCATCAACCGTCTCTCCCCATCACCGCCCCATAAACACATCCCCACACCTCTCCGTCTCCCTATGCTCGTGATACAGCACACACCTCGCCCCCCTCCACGGCTTACAAGCCTCCCACGTCTTCCCCCCCACACCCTCTCCCTTCCTCCTCGCCCCATCCCACCCAGCCATCCCAACACCCACCTCAACACACCCCCCACAAAACGCCACACAACACTCCTCACACGCCACCGCCCCAACCCGCGGCACCAACACAACCCGACACCCCTCACACGCCCTCGTCACCCCCCAACTCGCAGGCCACCACATCCCCAACCGATGCCTCACCAGCGCCTGCTTCACCGGGCTCTTAAGCCTCACCACCAAATCGCGCAGAAACCCAGCATCCCACTCCTCCTCATGCCGCTCCAACAACCGCCCCGTCTTCTTAAACGCAAACAAATCCAACACCAGCTCCCGCACCCGCGCACTATCCCGTATCCCATCGTACAAGATCCGCGTATCCGTCGGCGTCGGCACGCTATTCGTCGCATCCGCCACGTCGCACAGCGCGTCCACGACCGCGTTGCGCAGACCCTCCATGCACAGTCTGTCCGCGAGCGCGTACACATGCAGCAGTGTGTAGTATGCGGGTTTTCCGTCTTTGAAGGGCGGGGCGAGGGTGGAGGTGTAGAGCCAGGTGGCTAGGAGCTGGAAGTGCGGGACGGGGATGTCGGGGAGGGTGATGCTGTTTTGGCGGGATTCGAGGAAGGGGCCTGTGAGGGCGGCGCGGAAGTAGGGCGATGAGGCGGTCAGGAGGAGCGTGTGGATGTGGAAGGGGGTGGGTTTGGGGCCGATGAGGAGGGTTGTTGTTGTGGTTAGGTCGGTGGGCGAGGTTCTGGGGTGGGGGGGTTAGGTTTTTTTTGATCACTGAAGGGGTGGTGGGATGGGATGGGATGGGATGGGATGGGATGTACCTTAGTTGTCCGCTGCGTGCACCAGACCATGTGTATGGTGGTGGAAGGTTCGTTGGGATTCGCGTCATGTCGCTCGTTGGGACCATCTTTCCTGTCGCCTTTCTCTTACGCCAAACGGCTTCAATGTAAAATACGAGGTATAAGTAGTGGAGTTCAACAAACAACACAAACCAGAACGTGTGAACAGACTCGACTTGAACTCGTAAGAAAAAAAGCAGCACCGTCACCCTTTGAGGCAGAACGCGGCCCTACTGCATGCGGCCTGCCTTTGAGCAGCTCAGGAATGTGTTTCGGCGTACTTTCAGTCATATCTTACCCGAGACGAACAAACCCGACCCTCATGATAACAATGAGAACAAGAGTTACCCTATGGACACTCACAATCGATTGTTCTTACTTTGGCTGCTACTTATTCCCTCGCATAGTGGCATGAGAATGGGCAAACAAGTTGCAGTAAGCGTGCTTTGTGTAACAGGAGCGAGCACCTCAAACAAAAAAACCATCGACAAAGGACAAAGACTTGGATTGAAGATTTGCAATTTGTACAGAACTTTTACTAGATTACCGAGGATATAGATACCTGGACCGCCGAGCATGCATATGACTCTGCGAGAAGATGGGGATGGAGGAAGCCACCGCTCACCATGAAAAGTCCAGCCCAAAATTGCGAGTCCATGCGATGCTAATCGCACAAGTCGAAATCCATGGACTGAGAAAGGGCGTACGTAGAGTACATACCCAAAGAGAAAGCCCGAAGTTGAGAACCGCTACGCCATGCTGTTAAATGCACACTGATCCACATGAGAGACGGACTAAGCCCCGACTAGGCATTCTTTCACGGCTACTCGAAGCGTCGGACACAAACACAGCGCTACTAGATACGGTGCTTCTCAGATTCTGGAACACAAATTAGCTTCCTATTTGTCACATTTTTTAATATGGTTACTGACCGAGTCGCGAGTACAGCATGTATAATGCCATTTGGTTGCACTCTTGTGTGCCGGTGATGGTGACCAGACGTTCATTGCTATTGTCCGTAGGTTCGTTGATCTTGATGACACTGCCACTGAGCTGACGGATCTCGTTGATCTTCGCACCACCCTTGCCAATGATGGCACCGACCATGTCGTTGGGAATGAAAATTTGCTGTGTCAGAGGCTGCAAGAGAAGTTAGCACAGGAAGAGGAACAGGAGATAAAATAAGTCTAAAGTGGGAAACGTACCTGGCCAGGCATGGCGACGGGCGCTTGATTTGGAGCGGCACCATGTGCAACAGGCGCTGCAGCATGATGGCCGCCATAAGGAGCGGGCTGTGCGCCTTGAGGTCCACCATAGTGGGCGCGACCTGGTGAGCCAGCTCCGTATGGCATGCTGGGATGACCATAGGGTCCTGCTTGCGGTGGCTGACCGTGCATGTGTGGGGCTCCATATCCACCGTGAGCAGGAGTGCGTTGAGGAGGCTCTTGTCGGCGAAAGTTGGTAGGGTGCGAATACTGACCTCCAGCAGGCTGAGGAACGTACGGTTGAACAGACATGCCGCCTGGGACGACGTTTGCAGCCATGCCGCTGCGGGTTGCGTATTGAGAGGCTGCTGGTCCGCCGAATCGCTCTGTCAACTGCTCGACTAGGGTTTGGGCTACATAGTACACAGCAATGTGCACAGCATCAGCGACACCAAGAACGACCAATGAACGCTCGCCAGAATTTGGAAGGAGGGTGTCAGATGCGTTCAATTTTGCATTGGAAGCCTCCTGGATCTCACGGATACGGACTCCAGCTTTACCAATGATGGAGCCAATGAGGATGTGAGGAATAAGCAACCGCATTGGGTAAGCCTTTGATGTGGAGGTGGAAGGGGTCTCGAGGTCCTCTTGGTTGAGTGTGCGCACAATCAGGCCAAATGCTTTGGACACAGCATCAACTTGGCCGCTTACGGTCAGAATGCGTTCGACAGCGCCCCGCGAGTAGTCGCTGACGGTGCACTTGGCCCCCGAAAGACGTCGAATTTGAGTCACGTTCTCACCACCCTTGCCAATAATAGTTGCAGCTTCACTGGTGCCAATGCAGGCGCGCAGATGCAGCCAATTCGTCTCGTCCACTTGCTGGTTGGGGTTGGCAGGCCGGCCATTCGCGCCAGAGGTTGACTGAATTGGCTGGGTCTCGAGAATGGCGGGAGCGTCAGGTACAACGGTGTCGACCTGGATATTCTCTGTGCCATTCTGAGTAACAGCATCAGCGCTGTCCTCCTCCAGCTTGACTTCATCCTCGTGCTTGATGTCCTCGATGGAAATGACTTCACTCTCGACTGGCAGCGCAACGTCGATGTCGTCAGTGCTGGGCTCATCTTTCACCATCTTGTCCAGCGCAGGGCGCTTGGCATCAGGCTGGTCATTGCGACCAGTTGGTGATGAAGGATCCTCAAGCGGGCGCTTGGAGGAAGAAGCTGCGATGGTCGGGGAGGCAGACATGTTCACTATCGCGATAAGTCTTGAAACCTGTGTACACACTCTTCACAGTCCAGGCGAGTGATGGTGAAATTTGCTTGTTCAATTGATCTCGAGTATTTGTCTGGTTATGTACAGCGGGGGCTGTCAAGGAAAGCGTGCTGGTGCTGGCGGCTGGGAAGGGACTGCGAGGGTGCGGTTGAGGGAGCGAGGAGGTGGAAATCGTCGGGTCTGGGACAAGGCTTGGGGCGTGCAGATGGTGCAGTGGTCGGAAAGGCAGCGTCTCGATGAATGAGAGGCCTCTGGTGCTTGTGCAGTGATGCGAGAGGGTCGGGAGTGAGTGCTCTTGGGGCGAGGTGACGTCGAGCGACAGAAGAAATTGGCCCAAGTAAAGAAAGCTCTTTCGTCAAACCTTCTGGAAGCAGTCGAGCTCAGGCGCGGAAAGGTGGAGGTTACGCGACTTCCTCTACGGCGAGAGAACAACTGGAATGGGAATGGGCAGAGATGACGCTGCAGAAGGGAGCTGGGTGAGAGTAGCAGGTGCGTGGTGCGAGGTGGAAGCCGCGACCGTTGCGGAATTAGAAAGCTTAAAGTGGAGACGCTTGGTGTTCCCACGTGACCGTTCTGCTCTGCATTGCACAACGCCAGAGGCACCCTCTCACAACCGAGTGAGAGATTGGAGACCTTGGAATATGATCAGTGAAAGAGCTAGGAATTGAGGATAAAGGCATCGAACGCTCGTCTGTCATCGTTCAAGGAAAACTTCGCCTTCAGCAGACCAGGAGCAAGAGGCACAGTCGTTCACGAATGTGCATCGCTACACACCATGGCGCAACCACAGAGCGAAACACTTCAGAAAATACGAACCTATGTTCAAGAGACTGCTAAGCTGCAAGACCATCTGATGGATTTGGACGCGTCCAATACCGAGACGCGTCTGGAGCAAACCGTGAGGGAACTGCAAGCACGCGTCGAAGAACAACAAGCTGCGTTGCAAAAGGTGCGACGACCATACGAACCCTAACCATCTCATACTGACGCGTCAAAGCTGCGATTGCGATCAAACATTGATTTGGAGGGCGCCGCATATGCCTCCTCCGACCCGCGACAAAAACTGCAACAGCTCCTAGCTGTCAAGGACGCGTACAGACGTCTCACACCGACTGCACCTTTTCTTCCTTCTCAGGACTCGGCTCTTCCTCCACTTCTGGCAGCGCGCACTTTCCAGCAAAATGTTCAGGGCACTAAGGATGCGATCACCAACACGCAAGATCAGGTTACGAAAACTGATATGAGGCTTCGACGCGAGGAAGCTAATCTCCATGATGCAAACCTCATTACGCAAGCTATGGAGGACCGTATCGATAGACTGCGCGCACAGCATGAGGATCGATCACAGAAGACTCCTGCCCAGCTCGCTCGTGAACTGATCGCGGCCAAGCGGGCCCAAAGTGAGAGCTACGATGAAGACATGCAACGACTCAGCGAAGCGATGAACAACTTCATCAATGACGATCTGGCCGCCATGATCGCAGCTGAAGAACTTGGCGGCCCCGTTGTGGGAGACATGCTAGGTGTAGAGGGTGACACTCTCGCAGCTGGCTTCACCAAGCAAGGACGCGCTAAATCAACGAAAAAGCCTGTTTCAGACAAGACACGCCAGCGCAGAATCGACCAGATATGGGGCAGCAACGCTGCTGTAGAGGACGATGAGGAAGAACCACCCACTGAAGCTGAAGCCGCACACGCTGAAATGAGCCAGCTGATCGAGAATCTGTTCGCAACGCTCGCAGGTCCCGGGGGGAAGGCGTACTTCCACCTTGAGAGGGATTCTGCGGCGTCGAGGTTCCTGGTTAGAGCGAAAATTGCACAGTTCCACCCAAAAGATGCGCAGAAGTTACGGCTGATCGACTTCGGAAGGGAATTAGACGACTGATAGAAAGATCCGATTATTTCGTTTCTCTCTTGTACGCGCTTAAGTCCATGGTCTCATAGAAACCAAGACTGGGAAGGGCATGTGAGAGGCAAGCGTCGAGTCGAAGTACCAGTGAGACAAAATAAAGAGCTATTCCATAGACGAGTGAGGAGTCCAGGCAGTACAAGAGAGGTGTCTTCTTGGTCACCGGAAGCGCCGTGATAACAGGGTTTCTTCTTCTCCCTTCTACACGTGTCTTTCGCTGGAACTGTATTTAACAGATCTTCCATCTATCAACTTCTCGCGAATACCTGTGGCTGTGCATCCAAAACCTGTCTACAACATCTCTCTACCAAAACGTCCTATCTAAATCATACGTGTAATAAAACCCTCTATATCCCTCTAACCACGGCGCTATATTGCCGATTGCAACTGCCTTTTCTGAGACACAGTTCGAATACCCTAGGCCTGAAAAAGTGATCGCCCCATCGCAATCGGTCAGTTAGCTTAGATCAAAACCGGGTCAGGAGAGCTCTTCAAGAGAACTGGGTCCTAGAGGCTCATCTCGCTTACGTGAATGGTCAGAACGATCACCCGTCCGAGCCCAGGTTGTTTAAATTGGCTCGGTAAAAGCGGTACCCCCAGACACCGTTTCCTCATCTCAGATCAGGCCCCACTTTAAAGACGAGATGAAGCATTTGACCCGGAGTTTGGACAAGACACCCCAGCCTTGAAAAATTAACACATGTCCGAATGTATGATCGCATCTATTGTACCGATACCTACATGCTGTTGAATGCAAAAGCGTTTCATGAGCAATATAGGTGCCGTACTTGGCCTCATTAATACCCCAGCATGCTAATACATATTAACAAGGCGGCTTCACGAAGACCCCGCGCCCCTATGGAGCATACAGGATGTATAGTAAAACGCTTTGACAGTGCAACTGAATGAAGGGTGGCCGTGAAGTCACCGAAACATACTTCTGTCTGCCCCTCGGTAATAGATACAGGACCATGACGTGACGAGTTGACGCTTACCGCCAAAGCACGAGTATGTCCTACATCCGGGTTCGACCAGATCCTTCTGTAGGCTCTAAACACTCCTAGGATATCCCCCATGCCCTTATCAACGTGGCTCCTGTAGGCCGGCTCTTCATGACTGCCCAAACAGCGATGCGTCAGCGGCTTTGTACCATTTTCTAGGCAATGCATTATTATTCGCCGTCCGTGCTACTCTGGCCTAGAGATAAACCATGTGACTGCCGTAGGTAGTCTAAAGTTTGGTTAAGGCTTGTTAAGCGCGATGTGTGTGTTCCTGTGATGTGTTTTGCGTTGCGCGATGTGGATCTGCGTCTGCACTTGGTTGCTGGGTGGATCTGAAACACTTTTGTTGATCAGGAGAGAAGTGTGGTACGCGATTTGTGCAGGTGGATCTACGGTCGGTGTGCATGCGTAAAGATGTGCCAGACACATGCTACGATCTCTTCCTCATGCACCTTCACCCGCCCCATGCTATGTTTCGAACGTCGGATCTGCATGACTCGACAAGATTCAGAAGAATAAGCAATTTGGTTCTGGTTATGACTCCTTCCGTTCGCGATCGCACTCGCATCATAAGATTCATAGAAACCAGGTCTGATAAAGAGTTCCCGATTCAGTCGAAGGAATGTCAGCGTCCGTATTAATCGATGATGTTCGTCAGGGTGCGGATATCAAGCTAGGTTCAGTATCGTGTCCCGAAATCCTCCGTACGGTCGGTCGTACTCTATCCGATAGTCTGCCTATTCCATCACCATGTCAAATACACACTGAGGATAAATGGGACTGTACTGTGCGTCAGTGCTGACGAATGTAGAGATCCCAACACTCTCACTACGGTACGTCGACCAAAAACGTACAACTCACCGCCGTCAATTTCCGGCCCTCGACATTCGATCACTCATCATCGCAGCCTTACTCACGCAATCTCCACCTCGTCTGCAACATATGCATCGCAAGCCCACCAATTATCGTCATCCTCAGGCGGTGTGTCTAGAGCGGTCCCGACGCAAACGTCCCGCATGCACAGCCACACCTGCGCTGAGCGTCCCGCGCCGGAGAGTGTTCCGAGTCGCGAACGGCCTGACCTTGATGTGTTGATCTGCAGGAAAGTAGCCGCAACTCTAATTCTACCGTTTTCCATCAGGCGTGGACCGAGACAGTAAGACTTCGGTAGTTTCCGAAGTCGTGGAGAAGGGCCGAAACAGACGATTGGCACGTGATACTCTGACGAAGAAGTACTCTTTCAAAAACGTTAGAAGGGAACACTTTGTGGCGTATATTTCCCAAAATTTGTATGATATAGTGATGCATTGTGGGATTTGGACTTGAACATATCACTAAGCGACTGCAAGATACTTCGTGCGAATTCTTCCCGAGCACCTGATTACCCAACGCCTCAATGCCGGCGTGATATCTAGACGAACGGAGAACCTCGCAGCTCGTCGTTTGCACCAACTAAGTGGCAAAATTGTATTTCTGGAATCTTAGCCCTAGAAGCTGAAAAACTTAGCGAACTCTGCTATCACATGCGAGTTATAACGGACGCGCGTACAAAGTCTCCAGCATCCTACGCTGTGGAAGGGACTGGGCCACATCACCGAGCCGCCCTGCAGAAGTCTGTGGCGATTCGTCTGTGCAAGTGCCACAGCTGTGGCGAGTGTGGCATTTGTGGCGTGTGGCTAGAACTCGGTGCAAGGAGCCGTTTCTACTTCGGTATGCATAACGCCGATCTTGCCGATCTATCTCGATCTTTCGCTACACATTCCATGCCATAGACCACATGGTTTGATGCAACTGGTATCGTTTGCGAGCTGAGAATAAGTAGTATGCATTGGATGTATTGAAGTACACCTCGTATAGCTATGGAAAGACGTGGGGTGAGTACACAGAGTGTGGAAAGTGGCAAATGGCATGACGTCGACCAGAGTCTTGGGCGAGTCAAGGATGAACGGTGAGAACGTGCTTGACGAATGGCTGACAATAGGGCGGAGACGATTGGCCGTTCGACTCTTTTGTACTGAATCGTCCGTCTCCACGTCGCCGACAACCGCTAAAGCTTTCTCACAACCGTTTGCTGCCTCATCTATTATTAGGAGCGGTAGTCATCAGGCCATTCGTGCAGAACTCGCGTCTTGTCTAATTCTCTTGTCCTGTGCCGAGCATGCTGATTCGTAGAGGCGTTAAATGGCAAGAGGAGTTAACGTTTCAAGTCGCAACGATGTGGAAGCTATGAATGAATGACGAACTATACCTAATTTCCCCGCTACTTGCACCCCGACCGCCTCAGGCTTATTCGATGCCGGTGTATACTTTGCCAGCACATCTACCGTGTGCAATCCTTCGTCTAGTCACTAAAGGATTTCTTGTGTGTATCGGCACTTTGATTCGTGGTTACCATGCTGCAGCATGACATCACGCCTCGCCTGATAGAAGGTCTAGGATCACCAGCCACTTCAATTTCACCTAGCCTAGGATCCCTAGCCGAACGTCAGCTAACAGTCTAAAACTAACTTTCAACGTGCGGATGTCGGTGTCCAAAACTGCAACATGTGCCGGGAAGCGGACGGATGAGCGCTGGTCGCTGTTGGGTTTTGCAGTGACATTACGCGGCAGCCCATCTCTTTCTTGCCGACGTAGTCGCAAATGTGTCATACTTCGGCGATACCGGCGGAGGAAGCTGGGCATGTTAAATGTGATTTGTGCGGAAACCTAGCGTGGAGCGTTATTGACTTTGCGGCGAATCGTGATTGACTTGTGATAACTGCCAAGAGGCTTGCTGTTGCTGTCCCAAAGTTCGAGGGAAGAGCGTTAGTAATGCTAACACGAAAGCGCCGCTATGTCGCTCAATCGACGAGTGCCGGGATTGGTGTGGAAGAGGAAATTACAATCATATTATCCATGACGAGTTCATCACTGAGTGAATAGTGTAAGAGAGCAAAGACTTTAATTACGTCTTCGCAAGGGACGGCGAGCAACCTCTCCGTAATGCAAAATGCCGTCCCTGTGTGTATCTCAAAGGGTTACAGGTCCATCCCTGCTGAACTCCACACTGCGTGTATACATCGCAGTCACTGCTCCCCGCTGAGTGTCCGAATCTGCTCATTGCCTAGCAATCTGAAGCCGCTGGAAAAAAGTGAAAAGTTGTACGAATGGTATAATGGGTATCGTCGTCGAGCCAGAAAGAGAAAAACAAAATAGCAACAAGAAAAGTATGCTCGCTCGCAGTAGGCGCTCGGTATGATCCAAAGCTTCCCCAACGCCAAAAGCGAGTAAGTTGTGTCAAGCAACCATATCAGCAAGATTAGTCTCCCAGAAAGTGTCGACAGGTTCGCTTCAAATGTACTACCAGTACAAAGTCATTATAGCGGATAAATCGTGATACGTCTTCGACGTGGTGGAGAAATAGGACTGTGCCGCTGGGGAATATTAGGCGAAGATATTCAAAAGAGAAGGCGAAGCTCGTAGCCAGTCGAGTGCACGTTCTCCACAACACTAATGTCGCCATCGACTTGGATGTCTGTGGGTGTAGCGTTCCATTCTCGTTTGATGGAGTGTATTGGCGGCGTGCCAATCTCGTGGAACTCAGCTGCCATGTCTTGTTGCTCCGGAAGTGTGTTGACTGCGTCATCGTCCATCAAAATCTGCAGTCCCTTCTGATTGACACGGATAGTGCGGGTGACTTTGGTCGGTTCGATATTGACTTTCATCGCAATACCACTGACAAGCGCTTTGACGGTGCGTTCCATAAGATACACAGCACGGAAGTAGTTGTCGTCTGGCTGTCTGCCTGCGATGCGTGGTTGCACAAAAAAGCAAGCAACTGCAACTCGTATTAGTATGTAACTCAAGGCAAAAATTAGATTGATGATCTTACCTGGCTTCAACATGGGCTCTGGCGGCGGTTGGTATGTTTGATCGACACCCAAGGCGTCGATCCATCCAGAAAGGGCATGATCGGCAGAATATGGTCTTTGGACTTTGGTTGAAACGTTGGAGCCTCTAGGTAAATTGACAGCGCCTTTCAGATCGCCTGTGGCTGTTTGTGGGAAATTTCTCCATTCACCTGAACTCATCCGCGAAGGCGGGTGGAATGGGCGTTGAAACGATGAGTTTCGACGTTTATCTGAAGGCAGAGACTGTGAGCTTGGGGTCGGTGACACGATTGACGAGGCCTCAGCTTGAGGAGTGGGTCCTTCCCACATTGGCGCTTCCACATTGGTCTCCATCTTTGACAGTTCTTGAGGGGTCGCAGTCAACTGCACTGGATGTAGATCTGGGTCGTCGTGCTGGTCGCTTTCCAGATACAACACACTCACAGGCCTGGTGGAGCTGAACATGTCCTGTAAAGTGGCCAGCTTGATGTGCAAGTCTTCTTCAGCGGGTGCGCGGGCCCCGGAGTTTGAGCTCGCTGAGGACATAGACCAGGTCCTCTTGTGTTTGGGCATCTTGCCAGGTCTCGAGCTTGCGCTACTTCTCGAGACTGATCCACTGCGCTTGCGCTTTCCAAAATCTTTCATTCCAGACTCCACCTGCGCGATCTGTTGTTTCAACTTGTCGATGGTTTTCTTTACATGTGCAACATCGTTGGACAACTTGCGCTCAGCACCATGATCGCGAAAGAGTTTGACCTTGCAGTAACACAGCTCAGCTCCCGACTTGCTCGGTGGTGACCCAGCGACATCCGTGATGATTTCAGTCTTGGCGCATAATCGAACTGGGATTCCTTTGACGCCCTTGGAGTGACTGAAGTCCGTAGAGAGAAAGTTGAACCGTACGGCTAGGGAGCACTCGGGTGCAGTACTGTGGACCGGTGTCCACGTGACAGCAAAACCATCAAAGGAAGATGATTCTAGATCCACTCTTGGCCGTCCTTGGACTTCGCCACCCCCGACTTGGCTTGGATCCACAAATTCAACAGCCTGTAGGCGACCACCTCGTTGATGCGCTTCGTTGGTTCCGCGACCCTCCTTCCACAATTGCCAGCAAGCAGCAGGGCGTTGCCGTTGTTGCTCATCCTCGAATGAGATGCGGATGAAGGTTCTATACCTGACAGGACCAGATAACGCCGCGTTTGGCGCAGTGTCCACTAGCGATATCGAATAGGCTTGACCCTTGTTGAGGTACGTAACAGGCACCTCATCTGAGTGCTTAATCATTGCGGTTGGCGCATTCAATGTAACATGAAATCGAAAACTACTAGAGTCAGTGTTAGGCGCAACTACTTGTATGGCGTGACTGGCACATAAGGCATGGGATGTTACTTACTTTGGATTTGGTAGAGGGGCCTGTGCGCCAGAAACGGCAAGGCTCTCTCCGAAAGACTGCGGCTGCGGCGCAAACCCAAGTAAGGGCGATTGCAGTTCAACCTCTGAGATCATGTTGTCCATGGGCGATTCTCCGTGGGATTGCGGTAATTGGTGGCCATGGTCGAATGCGGAAGGTTGATGGCTAAACTGGTGAGGCGCAAAAGATTGGGAGTGTTGAGTCTGGACACCGAAGGGGTTGATGTTTTGGAAGTGATGAGATCCAAGGGCATGAGGATTGAAGCCATGGAGGTTAGGAGTGTGTGCATTGTGACCGGCGTGCACCCCTCCTTCTGAGGTAGGGAGTGAAAGTGGTGTTCCGAGACCAAAACTGAAGCCCGGCGTGTGCAGATCACCTGCCTGGCTGTGATAGAGCGTGTTGGTACCACCGGGCGTAGGCGTGTAGTAACCTGGGGGTTGGTTTGCAAAGGATGTGAAGGCGAAGCTGTTGGGATCGAGCAGAGACGGGGTAAACCTCCATGGCTCATGGCTTCCACGTGGTGTCGGGTCCTGGTCTTTGATATCGTCAAGATCGCCAACATGTCTACGGGCAGCTTGGTTAGCAAAATGGTGTGATCATGTGTGTTGATGCCTTAGCTTGGGCGCTGGTCGGTGCGCACAAGTTAGGGCGCGAACAACGTACCGAGTGGGATGTGCTACGTCGAGCGCATCTGTGAGGGTGTGGCCTGGCGGGAACGCAACTGACTGCGATCGCTGTGCAAGATGTGGGAAGGAAGCCTTGAACGTCTGCAACAGTTCGTCCTTGGGCTTCTGCGAATTCGTTCTACGGAGCGGTCAGCCACGACACAGAGGTGTTCAGCAGCACAACGCGACGCGCGCATATCACAGCACGCTGCCGATGTCTGCTGACATGACTGAGGAAAGACATACCGGTTGCGAAACATCGCGGAGAAGCTCGAGGTAGGTACACTGGTAGTTCTTGAGCATCGAGAGAGGTGATGTTGCGTGGGTCGGATGTTGGGGAGCCTTGAAGACCAGGTGGGTGGATCGTGGGTTAATGAGACGGAAAGCTGCCACAGACACGAGCCACAGAGTGCAGGGCCAGAGCATACGTTTTATCGGTTAGCCTTTAACTGACGGAATTACACGAGGGCCGCGCGTGGCAGGTGAAGGATCGTGCCTCTGCAGTGGGGTGAAGGGTCTGGCCGGACGCTAGACTGTCGGTGCGCCCTAATGCTGTAATTTTGCGCGGCCTCAGTACGTCGCTGCTTCTTCGTCGCGACACCTTGTCTAGAGATCACCCGGTACCCGTTTGCACAGCCACTGCCTTGCGAGCCGTCCGAAAGGCCTTAAGGCTCCGTGTGGCTCAAAGCGGTGCGATTGACACTGCAGCGTCGCCGTCCCGCATCAGAAACGCCAATCCATCCAAGGGTGCCCGTCACACGCCGTCCCAGCCCGTCGTTTCTCGAATCCACACCTAGCGTTCGTGTGAGGCTTGTGTCGTGTGGCTCGTCGCCTTGTGTGGCTTGTTACTGCGCTCTGACACGTCCCGCGTTGGAGAGCGGTAATTTACTCTCAGAAAGGGTTATCCCCACCCTCGCTATGCCTCGTTCGAGGAACCCATACGCCGCGGACCTACGCTATGTGCTGGCTCTGTGATGCGGAATGACATCTGCCATACTTGGTATCGCCAAAGCTCATTTCCATCCAACGTCCCGATACAGCACTAATGCCCTTGCCGTCTGCACTGCTCTCGCGGCAAGTTCCCTAAGAAGAACACGACCCTGGCGCTCGCCATTTTCATTACGCTCCGGCGGATTCTCCCTCCCACCCCTGCGTTTGGATATCAGAGGAGTGGCTGCTGCACCCCGCCAATAATGCATCGCAGATAGACTTCCTCGCTATGTAGCCAATCCCACCATCAACCGTTGGCGCGTATCGCTAGCACTCACCAAGTCGCCCGTTGCACACCTGCGGTAGTCAGAGTTTAATTCCCATCAGTCGTAGGTACGTCGAACCGAGATTAAGGGAGTTGTTAGCGGGCGCCTTCCCGAAAACAGCTGCCAGCATGCTGTTTGAATTGATCAACGGCTGTCGTCATTGTCACGGTACATGTACATTGCTGATAGAGAGGACTCGGATCGAATGAGAAAGCAGCCGCAGGAGGATTTTCTGCTATCCACCGGTGCGACGAACCACACCGCTGGCTATTGCAGGGTTCGTTCGCCCAATTGCAAGGGTGATAGAAATCGCATCAGAGGTTTCCGGTCGAGTTCGCCGGCAGGATCGGAGAAAGCGACTTGTGGAGCAGTGATTTCCGTATCGGGACTAAGTGTGGCGATAGATCCAGGCCCAGTTGAGGAGTGATTAACCAAAGGGACGCGTCGCGGACATGGTGTAACGTTTGTGATTGACAGTGCGTCAAGGGTCTGCAGTTAGCGCATTTATGACGCCACTTACTGTGGCGAGTGCGGTGTGGCTGTGTATCATCATGCAGACGTCGACTATCTCCCACATCACTACTAAATAAAGGGACGCGTACTCCTGCAGAAAAGAAGGTACTAGACCTGTAGATCATAAAGGAAGGTACTAGATCTGTAGATCATAAAAGGCAAAGCCCTATGACGGAGTTTGTTCTGGAGAGGATCTAGTCGCCGGCGCCAGCTCCTGGATGATGCATTAGACGTTATGAGAAGAGTATCACAATCGCTGGATAGGCTCGATCAAAGAGCTCCATTGCATGGAAAGAGGGCTATGTTCTCAACGTCACCTTTGCGAACGCCAATCATATGAACTAGATCAGCGACTCCAGAATGATCATGATTTGTGCATAGTCGCATTATAATCTTGCATCAATACGTGGACGTAACATGTGAGTGAAGTCGAGCCCAGACTCTTACTTAGCCAGACCAGCTTCGGCATTCAGAACGACGGGCCACTTGAGATTGTGGACTGAGAATGAGATCATACAACTGTGAATTTGTGAAGCCCATCCAATCAGAATGATCATTGACGTCCTACCTGTTTCGATCTGAGCCAGGCGTCTCAGTGAAACATCCGAGCGACCTCTGATATCTACTATGTGTAGTCCATACTTGTACCAGTTTGCTGTTGCTCAAACTATCTATGCGAGAAGAAGACCATGATATGTCAATCATGCTTGGTGAAACTTATATGATCACTCGTAGGATTCGTTGTTCTCAGATTTGACCAGACACATACTGCGAGTCTGGCGAGCAGGCGATCCAACGATGGATGGTCCTGTGCTGCTCTGCGTAGGACTGCCGCCCCCAAGTGCTGCCGATTGGTCGGCATGCTCTTTCGCCTTGGGGATAGCACTGTTGTGAACTCGAAGTTTGTGTGATTGACCCTTAGACGCCAATGGAGACTCTGCCGTGCGCAAATCATGAATCGAGCTACACCTGCTCTTACTTGGTTGTAGGTTTCCGCTGGAACTGTTTCGAAAGGCGGTTAGGATGCTGGAGCGCGAGTCGCGACGAAGGTCTTGATTGGATCTGAGAAAGACAGACTGTAGACTCGAGGCGGAGTTCTCGCGACGCACCCGTCCCATTGGGCTTGGAATCTTCGATGGCTTTTGTACATCCGAGTGTAGAGTTTGTGGGGAACGATTCAGTTCTTCTAGTTGGGACTCGAGTATGGGAATGCGAGAACTGACTGAAGGTTGACACTCCGATTCTGAAGAATCATCACAAGAATGACCCATATCGTATGAATGACGTTTCTCTTCGAGTGCCTGAATCCAATCGTCACCAGGCTCAAAAGAAAAGTGACGACGGTGTTTCTGGTCGGATCCCAGTTGTGGCTGGGATTGAAGCCTTCTCAGAGTGGGCGTTGATGTTAAGGTCTCCTCGATAGAAGACAACCTGCAAGCACGGTTGTCCTCCAATGGAGATGATTGTAGCTGTTTTTCTTTGCATGCATCTTCATCGAGGCGTTCGTTGCAGTCTACAACATCAGTTTCTGCGAACAGCTTCATAAGACCGTTAACGAAAACATCGACTTTCAGGCCTTTTCGGAGTGCGACAAGCTTGCCAAGATCTCGGAGTTCTACGAGTGCCTCACACTCAGCTGCCAAATTGATCGGTGCCGTTGTGTGCGCTGCGATCTCGTCTGGCAACGGATCGCCCGTACCCGAGAAACTAGAGTTCACGGAGTCGGAGGCAGGATGCGAAGTTTCAATTTGACCCATCACATCTGAATTCACCTCATTCTGAACCTTACGAGACAGAGTCGTTCGTCTGTTTATGCTGGGTGGAGCACCGATGAGCAGATCCGTTGGTCCAGCTGTGAATTGCTTAGACAAAGCAGTCATGGTTGCAGAGGGTGATTTAGGACGTTGAAGACGGGCTAAACTTGATGCATCAGCTTGGTTTAGTTACCCCTTCTAGTTCTTTGAAAGTACCTCGTTGGATTGTGAACCTGAGCTGTTCATCTATCTGCTCATGAGACAAGGCTTCGAGCGTTGGTGGGAGCCTATCAGTCTCAACGGTCTTTCGCTGAGAATTTGTCTTGATTTCCTGCCCATCCTTCAAGCTTCTGGTAATTGGTCAATATAGAAAGGATAGAGTCGCTACGTAAAAACTCACTTAGTCACATCATTCGTGCCTTGGGCCAAGAGCATTCTGAGACGATGAACGTCAGCTTCATATCGACGCTGAGAAGCAGCCCACTGCTGCTCTTCTATTGTCCAATCTTTGCACATCTTCTCGAATAATATTTCTAGTTGCTCCTTCTCATTCTTGGAATTGCGGTAGTCTTCAAAAATCCTAAACAAACCACAGTGATAGTCCAATGGGATAGGCTTCGATGACTGGCTAAGCATGTACGAGCGGATGGACTGTAGAGCACCCAGTGGATCAACAGTAGGTTGATAAGGTGGCGGCGCGTATTCGCTCCATGGCTCGGTGAACTCCGATTCTCTCGACGTCTCCTTGAAGTTGTTGAATAGAGTGGTGTACCGCGAAGCGTTAGGTCTGGAGTTCCAGCCAGGCGTTGCTGCACCTGAGCGATCACTTCGTGCATCCATTTCGGAACGATCGCCCCGATCCTCTACCACGGGTGTAGTCGGTGCTATACTAACCGGAGTTGCGCTTGCTGGAGTTGTGCTCACTGGAGTTGCAGGCCGACTTCCTTGTACCGCGATTCGCCATCCATGATGACGGCGACGGTCACTCGCATCTTCAGAAACTGTTGCAAGATCATCGGCACTGATCTTCAACGGAGGAGGAGCATCTTTTGGTTTGCTGTGAATCTTCCTGTGCCAGTTGACGCCTATATTGGTGGGCATGGTGTCGCTTCTACGCCTCAGCGTCAGATGCGGTCCAGCTAAAGCGATCGCGTGGTAGTGATTTAAGTCCATTGTTTTGTAGTGCGTCGTGATTGCCAAAGTGTGAGAAAGTGTGGTTTCCCCGAGCAAGGAGGAGGTACTAGGGAAGGTGCGAGCGAGCGTAACTTTCGCGTCACCCCAGAAATTTCCACCTTCACTTGTGATTATGTCGTCTGCCAAGAAACGACGTAACACTGCACTGGACATTCACCAACGTCCTTGTGAACTTCGAGATGATACCTTTGGACTGTTTCACAACTGCTCTACCCACCGTTTTCAGGGTCTTGTGGATGGACGTGTCCTTCTCCTGTCTCTAAAAGAACAAGTGCCATTTCTCATATCAGCAGCATGGCTAATACTCTTCACTGCCTCTTACTTACGACACAGAGTCATAGTGGTTGGGCTTAGTAGCCACTCACACAGCCACTCGTGGAAACAAATGCTTTGGTAAACTAAAAGGGCAATAGTGAAATGAATTGGGGAGGTGACTAATCTCAACTCTGATTACAGTGACGCAGGTCATGGCCAGTCGAGGGCACTACTGTACAGACCGCTAAGGCTGAATAGGGTACGTACGCACAACTGCTTCTTCTCCCGTCCTAGCAGCCAGCTTGTCCATCTCACCGACAAGCAACAGATCACATTCAACAGCTGCGACCTAACAGTACATCCCATATATCATCACTAGCCTAAACCCCAAGCCTGGATGCCAGTGATCAGCCATTGCCGCGCTGCAAGGGGTTACGGAAGCCCATATCGTGAAAGGAGACATGGACATGTTGAGCTGGAAATACCAAATACTAAGTATGGGGCGCTGGGGGTCGATAAGCCCAAGTAGGATGGCTGAGAGAGAGGGATATATATGCACAAAAACGTCCATATGGTCAACCTAGCCAAAATACCGTTCTGTACCGTTGATGGCATGCGACATCTCCAGTATACTGCCCATCCGATACAGAAATAAGGAGAGATGAGAAGGTCGTTCTTGCCAGAATATACTAGCTCACAACACGATGCGGGTTAGACTTAGGTTACACTTCAACTAGGTTCCATCATCTACTTCTGTTCGTCAGTTCATCTCTACCCCACGGAGCTTCACTGTGGCAGTCTTTTGTATAGTGACAATAAATTACGACGAATCATCAGAGTGGATTACTCGTTATTTCCAAGAACGCTTGAGAGCATGGAGAAGCCTCGTTAAAATAGCTGTGTAGTTACGTACAAGCCTTGCCTTCTTCTATGTAGCAGACCATGTCCAGTTTCCTCGGTCCTCCTATAAAGTGGATAGGGAAGTATAGACCGGGTTCCGCTCAAAAGCAGTACGCCATCTTAGCTTTGAGAGTTTCAGTCTACATATATTAGCTACAGTCATCAAGTGAATGAGAGAGAGCAGCCAATATTTGGTTATAGTATCCCCGCTGATGAGATGAGCATGCTTATGTCGTCCAGGTATGATTGCATTTCATCCGTTGAAGTTTAATCAACAATGCCTACTCTCTAGACGATTTGGATGTCGGAGAATTCATGCAGCTGCAGTGTTTGCGTCTTCCTTCTCTCACACCGTAATTCGGTTGAACGCAACAAGGATGATAACATAGGTATGATTGACCCCAATAGAATACAAGGTGCTTATGTACAACGTACACTTAAAATCAATTTATACATCCACCTTGTCTACTCGACGGTTATTGCCGCGCTCATCCAAGTCTAGCGTTGATCTTGTGTTGAGCGTTGTCCGGGTTTCCTTGTCAAGACCCGCTCCGTCGTACATCCTGATTGTACATCACGACTCTACACTGCTCTAGGTTGTTTCGATATGATCAGGCCGCGTATGTCTTCTTCCCTTAATTGTATCCGTGTATTGCGCAATCGTATGCAGCCTCGTCACCACATGGGCAAAAGCTTGGCTAAAGCCACAAAGCTTGTCATGTATCTTGCTAAGATGATGCGGCCTGGTTGAAACTTCAAGACTTTATATATCTTCGATGCCCTGAAGTGTTTCGTTTCATTATCAATTCCCTTCGCTATCTATCCTCTCGTTCGTCTACACTTGCTAGATCTATCTTTGAAAATTTGTTTGCTCGTTTTTAGAGCCCCATACTTGACCAACATGAAAACCGATCTTTGGCTTCTGGCCGCTCTTTACTTCGGTGGTGCTGTTGATGCTGCCATATCTTCCAACTACACTGAAGCTCTCTTGAGCTCCGGCACCGGTATGTAACTCTCAACAAACGCAGTCTATCACTAACACGTTCAAGTCAAGCTTGGTGACTGGCAAGATGCATACGACAAGGCCTCGCAGTTTGTCAGTTCTCTGTCGACAACGGACAAAATTTCCATCATTACTGGAGGAAGTGCCGGAAACTTCTCGGGTTTAGTTACTCTCGACTCATCTTCAAACCCTATCGACTACTACTTCGTTACCGCATGGCCTGCTGGACTCGCAATGTCGATGACTTGGGACAAGGACGCAATCACCGGACAAGGAAAAGCCCTCGGTGCCGAATTCAAGGGCAAGGGCGTCAACGTCGCATTCGCCCCCACTGTCCAGCCTCTGGGACGCTCCGCATGGGCAGGTCGTACTGGCGAGACCTATGGCCCTGATTCGTTCTTGGCTGGTATCATGAGCGGCGCTATGGCCAAAGGTATGGCGATGTCGGGTGTTACACCCAGCGCGAAGCATTATATCCTCAACGAGCAAGAGACCAATCGACAGGGTTCAACCACCGGCGGCGGAGGCGGCGGCGGCGGTGGAATGCCTGGAGGAGACCCCACTACCAATGGAACGGATGGTGGCATGCCTTCCATAAGACGTCGTCAAAACTCTGGAAACACGACGTCGTCTTCGAGTGAGGCGTACAGCGCAGTGGTTGACGACAAAACTTTCCATGAGACCTACCTCGCGCCGTTTTACGATACTGTGAAGGCTGGAGTCGGTGGTGTTATGTGCTCTATGCAACGCATCAATGGCTCGTACGGTTGCGAAAACCAAGACACGCTGGGACGATACCTCAAGGTGGAGCTTGGATTTCCTGGGTAAGTCCTACAGTCCTTGTGCTTTAGAAAGATTTCTAACTTCAGTCAGATTTGTCCACCCAGATGCAGGCGCCCAACACACAGACTTCGACTCTGCGAATGCCGGTCTCGACTATGGTTCGTCATCTTACTGGAGCAACTCTACTCTCATCGCGGGAATTGCGAATGGAACGTTCACCGAGGCCCGCCTGGATGACATGGCTACCCGCGTCCTAATCTCATATTTCCGTCAAAGTCAAGAGAGCTACCCAGCTCACGCCGGATTTACCGATGATGTTGATGTACGACAGAACCATAGCGCTCTGGCCCGCACTTACGCAGCAAATTCCATCGCACTGCTGAAGAACACCAACAACGCACTCCCCCTCAAGAACCGACGCTCAATTTCTATCTTTGGTATCCATGCTGCTCCACGATACGTAGGACCTAACACTGCTCTATCAGTTATGTCTGGCGTAGGACCCACAATGGACGGTCATATGACACAGGTCGGCGGCAGCGCAATGAGCTCAGCGGCTTTCATCGTCACCCCAGTCCACGCTTTTGTTGAGCGCGCCATGAAAGACGGCTTTATGCTGCGATGGTGGCTCAACGATACTGTTACCACAAGCCAAAGCGGTATGATGGTCAGCAACGGCGCAGGTACCGAGCTTGTTGAGACCACTGTCGGCGTTACGGCAAACTCAGACGCGTGCGTTGTGTTTTTGAATGCTTGGTCAGGAGAGGGCGGTGACAGGAGCGAGTTGGCGAACGCCGACCAAGATTAGTAAGTTCCACGTTCCTTTTGCTTCGATGAATGAACGGCTGACAGGACATGTAGTCTTGTGAACACTGTCGCGGACAACTGCAACAACACCATCGTAGTTGTTAACACCAATGGTCCCCGCCTTCTCGACCAATGGGCCACTCACGAGAACGTCACTGGTATTCTGTACGGCGGACCTCTCGGCCAGTCATCCGGTCATGCGATCAACGATATTCTCTTCGGCGACGTGAATCCCTCTGGAAAGTTGGTACACACCATTGCGAAGAACGAGTCGGATTATGATTCTGGCACGGCCATCAGCGAGGAATCTGAGATCCAGTTCACGGAAGGCAACTTCATCGATTACAAATACTTTGACCAAAAGAACATCACACCACGATACGAATTCGGCTATGGACTCTCGTACACAACCTTCGACTATGGTGACAGTGTCGAAATCTCTCCCGATACTGAGAAATTATCTAGCGAATATGCTACCGGTTCACTCGCCGTCGGCGGTCGTGAGGACCTCTGGGACATCGTAGCGGAGGCCAGCATCAGCCTGACGAATTCCGGCGATATCGCCGGTGCTGAAATTGCGCAACTATACGTCGAATTCCCATCTGCGGCCGACGAACCCATAAGGCAGTTGCGCGGTTTCCAGAAGGTGATGATTGAGGCTGGTAGCACGGAGAAGGCAACCTTCCAGCTGAGACGTCGTGACTTGAGCATCTGGGACGTTGAGACGCAGGAGTGGGCGATCGTCAGAGGTGATTACATTTTACATGTTGGCGCCAGTAGCAGAGACCTGAAAGTCTCGGGTACGATAACTGTCTGAGTACCGGGATTTTCTCGGTGGACCTTAATGGTACATCCTTGTCATAGATTGAATAGCTTTATCGGGGGTTGAATATGTTGTGCGCGTTCTGTAACCGGGGTTCGATGACGTTTTGCTCTTACATCTCACTAAATTTTATCCATTTTCTTCTTGTGAATGGGAACTCTCGGGAGTAAATTCGGCTAATGAATGTACGAGAAGTGGACAGGGGATTGAGAGATTCTTGCACAACGTTCGCTCATGATCTACAGCAACAGTGTTATAGATCTGCAGAGGGTTGAGGCCGCGTCACCGTACGCGTTACCTCGCTCACAACAACCAAGAAAAGAACACTCATCAGCTCAAAGAAGTATTGAGCGCACAAAGTTCATTCAGTTAACGAGGAGGGAGGAGATAGGCATCCGTAGAAGAGTTGCTTTAGAAGTGACGTTGAGACAGAAGTAACATCCTATCCAAATGCGGCTAGAGGGACAACCAATCTCTTTCCTATCTTCCAACGACGCGTCGCAACTTCTTCTGCCTCTCGGCACTTCATACTATTTACCGGCACTGTCTTCGGATGTTTTCTTTGCCGAAAAGTAGTCCTCAAAGTCCAATCAACAATTCACATATTCATGGGCGCTACAACGATGAAAATAACGCGTTTCGCCTTGGTCTGAGCGCTGTCTCATCACGAACCACAGGGCATGTCCTCAGCGCCTGGAAAGCCTACGAATATCATTTCGTGCAGGGCAAGACAGGATAGCTGAGAGCTCTTCCATAGCCACTACTAACGCCCATGTCGGAGCCGTTTCTCCGTCGAATTCTGATCGCCATACTATTCTAAACACGGCCTTGTCTCTCCACTCCAGGATGCGCATCTCACTCGCTCTTAGATCGATCCGAGGCCCTTCCAACATGCTGTGATACACGTCAGATCGCATCTGAAACGTCGACGACACCTGCCACTCGTTCCCGAACGACGGGCAACATATCGCTCCCCAGCGCAACGTCAAGTTCTCGCAGGGCTGCAGTTTCACACCCAAGCTGCAACGCATGAAGAGTCGCGAATCGATCTTTTGGCCTGGTCCCTCTATGGACAGAACGGTAAAGTATCTTGACGCCTAGTCAGGCTGGAAAGTTATTCATTTCAATCGTCATTCTCCAAGTCATATTCAAATATATCTATCACCTCTCTTCATCGTCTCGTAATTCACATACACTCCCTTGGCCATCAGATATCAATCAAGTTAATCCATCCTTTTCAACACTCATACTCCATTTCACAAACCATCCCAGCAAAAATGCAGATCACCACCATCCTCACCGCCATCTTCTCCCTCGCTGCTTTTGCCGTCGCCGCCCCTATCGAGAACAAGGGTATGCTCGGACCATCACGTCTCGGTAGTTACAAAAGGCTGTTCTAACGCGATCACAGCGGAGGTGGTAGCACGCCTGAACCACGGCGAATGCGTAAAATCTGATGCCGGCCAGATCACGCCGATCCCCAACTGCTAGACATTTCTGACTCGCAATGGGCGGGGACAGTTTGTATTGTCACGGGGGACAGTAGAGGGGGATTGTGGATTATGTGTGATCGACGGAACACGAGAGAATTGGAACGGATATCAGACGACAGAGAATGCACATCGTACATGACGAACACAAGGCGGAACGAACAGCATGCAGCGCATACTACAGAAATTACATGACGGATATTGTAAGACAACGTATATCAGACAGCGAACAAAGGCTAGCACTTTGGTAAAGGACGTAATGAGGTACATATTCAGTATGATAGGTAGAACAGGCCTTATTTCTTATTTCTTATTTCAACAAGTCCAGCAAGACAATCATCGATCAATACATTGTGAGAACGACATGCCCTAATCCTCCCCTCTCCTCATCAGTCTTTGTCCCGCGTCTCCTATTCAGACATCATTGTGCCACCTCACTTCGACACCGACACCAATATCCTTGTCCTGACCCCCCTCAGCCACTCAACCTTCATCTCCAAGAACATTCACGCCCACATTCCTTCCTCTCTCACTCACACCACCCCACCATGAACGAACCAACCCTAACACTACAAATCCCCTTCATCCTCCTCGGCCGCAAAGACCTCGAGCTCTGGGGCCCTGAAGACCAACACACCCGCCCACTCCGCACCGTCTACGACGCTCTCGTGCAGTTCTGCCCTGACGTACCAGTGCGATCATGGGCCCCCGACGACACCTTCTCAGCAGAACCGCATAGCACCACCGATAACGACTCGCCGACGGACTCAGAGCGCGCGAGGACCCACGAAAAGCACCTCGCCGACTGGTCGACGCTCGAAAACGGGAGTGCATGGGTTCTGCGTCGCGCTCCCACCACGACGAATCTCGACCACGAACCACGGGGCGTGAATATCGGCGTCCTACCCGGCTGGCGCGATGGCGATGCGAGGCTCGATTTCGACGAGAAGGCGCGTCTGGGTGGGAAGGTCTGGTCGTGTGCGCTTCTCCTGCAGCGCTTCAACATCCCGCTTCACACCTCCACAGCCACATTCCGCGCCTTCGCAACACAGACGCAGAAGCTGTGTTCTGCGCTACACGTCCTGGGGACGTGGTCTGGGCCTGCACCGCGAGGAAGCGGGGCGTGTAGATGGTTCAGCGTGGTCACGACGTCGACGTGCTGGATGAATGTTTCTGCAGTATCTCGCGGGGTGGAAACAGCGCGGTCCCGTCAGCATTATCGAGACGTACACGCAAATCCAGGCTTCGAGATAACTGTACTGAGGAAACTGCTCGTTGTGCTCGCGGCATTCGAGGCACCGCTTGCTATGCTGTCGACGCCCACTGCGCAGCTTGCGTTCTGGCCCCTGAGCCGCTTCCTCGAGTACCGCCGCATCCGCGCGCTGGGCCGTGAGAAAGCGGGGCTGTGGAGGGGGCTGGCAGGGAGGAAGCATCTCACTGACTGCCGGAGAGATGACATGCACCGGCAAGACAAATCCGCGTGGGTAGGCGACTTAGGTGCGGCGGAGGAGGCGAGTCTGCGGACAAGAGGGCGGGAGAGAACGGCGTGGGATGTGATTGTCGATGCGGATGGTATGCAAATCGAGCAGTTGGTCGGCGAGATGACGAGGTTTGAGGATAGGGGGAGGAGGCTGGGCGTAGGTTTCTGGTCGGCGACGAGGGAGCGCACAGTGTCGAGTATCTCGTTCGCTTCACGTCAGAGTACGTTAGATTTTGAGGAGATTGTCGCGTATACGTCGCTCATCGCGGCGATGCTATTTCTCGCGCATACAGTGTCGTGCGACGAGCTGATCGCCAGGATAGAAAGGTTTCACGCTCGGGGGTGCGCGCCGCTGGACGGGTTGGGAGATTTACTCTCGGCTGTGCTGGAGGTGCCGGAGAGTGCAAAGTCGTTCTGGATGGAATATTTGAGCCCATACTACACTGCGAGTTCGGCGGTAATGAATCCAAAGAATCCTCCTGTTAACCCCGCTCAACGTCCCTTGCGCAACGACCCCTTTGCTCCCCTTGAGTCTTACATCCACACTACGCTTGCCAACGAACTCGAATATATGCCAACGTTTATACACCGGTACGCTCGCGCTGGCGGTTTCGCGCCTACCCCTGGTATAAAAGCCTATTGTCTGTTGCTCGCGGAGGAGCGAGCACGGGAGCGTAAAGACGGGAGAAATAGGAGGGCGAAAGGGTGCCTGGGTGATGTGAAGGAGGCAAGAGTGCGGGATGCCGCGGGGTGTATTTTGCCAACTGAAGAGAGTGAGGAGGAGAGACGGGACAGGGTGGGAAAGGAGAAGGACAGTGGTGAGGAAGTAAGAAGATGGGTCGTAGAGCAAGGCTCGCAAGGAGTGTTGTTGTAATGTGTGGTAATCATAACTTTCAAGTTCTTGCTAGTCAAAGAGTCAGGGAAGACATGTAGGAGGTGGTGTCCGTGTTGTTGAGTGTAGAGCGGCGCCGAAGCGCGCTTTTGTTATTCAGACCATGTGTCTGTGATTAACGCCGTCACAGATACATAAGTGAGTATTTCGCCAGCTATGATACACGGCCTTTATGGCCCCAAACTTTTTGGGATATAGAATACATTACGATATGGTACAAGAGAGGCGTCATGAATCGTCAATAGCAATCATAAGCTTACTCAATGAACGTCTTGACGTCTGCGAAGAGTTAGCGCACGGTCGGTTAATGGTTGTCATGGGTGACTCACTGTTCAACCACCTGATGTACTCCTTCTGCTCCTTGTGGTCTATGTAGTCGGGGATGAACAGCGCCAGACGCGTGTTGATGCCTCGCTCCTCCAGGTACTTCTCGAGCAGGATCTGCAGGTCCTCGTCCAGGTTGTTGAAGGGAGGGCCGGTGTACAGCGTCCGCCTCGACCAGTCCTTCTCAGCGGTGGCGGGGTCGGCCAGGTCGGCCGAGGGGAAGTAGTAGAGGTCCTCGATCAGGAAGTCGCCGTCCTGGGCAGTGGCCTCGATGGCAAGAGCGCCCTTGCCGGGACGCTCAATGCGGATGCTAGCGTGAGCGGGGAAGCCCTGCGCATTGCTCTCGTCGTCATATTCCTCGTCGAGCTCTTCGCGGTCGGCGGGCGTGACGTGCTCCTCGGGCGCGACGCGGACGTTTCCATCCTGTGTCCTGCCCTTGCCAACGGAGCCCTTTGTGTTTGCGCCGCCGGACTGCGTCTCCATGTCAACGTCCTCGTCGTACATGGCGCTGTCCTCGACAAGGTCCTCGGCCTGGGCGTTGCTGTTGAGGTCGGCTGTGGTGAAGGTGATGCGGATATTCTCGTCGTTGAAGGTGCGCGTCAGGACGACTTCCTGGTTGCCCTCCTTGTCCTCGAGCTGCGGGCGTGTTAGCGGGTGTGTTCTATATATCACATCCAACACATGGTCATACCTCAAAAGCGCTGTTCTCAAGGTATTCCTTGATGTTCGCCGACAGGTCCTCGTCCTCTTTCATGTCCTGCTCCATGGAGATTTCGCTCTGGAGCTTGGCAACGAGCTCATCGCTGACCCCGCTGCTCTCCTGTTTCCTGGCCGCTGAGATGTGGAAGGCGGCCGTGAGTCTGGGGACTGCCTGCGCCCATGATGGCTGGAAGGCGGCCGTTTGTCTGAGGAGGGCGGGCTGCGGGCGCACAGTCTTGGACGAGAGGCGGGCAGCAGAGCGAGGGGCAGTGCGGGCGAGATTCCGTAGAGCGAGCATATTGTCTACAATTGCGGGTTGTCTAATTGAAAATTGAAATGCAAATAAAAAGTGACGATAGATTGCTAACTGAGCTGCCAGAAGCGAAGCTTTCCTAACTTTTCGAAGCAATCATCACGTGAATTTGCACCGCGGCGCTTTTTGCTTTCGTGACGCCGACCAAATTCACGTCACTGCCGTTATCGGCTCGCGACGCCAGTCATTTGTTCTGCATAGCTTTTGCTCAAAACACAGCGCCCATAGTTTTGTTACAGCATTAGCAATCGCAAAACATCTCCAAGGCGCGTTGCGTTCTGCATCGTTGATCCCTCTCCTACTCTCGACGTCATAGTTCATCGAACAGGCGCACCATTTGACTGTCCTTCTGAAAGCTTCATTCGTCATGGCTACCGCAACGACAGAAAAGAAAAAGGTAGAAAAAATATGTACCAACATCTGAGACAGTAATTGACTCGGTGTAGCCGACTGCTCTGCGGTCCATTATCGCCGGCGCAACCGCAGGAGCTGTGGAAATATGTAAATGACTCTTGCCTCTTTTCTTCCGAGCTTTCACTGACCCTAACTTACAGCCATCACATATCCCGCTGAGTGTATGCAATCGCGCCATCCTGCCTCACAAATGTCATACCTGACCTATTGATAGTCGCAAAGACAAGATCGCAGCTCAACAAGAGATTAGCCGATGGAAAGAAGCTGCCATGGCCGCCGTTTGGCAAGCAGTGGTATGCTGGATGCACTACGCTCATAATTGGAAACTCACTTAAGGCTGGCATCAGTATGTTGACTTAGATCAATCATATCAAAGCTGCAAGCTCACCGAATGCGCAGGATTCGTCGCATTCGACATGTACAAGGACATGCTAGCAGACGCAGAAGGCAAAATCTCGGGCCCAGCAACAGTCATAGCAGGATTCGGTGCTGGAGCTACCGAATCACTATTGGCAGTGACACCATTTGAGAGTATAAAGACACAAATGTGCGCTCTCATGTCTATTTGTCTTAAGCATATCTAACAAATCCTCCAGAATCGACGATCGCAAAGCTGCAAATCCACGCATGAGAGGTTTCCTTCACGGCACGAAAATCATCGCACAGGAAAAGGGTATACGGGGCTTCTTCCAGGGATTTGTCCCAACAACAGCACGACAGGCCGCCAACTCAGCAGTCCGGTTCTCGAGTTACACGTCACTCAAACAACTAGCACAGTCATATGTCACACCAGGCGAGAAGCTTGGAGCCATGAGCACGTTTGGTCTTGGAGGTCTTGCTGGCATTATAACCGTCTACACGACCATGCCCATCGACACAGTCAAGACACGGATGCAGTCAATAGAAGCAAGAAGCTTGTACAAGAACAGTTTGGACTGTGTGGTCAAAATTTTCAAAGAGGAGGGTGTTCTTACCTTCTGGTCTGGTGCTGTGCCGCGACTGGGCCGACTTATACTTAGCGGTGGTATCGTCTTCACCATGTAAGTTTATCCTGTCTGTCATGCTCGGGAAATGCTCACAATTTTCAGGTACGAGAAGTCGATGGAATTCATGGACAAGCTCGATCCCCAGGGAAGATACATTTGAACGTTATCATACTACCGGATCGACATTCAACTCAAGAACGACCGTTCGGCTTGAGAGTAGGGCTTCTCTGCTGAAGAAACTCGGCAAACAGACGCGAACAACTCGAACGAACGCTTGAATTATATACAACGTACAGAGCAGGGAATCTTGAAGACTCTATCGAGCTCGATAGAACCCAAATCGCAGAGCAATAGCGAAAGCAACAATAACAGTAACCGAAATCTTACATACCACTTCTCCATCAAGCAGACTAGCAGACTTTGTTGCGATATATTGTTCGCGAAGACTTACGCTGCCAGAATCGACGAAGGTCCCCAAGAAGTTGCACTTACTTTATATTGTTGCCCAAATATCTCTACAGCATTAACAACACGCTTCCGATGCTCGACCCACTCCCACTACACATGCTCATTCACCCAGTTTTCTTCATCTCCATCTACCTCTTTCCTAGCGTGCTCTTCAAAATCCTCGCTGTCATATCCTCCTGATGTTTCAGTTCCTCGTATAACAAATCCGCGATAGCCCGATAGTGATTGAGCCAATGGACAAGAGTTTTGGACGAACACCAAAGTTTAAAGGTGAGTCCAAACGTCAGAATGTCGACATACTGACATTGTATGATTGGTTGATTACCGGACCGAAGCTCCAGGCGTTTAGGTACTGAATGATGAGGTATTCTCCTCAATTCTGTCATGCTCCGAGGAGCCAATTGTCAACGTGGCGTAGTTACTGAGCCATTGTGACTTTAGCGTATCTCTGGGGGGTCTTGACAACGAAGAAAAGACCGGAGAAAACAAATCAGGAGATGCTCAAGATCGGCATGTCGGAGGATTGTTAATGATCTTGGGAACGAAAGAAAAAGAAGGAGCAAGAACCCACAGCCAAGCTGTCACTACGCCTTGCCAGTGGAACGGTGAGGCGCTGGCGTAGAATTGACTGGTCGGATACTGTCATTCTCGATGAGTCGAGTAAAGTTCAATCACTGCAACTCTATGGACAACACGGCTTAGAGAACCTACCTATACGAAGTTCTATTATCGGTAACGCTACTCTACGGGCCTGAATACCTCGTACTCTGTGGTGTATCGTTCCAGGTGCTCAGCTGAACCTATCTTTGTGCTTGCAGCTCCTGGCATAGCGCCATGCTCTTAGTTGTCCTTCTATTCATAGTGATGGACCCTTCTGCATACCACCCTCAGGTTGAAAGGGTCGATAGTTTCAGGGTCAAGCCTTGGCTAAGCTCCTACGCTAAGCCGATCGACGCAGTCATTCAAGAGTCTCATGATTGCATGGCGTTGCTTGACCCGTTTTATCTAGTTTGTTCCCGCTCTTCTGGCGGCAGCCTTTGACTTGGTGCGAGATTCGCGAGGAGTGTTGATCGGAAAGTTTGAACGCCCTCATTACAGACTACAGCCAAGTTTAGAACTGGAGTGTTCGAGACCCATGGTCATGGGATGGTCCGCGATGCGCTTGCGTCCAACTAACACGGCTGTGCTTAGGTGGAGACACAAGCTTCTTGGCATCCAGGAACGAGCAAGGCCGGACCGCAGCGCGACACTTGCGCTGAATCCTATCGACTTCGAGAATGACCCCACATCCGTTTTACTGCAATTCGCCGTCCGTGGCAGCGCCCTTATCACATCCAGCTCTATGCGCCCCGCTAGATAGGGCCAAATGTCACTTCCCACTTGCCGCGTCTAGACAGGCGCGGAGTGTAGCCCAGGGGGTTCGAATGATACATCAATATAAGCGGTATCTTCGGCTAGTCACTGACTCTCCTATCCTATTTAGGGAAGATATGTATCGTATTGACGGATTGGTGTTCGTGAGCCATGTTATTTGAGTATTGCCTCCTCCTCTCGTTTCTTTTTCCCTCTCACTGCTCTCTCTCTACGTTTCCACGCTGATTCCTCCTTCTAATATTCGTTGTTGTTGTTGTCGCTCACTGCCCTACCCGTAATGCGATCATGATCCCCAAAGGCCTCCGAATTTCTTTCACACATCTTTCATTTTATGTATTTACCCTTGTAATTGTTACGCAGCTATGGTCCATATGGAGACAGTCAACTACGAACTACGTCCCGTACAAGTCGGAAGATTGGGAGTTCAACCCCGATGTACACGCCAACGTGCACACGCTCAGCCACGAGCAATGCGATGTCGCGTTCCCGGAACTGTACTACAGCCTGGACCAGGCAGTGAGCCGGCGGAAAGGACGCAAGGTGCACATCAAGGACATTGAGATCTCCGAGGGCAGATGCATGATGCGGCTCATGATCCATCAGGGCGAGGTATGTGCCGTCTCCACACATGTCTGAGATCCATGCTCACAACAACCGCAGCTTTTCGTCGTCGATTCTGGAAAGCCCGAAGAATGCTATGTCACGAACGGCAACGAACGCGAACGCATCCTCGGAACCCTCGCGCAAATAGATCGAGCCCTCGTGGGATCTCCGCTGTCCGATCCGTCTGTCCCCAATGTCGAATTCTCCATCGCGCTTGACGATCTGCCTCGACGATCCAAGGCTAAAGGCACGTTCTTTGGTTACACACGGAAAGAGGGGCGCGAATACGAAGATATCTGGATCATGCCCAACTTTGGGTTCTGGTCTTGGAACTACACGCATGCGCCTAGCTGGAACAGCATCCGGCGGGAGATCGAGATCCAGGAGGAACAAGTGCCATGGAACAAGAAGGACCCGCGGATAGTGTGGCGGGGCAAGGTCAAAATGGCGACGTTGAGGAAAGAGCTTGTGCGGGTCAGCGAAGGGAAGAGCTGGAGCGACATCAAGCCTGTCGTCATCAATAACTCGACAGACGAGCATACCAAGGACGTCATGAACCTGCGCCAGTTCTGCGGCTACAAATTCACTGTCCAGACTGAAGGCACATCCTACTCTGGCCGTCTGAAGTACCTCCAGCTCTGCCGCTCCGCCCTTGTCACCCACCCGCTCGAGTGGCAGGAGTTTCACACGCATCTGATGCGTCTCGCCGGTCCGGATGTCAACTACATCGAGGCGTCTGAAAACTTCGGGAATCTCGAGTCGGCGATGGAATACTACCGCGACCACGATGATGAAGCGGAGTTGATTGCGAAGAACAGCCACGAGATGTTCGCCCGGAGATATCTGACTCCCGCTGCTGTAAGTCCCCGAACCACGCGATGAGAAAATTCCAAGGCTAATTATTACAGGTTACATGCTACTGGAGACGGCTTTTCTGGTCATGGGCATCAGTGCAAGGCTACGAACCAAAATTGTATTACCCAGATAAGAACGGCGTACTGTCCATGCGAGCAACGCCATGGACAGCATTTGCAGCCAACTGGCCAAAGGACCCCTCGATCATCCCATGAGCGCAGAATCCCGCAGTCCAACCAGGAACATTCCGCCATTGCATAACTCGAATACATGGACTCGTTATCGCAACTGCAGATCGGCCAAGGAATCCGCCCACAATTTCTGGTCGCAGATCATCACGTGTTTACACCCCCTTGAACCGGCCTTGGGTCCGCTCCAACCGCACTCATCTCTCTTCCAAGGCGTGCGTGTGGATACGCACTTCAAAATGAGCCATATCTTGGACGCTTGGATCGCTCGCGGGCTCCCCATCCGACGGTCCAATCTTTGTAAAATGAGAGATCCTTGCCAGCTTAAATAAGACGCCTTCTTGTGAAGATTGCGCGGGAGCGGTGGTGCGCGGAGGATGAAGATATCAGGTCCTTTGAGCTAGGGGGAAGGGATAAAGGGGGGTGTGTGTGGCTCCTAGACGAATAATACGAAGACAAACATGGCTGATAGATGCAAAGGGTCCGGCGAAAACGAGCGACCAAAGTAAACAAAAGCACACTTCAATCGTATGATTCCCACGTTTCCCTAATCTCTATCACACCACCATGTGTATACACTCCATGAGTAGGTGGCCTCGTATTCACTCACGGGCACAATTCAAGCCAGGACACAAAATCCGCAATCGAGAAAAAAGTATGTGGTATTCACAATTTCGATCTACCATAGTAAATACGGATGAAAGAAAAGAAACCCCCATCGAGTCATGGATGCACACTCACTGCATCGACCGCGCCTGCTGCAAATCCTGCTCGTTCAGCTCCCTGAGCTTCCCCGTGTTCGCAACACCACCTGTGACTGCAGCGCCGACGACCTCCTTTGCATAGCCGAGCAGGCCCACCTCGGTCTTGTAGTAGCTCACGTACTTGCTCTTGATCTCAATGAGCGTCATGCGCGGGTCCTCGGGCCCAGCAGTGTGCACGCCGTCGCCCAAATCGCCAAACCAGGCTGCTGCGCCACGGCTCCAGACGTCCTTGATGCGGGGGTCGGAGTTGGAGGTCGTTGTTGCGACGCCGGTGACGCTGACCCAGTCTTGTGTTTTGTTATCTTGGAAGGCGAGCTGGACTTCTTTGTTGGAGTCGAGGTCGGAGAATTTGCTCGAGTGCTTGTTGGAGAGGAAGAGGAAGTCGGGGCCGGTGCGCTTGGCGATTGCCATGGAGCGGCCGACGGGTCCTGGTGTGCTTGGTTAGGGGGTGTTCGATGTTGTTTGAAGGTGGTAGGGTGGGATTGGGGATTGTCACTTACCAACGCCGTTGCGGTATGTGTTCAAGAGGCAGATCTTCTTTCCGTCGACCAACTCGTAGAAGTCCTTGATCTGCTGGTCCTTGGGTGTCTCATTGTCGTACTGCTTAGCGACAGAGGGGTCCATCTTCGAGTCGACCTCTTGTTTTGTGAGTGTGTCCGGCATTCTGAATGTGGTTGTGATAGAGAACTGTCTAGCAGAAGAGAATATGGCCGGTGTAGAACGGATTGAAGATCGAATGCAACGTGTTGGTATGTTACGAGAAGCGGCAGCAGCAGTGCGTACAAGTACCCTTTGAGCAGACATATTCGGTGCAGATAGACGTAACGGTGAGATCAGAGTACAGTTAATCACGGACGAAACGAGCAGATTGGAGCTCCATGTAAGCCACGAGCAAGCAGCATGACGTCTATATCGAGAATGGATGTGCTGTAGCGACTTGTGGTGGAATTGTCTAGGCGTATGGATGACGATGGGACGCGTTCATCGCGTCATATATGCCAAGGGTACGCGCGATTGAAGCTCTAAGCGGGGCCGGAGAGCTACGCGGATTTCTGGCGTGAGAGGTCGTGTATGCAGAGAAAGCAAAGAGTGTCTGTGGTCTCGACCGGTCTGTAGTCTTGGTGCGAAGCCGAGTTATGTTCTACATATTCGCTGTTAAGCTAATTCTCGTTACAATTGCTGTCCTCGACTATCCTTACAACCAGCCACAGTACAGTGCCTGGCGATACCCTCGGTGGTTGAAACTTGCGGCCGCTGTTATGTTTAACCCGAACCCAAAGGCTTACAGCGGTATGTCTAAGACTACAGTTTCAAACAACGAGCATCGCCTTGACATGGCTGAGAGCTCCACTGTCTCGCATATTAGTGGGCTCTTGTTGATGTAGTCCACGTTGCTTCGACATGCACACCTATACGAAATGGATAGACGACATTACAGCGCTGTGTAACTCCAGATTCGGTCAAGCATCTGGTGTGTTGGTGTTGCATGTTCGCTTCGGGGTGGCTGGTTAGAAGTCTGTGCCTTCGTCTTGTCAAGCGACGGCCAACCTCGATCGTCATGCACACCCAACTCCACACCACGCACACCCATGGATCGGTCGCTCCCACTACTTGCACACCCGAATGTGGGTCCGCTGCCGCAGCCACAACAACTAGACTTCGATCTGAGTAACGACTTGCTGGATCAACTGCAGACCGCAAACTCTGGGACTGCAAATGATTCTCCAAGCTACACCTCCGCTCCGCTTCCTGCGTTTGTGTCGGCTGTAAGAACTTCTGGTGTCGACATCGTTTCTCGAAGCAACGACTAACCCTCGCGCTAGGACGACTATCATGAGGGTCTTAAGCAAATAAGAGCACACCTTGGACGCGAGTGTGGCTTTGGAATCGCTATATCGGTATGTGTACGAGCTGTGGAGTGTTTATCTTGATGTATGATCTGTGACAAGACTGTCTGCACGCTCGTCACGTTTGGAAGACCTAGAAGGATGTGTGAATGTACTTTAGGACCTCTGCGAAAAGTCGTCAAGTAGATTGGGCTTCGTATTTTTTGCCCGATAACGAAAACTACAATATGGTCACGCACTACAAGGACTTGTGCTGATGAGAAGCAGCGCACCAAGACTTATTCGTCTACAAAAACGGGCGAGAAGAAAACTACGCAGGTGATGCTGCAATGCGCAAGGTGAGCATGATGAGAAATATACGGACTGGGAATTACTCCCATCTGTTGTAAAGTAACCACAACTAACCTGAACAACGAGTCCAGATCGAAGGAATACAAGACCAAGGCGATGAGACAGAGAGTATATGCAACACGCATGACAGGATGTCCATGGAGAGCAAAAATGACTCCACAGGCAGGAGGTGGCTGGCGAGTAACAAACATTTGTCCAGAGCACAACCACGAGCTCAGTGACCAGCTTGATGATCGAGGCTTGCCGCCGCGTGCTAGAATAGCTCCAGCTAATACCAGAAACATTCATGCAAGACCTGCCGAACATTCGTACACTCCACCTAGCGACCCTCAACCCTTTGTTGCGCCACATGTTGTAGCCCCTGTCACGTCAGCATGGCCAACTGTGACTGCAAGCGGTATCAAGGTAAGCTATCCAGACTGTGTCTTCTCTTGTCACTGACACAGTATCAGCGTGTTGTCGTGACGCTGCAACAAAGACTGCTATCAACATCACGCACTCAATTCCCCATGGACGAGCCCATGTTCCTAGTCTACAACGACAAATTCAACGACATCCTAGGCGGCCGCGCAGACCTCCAGCTAGCCCACCAAGAAGACTTCCCCTTCGCGCACGAAGCCGGCGTATACCTCCCAAAAAGCGACACCTTATACGTAACCAGCAACCAAATCATGCCACCCACAGGACAAGAAAAAACAATCATCATCAGCAAACTAACGCGAAACCTCTACAACCAATGGACCCGACACCAAATCCCCCACGAAATCCGCAACCCAAGCAGCGGCGCGCACTACAACGACGGCCTCCTCGACGGCATCCTCTTCTGCTCACAAGGCGACCTCGACAGCCCCGCCGCCCTCGTCCAGCTCGAGACAGAATACCCCTTCCGCCTACGCCCCCTGCTGAACAGCTTCTTCGGCCGGCGCTTCAACTCGCTCAAAGACATCGCCGTCCACTCCGACGGCACAATCTGGTTCACAGACCCCGTCTACGGCCACGATCAGGGCATCCGGCCCGCCCCCGAACTGCCAAACCAGCTCTACAGATTCGACCCGCACACGGGCGACGTGCGCGTTATGGCTGATGGCTTCGGGCGGCCGAGCGGTATATGTTTCTCGCCGCTCGAGACGGTGTGCTATGTTTCTGATACGGACTTTATCCATGGGGATGGCAATATCGACTTCTCGAGAGTGTCTACCATGTAAGCCTACCCGTTCTCACAAACTCCCCACTCCATATACGGTAAACTAACCCAGGAAGATACGCCTACGATATCGACCACCGCAGCCAATCCGCCTTCCTAACCAACCGCCGCGTCTTCGCCATGGCCGACGTCGGCGTGCCCGACGGCCTCAAGTGCGACGCTGCCGGCAATGTGTATGCGGGCTGCGGCGACGGCCTGAGCGTGTGGAGCCCCGGTGGCGTGCTGCTGGGCAAGGTGCTTGTGCCCGGCGGGCTGGCGAACTTTTCCTTCGGCAGGAAGGGCGAGCTGTTTTTGCTTAATGGGAAGAAGTTTTGGCTGTTGAGTGTTGCGGAGACGGTTAGGGGGGCGTTGGGGGAGGGCGCGGGCGCAAGGGGGAGGGGCGGGGATAGAGAGTAGCGTTGGATATAGATATAGATTTTGCGTGTTGTTGAGATGGGGGGTGTTCCTCGGTCTCGCGATGTTTGGCATATGGTGGCGTGGATGGTCTGCATTGCGGTTTCGTCTTGACTGGCGGATGTGATGAGCCTCCACCTCAGCCATCTCCTTCAGTTCCTTGCACGATAACCACACAGCACTGAAAAACAACACAGTGCACAAACAAGATACTCGAACCAGTACGCTAAGTCATGTATGCACTCATATCGACATCCACATCCACATCCACCTAATCATACACCTTTCCGCCTCCCCACCATTTTATTCCACACATAAATCAGCATGCATTCCAAGACCCCGCATTTACCGAGACTCATCACACGCATACCCAACGCAACGCAATAGATAAAGGTATAGAAGGAGATGACAATGTGTTATTTATCCGAGCAGCATCTTCCTGGGGTCCTCGATGAACTCTTTGATCTTGACGAGGAAGGTGACGGCCTCCCTACCGTCGAGAAGTCGGTGATCGTATGTGAGCGCGAGGTACATCATCTGTGTTATATTAGTGATTGCTTCTTCTTAAAATACAGATGTGAACATCAACTTACCGGCCTGATCTCGACCTTTCCGTTAATGGCAACAGGCTTGTCCTTGATGGCGTGCAGACCCAAGACAGCCGTCTGAGGCAAGTTGATAATGGGCGTGCCCATCAAGCTACCAAACACACCGCCGTTGGAGATAGTGAAAGTACCACCAGCCATGTCCTCGATGGTGAGCTTGCTGTCGCGAGCCTTCTTGCCGAGCTCTGCAATAGCCTTCTCAATGCCAACCAAATCCAGGTTCTCGGTGTTCCTGACAACAGGGGTGACGAGACCCTTCTCCGTGGCGACGGCAACGGAAATGTCGACGTAGTCGCGGTACACGATAGTGTCGCCGCCGTTGGGGCCCTCGATGGACGCGTTGACAGCGGGGATGTCGCGCATGGCGAGGACACAGGCGCGCGAGAAGGCGGACATGAAGCCGAGCTTGACGCCCGTCTTCTTGAGGATCTCGTCCTTGTAGAGCTTGCGGAACTCCATGATGGAGGACATGTCGACCTCGTTGAAGGTGGTAAGGGCCGCGGCTGTGTTCTGGGACTGCTTGAGACGCTCGGAGATGCGGAGACGCATGCGGTTCATCTTGACCTGTATCACACGTTAGCACATGGTTCAGGAAGGAGAAGGTGGGGGTTTCATACGCGACGCTCATCACGGTTGCCGGGTTGAGACTGCTTGGGCTCCTCCTTTGGCGGCGCAGGCTTGGACTCCTTCTTCGGTGGCGCAGGCTTGGACTCTTGCTTGGGGGGTGCGGGCTTGGACTCCTCCTTGGGTGGCTCAGGTTTGGATTCCTCCTTGGGCTTGGCCTGCTCCTGCTCGCCTGAGGGTTGCGACGAAGTCTCCTGTTCCGAGGACGCAGACTCCTTGACCTCGTCCTTGGCATCCTTCGATCCGCCAGATGATGCGCCGCCAGCCTCGAGCCTCACGAGCTCCTGTCCGACTGTGACGGTGTCCTCCTCGTTGACCAGAAACTCCTTGATGGTACCAGCCTCGGGCGCGTTGACGGAGACGTCGATCTTGTCTGTCTCGATGGTGGCAATCTCCTCGTCCTGCTCAACGTAGTCGCCGACCTCTGTTGGTATTTAGGATGGGGTCCCAGACATATGTGACGCCAGACTCACGTTTTGACCACTGCTTCAGCGTGCCTTCTGTGATGGACTCGGCCATCTGCGGCACCTTGACGATGGTATCGGCTGTTTCTGGGGTCAGCATTCAGGTCCGCGGTTGTTGATCTGTGCATACACACCATAGCTGCGTGTCTGCTCGAGGCTCCACAGGCGTTGCGACGGGAGCTGTCCAGGTCGTCTGGGGGGTCGTCAGCGCAGCCCTGCACATAATACACTGGCACTCTTACCTCGAGGCCTGGCTCAACAGCCCAGAAGACGAGGCCTTGGAGACGGCCGAGTAGCTGCGCTGTGCCGGTGTCCTGTTTACAGCCCGGACGCCCGCGCGCATGGCCGGGACAGAGCGCATGGCGGCAGGCAGACGGCGGAGACACTGCTGGCCAGACATGATGGGCAGCAACACGAATATCCAGAGGGAAAATAGAGGGGATGGAGTGCGACGGGGCGGCGCAGGACGGGATTTGAGGGACTTGATCTCGCTCTGACGTCCGCCAACCACCAGCCGGAAATCCGACCGTCCGCCAAGACCGTGCCCTCACAGCTTCCGCTACACGTCCCGCGACGACGACGAAGAGGCATTGCACCAGCTACCCCTTCCACGACCTGCACCACTGGAAGGGCTCACGTCGCCATGAGCTCCCGAATCCAAGTCCTGTGCGTCGCATTCCCCGTGCTGCCCGCTGCGCCCAGAGACTGACCACCGCGCAGACGCCTGTACAGGCGGTCCCTCAAGCTCGCCCTCGACTGGAGCGTCCACCGATACCTCTGGCGCGGCCAGGCCCTGTACATCCGCGGGCTCTTCGAGGCCAAGAGGCACATCACCGAGCCGCGACAGCAGAGGGTGCGTCTACCTATCCATCCATCATCACGACATCACCCAGACACGACACCACAGCACAGCACAGCAATCAAGAATCATACTGATAGCACGCCAGGAACTCATCAAGGAGACCGAGGCTCTGCTCGAGAAGTGGAAGCACCCCGATCCCTACCGCCCACCCACGGCCCCCGGAGGTGAGTTGCCCTCGGATATGTTTCCGCTACGGCCGCGGATGTCGAGTGCTGATGGAAATGCAGGTTCAAAGTTCGAGCGCAACCTGCCCTGCCCCATTTTGGATCGTAAGTCATGCCTTGCTGTTCTTGCTGATGCTGTACTGATAGAATGCAGCTCCTCCCAAGTTGATCTTGTAGACGTGCGGGTATGGAGAGGGGTGCGTAGCGAGAGAGGAGAGTCAACTTGTACATATTTACGTAGGGGAATGGCTGCAATAGACAGCTCAAGAGGAGACCTCGATACATATATCTCGTTTGTTCTGATTCCCCATCAGATCCTCGTTGCTGTTCTGGTTACTTTATCGTTTCGTCTTTTGTTGTATGAGGGCCTTGCACCGTCTCACACTTAATTCTCATAACCAACTCATGGTATTCTACCTAACAGTACGCAAGGAAACTGTCCTCCTTGAGACCAGAGCCACCTAGCCCCTTACCCATCCAAGCATCAATTCACATCCCATCAGCACGCCCATCCCCAGCAGTCCCCCTATCAACAAACACATCAAGACTCACCCACTCCACACAGCCATCCACCTCCCAGCCCTCCATCCATGAAGAAAAAATCCAGCCTAGCGACAAAGACAACCAAAACGAGTTAACAACCACCATATATTCTCCCTACTCTATGTACAACAGGATAATCTCACCCCATCCAACCACCTACCCAACACCAACACCAACAACACCTCTTCTCAACACCGACACCACAAAAAAACTCTTCAACCCTATTCTCCCTCCATCTCCTCCCCATCAACCAGTAAATCCAGCACCTCTCGCACAACGCCATGGCCAAACCCTGCATATACCACATACACCAAAATCACAGATCCCGCAATTTTGATCCGATTGAATTTTTAACACTTCCATAATTTTCAGCGGGTATTATATAGTTGGTATCGTGAATTTCATGTCATTTGATGATGTGGTTGTGGTGTGGGATTTTTTTGTTTGAGTTGGGTGTGTTGGTTTTGGTGGGGAAATTAGTTGATGAAGTGTGGATGTGGTAGATATAACGATATAATTTTCTAACGATGTCAAAAGACACTGGCGTAAATGGAAGAAAAGTAAGTTATGTGTGGGAATTATGTGAATTTATTTATCTTTCTTTTCTGGAGTGTGGTTTGTTGAATCGGAATTAGTGGGTAAGTATAAATGGGGGGTGGTGACTTGACTTGATGGGATGAAATGCGAGTTCAATACATGTACATCAACCGTTTATTTCGCTACAAATAAGTAACGTGTGTTCTTCATAACGGCTACGTTGTTGCTAGTTTAACTTTCACAATTCGTAATCACCGTCGACATTCTCCTCGAATTTACAACGCAACACGGACAGTCCAAGGTCAGAGCATTTCTGCATGCTATCACCATATCATCCATTTCACAGTCTCCAATATTATGATCAAACGCAATATAGTTTTATACGTATATTTCCAATTCCATGCATTTCTGTACATCCGTCACACACATTCCACTCACCCTCAAACCCGACTAATCTAGTCATTTGCGGATCTCCATCTTCGACCATACTATATTTCCACAGCAACCAAACACGCTCAGATCCTCATCTGGTCCAATACTGAACAATTCCAGTAACTCGACGCAAGCGTAAACAAGAGACCAGGAATGTGCCGCTATCTTTTTCCGTCTCAAAAGCGATAATGTCGCGGTATGCAAAATTCCCGTCGCAAAATGGCGGTGTTCGCAGATATCCAGGCGGATCCATGCAGATGCGATTGGGCGGTGTGATGGTCGTGCATCCGAAGCTGCAGATGCAGGTACAACGCGCGTGCTTTCGCAAAGCTCGGCCGAGTTTGTCGCTAATGAATCGGATACGAAGCCTGCAAGTCAGATAATAAAAAATGAGAACGAACGTCACAATGCAAAGTGAAACAACTTGAAGTGATATGCTCGATTCAGCTCATGAGCCTCTGGTCAAACAGATGCGACCAGCTAATATACAGCTCTGGTATAAACCCCTGGAAAAGCCGTGAACCCAAAACCCAGACAGACTCCCATTATCATTGCATGAAAAAACCCTGAAGAAACCACGCCGACGAAGCAAGAACTCAAAAGCAGAAAACGCTTAGAGTTCCTGTGAAGCCTTACCAGGCTTGGCTGTCTTCTTGGGCAGCAGGTCTGGAAAAAAGTGTTAGTGACTGATGCGATGAGAGTGGATGGCAGAAAAAACGTACTCTGGTGAATGTTGGGGAGAACACCACCCTGGGCGATGGTAACGTGTCCGAGCAGCTTGTTCAACTCCTCGTCGTTCCTGATGGCGAGCTGGAGATGGCGGGGAATGATACGGGTCTTCTTGTTGTCGCGCGCAGCGTTGCCAGCCAACTCGAGGATTTCGGCCGCCAGGTACTCAAGAACGGCAGCGAGGTAGACGGGAGCACCGGCACCGACACGCTGGGCGTAGTTGCCCTTGCGGAGAAGACGGTGGACACGACCGACGGGGAAAGCGAGACCAGCCTTGGATGAACGACTGTGATGCGTTAGTGATATGTGACTGGAAAAGACGTGCAAAAACGCGTCAATCGCGACAAAAGACGCGTCATTGAGACAAGAAACGCCCAATGCACAAGATGCGACAAATGCATGCGATGGAAGAGGGAAACTCACGATTGGGCGCTGGACTTGGAGCCGCTGGCCTTGCCTCCGGATTTGCCGCCAGTCATTTTGAAGGTGGGTGGTTGTGGTGGTAAAAGTGGGAGAGGTAGAGGTGTTGAGCTGAGATGTGCTGTTGCTGGTGGTGGGCGTGTGAGAGTGTCGAGACGATGGATTGCTTGCTGCTGTCGGGGGCGGGGGCCGTCTTATAAGGACCAGCGCTGCAGGTTGTGGTGCGCGAGATCAACAGGCTCACTAGCGCGCTTTGGGCAGCGTCGTGCTGCGCGCAACGCAAGATCACATTCGACTCGCTTAGCCACCCAAACCGGCAGCGACGGGCGCACGGGCCCGCCAGCGCTGCTGGATCACAACATGGAGCGCGCTCCCCATAAGTAGTGCGTCCCCCGCCGTCGACGACCTTTCTCTCATCTACTCGACATCTCACTCACACCCGCGCTCTCCATCCAACCTGCCCATTTCCACTCACCACTCCAACACTTCAACTTTACCACCACACCAACCTCACAATGCCCCCCAAGGCCGCCCAGAAGACCCCCCAGACCGGCGGCAAGGCCCCGGCTGGCAAGGCGCCTGCTGAGAAGAAGGAGGCCGGCAAGAAGACTGCCGCGCCCTCTGGCGAGAAGAAGAAGCGCACCAAGACCAGAAAGGAGACCTACTCTTCGTACATCTACAAGGGTGAGTTTGCTCGACATTGCAGCTTTGCGCGTTCCAAGCGCGTTCTGCATCATCCATTCCATCTTACACAGTTTGCTGACGCGTCTTTGCAGTTCTCAAGCAGGTCCACCCCGACACTGGTATCTCCAACCGCGCCATGAGCATCCTGAACTCCTTCGTCAACGACATCTTCGAGCGCGTCGCCACCGAGGCCTCCAAGCTTGCTGCCTACAACAAGAAGTCCACCATCTCATCACGCGAGATCCAGACCTCGTACGTTCTACATGTTCTCCAATCCACTTCCATCACATTCTGACTCTTTCCGCAGTGTCCGACTTATCCTGCCTGGTGAGCTTGCCAAGCACGCCGTGTCTGAGGGTACCAAGGCCGTTACCAAGTACTCTTCGTCCACGAAATAAGTGCTTTGCTTGATGGGTCTTTTATTTGGGTTTATTTGCTTGTCCATTGGTCAAGATGGTTATGGGGTGCGGTGTTCATGGGTCATTTTCTAATGTGATCATGGGTCGGTTTGCTTGTTCTCGCATCATCGTCAGGATTTGACTGCGAACCATCTGGGTCTGTATTATACCATAGCAGACGGACGAATCAATTCTTTCAAGTTCACCCTGGTCTCCACGTTTTCTTTTCTGTCTTCTGCATATTTTCTCCTCTGACCGCTAGTTCTACCCGATTCGATATCTTGCACGACATTTGCAGACTCACCCAACGACTGATCACGATCTTTTACGATTCGCATTCAACAATCACGATATGCCGATTACACCGACTCGAACGCGCTCCGCAAGCGCAATCGGGAGCCCCAGCAACGCCGCAACGTGTTCTTCGCGACTCACGCGTTTTGGTCCGAGCGCCTCGAGGAGGCTGGGAATCTACGCTTAGCCGATTCCGGACTTGAAAGAATGCAGCTTGATCAGAAACAGCATGAGGAACACAAACTACACTTTTTGCATAACTTGTTCGACAAAGTTGAAACAAACGCGATTCACATCCAGCCTCGAAAATGACGTATTCAAACATTTACATCGTCTGCGATATGATTTCATTCGTAGTATTCAACATGGAAGAAAAACATGGGTGATTACTACATAACGCAGAATTTGCACATCTACCCAGCAAAGCAAATAACAAACTCCCCTTACCCCGCATATGTATGCCTCATGATATGACAACTCCCATAACGCCCCATACAGTCCAAAACACCTCTACTGCAAGCCATCCTCATCCCAACTCTCAACCTCATCCACAGCGCCAGGGCGCTCCTGGCCCCTTGGCGCCGGCTCCTGGTCCTGCACATGCACGACGCACTTACCCTGAACGCTCAAGACGCCCTGTTTCCAGTCGTCGTAGTCCTCATGGGACGTGATGAGGAAGGCAAGGAGCATCGAGGGGTCCATTTCGCGGATCTGGAGGCGTCGGATGCGGCGAGTGTGGACGGTTGAGAGGTCGGAGGGGGAGTAAGTCGAGGCGGGGAGCGGGGAGGGGATGATGGTTGTGGAGGAGCTTGTTGAGGCGGAGAGGGTGTCGGGGATGTGCAGGGTTGTTGATGCGGAGGGGGATGAGGGGGAGGGGGAGGGGGCGTAGTAGGGGAGGATGGGGCGCGTGCTGTGGGGGTCGAGGTAGAAGAATGAGCTTGCTTGGGTGCCGATGAAGTAGTGGGATGCGGAGGGACGGCCGCTGTGTTGTGAGTTAGTCTTGATGTTTTGAAGGATGCATGTATTTTTGACTCACCCAGCGATGCCTATGCTTTGACTCATCTGCAGACTCGATTTCAACGCTTCCCAGTACACGGGATTGATCTTGTCGATGCCGAGTCTCGTGCCCACGAGTATCAGTGTAGGCTGCCAGTTCCCGTCGTCGTCTACGGCTATCTCCTTCAACTTGTCCTCGTACACGTCTGCGCCGTCGCCTGAAATATATACTCTCAGCCCAGCTTCCTTGTGCTTGTTGGCCAGGTCTTGGATACAGCGGGCCGCTGCTGAGGGGCCGAACCATTCGCCAGGATACTTTCCGCACACCGCAGCACCGTGTTCGACAAATCGGTGGATAGAGAAGGGCGCCTTGGGGTCGTCAGCAAACATGGAGACAATCTCGCAGTGTGCCTTGTCCGTCGCATGGTCTTGGTATCTCCACTCCCTCCCCAGCCTCAGCATCTGCAGCGCGTTGGCCAGGATGCACTGCCCACTTCTAATCATGCACCCAAAGCCTGCGTCAGATGTGAAGCCCGGGGATGCGAGGTTCTGCATGCGCACCCTGAAGCTCATGGCACCTGTCGCCTTGGGATCCTGGCTCTTCTGAATGGGCGCGAACCCCGAACGGTACGTCATCCACATGCGGGACTCGAAGTCGTCGAGGAAGGCCGAGGGCCAGTTGCCGTACTGTGACGGGTCTTCGCCATTTGGAGCCTCTTTGCGCTCGGTATCGTCGATGCTGGTTCTTATCCAGCTCTCATCCTCGGCGCGTTCATTCTGCGGTGTGGGAGCGTCGGTGGACGGCGTATCGGAGGGCGTGTGCTTGGGCGGTGGTGGTCTGGGGTCGTAGCGTTGACCCAGCAGCCAGATGGGTTCGTTGGAGTCGTTGGTCGGCAGGGGATCGTAGAAGGTGCGGACGATGCTCCGACTGACGCGCTCGAGGTCGTTCATGGTTGTCTGTGGGGAAGTGTGGAATCGAAAGCGGTGGTGACGCGGAGGTCCGGGGAAGGTTGCCTAGAGGTGGGTACGCGTCTTGCTTTAGAGCACTATTCGCCACACATGATTAAAGATGAGGTTGGAGGGGAATAAAAACAAGCGCAAGATGCAGTGGGATGGCGAGGTTGAGAGTGAAGCGTTGATGATGCGGCGAGCTCCAGGTCATATGCTGCCCTGCGTATTGGTGGGGGAGGGGGTGCTCAGCTGTCCATGTCACTGTGGTGAAGCTCCAAACGCGGTACCTGGATACGCTGGCAAGGTGCATATGCTACTGGAGATGCACACAGCTGCATCTGCAATAGGCCAGCTTTATCCATTCCTGCACTCCGTCTATGGAGCTCGCTGTTCCCACGAGTTGCAGCTCGCCGACCGTTTGAAAATAACGATAAGCCGCGTATTGTAAGAAAACAGCTCCGATAAGGTTAAACCTAGTCCGCAGCCCCGCCGCCACGCCGTTCTAAAGTACGCATCATCTTCCAGTGTTCGCGTCCCAGCTCTGCCACGCGCAATCGCCTCCTTCACTTCCTTTCACTGCGAGCGCATACACGCACGATATCGCCATCATGTCGCGCGGCAAAAAGGGAAAGGGCAAGAACAAGGGCTCTGCGAAGAGCACACCACACAAAACACCCTCAAAACGCCATTCGTCGCAATCGTGGCCGGCACAGGAGCGTATGTGTGCACTCTTCTGCGCAATATGGGATTGGCGTGTTGACCGTTTCTGCAGCAATGGCGTCCAAATTCTCCTTGAAAGACGAGGCGCGTTGGATGTCGAGCCACCGCACCACGGCATACGAGTCGGGCAGGAAGCTTCGCGACATGCCCATACAGTTTGTCAGCGCAGGCCATTTGGAAGGCACGATCAAGGAGCGCCTGCCGGTTGTTGAGTCTGCGTCATCTGGGTCGGAGAACGAGTCGATTGCGCCTTCCTCGCCTTCGTCCACTCGCTCACCAGACAACACCAGGGCCATGGCTCAGATGGCGATACGCAGTCCCTCGCCTGCTGCCTCGGAGGCTTCTTCCTCTAGTGCCGATGAGGTCGTGTTCATGGGCCGTGACCAAACCTCGCTCCCGCATCGTGCGGCCGCAACTGCAACCCAGACACCAGATAATCTCGCCACCAAAGTCACACCCGAAGCGTCTCGAGGGAGCACCACACATGGAACGCCACAGCTGACAGCCGCCTCGACGGAAGATCACACATCAGTCAATGCAGAGGTGGAGACGACTGCCTCATTTGATCTTAGCATCCGTTTACAAGGTATTATCGCCCGCTTCAAGACCGCCAGTTGCAGATTACTAACTTCCACAAGCTTCCAATCCAACCGCAATACCTGAAAATTACGATTCGGACGTCGACAGCATCGCCGATCAACATTTCGCGAAGCGACGGGGTGGCAGACCTGCTTGGGAAGGAACGACTACAGAATGGGAGCACAGGAGCAAGCCCGGTATTGGGTGGCAGCCGGCTGGGAGTCTCCTGGATGCGGACGACGTAAACCCACGAGACGCTGCTATGGACGACTACATGCAGAACATGGAAGACTTTGGTTTGACAGATGACGCGATAGCAGCGTCTGGCTTCGCTCCTGGTTTCTCTCGTCGCGAAATGGACCTTGATGCTGGTAGTCACAACGACTGGGAATCAGCTTCAGGAAGTCCGGATGAAGCAGACGAGTTTGTGGCGGCTGACAGCTGGGACTCGGATATGCTCCGCGACTTTGCGGACCTCAGCACCTCCTCGGATGTCATAGACACTGTCGTCAGGATTCACTCGAAACGTACTCGCAAAACTGGCGTCCAGTATTTGTGTGTATACGAGGGTTCAGTTGTGGATGACGCTCGCTGGCTGCCAGTTTCGTTCTTGAAGAGCAAAGCTGAGAAAGAACTCATCCGTGTCTATGAAGAAGAAGCGGATGTTCGCGAACTAGCACAGAACGATAGCAGCGATTCAGAAGACGAGGAAGAGGATGATGATGATGACATTGACGACGAAACGCTTGCGAGAGTCCTGCAGAAACAAGAAGAACTCGGCCTGGGCTCAGACGAACTGCTGTTATACGCCCATGACGAGTTCTTTGGCGGCGGTTTCGATGATGCTAAGGGCTCTTCGTTTGCAAGTTTTGGCAGACCGAACAAGAAACGCCAGGCTCGCACTCGTGGCAACCGCGATCCGACTTTCCCCTCTGCCTCTGCAATGGCCGATGCATTGGATATGGATCCCTATGGTGGTTTCGACATCATGGACACTGAGCGACCATCCCTGCGAATCAAGAAGAAGGGACGTCGGGGCCAGAGGCCTCCGGAACTTGATGATTCTGATCTGAATGAGCAGTTACAGATGAGTTGGGAGGCCGACCGGAATAAGAAGCGCCTTAAGAAAGCGGAGCGTGAGGAGCTTCGACAGCAAGGCCTCCTGGGGAGAAAGGGCAAAGGCGCTGATCTCACGGTCAAGTACAAGGGTGGCCTCGAGATGGAAGATGTTGTCGAAGAGATGCGCGAGTTTATGCTGGGCAGCATGCAGACGTGAGTTCATTCCTACAAGTGGAGTGATTGTTCCTCTTTGTGCTAATACCACGGCAGCTTATCTCTTCCTCCGATGGACGCAGCTCGCCGCGCCACCATACATCAAGCCGCCTCCTTCCTAAATCTCACCTCTCGCTCTCGTGGTGATGGACACGACAGATTCACCATCTTGTCGAAGACTTCACGCACCCGTGTCTGTACCGATGATGACTTTGACCGCGCCATCCGATCCAAGGGTCTCCTCCAACGTTTACTACGCAGTGCTCCCCAGAAAGGAGCCCGACCCGCTAAGAGCGCGACTTTCCGGCAAGGAGGACGAGCCCGGCCCCAGACCGGCTACCGCGATGGTGAGACAGTTGGAGCAAACGCTCCTGAACTTGGTCCTGAGAACAAGGGCCATGCCTTGATGATGAAGATGGGTTGGTCAAAGGGTATGGGACTCGGTGCTGTGGACAACAAGGGCATTCTGCAGCCGATTCCGCATACAGTCAAGACCAACAAAGCTGGTCTGCAGTAGGCGCTGTCGGCATCATGCCGTTTGGTTTGAGACATGAGCTTTAGTTTCTTTTCGACTCGTACTCTGTGAGAAATTCGCGATGAAGAGTTCATCTTCTGGATGAGCAGTCGCGTTGAGCATTGCGCAACTTCTGACTGTGCTCTAGCATGTTATCTCCTACATGCTATTTGTCAGTTGTATTATCACTCGGAGACATCCAAGGTGGCGTTTGGCAGAATCGCCAACGATGATTGTATTATACACTGCTTGTGTGGCGTGTCATGGCGTTTGGTGGATTCAACGAAACTGGGCCTTTTTCTTTGGGTGGTGGCTTCTAGCTTTGATCACTACGGATGGCTGGGTGATGGTGTTCTTCGGACTGGTCTGGACATGTGCATGTGGCTTCGTGTCGCGTTAGCTAGTAACGCATGGCTGAAATGCCCATGACAACGATCTTCGTTTGTCTGATGAGATGTACCAACGACTGTGCAGACTTTGATTGAGACGGTGTTGTGAGTTTGCCGTTCATGTGGATTGAAGTATGGAGAGGGTACGAGGAATGCTAGATTTAAACTGACAGTTTATTCGAATGTAGCTCATAACTGGTAAACACAGTTCGCTATTCACTATTTGTTTTAGTACAACTCGGTTTTGATGAAAGGATTGTTCCCTGAGGGCGAATCATGTATGCTACAGTCCAAAGACACATCAGGGCTTGGAATGTGTTTCACTGCTGATAGTCTTGGTTTTGGCTGGATTGTTGGTATTACCCGTCTGCATACTGACATTTGTGTTCTCAGTTATCATCTTGTCCTTGTGCGGTGTAAGAATAGGTAAATATTTTTTGTAAACTCGTCGCTGTTGACAAGGGGATTTTTTAGTTGGGTTGCAGTACGTTGCAAAAGATGTACTTTCATGGATAGTGATATTGTAACGCATGTCTTACATCGGTCTTTATTGGTGTATATGTTTTCTGCATATTATGTTCAGACAAGACGCCTCAACTTTTCATTCATGCATACTGAGCTCTTGCATATTGTTGGTCTTTCCTTTACTTCTATTAGTCTCGATTTCCACATATGTTTTTCTGTAGGTAACTCTCGTTCGACCCTTTTCCGCCTTTCACTCTCGGCGCTAGACTTCTGATTCATCGCTTTAACGATTTCTGCGCAAGAAATGGCTCTTTGGATTTGGGCTTTACGGCCGTGATTATTATTTTAGGTTTATAGCGTATTCATGCTTGTAGTACAAGCAGATAGACGCAACACAGTAAGAATCTAATATATTAACTCAGTATAGAAGCTAATACCCAGCCCCTTTTTACACAGTAAACATCAGTATAAGTACACAGTGATAGTAACAGAGAGCTGATCAGCACACCGTCTCTTGACGACTAGCTGCTTCATGTACCAATGCGGACGCGTGTTCGAGAGCTCAGGCAGTAATCGAAGTTTGGTTCGGCTCTGGGTCATGAACCGTGGTTGAGTCGGGAAAATTCTTCAATCGATCAGTAATGCTGAACACATGACCAGAGCAGCTTTGGAGGGGGCGCGGGCAACGACGTTACGGCCGTGATATAGACTCCAAGAGCGGCACATTGTGTTATCTATGCTTTCTATTCTGGTACACTCCTCCGGGATGGTTGATGGTGAAGGTATTTCTCGTGTGGCGGTGAGGTTTGAAATCGTTTTCTTTTTGCAGGCCATGACGCTGCTGATATCGAGCTTTCGTCTAGTTTCGCCTCGCCAACTATTCTCGTAGTATCTTACGCATTCCTGGGATTTCGCTGTGACTGTGATTTTGGCTCTTGTCTCAACTCTGGGCTTGTGCGGAACTTGCTTTTGGGATATGGTATCACGATACAGGTACAAGAAATGGGCATAGGTTGAATTTCGACAGTCTTGTGAACACTAAACCAGGGGGTCTAGGGCTTCTTTGTCGAATGACTGCGCTAGTAAACGTTGTTTATGCAGAGTAGCACGTATGAATATACTGAGTAATACGAGGTTCAATTGCAACCCAAAACGTGATTTGCAAAGCTGTCTGTAACATCGACAAAGTATAGTTGTAATATGTTCCAAATATAGCGAATGCATATGCACTAGAATTTTGTTAACACTGACTTTTTACTTCCTCTAAATCTTGCAAAATACTAATGTGTATGTGTATATGTATGTATCTTTGTCAACTTACCAGTCCGCGTCATAACTTCGTCCTCGAGACAATATCAGTTGTCAAGGTGGTCACACTCTACAGCACTTTTGACTGGTTTACATGCCTCCTTGAGTAGCTTCTCCCAATGCTTCCTATTTCTGAACCTTGAGCACACCAATAAGCCCTTGCCGCCTTTTTCAGTCTCAGCACAAAAGGTGCTGTACTTATCAGGATTATCATACTCCTCACAGAGCTCCTCCAAGGTTGCCGATATACTCCAATTACCCTATGCCAACATTGCCTATTCCCCCGAGACTTATTACTGCGATATCGAAGACACTCCAGGGGCTTAGATTGCAACATCCAGTCGGTTGGAAATTCATTATCTCGATTGTTCTCATAATCTGTATTTCACTTCCCGCGTATGCCTGAGTTTGAGTGGTGGCCTCGAATACCTCATACTATACACAGACATCGACTCCAAGAAGGTTGATGCATCAGAAGACCTTGCCAGCTATTAAATCTTTACTCTGTCTGCATGAGATTCCGAAGACAAGCGAAGAGGTGCTGCCACCAGAACTATGGAGCACATCGTGTTCACAATGGCTGATCCGATAGGTAAGCCGTCAAGTTTTGAGAAACATTGCCAATGAGCAGCGGCGGGTTTTTGTGTCAATAGAAGAGCAGGAGGGCGCCAGCAGCATGGGTACACGTGGTAAATATGCGGCGTCTTCATCTGGGAACAGGCCTCAGGTATCTCAAGATCGACTCGATGCCAGAATTTCGCCTGGTACAGCGGTTCTCAAAGATTAGCGGGCAAGCAGGTGTTGGAACAAGCATCGACACAACCAAAGGTATGGTCGTGAATACCGTCATCAGAGATCGAGCATGTCTGATACCACGTCCCATCCCCACAACTCAGCATATCCCCACACCTGCTGTAACACGCCACGCCCCTCCCTGCTCAGCCACAGCGTTACACAACACCCCAATCCGGCGCTGCGCACCCTTGCACAAACGCCCTCGTGCTGCCACGTGTGTCGTTGTCGCGCTCGTGTGTTGCTGTAGCGTAGTCGCGCCGCGGACATGCGGAGTGGATACGATGCGGCGTGGTGGGGTCACGCCATGGGGCGGCTCTCAATCAAGCGCAAAAGCGGGAAGTGAGTTGGATTGTTGTGGCTCCTACAAGCCGCAAAGTTGAACTCACACAATTTATAAAAGTACATGCTAGGTGTATACTGCTGATAGTTTAAGCACCTTACTCCTACACTAAACTTAGACGTAGTTGTCAAGCTGGGGCAGGATTTTGCTGCACCTCCTCCATTCTTCGTATTTCGACTAACTGAGAGGGTGGGTCACACGATGGGGCGAGCTTTAGAATTTGGGGTTTGGGTTTGAGCAAGGGTTGCACACAGACACAGATGCCCGTCGGAAAAGAGCGAGCTGCATGGGAGGGGGTTATGCATGGTGCACTGTGGACTGTGCATGGCGGGGTGGAGTTGGCGGGGGCTGGGGATGCTAGATAGGGATTTGATACGGTTCGACGGCAGATGTACCCGGCTAGTGGTTGTGGTTGTCGTGATTCGGGGATGTGCTGGGAGGTACGCTGTGGGATGGTATGTACGGCGGTTGTCATGTGTTTGTGTTCTGTGTAAGGGAAATGCGTATGTGTTTGGATGAGGTGGGGATACATGCGCGCTTGGAGATGTTCTGGGTGGAAATTTGAGATTGCTGGGGAAAGGGGAATTGGCGATCTGGTTGATACTTGGTTTGGTCTTTTCTTTTTTTTGGTGTGGGAGGTTTGGCTGTTGGATTGGTTGGTGGAGAGAGAAGAAAAAGAAAAAAGAAAAAAGGAGGGAAGAGAAGACATGTCGAGAGAAGGGACGTAGGTACTTGCTTTAGTAGGAAATCTGGAGGTTGTATGGGTCGGGATACTCTGCGTAAACGATAATAGATAGCTGACGGTTGCTAAGAAAGACCAAGGAAAATCAACAGTGGTCAGGACGTAAATGGCATGGAGAGAGGTAGCGCCAGCTACAATCCTATCGTCTACTGGCTTGTTTATAGGCCTGCGGCTGTTCTTGAGGAAGACACAAGAAGAAGTTGTTGCTTCCCGACATGTGCATCACGTGATTCCCACGCACGGCTCCGCCTATCACAACCTCCGCCTCCAACCACCTCAACCGCTACGAGAAATGGAAAATGGTTTGTAGCTGACGCTACAATTAAGTTCATACGTGATTTCGACAAGGTAGGTAATCGAAGAAAGAACTAAAGACCAAAAATCACCAAGATAACCATGTATGAAGAAGAGTAGGCAGACCTGACTCTGAGGGTATAGAATTGAATTAAAACAACCACTCCACCACCCATAATGTAGAATCATGAGTCGACATTACACACACACCACCTTTTTCACATACCATATCATCATCCCACATGGCTCATGTTCGGCCGTACACCATCATTGACTTAAACAGCCTGGGTCTTGTGGCTAACATTCTCAAGAGGAATCTCAATGTGCTTCTCTCCAAGGTGCATATCAGAAGCGAAGGTGCTGTGAGGCTTCCATCCGCGGGATGTACGAGGAGTAGTCTCCTCGAGCATCTTGTCGACCTGCTCGAGAGTAAGACCCTTGGTCTCAGGAACGAAAAAGTAGGCGAACAAGACTAGAGACGACATTAGATCTTTGAAATGATACAGATTAAGCAGGGGAACTTACAGGAGACGCAGCAGAGGCCGCCCCACATAAAGAAAACGTTAGAGCCAAGCCTTGCGGAATCCGACCGATCAGCGACCAGGTACGGCGTAATGACACCAATTATACAATTCCAGAACCAATTGGATGCGGTACTGATAGTCTGGTTAGCATTGTAGTTCAATTGATAGTGTTTTTATAAAAACTTACCTCAGACCAACACCACGTGATCGGATGGTGAGGGGGAAAATTTCGCCGATGACGATCCAGGCGACAGGACCCCAGGTAGTAGCAAAGACAGCGATGTTCAAGCAGATAAAGGCAATCATAGCTGAGGTGGCAGAGCCGTTGTGGTGCGAAGGCTTGCCGGCGGTGGCACCAATGATACCAACGATGAACTGCATGATGACCATGCCGAGGGCACCAAAGATCAACAGGTTACGACGACCAACCCTCTCGACCAGGTAGAACGAAGCGGGAGTGCAGCACACGTTGACGAGAGTGGTGACGAGCGAGATCAAGAAGGGGTCGCTGATCGAGCCGAGCTGCTGGAAAAAGACAGCTCCGAAGTAGAAGATGAAGTTGATACCAGTGAGCTGCTGCATCATCTGCATGAAGATACCGATAGTGGTGCGGCGGCAGTTGGAAGAAGGGCTGCTGAGCTTACCCTCGAAGCAAGCCAACCAGGAGCCAATGTAGCTGGTCTGAGGAAGGATAGACATCTCGTACTCGTGGTTGGCAATGATCTCGGCAAGCTCATCTTGGATGTACTCGGAGTCAAGGGGCTGGCCACGAACACGACCAAGAGCGTGAGCAGCCTTGTCGAGTTGGCCCTTCTTGACCCAGAAACGAGGAGACTCAGGAAGGATGAACAGACCGGTAGCGAGGATGATAGCCCAGAGGAACTGGATGGCGATTGGGATACGGTAGGAACCAGAATCGCGACGGTTCTGGGTGGCGTAAACGACGCAGTTGGCAAGCAAGATACCGATGGTGATGCAGAATTGGTAACCAGCAACGATAGCTCCACGGATCTTCTTGGGCGCGATCTCGGACATGTATCTGTAACAGTCAGTTTGTGAGTGCGAGATTGTGGACGGGTGTGACATACAGAATGACAATGGCGGAGATGAAACCGACACCGAAACCAGCAATTATACGACCGGCAGTCATGACACCAACACTGGTTGAGGCAGTCTCGACAATGCCGCCGATGGTGAAGATTCCGCATCCAATGATGATGGTGAAACGACGGCCGATGAAGTCGGCAAGATCACCCGAAATGATGGCACCAAAGAAAGTACCAGCCGACAGAATAGAGGTCATTAGGGACTGGTTTCCAGAGGAGATACTGAAGTGTTCGTTCCTGTACGCGACGATGGTCGGGTCGGAAGAGCTAAGGCCGGGGTATTTGACATCGGGGTATTCTTGTCCGCTGATCATATGGATGAAGTATTGCATGTTCAGCACACCACCCATCCATCCTGTATCATATCCGAAGAATATACCACCGAACGCTGCGAAGGCAATAATGAAGTAGGCTCGGAGCGTGACGGGAGCCTCGACACGGTCCACATTGGACGTGCCGGTGACGGGGACAACTCCTCCGCCAGGCATATTTGCGCTGCTTTGGTGTTGAGTGGAGGGGATAGAAGTATGAGGCTCTTCAATCAAGAAGAGGAGTCCCGCGCAACGATGAAAGAGGAGAGGATTGGGGATGTCGAGGAAACATTGCGGGAGCCCCGGTCTTTAAAACAAATTCCGAGCATTGGGTGATACAAAGGCGCGGAATATGCGTGTGACCTCGGGACCTATTGGAACAAGGGGCACGGCGCACATGAGTCTAACCTGGAAATGGGTGTTACTCCGCATTATCACACTTCAAGCTCGGAGCATAGTGCTTCTCCAACCGGCAATCCATGCAGTCTGGGGAAGGCGCATGGAGGTGGGGCCGAGTCGTCTAGACACAACCTGACTATCGAGATTTACGGGCTTATGTGGATCGTCGAGCCCGCAGGCTGGCGCCAAACAGCATACTCTTTGCCCAGTCGTCGTCTTCTGCTGGTCGAGATGGCCAGCGCGCAAGGCACATGACAGTAAATATCGTCGCGGTAGAGGTAAGCCACATTTCGGGACAGTCTCTACAACGGGTAAGTCTCCCTCCATTTGGAGTCGGACGTGATGGTAACCTCTAAACATCGTTCGCCGATTATGTTCATGCGTCTGTCAATGGTTGCGCAACATCCGGTGTGGGTACAGCAAAGCACAATACTGAGAATCATTGGTTCGCGCTTCTCATGCATCAGGGTTGGAGTAATATGGCGGGGATAAACATCACCAATGAAGTGGTCCCCTTGGTGAAAGGGTAAGATGACATGACCATGTCGATGAGCTGAGGATGGCTCCTTCCGCTTAGTTGATGCAGCCGCGTTGTTATTCGCCATTCTCTTCTGCAATGCGGTATATCTGGAGAACCTTGCTGTCAGTCATCGCGGCTGAGATACCGAGTTTCGGAGCGACTTTCAACAAATGAACTGCAAAGGATGGCTGCTTTCACATGTGTCACTGGCGCCTTCATTCCACTTCGAGTTTTCTTGCCACAATTTCAAATTACAATTCTGAGGCATGGGTGCGGCCCAGTCATGCGATGCAACTTTAAGGCGCCTCGTTCCGTCAGCAGGCTAATCCACAAACCGATTCAAATCCCCATAGTCCGCCCTGATTGGCCTGTCAGCCCGCGATGCCCCGCGGGGTCCGACTCACAGACATGGTGTGTTTTTCTCGACGGCACTCATGGCTTGCATGCCGTGACAACGGGCATCGTGTTCTGCCGTGGGAGTATATTGCATCTAACAAGCAAAGTCGGGCTCCCGTCTATGTCGGGCCGAGATGAACACGAGTCTTTTATCAATTGTATATCCTGTCATCTATAAATGTTCGTTGGGTGACACTGTCTCAGTACTGCTCTTGTGTTAGGCAAGCTGTTCTGACGGCGAGCCCGCTATCGATCGGGGGGAGTATCCGTCCTCCGCCGGCCAAATGTCGGAGGTAGACATTAGGCTGCTCCATCGATTGTGTGGCGCAATAAGTACACACCGCAAAGGTGACAAAGAAATGACCGTTTGCGCCGTCCCGAAGGACTCATGCGGTCCATGTGAGATCCGCTTTTGATCCTAGCCGGCACGGCTTTTTTACGCAAGTATGCAGGGCTTCAGCCTCGTGAGGCTCTTAGATGAGGGTAGTTTGATCTACGATGTTATTGATTTGTTTAGGAAATTAAATTCCGGACCTGGCAATTGGACATGTCGCAAAAGCGTAGTGCTCAAATGTTGTGGTCGTCGTGGTCAAGGCGCGTCTCCCGCCTGGTTCTCGAACACGCACGCGAGGTCTCCATATCTCTCCCCACTCGGGGCTCCGCAAGGTCTCCAGCCTCCACTTCGGTAGTCGAGGAACTTATTCGAGTCATGTCCACAAGCGCTACGTACCACACGACACCATTTCGGATGGGGCCGACGATAGTACCTCGCCCACGGTCCTGGGTTGAAAATTCTGCTAGGTCACGGGAATGCAGGGCCAGGCTGCTTCGAGCACGCACTACGAGTCAAGTTGGCCTCGTGTATACAATCCTTTCAAAGGGGCCAACAAGATGAGAAGATCGCGTGACTGCCGAAACGTTTAGGCCTCTAGAACAGACATGCGACATGCTGACATGGCTGAGGTCTCATCCAGGAGTCGTTCGACGATGCTGGTTTTGGAAAAGCGTATTGGATATGAGGTTCGTGTCGATCTAAGGCGGCCCAACATTGTGGTCGGTAGTTTGTTCGCGGCAGTGAGGTCGGGACCGCCTTAGCGGCCTTGGCTATGGGGAAAATGCATTGTCTGAGGCGATGATCATTTCATATGCACTAGGTTGTTGCACGTCGCCATTCGCAGATATGGCTCTTCACATCCTCGACGCACTCGACATCTTCTGCTGATCGTGCAAAGCCCAGAGAAACCTTCATCGTTGACCTCATCACTACCACCACCATACTGTGTGCGCCCGCAAACTTCGCCATCGGCCCACTTCAGGGTGTCTACATTCGTCTTTTTGATGATAGCGTACTTTGGTGTGGTCCGCTTCTTGACTTGGAATCTGTACAACCTCCCCGAATGCAAGAAGCATCAGCGATCATGGGTTAGGGCACAATCAAGCAAGAATGCATTTTGAAATACAGAGAGCTTGAACAGGCGTCTTTCGTAAGATTATGTCGGCTGGTGTTCTATGGGGAGAGGCAAACTTATACTATTGAGGGTGTCATCTGATCTAAGACTCGAAGTCGTACAGTAAACCGTTCTTGCAGACGTCTTCTGCATCTACCTCAGCGCGTCAGACACAACGCTACCTCTGGTGTAACTCATGCACAGCATAGCGACGCGCGTAGCAAGCATCCGAAGTGCCACATCGCAAGTGCCGAGCAGAACGTAGACGCATACGGATTAGACAGAACCAATGGTTCGTACACTGCTTCTTGAAGCCTGAGCGATCGGAGAAGAAGTTGACTTCACTGTCTGTGAGTATACCTGACTCAAGATAGCATCTAGATCAGCAGATGAAAAATTTGAAGGAGAAGAAGTAGAGGAAATTTTTGAAGGATGAGGGTGAGGTTTAACAACCACCAAAGACACAGATCTTTCTCGCTCTATTCCTCGACCACCAGATAATTATAGGGATGCTCTGGCGACATCAGTTCTCCAAGCGTCAACAACACTGGACAAGAAGACGAACTAGGTTACTCTTCCGTGCCTGCGGTCAACTTTTAGGCCCAAACAACGGGTGGCCAGGTTTCGTGCACACTCGTATCAGTGTATACAACGGCCATCCTATTGTAGAAGTACCTCGTCCAAGTGCTTTTGCGCTCGCCGTCTAAGTTAAATCCACGTGTTAAGAGGTTCCAAGTCGAGTTAAACTCCAGCTTCAAGATGTCAAGGCTGACTGTATTGATCAACACATATATCAGAGAATGGCTAGCTAGTGATCCACTCTGGACCTCAATCCTCTTCCAGACATCTACATCCAATTCCACTGGCGCCCGATTCATGATATCAACCTTGATCTGTCCCAGTGCTACCACCTTGCCATGCTCTAACCTGTCGCAAACGTCCTCAATGATGATATTGACACCTTGATCCCTTGCGAGATTGGACCTTCGTATGCATTCTGTGAGATTGCCATGATCATTACAAGATTTGCAAGCCACTCCTGGCTTCGCGTTGCACTTGATTTTGATATTCGTCTAAGTATCTTGCCTGCACGGCGGGCAACGGTCATTGGGTCGCACTGACGCGTGCATAGTGAACAGATCTACAGGTTCCGCGCCCGCTTGATGAATGTCGCGAGCTTGTAACCGCCATGCTCGAGTCACTGTACCATCAGGCATCTCGTGATCGTATAGGGCTACTTCATCTACCAGTAATTCAAAATGGCGATTATCTGGGTTGTAAAGTGATTTTTCCGGATAGGTTTGGCTATGTCGAGGTTCAGTGAGTATATAGGTAGGTTATCGTTGTGGATATTGTGGTCTCGGATGAAGTCGACAAGGCGATTGAGAATGTGGTAGAGTCTTCGAGCTTGATAGTAAGAGTGTCAAGCTCTAGGCTGTATATGCCGACAACATTGACTGGTGTAAAGAATGCCTCACTAACTCCGAGTGAGGTGTTAGGTGCTTGTTTTTCGATGGAGCGCTTCTTGAGTGGTTGTTCGAATCGCTTTTCTTTGCCCGTGGGTGGTTGTTCGGATCGCTTTATATACTTTGCCCTTGAGATTGTACTCGGCGTCAGAAGCGCCATCTGGCTCATATGCATCGCTGCCGTCACTGGCGACTTCCCGATTCTTGCTTTCGACTTGCTGGTTGACGCTGTGCTAGTTCTGCGCCCGCACTAAACCACATTGCTCTACTCGACATGATGTACGACAGTGACGAGCTAATGCAAGTCATGAATATATACGAGAGGCTGATGCGGGAAGAGTTCAGCAATGATCCGTACCGGCAGTAACGGAAACATGGGTTGAGTTGAACCTCTAACCTCACACACCCGAAAACTGAGCTGATGGGTTTAATAGAAACCTATCATTGTTGTTTGCCTGTTCGTGCCTTCACCGCGCTGCGTTTGCTACTTGTGTGGTCATAGCGGGTCACGCCTTCACTCCTTCACGCAATCTTTCACCTTCTCCCCCCACCTTTACCTGTTGTCTACAATGATTTCCAGAACCCCCTCATCTGATTTCCTCAACTGCAAGTTTTCAACACCATACGACTCAGACACCAACATCGAACATAATGGCAAGTTCCAGCGATGTCAACAAAGCATTCACAGACGGCTTCAATGAAGCTTTTGAGCTCTACCGCACTAACCGCTTGGACGAATGCGCAGCCAAAGCACGCGAGCTGCTTTCTGATACTGCTATCCCAAGATACCACCGCATGAAGACGTTTATTCTGCTTGGCTCCATACTAGCCAACTGGGATGAAGCGAATAGGTGCCGTATACTTGCGGAGGGTCAATGGCATATAGTACGACGCTTGCATCCTGAAGGCGCAGACGCGACGGTAGATGGGTATATGAGAGAGCTACGCGAATCGCTAGACGAGCTGGGCGCAGTGCTACAGGATGACGAGGACCCGTTTGGATTTGGTGTCGGGAGCGCTGATGACGAGGTTGTGGATGAACAAGATGCTAGCGTCGAGGAAGCGCGAACAGAGATGGAAGACCTCAATATCGACATTGATGCCCCAACGCATTCCTTTACTACCGTCGAGGCACCTGAGGAAGCCAAGATGGAGGTGGACAAAGAACCTTGATCCCTGCCACTCAAAGGTACGTGGCCTCGTCATCTTCACACTTTTCAATATATGCCTCTTTCTAACATGATACTAGCGAAACATAAATTAAAAGTAGCTCAGCTCGACTTGACTGCAGGTTCTACTCTGCCCACGAAGAGCGACACAAGATCGCAACAGCTACAAACACCAAAGATGCAAAACATACAGGGCCTCTGACCCCATTCGGAGCTGAGACATTTACCGAGTTGGCCACACCAGGATTCGCTGCATCAAGCTGTAAGTACACTGTATCGATAAGTGAGAAGTAAAAGTGCACAAGCTAATCCTCGCAGGGCGACCTTTTGGACCCGGCAAGAAAAAGAAGGCATCCTGTATATTTCAGTGTTCCAAAAATCATGGCTACAGAGCGGCAGATACTAGACTAGAAAAGAATGCATCAGTGACCAAGCTGGCCCAGTTTCTTGTTGACAACATCGATCCTCACCTCCAACTAACCCCTATTCAAATCATCATATCCACTCTGAGAGTGAATGCTGAGATTCGACAACCAATACTCTCTCTGGATCTATCCATCCAACCTCACAGCCCCATTCCCGTCCGTCAAGAACCCTAGAATCAAGCTACAATACGTTCTTTGCAGCAAAACAGCAACCCTGAACAGTTCAGTTCAGTAAGGTCAAATACCACAAGGCTAACAACACACTGACTAGTAAGCGCATACCAATACCACATAAGGCGTAGAAACTCCACAATTTCCTTGCGTGTAGTTGTCACGCTGCTACAAAACAAGACCTCACTCACTGTAGCGTAGTCCCGGGTCTTTCGACAAAACTACACAAACATCCATATATAGTTATTCCTTGCGTTGGAGAAGCAAGCGTGCACGAAGGGCTCGTTGTGCCGAGGAGAGTCTTCTCGAACCGAAGAAAAATAGCGATGAAACGCGGTGGATTTATAATTGTTCCTTCAATGTGAATAGAGAAGTGTGTTTCTGATGCGGATACCCACCAATACCACTTCCTCATACCACACACGCTCCGTTACATCTCAAATACACTCACGTAACGACCTATCTACTCTCACACCAACCCAAAGTCCACAGACACCCAGCAACGCACATACTTTCTGGAGAGTTATATCCAACACAAGCGCCACAGCCTACTTTTCAACCCGCACCTTCACACGGCCATATTGCAACACCAAAGCGCCCCTCACACGCAAACCTCACCCCTCCCCTCCTCCTCCCAACAAGACAAAACTCACAAAGCCTAGCCCTCACCAGGACACATCAGCCCGCCCGTCATTTTCTCGCACACGCCGCGGATAAAAAAGCGGGAAGTCCATCCCCCCCCTCCGCTCATCAAGAGACAAAGAACCCTCTACGCTCTGTGTGTGCTGGAAATCCAAGCCGTCGCCTCAGTCGAACGCCTTGTATTGAGAACGCCTTCTCCAGCCCATTCTTACTTCCACACAATCCCCTTTAACTTGGCAAACACCGCTTTTTGACATCATCTCGCCCATTATCCATTATCTCAAGCGATATATCTTCTTCCACCTCACTCCACGTTCCACGTTCCGCGTGACACATTCCTCCGACACCTCCCCCCTGCTGGCCTGGCCTAGTCTAGCCGCTTGTTTCTGCCTGCACTCCAACCAACCAACCAGTCAACCTGTCAGTCAGTCAGTCTATGATAAAATCCCTCCCTCCCCTTCCGTCCCCTTTCGTCCCAAACAGCTAGTCAGTTATCCAGTACACAACGAGAACGATCCACCCTCTTAAACCCCTCTTAAACCCTCCGAAGCGCGGTGTATCGACCCCGCCGTAGATCAAGATTAAGATCAAGATGGTAGGAGGTAGGGTACAGCCATGACAACGCTTCACCGCGTTTCGAGCATGTCATGTATCGATGTTTTTGCTCGAATATATGCGTTAAGCTCGTGGTGCTCGTAGCAAGCTAGCTCGCTGGGGTGTAATTCCAGTGCTATCAGGGGATTAGGACACTCAGAAAAACAGGGTATCTACCATGATAACAAGTTTATTCACTGATATTGACATTGGTATCGAGTAAGATGAGAGAGCATGTCACACACATATATTTCCCAACGACAATCTTTTAGAATTACAGCCCCCCCCACCAAACCAACCCAAACCAACCACTACCTCGCACTCGCATTCCGCGCCCTCAAAAACGCCTCCACATCCTGCGCGCTCGCCGCATCAATCTGGCTATCCAACCGCTGCTCCTCAGGGCTCTTCGCGCGCGCCGGCGCCTCCACAGGCTGCTCCTGCTTATCACCCGGACCAAGGACAGCGCCGTACACAGCGCCCGCCGCCGACGTAACAGCCGCCTGCGCCTGCGCCGCGGCCTGCTTCGCCTGGTCGACGTAGCCCGGCTGAGGCGGCTGCTCGGGCTCGGGCAGGGGCATTTCCTTCGGGGCCTGGCCGATGGTATTAGGCTCCATGACCTTGATTTTGTCGCCGTGTTGGTCGATTGTCGCGGCGTGGGGTGTGCCGTCTGCGAGTTGGCCCGAGGCGTGGGTGTAGTCTTGCTGTTCGTAGCGGGTGTCGGAGGTGCCTGAGCGGATGGGGAGGGTGGTGGTGGTTGCGAATGAGCCGGAGGTGCGGGGACTGTCTAGTGGGGGGGTGTCGTGGTCGGCTGCCGAGTCGTCGATCTGCGGGTGTGTGTATGTGCCCACGCTGGTGAATGGGTCGCCGATCTGGTGGGCGGGCGTGTTGGCCATGGGAGGACCCTCGCGGTGGTACCCCACGGGTTTGGGTATCGTGAAGACGAGCGTTCGCCTTGGTTTGCCGTTCTCGCATCCAACAGCCCACGCCTGCATCTCGCCGTTTCGGCCAGCCTCCCACTTCATTGGCCCGATGGGGATCGTGTTCCTGCCCTTGACTACGATGGGATTCTCCCACTTGATCTGCGCCTCGATCTCGGGCTCCAGCGAGGGCATCTGGGTCCACTTGAAGTCGAGGCCACCGCCGTATTTGGTGGGGATGTTTTCGTGGTCCATGTATTGAGAGAGGGTCTCATACACGTTATTCGGAGAGAGGATGAAGATCTTCGAGACGGTGATGGGGTCGAACCAGCGCTTGACCCAGCCCCAAACCGTAGGGAAGAAGCCTGGCGCGCCAACAATCTGCAGTCTGTGTGAGCTCTATTTATCTGAATTATGAAGTGGAGCATACAAATATCCTGTCCAGCGTCTCCGGGTAGTGTGCTGTAGCGAGGACCGAGGCGTCCTGCATGTGCGCCTTGAGGTTCCAAAACTGCTTCAGTCCAACACCACTGATGTCGACGATGTTGTTGCTCTGCGAGATGGGTGTCTCGGGGTTGTGGCGCGGGACCATGGAACATAGCGGGGTGATGAACCGTGTCAAGCTCTCGTACAGGGCGAAGAGGCGGAGGTTCTTGGTCGAGTCTTTGGGGGATGTGGTTTTTGACTTGGCGAGGTCCTTTTCGTATGCGGAGATGTTCTTGGAGTTCAGAGGGGCGACTTCGAAGAGATAGACGGGGATGCCACGCTTGTCGCGGCGACCAATCCACTGGGGATACTGCGAGGCTGTCAGAAGGAAATCATGTCATGGCGCGGGGTGTCGTACCAGACGCCGTGTCTGCTCATACTCGGCAGCTTCGATGGCGCCGTACAACTCCAGTATGTTGTGGTCGCGGCGCCAGTCCTCGGTCTCTTTGAACTGCTTGAAGGCTTCTTGGGGGATGAAGCGGCGGGCACGCAGGAAGCGCCTGTGGTTTTGTCAGCACCCCGCCATGACATCTCACACGGTGCAGCGTACAGCAGCGTCTCGTCGTCGTGGCCGCCGTCTATCATGCCGCGGCCAGGGTGGTAGTAGCCCGCGTCCTGGCATATTTTTTTGAAGTCGTCGAGCTGACGCTGCTGGTTGTCGGTGAGATGGGCGAGGTGCCCCGCGGGGTATTGCATCGACTCGACTCTCTGTAGCTCGGCCATGGTCGCGCAGGGTATCACAGTCTGCAGGTGGGATGGTGGAAGTGGGACAGGAGGGAAAGCACGGAGACGTGATATTTGGCTGGCATGGTGAGAATGCGGCAGCAGGCGGGTAGCGGCATGACGCAGTTGTAAGCAGCGAGCATCGGACCAAACATGGACGTAGACGTGCGCTGTGCAGAGCTGTGCAGAGCTGTGCAGACGTTGTGCGTGAACAGCCCGCTAGAACAGTGGCAGTGGCAGTGGCATCGGCATTGACATTGGCGCAGGCGGGCTGCTAAATATCCGTGGGATACCAGGAGTGCTAGATGTTGCAAAATCACGAAGCATAGGTATCCCACGGATACCACGAGTGCTAGGTATCTGTAACATATTACAAAGCCTAGGTATCCCACGGATACCAGGAAGTGCTAAGTATCCCACGGATACCAGGAGTGCTAGAAATTACAAAATCACAAGGGCTAAGTATCCGTGGGATACCAGGAAGTGTTAGGTATCCTACGGATATTACAAAGTGCTAGGTATCCCATGGATACCAAGAGTGCTAGACATCGACTCGTCGTGTCGCCGCCCGCTGACGACATGCACTACCGCTGGCCATGGATTTGCCATTCACCTGCACTGCAAAGGCACAACGCGCCCGCCAACCTTTCCCGCCCACCACAGCCTCACATCCACCACCACTTCCACAATGGCCACGGCGCGCCCCGCCTTCACCGACCTGCCCACCGAGATCCTCGAGACCGTCTTCCTCGACCTCGACCCGCGCTCCCTGCTGGCCGTCGCCCAAACCAGCCGCCTCGTCAAGCAGCTCTCGGCCGACGCGCCCATCATCTGGCGCCACCTGTGCCACACCCACTTCCGCACATGGGCGCCCCGCCACCGCATCGCCGCAAAGTTCGCCGGCCCGCTGTCTGACACGGACTGGCGCGCCCTCTTCATCGAGAAGACGCGCATAGAGCGGGACACGCGCGTGCTGTTGGGCCAGATCGTCGGCGCCCAGCACAAGCGCATACGGCGCATCAACCAGATCGCCGCTTTTGGGTATGACGCGAAAGAGACGCTGCTGCGCGAGTGCGCCTGTCCCGACGACGCCGACGACGTGCTGGCCCGCCGCTACTACGCAAACGCAGTGCTCGAGCGCATCCACCGCGAGATCGCCATCAACGTGTGGAGAGACCTGGGCCAGGGCCTGAGCGTGTCCATTGACAGAGCCCTCGGCGCATACGACGTCTTCGCACGTGTCGGCGCGGATGTCGACATCGACATCATCTCCCAGGACCTGGACCACCTCGTCAACGGCCTGCTCAAGAGCTACCCCCACTTCCGCGACCTGAACACGCGGCGCAAAGCCTCGACGCTGGCCGACTACCTGCGCGACCAGGGCTTCAAGGGCGTACCCGATACATCCTACCGCGCCCTGCGCAACTCCTTCATCGGGCTCGTCGTGCGCTCGCCCACGCACGAGTCCCTGCCCCTCATCTCCGTCGCCATCTACTGCGCCCTCGCACGCCGCGTCGGTCTCGACGCCCGCCCCTGCGGCCTCCTCTACCACGTCTACAGCCTGGTCTACGCGCCCAAAAACTACACTCTCGACGGCGCATACAAACCCACCAGCGCTTCCACCCTCGACGCAATGTACCTCGACCCCTTCCGCTCCTCGGACGAAGTCCACACCGCCGATCTCCAGCGCGTACTACGCGACACCGGCGTCCCCACCCACGAGCACACAGCCTTCCTCTCCGCAACCACAACCCGCGAAATGGTCCTCCGCACCGCGCGCAACATCATGAACTCCGTGCAGACAATCCGCCAAACAGAAGCCGGCGTCTACGGCATGGGCCCCACGTGGCTAAACGCGTATCCAGACATGGACAACTCCTTCTACGCGACAATCTGGGCCATGATCATGCTCGGCCCCGGCGACGACGCCCCAAATACCCAAAACAACAGCAGCCAAATCCGCCGCCGCCAATACCTGCCTTACCTACTGGAGCACTTCCAGACCCACAACCCCTGGGACGTCGCCCTCCTGCACCAATACATCCTCCCTCTCTTCGCAGGCTTGCCGGAATATACCCGCCTCCAGCAATTCGTCGACTCGATGCTGCAGATCGACGCCCGCCGCAAGCCTGTCGTGCGCCGCCTCGCTACACCCGCTGCGCGCAACGTCGGCTTCGCGATCGGCCAGTTGTTCCAGCACAGGCGGTATAATTATGAGGGCGTGGTTATTGGCTGGGATGTTGCGTGTGATGCGGGGGAGGAGTGGATTCAGAATATGGGTGTTGATCGGCTGAGGGGCGGGAGGTGGCAGGCGTTTTATCATGTTCTGTGAGTTGTGTCTTTTTTTCTCGACACTTTTCTTGCACTGTTTGTGGAGTATATGGACTGCTTTGCTGACGTGTGAGGACAGTGTCTGCGATAAATCCATCCGCTACGTCGCAGAGGAGAATATCCGCCCCGTCGCCCCTGAGACGAGCCCCTCGGACGCTATGCTTAGGCTGGCTGGCCGCCACTTTAAGCGCTGGGATGCCGCGAGGAGTGTGTTTGTGAGTAATGTGCGGGATGAGTATCCTGATGACTGAGGGTCTTTTTTTGTTTTTTTTTGCGTGTAAAAGTTTGCTTTGGCTGGATGGATGGGTAGGGGGTGGGAGGGGAATGACTGGCGTTGGCGGTTTTCTTGCGTGCTAATGCTGTATATTAATGTGTATATGTATGTGTATGTGTACGTGGATGGGGTGGATTGCTTGGTTGGTTGGGGATACATCTCAACTGAAGGGTTATTGCTCCAAACGGATAGGTGGGTGAATGAGTGGGTATATCAAGATTCAAATTCTCGCTGAAAAACATGCTTCATCGCTCGCTCTACACAACCCCCGCCCCCCTAAACAAAGAAATCTCCCAACCAACAAACGCTCAAACACGCCCCAACGCCCCAAAAATGCCATCACCCCCTCCCTCCCCTCAATCTAATACGTCAACACCTTCTGCGCCCCCTTCCCCCCCTCCACCCCCTCGACACTCCTCGCAAAACTACACCACCGATCCTTAATACTAACAACCTCATACGTGCCCTCCTCCTGCACCGCAATCCCCATACGATGCTCATGACTAATCTCCGTACGAATCTCCAGCACCCTACTCTTCCTCCCCTTCCCCGCATTCGTACTCCGCGTGTACGTAAACTCAAACGGCGGGGTACCCCAGAACTCAAACTCCAGATCGGTTCCCCCACCCTCATGGATATCGACCTCGCTGACCTGGCCGCCGGAGAGGCGAACGGAGGGGATGGGGTGGATAGTTTTGGGCAGGTCGAGTGCGGCGAGGCATTCGGATGCGGAGTCGCGGAGACCTGTGATGGTGAAGGTGCCGGGCAGTTCGGCGAGGCGGCGGAATGTGGTCCCGGCGTTTGAGGCTTTGCGCTCTTGCGCCTCGAAGGTGTAGTATACTGTGAAGGGGACCTGGCCGCCGAGGGCGAAGGACAGGCGCTCGCCGACGCAGAAGTCTGTGCGGTCTTCTAGGGCGGTGGCCGTGGGCGCGTCGTGCACGCTGATGGAGACGCGGGGTCCGCCCGTGGGGGGCTTGAGGGTGCAGCCGCGTGCGTCGCGCACTTTGCGGATCGAGATGGAGGAGTGGCCGAGGTGGAGCTTGCGGTGCTCAATTTTGAGGTCGAATTTAGGCGTGGGGATGTTTTTGTGTACGCTGATTTCGGGCTTGGGCGTGCCGTGGTGCTTGATCTCCACCTCGAGGTAGAAGGGTGCGATGCCCTCGAGGGTGATGGGGATAACTTCCTCGCCCTCTGCTTCGCGCGAGCAGTAGCTGTATGTCTTGCCGGGCTTGTCGAAACGGGCGCCAGGACGTGAGTGGACTGTCTGCTGGATAGTGACGGGCGTGAAGTGCTTCTTTGAGTAATCGTAGCGAGAGTCTGCGAGCTTCATGAAGGTGTACTCGTATACACCGGATTTTGAAGTGTCGGCACGAATCGACGCGGCTCCGCTGGCGGTGTGGACATCCTTCTCGCTGACAGCGGCAGTCTTGCCCTTCTTGTCCTTGTATTCTTGTCGGTATGATACATCGAAAGGAGCATTGCCTGTCGTCGAGTTAGTATGCGATACACGGAAGAGACGCAATACATACCATGCAGTGCCACCTCAAAGGCGTCTTCGTCGCCTTCGCAAACAGCTTCCTTGACGTATTTCTCGCCGTCAAGAATTGTAGCAGTAGACTCGGGAATGCTGATTGTCGGTCGGGCAACCCAGGAGATTTGGAACTGGCTCGCCTTCTCCTCGATCAAACCAGGGCACACGTTGTCCCTAACAGAGAGAAGCTGGTATGTTCCTTGCGCGTTGACATCCAAGAATGAGTTTGCGTCCTGGAAGTTCTCCTTCTTCACCTCGTTGGTGTCCAGATTCTCATACTCGACTCTCCATGGTCCTTCTCCAGTAAAGCGAAGAGGCAGTCCAATTGCCCGGCCCTCCAGAGCCAGGATGGCCTGTTTGCCTTCAATGTGTCCAAAGTAGGCCTTGGGGCGCTCGTGGCGAACCCGAACTCTGGCCTCCTCATCCTTCAAGAACTCCTTGCAGCCCATCTTATCACTAACACTTGTAAGAGCCAAGACATATTCCCCACCATTCTTGAGCTTAGCTGTTCTGATAGTGTAATGCTCTTCGTCGGTTTCGATAGTGTGCTTGGTACGTTTTCCGTTGTGGACAAGCTCGTATTCAAGTTTCCAAGGGGCCTCGCCTGAAAGTCGCACGTCAAACTCCACCGAATCGTCAATGCAGGCTTGTTGAGGCTTTTTGCCTTGCATGAAGCGTGCTTGCGCAGAAGGTCGAACGTTTTGCTGCAGTTCGAGGTTGCGCAATGGTCTGTCTTTGTAGACCGCGTCACGAATGACCTCGAACGTGTATTTGTAGTGGCCAGCTTCCTCAGGAGTGAAGGGAATCGTGCTTCGAAGTGTGGCAATCTGCAATTCCCTCCTGTGTCGTCTACCGCCATCCTTCTGTTCAAAGTACGTGATGGTGAATGGTGGAGTTCCGACAAGGTCCAGACCCACTTGAAGACCGATAGGATTTCCAGCGCACTTGTCTACTATGTCGTCGCTGCTCAGTGCCAGGTTCGGTTCTGGTGGGTTTTGGAGCAAGCACGATGTAGGTTCGAGAACCTCGCCCTCGCAGAGATCGGTTGACACAGACTTGATCGTGTAAAGACCGGCATCTGTTATGAGAGGCTGCTCGCGAATACTCCTCATCGTCTGCTTCTTGAGTACGGCGTTAGGGCTATGATATCCGTCTGCAATGATTTCTACCTCTGGCGAAAAGAGATACTCGATCGCATGTGCCGATTCAATGGGTTCTTTTCCAGTCGAACCGTAGTGTACGGGGAGGCGAGTAACATCTCCCTTCGCAACCCGAAGAGGGCTCTGAGGGTTGCATTGGAGGAAGACCTTGGGGCGCTCGTGAACTTCGAAAGATTGGCGGATGTTTGCATATTTGACCTTTGGTCGGTCGTCATCGTCGACGTTGAGGAAGTTGACGAGATTGCCAAGGCCATCTTGCACCTCTTCCATTTCGTACTCCCATCTGCCACTAGTAGAGAGAGTTTCGTTCAAAGGCACGGTGATTTTCTGAACCTTGGCCCATGAAACGTCCTCCTTTCCGTTCTTGACCAATGCCTGTGATGTGTGTCTCGACAGTGGTGAAATGACATCATCTAGTTGTAGGTTCTGGAATTGAGATCCACCTCGAGGCTTTCCGTTCACTGTCAGGCGGTACTTGATATTGAGTGGCGGCGTGCCCTCGACTTCCAGTGCGACATTGGACAGATCGTTACGGCATCGACCTTCACCAGTAGGCTTGACGCGAGCCTGCGGGCAGGTGGTTACGATGAGACTGGATGCGCGTGGTCGGACCAGAAGCTTCGAGTGATCCAAGACCTTCCGCAGAAGGTAGACACCTGGCTTTTTCACAACGTATTTCAACATCAACGGATCGTCTGGGCTTGCGGACTTTGTAGATTTTCTAGCCTTCTTCAACATGCCCTTCAGTTCCTTGTTCTTGATTGTGATGGTTTCGTTGACGTTGGTCTCGATGTCGATGCGCCAAAGCTCCATCTCAATCGGCTCGGTCTGGTTGATTAGAATGGGTATCTCCAGTTGGGTAATTGACGAGCTCAGGCAGAATGGCTCCTTGTTCGGGTTCAGAATGGCGGATCCTTCTGGTAGGATGTTGACGATCTGCTTTCCCAAGATCAGAGAGGCGTTGTGTAGGATGGCGCCTGGCTTCACGCTGCGCTCGCTGATGGCCATCTCGCTGTCCCATAGAAAGCCGACAAAGCTCAAAAACCAGGCCTGCACGGGTATGCCAATCCTGAACATGAGCATGACATCCAGCGCCGCGTGTAGCACGAACAGCAGGAAAGCGGCGCTGTTACTCCACTCCAACCAGGGAATTTCGAACAACGGGATGCCGAACATGAACAACATGTCGAAGAAGACCCATTTGAGACACAGCAATAGTGACTGGTCATCCTCGATAGCCAGTGTGTAGAAGTCATAACTTCGATAGGCCCACAGGGCGATGTAGATGGCGAAAACGTAGAAGCGCTGTTGGGCCGGGTCGAGGATATCGGAGGGGATGAGAGGCCCCGAGTTCTGCGAAGCAGCCCTGGGGACGTCGGGAAGCGGCGACCGTACGTTGGGTCGGCTAGGCGTGGCAGCATTCGGGCTGCGCACGCCTGGGGAGCGATTCCATGTCTGCGGTGTGGTAGGAAAGCCGCCGGGCCCTCTGCGTGCTGGAGTGTCGCTCATTGCACCCCGAGGTAGACGGTCGTGGTCTTGTATGCTGTCATGGGTCGCGCGCAGCTTCGTCGACAACCAAGGCGCGGGGGCTTGAGGCGATTTGTCGTTGCTGTGCTAGAACCCTTCTGTTAAACAAAACATTTGGTACGCGACGTGTAGGGCTGAGCACGTCCAATCAGAATGCATATCACGTGTACTAGCGCCCTGCTGGCATTGTATCACTTGCTTTCACCAACATCGGCACACTCTTCTTTCATTCTCCATTGTCAGCAATCGAACAATAGGACAGACAAGTACGCAGGTCTTCAGCCTTCTTTCTGCCAATATGCCTCTCTTTCCCTTCATGCAACTACCAAACGTCCACCTCCACACCTGAATCCGTTTCTGCCTTGCTCTCGACCACAACTCACCTGTCGCATTGCGAAAAAAGCAGTCATGACCAAGCAGACATCTTCAGATCCGCAATCCAAGTCCAACCCCGAGCAAGCCATTCCGAATTTTCAACATGGAGAGGCTGGATCAGCAGACATGGCCAGTGACTCTAATAAAGCTCCCGCAGAAAGCGCTATCATTGCCATCCCAGCCTCAAACGATCAAGCAAAGGTCGCATCGCCAAGCTCGAGAAAAAGATCTCTCCTTGAGTCTGTTCACGATGAAGAGCCCAGCACCAAGAAGCCAAGAGAGTCTCCATCCTCGTCTCCGAAGAAGAACGGGGACTCCATATCCCAGAAAGACCGGTTTCCCAGTCCGCCTAATGAACCTGCGACCAAGCTCGACAAGGAAACGTGGCAAGGTTTCTGTGACATTGAGTCTGAGCCTACCTATTTCTCTGTCATGTTGCGCGAGATGGGCGTACAAGGTGTCACTGTGCGCGAGGTGTTTGCCATGGATCCAGCTGTGCTCGAAACGCTCCCGCAACCTATATACGGCCTCATCTTGCTGTTTCGTCATCGCGAGTTTGGGAATGCAGATCAGCCGACCGAATGTCCTGCTAATGTGTGGTTCGCTAATCAGTTGCCGGCTCAGAACAGCTGTGCGACACTCGCCATGATAAACATTCTCATGAATACTATTGACGTCGAGACTGGAGAACACTTGAAGCAGTTCAAGGACTTTACTCAGAGCTTCACACCTTTCCAACGCGGCGAGGCGCTTTCGAGTTTCGACTTTGTCAAGAAAATTCACAACTCGTTCGCCAAGAAGATGGATATTCTGGAAGCCGACAAACACTTGTCCAACAAAGTCAACAGAGCGAGACGTGAACAGCAAGAAAAAGAAGGCAAAAAAGGACGTCGCACCTCCGTAGACTCCATAGAAACAGATGGCAGTGTGGGGGATGAGGAAAATGCCCACCACTTCATCGCATTCCTGCCTGTTGGCGACGAGATCTGGAAACTCGACGGTCTCGACGTGCAGCCGACTAGCCTAGGTTCTTTCGACTCTTCCAAAGGAGAGACATGGCTTTCTGCTGTCACTGACGTAATCGCCGCCATCATGGCCGCTGGAGACGACGACTATGGAGTTATCGCCATGACTCAATCCCCTCTACTCTCACTTCGCAAGACAGCCTGTCTTGCGATGAATACCCTGAAGCTCGTCGAAACCCGCCTCGACAGCGTCGACGCTGGCTGGAAGTCTTTCCTGATTTCTGAAGAAGAACCACCAACCGCCCAAACGCTAGGCGTTGAAAATCAAATAGCCACACACCCTGTTCCGGATCCTTTGAAAGCGAGGATCGACGACGAGAAAATGGCAGACCTACTAGACCGTCGAGGTCGCTTGGTCAAGGAATTGAGCCGCCTATTGGCAGACATAATGAACGAGACCCACAACGAAGCTGAAGAGGACCAGAAGGCTACCGAGCGACGATATGATCTCGGGCCCCTGATCCAGGAGTGGTTGAGCATGCTGGCAGGCAACGGATTTCTGGAGGGAAATCTGGATCGATATATGCCAAAAGGTAAGGGCAAAGGTACAAAGTCGAAGAAGTAGAGAGATAGTGCTGAGCAATTGGCAATTCATTTACACCTCAGGATAGACATTGGGGTATACCTCTCAGCGAAAGAATATGATCAGAATGTCTTCCACTGCTGCTTTGCTCAACACTCACTTCAAGATTTCAGCACACGATGAACGTTTGAGGATGCACGAGTGGGTGATATGGTAGACACAATATGCACAATGGAGACATTGAAAGGGCTCAAGTTTGATTCAAGCTACTGGTGTGATGTACCGTGATTCATCACAGATTCAAGATGGTTGTTTCCCTTCCCTCGGTTTCGGAATCTTGAACGGATGCGCCTCAGTGTTGAAGACATAATCATCCAAGCTGACGACGTTCGGCTCGGAGAACGTAAGGTAAAAGTACTTGAGCGTTTCCGCCATCCAAAAACTCTGCGCAGACGTTAGCATTCGCCACTTCAAGTCCGCCATGTGTGGATTTGCTTACTTCCATGGAATCGATCCTCGGCGGCACATCCGCTGAGATGTCCATCAGCGCGGAGTTCCCAATATCCGTGTCTGTGCTCCTCTGGATCGCAGTGAACATGTCCCACGCCGCAGCCTGCCACGATTGCTCACCCGTGATGCGGTACATGATGAATACGCTCTCAATAGCTTCCGGGCGGAGAACGTAGCGGCGATCCTCTATAGATGTGAAACCTTCCGGTAGTCTCAAACTCGCAATATTCCGTAGAGGGTCCTTTTCTTTGTTGTCTCCCGCTCTTGATGCAACTTCATCGTGCCACACTTTCTCGTCCCAATGACATTCTGTCGTATTGGCGCATTTGAGGAGATGCGAAACTTCGGGCATGATTCCTGCAGGTGAGACTTTATACGCCCATACGCATGTGTTGGCGAGCTTTCGACCAATACTGACGTGCTCCTTGTCGCCGAAGAGCTTGCCACCCAGCGCAAACATGCCTCCGGAAAAGCACACAAGATGCTGCATCTCTGGATCCAAGAGCACCCTCGAGTCTTCTACCCGCACGAAGCCAGACATGAGCATATCGGAATCGCCGAGGGTCATCGGACGGTAGATTGAGTGTTCGATGGCGGCGCTCATGGCCTTCTCGTACAACTTCTTGTATGTGGGTTCGTGACCGCCCAAAAGAATATGCATCTTTGCAAGATACTCGTATGTCGAATCGGCCATGGAGGCAAGAGTGAACCCGTTGTCTGCAGTAAAATCCTGGTTCCGCGCATTGACAACAATGGGCCACATCCCTTTCAGCTTGGTCCTATCCTGTTCCCTCTCTAGAACCTTTGTTACGCGCGTGATCGCATCGTAGTATTTCGGATCGCCAGTAAGTTGCGAGAGGCGAGTGAACTCCAACGTCATCGATCCAACCTCCGCAAGCAGGACCTGCTCGTCTGCAACCTGCGGCTTACCCTGCCCTGCGGCATGGAAATCCCATCTGGTAACCGGCATACGGTTTGGTGTGTCGAATGCGTGGTACAGCATCTCGCCAACTTCCTTGGCTTTGTTTAAGAGCCTCTTGTCTCCACTCAGTTCGTATGCTGCCAGCAACCCTCCCAGGTGCCTTATATTTGTCTCAAACACGTTGACCCTGCCAAGTGTTGTGAAACTGAAATCAATCATCTCTACATCCTCGACCGCGGAGTCGAATTCTTCCTTGAATCCCATTATCCATAGAGTATCCAATGCATCGATAAGAGTCGCTGCCCACCCTCCGAAATGATCGGTAACTTCGCCACTAATGGGCCTTATCTCATCGTGCATCCAGCCGTGTTGCCTGTAGTTTGTCCAGCACTTGAGAAACTGCTTCTCTACCTCCTTCTTCCTCACCTCCCGTATGTTTTTCGCCGTGGCATCCTCCTTCTGAAATTTGTATTGTATCCTTGGTAGCTTGGTGGGTTCGCCAGTGGGCAATTGTACCATGGATGCAACAGGATTCTTGATACGTATGTTTGCCCAGTCATACGATGGTTGTGATGGATCTTTCGGAGGGCGGGGACGTTTTGTGGACTTTACGCCTGACGTGGCATTGGACCCCGGGGGTTCGTATGGGAAGCTTAAGCTGTAGAACATGTATATGATCGTCACAGCAATGGCTATGTAAAGCCCGTAGCGTCGTAGGAGGGCCATAGTGAGCTACAGTCAGGGTACAAGTAAAGTAAAGACGAATGAATGAATGGAGTAGGTAACCCTCGAACACCCAGTATACATGACATGTGCGTGTTGAAAGGGGAACTCAGCTCAAAGTTGACTTGCGGAAACTCGCGTCTTGGACCCTGCCAAGCCGGTGATCGTCTCAGGCGCGTGCTGGGGCAACAAACCTCACCTCAATCAATCAACCTTATGAATGAACATGTCGCCATTCAGAATCGTCTGGAGCAACTCGAAAGCGATAGTCAATACACTCTGCGGCATTATAATGATCCGTACATGGTTACAGACAGCTCAAGGTTGGAAGACTCGTCCGACAGCCGCGTTGCGGCAGCAAGAACCGCCTTTCAGGACAAGACAATTGATGTCACAATTTCTTGGTTCTTTGTTGGTTCTTTTTGCATGCCGAGCCATGTAATTAGACGCTAATACTGTTAGTTACAAGTCCGTCATGAGCTAGTAATACTGTATAAATCTGTTCAATCGAGCGTTAGCTAGCAGGGGTAGAAGTGAAGCGATATGCAATGATTGGACTTGTATCGTGGCGTCGGATGGCTGTGCAGATTCCACCACCCATCTAAGGACTCGCTTCGCTCCAAACCCCTGCCAGCTAAAGCTCGATTGGAGATATTTATACGGTACTACCACTGGCCCTCTGCAACCACTCCTGAAACACCCTTGTTACGCCTTGCCAGTCACCCTCAGCAGTCTCGCGTTTCTCAGTATCCACAAACTCTACATTATTCATCCCACCAAAATTAATAGCCTAAGCATCCATTGCCTGGTCAATAAGAATATTCATTAGATAGACATCACCCCACACAATACCGTAGGCATGCAGCTCCTGTACAATAGCAGTAATTTGCTCCTCCCACTTTTTGTACAAATCTTGCCTGTTCTAAAGGCCAGGGCTTCGCAAGTAGGTCCCTAGATCAGATAAAGTAACCAGAGTCATTAGTATGCTAATTGTTATTTCGTTGCCCGACACCACGATGCCCTGCAGTTTGGGGACTCTAAGCCGAGCTGTTAGGCCAGCTTTGTCAATACGTGATAGAATACAGAGCTTACGCTCAAATTCCTGTTCACGCCCTTTAACCCGCAGTTTAAAGTACAGCGGGACCTCTTCTGCTGTTACAACTCTTCCTTAAATTAAGTCTAGGGTCTCTTGCTTATCTATGGCAGGCGCTATAAAGATATCGCGTGCCTAGAAGAAAAGGACTGCTTTGCATAATTCAGGCATGTTAGCAATGCGCATAGGTAAAGTAGAGAAAGCTGGCGTGTACAGACACTCGTCCTCTCCCTTAATGTGTATGTCCTTGTTAATGCCTCTATGGATAAGCTCCAGATTGTAGGTAGGACAATAGAGAAAGCTTTCGAGGCTGAGGTCCTGAAGTGATACTTGTGGTGCTAATTTTTCGAGGAGAGGCAGGCAGTGTTGATAGATCACGTCAAAAAGTGGCTCTTCGCTGGCTCTGCTCCATGGACGCCCTTTCCATAACTCCATTTGTTGCAAAAGCTCTTCACCAAAGCTTGTGCCCTTCACCCGCGCGATCTTGACTTCAACAAGAAATTGCGCATGGCCACGTAAGACACTCATAAGACACTTTTTCTCGGTGACATAACCCAAAGGACTCGTACTAATATAGTAGTTTTGACTCATTGTGAATTAGTTTGAAAATATGAGAGGATGCTGAGTGTGGATTCGAGGTATCGATTGTGAAATATCTGAGGTAGAGACGGTTCTGTGATATAACACCAAAGATCTGTGCATCGACACGAGTGACATCACTATACCTTACCGCTTCTGTACATGCATAAGGTTTCGAGAGCGGCAGCTGACTAAACATGGGAGTTCCATGCAGATGCGTTTATGAAGAATACATTGAATTCCTGTTTTATTACTTGTTGACTGCTAGCTACTTGCATGAATAATATCCATCCGTGTGGCCGTTCCGACAGCAACGGCCAACTTGACCACCTGAGGTGCATTCTTTTTGTGCCACAACAGATGTCAATGAAAACATAATATATAGATCAGGCGGTGGTCATACGCCAGGCCATATCGTTTGCTGACGGGCTTTGATGTTGAGATTTGCTTCTGCGTTGACAACAGGCTTAAATGAAAGATCCGGAAGGGCAAATATTATTTCAAAGACAGGGCGATGGAGCTAACCACCAGTCTAGAATTACCACAAGTGGGGCCACACTGAGATACGATTCGACATGCAATATCCTTCGATATTCTTTCCATTGACGGTGGCAGTACACATCACCAAGTGGAAAAATTTGAATTACTTTATATCTATTGCAAAAACAGTTCTCTCCATCAAATCAAGCAGCAGCTTGATCATGGGCTTGTGGTTTAGTGGTATAATTTTCCCTTAGCATGGGAAAGGTCCGGCGTTCGATTCGCCGCAAGTCCAATTTTTTTGTTTTTATACGTTGAAGAGTTCCTGCAGATTCCTGCTATCAGCAGAAGTTTAAAAGTCTAACTCACATTCCTTATTGTCTCTTTTTTTGCACCTTTGTTTAGATATTCTGCTGTTCTCTGTAAGATAGAGTGCAGGTAAGCGCTTATGTGCTAGGAAGATGAGATAAGGGTTTGGTGTTCGTCACGTGCGTGACCCCGACCAATCAGATAATGTGGTGCATCGCACCGGGATTTTCGATCCCCAGTCTGGTCCCCGGGACTAGGTTCGATTCCCAGCAAGTCCACGTCTTTTTGCGGTGCTTCTCAGCTACTCAGGTTATCTTTTGGTGTTGTGGTGGCAGAGAAACTGCTGTTTTCACTTTTTCGCTAACGGGCCACGTGACCGAAGAAAATATATCTTTGCATATATATATACTATATGACCAGCATTGGCCCCTCGTCTCTTTTTTTCCATCTATTCACAAATATATTCAGCTTAACCACAAATCGTCGTTCATCTTTGGAGAAGTTTTGGCAGACACGATTCGGTGTAGTCAACCCGACTACGAGGCCACAAGCCAACTACGAGCTTTACGGCATGCTGATGTCACTTTGATATGCTGCTTCAGATGTTATGAAAACTCGACGCTTGGACTAACGTTGCTAGTTGCTGACGTTTCAACGTGAGGTTTTCTCTACAGTGAAGCACTACAAACTAGTTTTCATCATAAAAAAGATTCCCCGTCGCAAGTATTTATGAAGGGTTATAGAATAAATATGGGGTGTATTAGCTTCAGCAACGGGCATTGCTATACGAAACAGAATTATCATTACACCGAATAGTTCGCGCCAAAACTTTAGGAGATTCAACAGATTCTTAGAGTAAACCTCAACTTGAAGATAGACGATATCTTTGAGTGGAATAGTGAATGCTTGTGTGGTATACAGTAGAGCTGACATGAGATCAATCATCTGTAATCCTGGCTCTTCGCTACCTATCCGGAACCAAGGTGCAGCAAATTTTACAACAGCCTGACAACTACGTCTACGATTATCAGTAGAGTCTCGTGCGTAATGGTCTGACAGTATACGCCTAGCATGTACTTTTAGAAATTGTATTAATACAGTTTTGCAACTTGAAGGAGCCACAAAGATCATTGTTTCCTGCTTTTGCTCTTGACCGAGAGCATGGATATAGATCTTCTTCTCTTCCCAACACGACTACCATGATATACATCTGCCAGTACTCAACAAGGACATCGAACAAGAAGTGATCACCCATACAAGCGCCCTTTACGAACCCGATTGATACCCGATTCCTCGACGCCATCAGAACCAACCGCGAGATTGCCGACCTCGGCATTGCTATCAATATCACCAAAGCAAACCCTCAAGTCCTTGAGAAGCTTAGCATGCTCTGCGGTATCCAGGAATGTCCCGTTGGCAGGAAGCAGTATATGCGCGTTATTCCTCGTCGCCAGACTCGAGATGTTCATCGCCACGTCCGGGCCAGTCGTGAAGAAGTAACGAATGAGCGGAGAGACTGTATTTGAGATGATGAGGACCACTAAAGCAAAGGAAAGCACAATCACCTAAATTCTATGGGCCATGATGATCCCTGTGTGGGTACCATAAGTACCCACACAGGGATAGACTTTCGATTTCAGACCGTCGCCAGTCCAGTTGTACAATGAACCCCAGTCCTCATATATCCCGGGTACATCAATGCGAGGTGGTACATTAGTGATGTCGGTGTCCCAGCAATAGGAAGTGTCGTTGTTGATGCCTTTGGTGATCGAAAGAATACCATTCATACAGATCAAGTATTGATTGAATAGTTGACCACATCGATCCCAAACATCTTCGCGAAAGGGGTACGTCAGATCAGTGCTGTAAATGTTTTCTTCTGTAACAAGGAGAGAAGGGTTTGCAAGGTATCTGTCCAAAAAGGTCGTCAAGAACTTATCCCCTCCAGTATTCGACATAAAGCGCTCCATGAATGAGTATCATTGTTGCCATTATTTGTCCATAATTGTCCAAGTAGGCGGGAGATGGTCAAGTTGCGAACGGCGCACTTTGGTGGCTCGACAAGCCGAATTGGTTACGCAGAAACCTCTGTCTCCACGCAAGTGGTTGTCATGGTGCATGAAAGAGTGAAGTTGGTACCCTACATTAGGACATATGTGAAATTGAACGGCTTCAAGTTCTTAAGATCGGTTCTAGGTCTGTTTGCCTGTTACTCTTGTGACCACCAGATGAATGCGCCTGTACCAGTCTGATCCACGGTATCTCCAAGTAGAGGTTGGGCTACACCAACCATGGTTGTCTGGAGCAATCATATGGTACACAGAGAGACGTGGATAATGTTGGGTTGTTGAATTATTGTACGCAATCAAGCGTTGGGTATCATGCAATCTCTCGTCTTTCCCATTCCAACGCCATAAGATGGATATTTTTCTTCGACATTGAACAGCCTCAATGCCATTCAATTACGCCCATTTCAAGCATCGAGTAGCCTCGTGTGCGTCTTTGCACTCCAAACCGCAAACTCTGGCTCCGCATTTTCGGCACTTGATCGTGCCCCAGTATCCACAGTTGTCGCAAAACTGTCGCTGCGGCGGACCACCTGCGGGCGGCGGAGCAGCGTGTGAGGCAGCGTATGAGAGCGGCGGAGCGAGGAGAAGAGCCTCGAGTTCTGCAGGATTGAGCGGTGGCGGCATAGAGCTCTCGATAGAGAGGAGAGCGTCATCGCCGTACGAAGGCTGTGTCATTGGTCGACTGGCCGCTACGCCTGAGGGTGTAGGCCCTGGTGTGGTTTCTGGAGGCGTCGGAGGTACGGACGTCCTGGTGCTCTGTCTTCGACCGCTTCGCGAGGAAGCCGCAACCGTACGTGGCGGAGGTGCTTGCTGGAGCTGGGCTTCTTCGTCGTCGAGCCAATGCTTGATCTGTCGTTGGTACTGTATAATTCTCCGCGCATTCTGCGTCTTTGGTAGAGCTGGGAAATAAGATCAGCAAATGTTTTACATTGATTGAATACATGACTAACCTGGTTTGCCGGGTATAGGTATGCTTTGCTTGGGATCGTTGTCTCTCTCCAGCTCAGCTATGCGCCGCGCGACAGCCGTCTGCTGTCGCGCTGAAAGCTCATTCTCGCCGCGCTGACCTCCGGGTTGCGCTGCGACGCGCTTTTTGTTCTTTGGGTTGATGGCGACTTTGGAGGGATCATATCCCGTGTCGACTACGTAGGTCCATCCGGGAGCGACCGCCGCGGCCGAGTTCGGGAGCACTTCGACGTGTGGCATAGTTGTGTTGCGGACGCCTAGTGCAACTTCCGATAGCTGTGGGGAATAAGAAAGTCGGGACACGTGCTCACGCGCCAAAGGAAGGCGCCACCCGTAATACCAAGGCGGGGTACACCATATCGATATAAATCGTTCTGTATTGTGGGGTGGCTGTAGGTCATCATCTTCCGATTGCTTTTTTTGAGTAGGAGTCAACCCTGTGCACATCATGCCTGCCGAGAGGAAACCGCCCATAATCATCCCACCTTCTGAGCCGCCTCAAGACGCCACAAAATCTGCGGCCATCATCTTCGTCCATGGCCTAGGTGATGAAGCAGAAGGCCCTGAAAGTTGGTCGAATTTGGCAAGAACCACTAGCTAGGACCTAACCACTACACAGGCATTGCACGTCAGTTCCAGCGCGCTGGCAAGCTCCCACACATGACATGGGTGCTTCCCAATGCCCTTGAAAACCACGATCTGGCAACTACGGCTTGGTTCATGCCCACAAGACTATCACCCTACCCACCATCCAGGCCTGAGCTGGAAGACGATGAAGACGAGGAGGGCATGATGGCCACTGTGGCCTATCTAACCACTCTAATCGATGACCTGGTGAAGCAAGGCATTCCCGAGAAGAGGATCGTGCTCGGAGGGTTTTCGCAAGGACATGCTATGGCACTTCTTACTGGCCTGGTCTCTCGGTACGCTGGGAAACTCGGGGGGCTGGTTGGGTTGTCAGGGTTTATGCCTATAGCAGAAAGAGTTCCGGCTCTTAGAGAAGAGGCGGGCCTGTCAAAGGACGTGGATGATGACGTTGAAGTGTTTGTAGCAAGGGGAAGTGCTGATAGACTTGTTCCGAAGCGCTATCATCGCATTTGTTACGAGTCGTTGTATGGGTATGGAGTCAGAAAAGAGCTGGTGACGGTGAATGAGTATGAGGGGATGGGGCATTCCATGAATGCAGCAGAACTACGGGACCTTTGTGCGTGGCTCGAAAAGGTCATCCCGGCGCAGGAGTAATGGCATGTTTAGAGACATCGAAGTTGGAGATGGTCGTAGCAAAATGAATCGTGGTTGGTGGAGTAGACGAGCCCTTGCCTAGGCAGCGTCAGCACCATCACGGCCGTATCTCTCATACTTGACCATCTCCTAGATCATCCAGTTGTAAGTCCTCCAACCCCACACCATGCTGCCATGTCGCGTCGCCCCAGGAATTCGCGTTCACGACGCGGGCGTGATGGGGCTCTGACAGCCCCACATGCGACCTACCTCGTCGCTCCGTCTTGATTTCTTCGGCCACCAGTCCCGATACTGATCGCCGAACAGCAACTTGCCCGCCATGCCTGCTATCTTGGATGACCCAACTGCGCCCGTCCAGTTCAGAACGTCAGGCCAGGTTCCGTACCCTCCGCCTGGCGGTCCGTTGCCTGTGGGCATCCACCCGTGTCCAGTTACTCTGCGCGACCGTACCACGATTGCGACCATCATCCCGTTCTCTGCGCCCAACCAGGTGCCCCTCACATTGCTGGCGTACCTATGCGACCAGCTGGGTCGCGAGATTGAGAAAGGCGACACGTACCCTATGGTCGATTCGCTACCTCTGGAAACCTTTGGCCCGTATTGGTTCGGTGTCTTTGGCGCTATCATGCTCTTGGGCGAGATACAGGACGGGCGAGAGCTGCATGATATGGCGCGGAGAGGCTGCGACTGGGAGAGGGAATGTCTGGGAAGTTTTTACATAAAGCCAAACTACCCCGGAAGGTCCAGTCACGTCTGCAATGGTGGCTTCTTGGTCACGGATGCATCGCGGAATCGAGGTGTCGGTCGTCTGATGGGCGAGACGTATCTGGACTGGGCGCCAAAGCTGGTAAGTCTACTTATACTCGTCCATAAATCCCATACTAAGCTTATCAGGGCTACACATACTCCGTTTTCAACCTCGTCTACGAGACCAACGTAGCCTCCTGCCGGATATGGGATGCGCTTGGCTTCAAACGGATTGGCCGTGTTAAGGGTTGTGGTAATCTCAAGTCCTACCCAGGCGAGCTAGTGGACGCAATCATATACGGTCGCGATCTTGGACAAGACGATGATGTTGTGTCAGAAGAGCGCTTTGACAAGATCCGGTTCTATCTCAAGAACAACAAATATCCCAACGGTGCCGACAGGGCAGAGAAGAGCCGTCTCCGCAGTGCCGCCACGCACTACAAGCTTACTCCTGCGACGGACGACGAACCGGAGAAGCTCTGGCTTAAAGGCAAAGAAGTTATCGCGGACCCACAACAGCAGTACGACATCGCGCGAGACATCCACCACAAGTCACATGGTGGCATCAACAAGACCACTGCTGCCATTGCGGAATTATATCATTGGGTGCGCATCAAGGAGACTGTCAGTCAGGTCATTCGCAACTGTCCCGAGTGTAGCGAGATGAACAAGGGCCTTTCAACTATTCGCACAAATCAATCAGCACGGTTCTTGCAATCGAACGGTGCATTGCAATCAAACAGCGTACTGCAATCGAACGAACAGCAATCTCATACACCGACCCCACCTATCCAGTACTCACAACACAACCCGCTTCATCGTCAGGACTCACAGAGCAATCAACTCCAACTGCCTACTCAACAACACCACGACCCCTATCCTCCGTACGTCCCAAATACTGCCTTCGACATGCCGGTAGATCCTGCACTGATGGAGGGGGTCAGCATGAACCTTGCAGACCTCCCTCCGTCGCCTTTCCTTGCTGCTGGCCAAAGTTATAGTAGTATCCCCCAGATGGGCAACCTTGATCCATCGGCAGCTCATTTTCATGACAATTCTCCCAATATGAGTATTGATTCGCCGAGTACGGAAGAGCCAGCTCCGGGTACGAGGGATGAGCTACAGCGCAGGATTGCTGCGTATGTTGAGACTCCGAGGCGATGAGACTGACGTGATGTGATAGATGAGTTGAAATATGAGTACGACTTCAAGTTCGGTTTTTACAACTTTCGACGAAACGATTTGCCGGGTGTGGTATTCACAGCCCCGTTACAGCGTCTGGGCTATCCTCCAGTGTCGGGCGCTGCTTCCACCAGTCTGTTCCAAGACTTGAATACTTGGGAGTGGAAGGCGAAGAATGGGTTGGGAGGACACAAACGATATCCCTGAGCGTACAGCGTTTTCTGTCTAAGAAGTAGTTGTAACACACCTACCTATGTTTGGTGAATTCAAAACAAAGTCAAGTGATTGACATTCCATCTATCTCCAAAATCCTTGATTCTGCGTATGAGGTCTATTGTCATATATATCCCATTGCCCACCACCACCAAGCCTCCCCTATCCATCAAACAACCCCCAATCCTTGATCTCAAAGCTCTGCAAGATCTGACTCCGCACCGTCGCGCTATCCTTCATCAACTTCGTCTCGCCCCCGTTCTGCGCCTTCTCATACTCGCCCGCGTAATGTGGAACGTTGATTGAAACCATCATATCCGTCGCCTTCTCCTTCAACCGCAGCAGAAATAGATGCACGTACACAAACTCCGGTATCTTGCGTCGCGGCTCCGGCTGCGGTGTTTGGATAAACGTCAAGGCAAGCACTGGTTTACCACTTGCTGTAGCGTTAGTTTCGGGTTCATCTCCAGTGAACAGACGATCTTTACGCCGATAAATCGAATGAAATCGAATGAAATGAAATGAGAAATGTGTACTCACGGTACCTTAGCCATAGCTTCATCGCTCTGAACTAGTATATTCGTATGGTCCCCCGTCCCGTCTACGAGGTCCGCGAAATGATGCTGCAACGCCTCGCCATCGCTGGGCTTGCGCACGTACTCGAGGATCTCAACGACGATGGACGAGTAGCCGTCGTTGTCGAGGTAGACTTCCTGGTGGTCGGGGATTTGTCGGATCTGGCTGCGTGGTGTCAGTGCGTGGGATACATGGTGTCGGGATGTGGGGGTGAGGATGTGGAGGGGGTTGGAATTTTAGAGATGCAAACGGACCTTGCGTCGCCGAAGTTTGATGGCAGGTCGACGGTTATGGCGCCGCCGAAGAGTGGGGTGTTTGTGAAGGCCATGTTTTGGCTGTTCGTTGTTGTTGATGTGAGGCGACGGTGATTGTAGTGAGGCTGGCTGTGTGAGTTGTGTGTTGGAGAGCTAACTTTTATGTTTGAATCACGTAGGCAGCGATCAGGCAGTTTCAGGTACCACGACAAGCGGATGCCTAGTTCACTCAACAGCGATGTTCAGAGCAGAGCCTCAATCAATGTTAAAGATGTTTGGATGAGTCGAATAAGATTTGTAAGCAAGTATGATTTGCTTGGGGGTATCGTTTGAACTTTTGTGTCCTAGATGCTCCAATTTGAACGCCGTGCAATGCAACCATGTCCCAGGTGAAATTTTCACTCTCAGGCAGCACATGTCTAGTGTTTGCCTGTTGATGCCTGCAGCACATGTCTTCCTCCAGTATATCTTTGTAATATCTTTTCATACGTGCTGACCCCCAACCCTATGAACGCTCAGTTCGCGACAACCTCATCATCGACCTCCATAGGCGCAGTTGTGCGCTTGCCATTGTCTGTTGTGAGGCCTATCGCCGCCTCTGCCTCCTTCTGGGAATACGGTTCTTCGCGAAGCTGCTTCACTCTGAAAAAGTCGTTAGTGATAATCAAGACCTTGAACGCGTCTCCCTACCGTCGCTTGTGCACTTTGCCCTTCTGATGCGCCCCGAGGTTGGCCTCGCTCTCGAACCATTTTGCGCACTCCTTGCAGTACCATTGCCCCAGTCCTGGCAGGTCCTCTATAAATTTTTCATCCTTGAATTGGGCGAGATGCTTTTCATCGTGCAAGTCGGCGTGTATCTGATCGAGATCGCGTGTGTGTCGCCGTGTCTTCTTCTTGGAGTCTTGTCCACGTATCGCAGGCATGGTGGTAGTGATGGTATCCGCGGCCGTCGGTAGTTAATGCGAATCCGTGAAAAAGATTCGGGAACAGGGCGGAACGTGCGGCGAAAGAGGACCTGCAGACAAGGCAGAGATTTCGCGGAATCCAATCAGGCCTTGGCGGATGCAACACAGCGTCAAAAGCACGCAGCGCTACTGCGTGAACTGGTCTGGAGACGTACAAAAAATGTGACGTCTGTAGTAATTTTGTTGCGTGAAGACGAACGTGTATTGGCCGACTGTGCATGTTGTTATCGCGCGCCAATCAATCATCACTCCCCCAAGAAGCGAAGGAGTGCGGGGGTCCATGAGCCGGTGGCTGAGTGACGCCATGGCAACTGTCTCCCACATGCTCTCTATAATACTCGCAAATTCAGACGGGGACGAGAGTAATCTCAAAGGTATTTCATGAATACCCCCACTGCTTAATTGCGTCCCTTGCCTCTATCCGCAACCCCACCCTTTTTCCAGGTGTGAAACGGGCAAGCGGCTCAAAACAGCTGCCGAGGATACTGAATACTGCTTAGTTCACAGCACATCTGATTGGCCCACACAACTTGAAGCGACTCTGAAGCTTGATCACTTGTGTTCCTCTTTTCCTCGGCACTCCTCCATCACTCTTCTACTCCACTCTACCCTCCCCAACCACATTCACCATGCAGAAGTTCTCGAGGCTCGGCCGCATGGGCCAGAGCCTTGCTTCGCGCAGGCAAATGGCCACTGTCAGCGATTCACCGCTCTCCCGCAAGGTCGAAATGACCAACTGGGAGAAGGGCAACTTCATCAACTACCAGAAGATGAGCGAGAACCTCCAGATTGTGCGTGGGCGATTGAACCGTCCGCTCGCGCTCGCTGAGAAGATTCTCTACTCCCACTTGGACGACCCGCACAACCAGGAAATTGAGCGTGGCAGCAGCTACCTCAAGCTCCGTCCTGACCGTGTAGCTTGCCAGGATGCCACTGCTCAGATGGCCATCCTCCAATTCATGTCAGCGGGCATGCCCTCCGTTGCTACGCCCTCCACCGTCCACTGCGATCATCTTATCGAGGCTCAGACTGGTGGTCCTAAGGATTTGGCTCGCGCTGTCGATATCAACAAGGAAGTTTACGACTTCTTGTCTAGTTCTTGCGCAAAGTACAACATTGGTTTCTGGAAGCCTGGGTCTGGTATCATCCATCAGATCATCCTCGAGAACTACGCTTTCCCTGGTGCTCTGCTCATCGGTACCGACTCGCACACTCCCAACGCTGGTGGTCTCGGTATGGCCGCTATTGGAGTTGGAGGCATGTATCACCTATCCTCGCAATCAGATACTAGACTAATACGTGTAATTAGGTGCTGATGCCGTTGACGTCATGGCTGGTCTTCCCTGGGAATTGAAGGCTCCCAAGGTCATTGGTGTTAAGCTCACTGGCAAGCTTTCAGGTTGGACATCTCCCAAGGGTACGTCATTCTCTTATCCGAGGTTACCTAATACAATGCCGTTGCAGCTCGACCAATCAACACGCACGTGTCATTGAAGCACAACAAACTAACTCCAAATGTTTTAGATATCATTCTCAAGGTTGCTGGCATTCTTACCGTCAAGGGCGGAACTGGCGCCATCGTTGAATACTTCGGCCCTGGTACCGAGACTCTGTCATGCACGGGCATGGCCACAATCTGCAACATGGGAGCCGAGATTGGTGCTACCACCTCCGTCTTCCCCTTCAACGACCGCATGTACGACTACCTCGCTGCTACCAAGCGTAAAGACATTGGTGACTTCTCTCGCGAGTATGCTCAGGAGCTTCGCGAGGACGAGGGTGCCGAATACGACCAGCTGATCGAGATCAACCTCTCTGAACTCGAGCCTCACATCAACGGTCCCTTCACTCCCGATCTTGCTACCCCCATCAGCAAGTTCAAGGAGGCTGTCAAGGCTAACAACTGGCCCGCGGAGCTGAAGGTCGGTCTTATTGGTTCTTGCACCAACTCCTCGTACGAGGACATGTCTCGTGCGGCCTCCATCGCCCGCGATGCTATGGAACACGGTATCAAGTCCAAGGCTATCTTCAATGTCAGCCCCGGCAGTGAGCAGATTCGTGCCACAATCGAGAGAGACGGCCAGCTCAAGACCTTTGAGGAGTTCGGCGGTATGGTTCTCGCCAACGCTTGCGGGTGTGTAGTCTTCAACCCACCATATACTTTGACTCTGCTAACATGAAAAAGTCCCTGTATCGGGCAGTGGGACCGTCAAGATGTCAAGAAGGGCGTTGCCAACTCCATCGTATCCTCCTTCAACCGTAACTTTACCGGTCGCAACGACGCTAACCCTGCTACCCACTCTTTCGTCACTTCGCCCGATCTTGTCGTCGCCTTGAGCATTGCTGGAACTCTCAATTTTAACCCATTGCAGGACACATTGACAGACTCCAACGGCAAGGAGTTCAAGCTTAAGGAGCCTACCGGTAACGGTCTTCCCGACAGAGGTTATGACCCTGGGCAGGACACCTACCAGGCGCCTCCTGCCGATCGCTCAACCGTCAATGTCGCCGTTTCGCCCACTTCCGACCGTCTCCAGCTCCTGTCGCCTTTCGAGGCCTGGAACGGCAAGGACGCCACGGACCTGCCCATCCTGATCAAGTGCAAGGGCAAGACCACCACTGACCACATTTCGATGGCTGGTCCTTGGTTGAAGTACCGTGGACATTTGGACAACATCTCCAACAACATGCTTATCGGCGCTATCAACTCCGAGAACGGCGAGGCCAATAAGGTCAAGAACTCTCTGAGCGGCGGGTATGGTGCTGTTCCTGATGTTGCCCGTGACTACAAGAAGAACGGCGTCAAGTGGGTCGTTGTTGGTGACTGGAACTACGGCGAGGGCTCTTCCCGTGAGCACGCTGCCCTTGAGCCAAGGCACTTGGGTGGTCTTGCCATCATTGTCCGCTCCTTCGCTCGTATTGTGAGTTTTTCGAAAGCTGGACATTTTGAGATCTTTGCGCTAACAGGTTGCAGCACGAGACCAACTTGAAGAAGCAGGGTATGCTTCCTCTTACTTTCTCCGACCCTGCCGACTACGAGAAGATCGGCCCCAACGACCGCGTCGACCTGAAGTGCACTGAGCTCGCTGTTGGCAAGCCCATCACTCTTGTTGTCCACCCCGCCGACGGCGGCAAGGCCATCGACATCAAGCTCTCCCACACCTTCAACGAGGGCCAAATGGAGTGGTTCAAGAACGGCAGTGCTCTCAACACCATGGCCAAGGCGGCCAAGGCATAGATGTTTTATGAATAGTGAGGATGAAAACTATCGCCACTGGGGATGTAGATATTGGGCGGGATACCCCAGACGTGTCTGATGAGGATGAACGAAGAAGTCTGGTTCCGAAGGACAAGAATAACGGCACACGAGACGACCGAGCGCCCTTTGATTGGGTGGTCTGTGGCTGGAGAAATTTTCTATGAGCCTTTTCGGACTCGGTTCAGTTGGGATCGGCTTGTATTTGTGATCGGTGTTAGCATGCAATGTATGATTGTTTCCTGTTCAAAATGATGACCTTCATATCATTTATGGTTTTGTGATATCTGTGATCTTTTGCAAATTATCTGAATTGGCCATGAGGGGAATCACATCTCAAACGGCAGGTTGGCTAGGCTGAATTTAATCCACTTTGCAGCTTTCTCGTGAATTTTCAATGGCACTGAACTATGCTAAAGCTATATACACATGCTTTGTTTCAGAAATTTGCATAATGCCGTTTGCATTCAAGCAACAATATCAGCACATGTTAATACACGTGACGTAATAGTCTCCCAGACAACGAGCAACAACACAAACATTCCCCGCGTGAGATCATCATTGAGCTCGCACATTTCTTTTTTGGCAGACCTACACTAACAAACGTTCTGCACACACCACAAATCTTCGTATTCATCTCGCACATCTTTAAAGATAGCAAAGTAAGGCACACTCCCAACGCCAACATGGCCCGTTTACGCGTGCCGAGCGCAAACCAATCGGCTGTCGCTACACCATCGACTGAGACGAGAGCCCCGCGCAGCCAGAAGAGTTCGCAGAAGCCAGCCCTCTCGACCCGGTCCACTTCAACACATGAGCAAGATGAGCCGGCACCCATGCCGAAAACCTCGAAGCGGGAATTGCGGTACATGGACACATCATTCCAAGACTCGGAAAACACGCCCTTCAAGCCCAAAGCCCCCTCCCCAGTCAAGCCCTTGAGTCCGCGCAAACAGCGCGTTCTGGGCCCCATTGGTAGCAACAGTCGGTTGTTGAGGAAGCTGAGCGACGAGACTCTGGCTAGTCCTGAGAAGAAGGATAAGAGAGAGCGGAGGGTGCGAAGTGGAACCGCGGATGTTGATGTTGTTAAGAAACAACGGCTGATGTATGCGAAGAGTTTGGCGAAGAGTGTTGCGGGGAGAAGGGCGAATAAGGGGAGGATCGATGTTGTTGGGCTGCCGGAGGTGAGGAGAGAAGAGCAGGTTGAGGTGAGGGATGTACAGGAAGAGGATGGGGATGTAGATATGGATGTGGATGTGGATGTGGATGGTGAGGCGGAGACGAGTCTTTGGTGTGGAGATGAGCAGGATGTTGAGCCGGAACTCGCTCAAAATCAAGAGGTGGAAGAGCGCACCGAAGCTGAAGAAGAGGATGAGGAGGAAGACGATGACGATGAGCCTGTTGTCTTCGTCAGGCAGAGGCAACGTCAGGTGCGGAGTCGGGCTGTGCAGTCTGATACTGAGGACGAAGAGGAGGACCAGCTCGAAGAGGCAAAGAGACGTACCCATCTACCCTCTCCAGAATCCATGGACCATGAAGCAGCTCAGGAGCCAGTAGTGGAGGAGCCAAAGCCTCTTGTTTCCATGCGGCCACCGTTCAAGAAGGGTCACAGCACTATCTCCAACTGGGCACAGGAAGTCATTGATCTCACAAATTCCCCTGAACCTCCCGCGTCTTTCATCCTCCCACCACCAAACAGGGCTCGGACAGCTTCTTTCGCAGCATCTTCCCGTCCCACAAGCTCGGACTCGAACGCTGCAATGGCGGTGCTCACGTAGTATGTCACCTCCCGATTCCACCATCTGCTGGACCACTCCAGGCCTGTGAAAGGCCAGTATGTCCTGTCTGAGAGGTTGGCATGTTGCGGCCATGCTAACATACCATGCAGCTCTCCAACTCCCACCAAGCAACGTTCTCCATGCAAAGCACCCCCTCTCGTGCGTCCTATAACGCCTCCTGCACTTCCTGCCAGCCCATCAAAGCTCGTCTCGCCCTCGAAAAAGAAGCCCTTAGTCCCGAAAGCACCAGACCTCCGCCCAAGCCTCGACACATTCTGGAACCCCGAAGTAGTGAACGATTGGAACGACCGTCACGCACCCTCGAAACCGCTCGTTTCGCCCAAAAAGCAGAAGTGGCGCGAAGACATCGTCAAGATGATGGAGGGCGTCAATCTAGAGGATAACAACAGCAGCAGCGGTGAAGACATCAAGCCCCCAACAACAAGCCCAAAGAAGAAGCAAGACCCAAAACGCACCACCACCACAACCACCACCACCAACCCACCAAAAAAATCCCCCACAGAGCCCTCCACAAAAGAACTCCGCGCCCAAAGAAAAGACTTCGCAACCCGCAAACACGACCTAGCAACCACCTTCCTCACCACGCTCGACACCACCATAAGCTCCGGCCGCATCGCCGCCCTCTCCCACTCCACCGGCGGTATAAAACTCCTCTGGTCCAAAACCCTCAAAACAACAGCCGGCCGCGCAAACTGGCGGCGCGAGCAACTCCGCATCCGGTGCGGCCCCCATCCCAACGACTTCCGCGTAGAAATCCGACACCACTGCTCGATCGAGCTCGCGGAAAAAGTCATCGACGACGAAGAACGCCTGTACAACGTCCTCGCGCACGAGTTCTGCCATTTGACGACCTTCATGATAAGCGACGTGCGCAACAATCCGCACGGCGCGGAATTCAAGTCCTGGGGCCGTCGCGCGACTGCCGCCTTTGCCGATAGGGGGGTGGAAGTCACGACGAAACACGCGTATCAGATTGAGTACAAGTATATCTGGGAGTGTGTGGCGTGCGGGTATGAGTTCAAAAGGCATTCGAAATCTGTGGATCCGGGGCGCCATTCTTGTGGGAGGTGTAAAGGGGGGTTGGTGCAGACGAAACCTACGCCTAGGGCGACGGGGGAGGGTAAGGGGGGGAAGAGCGAGTATCAGGTTTTTGTTAAGGAGCATTTTGCGGATGTGAAGAGGGGGTTGGAGGGTAGGGGGTTGGATGCGCAGATGGGGAGGGTGATGGAGGAGGTGGCGAGGCAGTATAGGGAGATGAAGGCGGAGAGTGCGAGGGTGGTGGGGGAGGAGGCTGGTGGTGGTGGGTTGGAGGAGGCGCTGGGGGGGTTGAGGATATGATTCTTGGGATTGGGGTGTCGTCTATGCTGGTGTTGGTTCCTTGTTTTTGTTTATGGCGTTGAGGAGTACTGGCGGGTAACGAACATCTGTATGATTAATGAGTCTTTTATTGTGTAAGTCTTGTTATCTTAGGATGAAGATTTTCAAACGTGGGCCTTAGTCTTTACTTGTAAGACACTTGTAACGACAGATCAAATTGTTCAGATCACGCACATGGTCAAAATCGGTGATGTTCGTCGAATAATGGTTTTCTATTTTGCTAACATCGTCTACGCTCCAAGACATCCAACTCTGCACCCCTTCGTCCCAGCGTCCACAGCCAGGCGCTAGCTCTGCGACAGCTGTGACGAGGCATGATCGTACAACCGATTCACAAAACAAACGTCCAAAGATAGCAGACGACAGAAATGTGGGGAGAGCAGCAGGCCAATCATCAAGACTCACATGAGAAATTCTCACGCAAGCCTGCAACGATATCCAAAGACTTCTAGCCCACGAAGCCCAGGCCACTCAGCTCCTTGCGGATCGACTCCTCGGTGGCGATCTTCTTGACCTGGGTATCCTCTAGCTTCTCGCCGCCAGCTTGCCTCATCTTCAGCTCGTCAATTGCGCGGACCTTCTTAAGCAAGCCGCGGATCTTCTTATCCTGAGGATTTCCTCCGTCGCCAGGACTGGTGACGGTAAGATCTGGAGCTGGGCCACGGTTCTCGGTCTGGATCGGGGGAGGCGCCTGGGTAGGGCCGGCGCGTTGGTTCTGTTGTTGGCCAAAATTCTGGCGGGGACGACCCTCGCGTCCAGCCTGGCGGTTCGGGCTGTTGCCATAGTCGCGCTGATGACTGGGACTCCTTCCTGTCTGGTTTCCATAGCCTCCATTCTTGCTATGGCTGCGCTGACGACGCTCGGGGCTTCTAGCCGGTCCGGTCGGGGTGTTGATGCCGTCAGCACCGAGATTGGCAGTCTTTTCGGCAATCTCGCGAGCTTTCTTAGCTTCTCGCTTCTTCTTGTTCTTCAAAGCTGCCTTTGATAGTTCTCCATCACCTTCACCAGTGCCAGACAAGCTGACACCACCGCCGGGAGCGGCACCTGGTGGAAGAGTTTCGACAGTCTCCGCACCAGGCACTTCGCGGCGACGAGGCTTTCCAAACCCATTCTGAAATCCTACATTGGTGGAAGACACTCCGGTGTTGAAGTATGCTGCACCACCCTCATCCTCGCGCTTGAACAGAAGTGGAGTGGTTGTGCCTCGTGCTCCAGGGGGACGATACGCACCGGCAGGCTTGGAAGGCGTCTTTTGCGTGCTGAGGAACGTCGCAGCGGAGGGATGCGGCGCGGGCGCAGTCAGCGCATTATCCAGAGGATGCGCTGCAGCAGACTCCGGTCGCCAGGTGACGTGGTATAACTCCGTCATCGGTTCGTAGTACATCAAACCTCCACTAATATGGTAGATGCGAATTCCGTTATCAACACGGAGACGCGGGCTAGTGATAGCTGTAAGGATATGCTTGCCATCAGGACTCCAGTCGCAGTAGGTGCAGTTGGAAGCTTTGACGGTGCACACTTTGGCGTAGTTCTTCTCAAGATCGTAGATGTCCATATCACCAGCCAGATTTCCAAAACCAGCCACGATAACAAAACGCCCGTGTAGGGAGAAGTTGATGGTGTTTCGCGGGCCCAAGTCGAAGCTGTGCTGAGGAACGGCACGGTGGTTGAAGATGGTCGTCTTCGCTGGCATGTATCCGTACACGACACCAAATTCATTCGAGTTTGGGGACCAGGAGACGTCGTGGATGGGCCCCTCCTTGTCAAGCTGGATGCGCGAGTCAAAAGTCCCGTTCGCGCTGAGGATGTACATGTTCGTTTCGCCGTAGTAGCTCTTGTTCGTCTTGTCGACCTCGGTCTGCGCAAGTACGATCAGACTGGTGCCCAAGTTGTTCCACTTCAGCTGGACCTTGTCGCTCTTGAAGAAGGTCTTCTGGCCGACGGGAGCGTTGAACTGGGGAACCTGGAAGACCTTGACCGAGGCTGGCATGCCCTGCTTAGAGGTTAGTCTTGATTCCACTGTGCGTCTGTTGTCGCAAACTCGCCTTGCGCTCTGGGACAAAAACAGCAACTGAATGGTTTTTGCCAGGCGATAGTGCGAAGTCGGTCACTCCTTCAACGCGGAGCTTGTTCCATGGGGCGCGCAGGTCCCCGGACTGGTAGAACTGCACCTCGTTTGTCACAACGCGCGCGCAGAACTTCTCGTCCGAGGTGTACTGCAGGTTCCACCCCGTCTGGTTCTTCTGCACATATTCGCCAACGACGGAGTGCTCTCCCTCGGCCTCGTCCGAGACGGTCCTCCAGACCTTTAGGTTCTTCGTGGCATCGCCGTTTTCGTCTTTGGTAGGACGCTGCCAGGTTATGATGAATGTCCCCAGGGGAGAGAAGCCCAGCTCGAAGACGTTTGGCGTGGGGAGCGTAGTGATGACGTGACCGGCCGAGGCGTCGATTACCGAGACTCTGAGCGGATGAATGTCAGGCAGGTCTTGTGTGCTTGGCGAAGTGCTTACTGTTCGGGCGAGGCCCATGCAAAGTACTTGCTGTCAGGCGAGTAACAGCAGCAGCGAAGGTTGCCCTCAGGTCTGGTGCACACAAGTCAGTGCTGTAATGCGGTAGATTATGCGTGATTCTTACCGTGTGAAGCCGGGAAGAGGCTCGTACTCTGGAGCCGCATTGAAGACGCCGATGCCCTTGGAGGTGCGATCTACACGTTGCCGTCAGCTCAGGTCCACGACAAGCATCTGCTGCAGACATACAAGCCAACTGTGTGGGAGCCGCCATGACTAGTCAAAGTCACAGTAGGAGATACAGAGTGGGCGGGCAGGCAAGGTGCTGGTGGTCGCGAGTCTGGCTCAACAGCGGAGTTGTTGCGTTGTTGGCGGCGAGGCTAAGAGTTTGGGGAACACGTCGGATATTTCGAGTGTGACGTAGCTCTGGGGGTTTGAATGGCCAAATTTGCAGACTGTGGGGCGCACGCAGCGGCGATGGGGGCGGGCGAGGAGAAGGGGGAGGGGAGCACGGCGAGCGTATTGAAGGGGGGCCGTGTGACGAGCGCAGTGAATAGCCCAGGACAGGCCCAGGAAAGAAAACAGTGTTGCGAACGCGCTACGGCGTCGGAGAAACCCCTCGGCCGCTGTCAGTTCGACGATGACATGTCGCGTGTTCGCTGAGCACGACGCGGTTGGACACGGGATCGCGGGGTTGTTTTGGCCAGAGGATCAGCATGGTTGTATGAATGAGCCAGACAACATCTCCATGTCTGGGTAGGGAAGTTTGTCTGGAACTTCTCCAGCCCTACCCGTCTGCCGCCGGCACGTTATCGTTATCTTAGCGCCATCTCAAGCCTCGGAGGCTCTAACCACGCCATGTCCAACCTCGACTCCCAGCTCCCCAATCCACGTCCATCTCCACTCCAAACCCGCCAAAATGCCACCCTCAATGCCCGCCCCCTCGATTCGAATACCAATCGAACTCCTCACCCCCACCGCATTCTCCCAGTTCGGCACCGTAGTCGAGAACCCCGCGCAAGCTCCGTCCTCCAAGCTCCCCATCCCCAACCGCATACCACCGCCCGACGCCGTCAACGCGAACCAAGGCTCCGCAGTCAAATACCTCGATGTCACCCACATGTCGAACCTGTACAGTCTCGCGCCGAGCAAAAAGCCCGCCAAAGCAGTCATGAACATGTTTGTCTGCTCACCGCGGGACCTGCGCGGCCACGAGCCGAGCGAGAGCATTCCCTCGTCATGGGGAGACTTGGAGCTCGACGACGACAACGACGACGACTCGCACTCGAGACAATTGCTGGACGTGGGAATTCTCGAACGCCACCCGTTCACCACGCAGACATTCATCCCCATGGGCCTGAGCTCGCAGGACAAACACACGCAGTACCTGGTCGTCGTCGCGCCCACACTGCCTGCCAGCGCGTCGAGGAGAAACACAGGAAGACCGCCCCCGTACCCTGTGCCAGAGACTCAGAAAAGAAACAGCATCAGAGACATCTTCTCGAGAGCGAGGCCGGCGCTGTACGCGAACGATCTAGCTGCGCCTCCCTCCTCGCAGATCGCGCGTCTTCACCCCTCTGCACGCCCAAAGGGGCCAGGTCTGCCAGATCTCAAGAATCTCCGCGCTTTTGTCGCGACGGGGTGTCAAGCCGTCACGTATGGGGCGGGGACATGGCATGCGCCTATGGTTGTGATTGGGGACCGACCCATCGATTTTGTCGTCGTGCAGTTTGCGAATCAAGTCGGTCTCGAGGACTGCCAGGAGATTCTCCTGGCGCCACAAGGGACTGCGAAAGAAGGCATCGTAGTGACAGTGGACAGTGATTCCTCAGGAAAAGTGCAAATCAAGGCCGGAGTAGGGTCTGTCCGAGCGAAACTGTGAGGGGCTCATACTTGGAGTCACAACAACCCAATGCTAATCTTTCAATATCTCCAAAAAAAATACAAGCGACGTGTGTTTTTACCTCCTCCTCCCCACCCCCGTCCCACTCCCACCCTCCTTATCCGCCAAACTAACCACCTCCCCAATCCCCGCCGCCTCCTGCTCATCCTCCAACGCGCGAATCTCCTCCCTGCAATCCCACCACTTGTCCTCCGCCTGTCCAAACGCCAGTTTCTTGATCTCCTTGGGCGACCTGTCCGCGCCCCTACCGCTCCTGCCCAGCTCCTCGATCGTGAGGTTCTGCCACTGCTCCGACGTGCGCGCGTAAAAGTCGCGCAGCGTTTCGAACGGGCGCGGGTGCGGCAGGGTATCTGTGAGGGCGGAAATTTCCTCCGTGGTGCCCAGGTCCTCGTCTTTTGCGGCGTGCACGAGGGGCGAGTCGGTGGCGCTGGTGGGCGCTGTGGAGATGCTGGTGTCGTCTTCTTCTTCGACGCCGTCGTCGTCGTCTGAGTCCGAGTACTCCTCGTCGTCTGAATCTGCTTCGTCGTCGCTGCCCTGCCAGTCGTCTAGCTCGCGGCGGAAGATCTCCGTCACGCCGTCGAGGTGGTTGAGGTTTACGGACCACAGCTCGTCGAAAGTGAATTCGCGATCGCCCTTTTCAAACGTGCCGCCGTAGATGTACAGCGTGTCGCCCTGCACCGTAAGCGCGGCATTGAAGCGCGGGTGGGGAAACTCGTAGACGCGAGGCTTCTCCGGACGTTCGATTTCCTCCTCCTCGTCTTCCTTCTTCGCGTCCTCCTCATCGTCCGAGTCGGCGACGCCGGCCTTCATCTCCAGCGCTTTCAGGTTGGCCAGCAGCTCTTCCTCTGCTGCTTTCCCGCGGTCGCGGCGGTTGATGTTAGCTTGCTGTGCGGCTTTCTTGTTTGCGTTGGTCTTTGGCCGGCGCAGGATAAGTGGCATGTATCTGTTTCGCTCTACGTTCCACACGAACATCTGGTTGAAGAATTCAGAGTCAATACCTTCCTCGCTTTCTTCGACGTCGTGCACGCCGCCGAATAGTACGCCGCGGCCCTTGTGGTACGCCATTGTGGCGCCGGCGCGTGGTGGATTCGGTGCGTTGGCGGGTTTCTTGCGCTTCTCCCACGACACGATTGGGAGTGTTGTAGAAGGCTGATCCGAAGGAGGGGGTGTGAGGCGCAAAAACCACGTATCGTCGTGGACTTTTGGCTTGAGGACCATGCGGGAAGCTGGGCCGCCACCTCCGCCCTTCTTGCCCTTGCCTTGTTGCTGCTGTTGCTGTTTACCTCCAACCACGGCCTTGATGCGAGAGTACCCGCCGAAGATAACAGCGCCTTGCTCATGGGGTAGAAGCGTGAAGCTCGACCGCGGGTCTGGGACGGCTCGTGCGGCCTGCAGTTTCGGCGTGTGCCATGCAAAGTTGACACAGTCGTATATCCAGATGTCGTTGAGGTACTTTGTCGTCACGGATGTATCCTGGAACCCTCCGAACAGGATGATGTACTGCTTAAATCCCACCATGCGATGTCCACTGCGCGCCGGAGGACCAGGTGCCTTGCTCTTCCCTTCCACGCGCGTCCACTCCCTATTCGTCGGATCCAGACGCCAAAAGTCATTGTAGTGGTAAAACGTGCCCTGCTTCGGAGAGCTGAACTCCCCCCCAAACAGGTAGATATCCTTCGTATTCGCCGCCCTGCACCAAGCATGGCCCGACCGCGGCAGCGGCGAGTTAGGACTCGTGACCTTCTTCCACGACTCCTGCTTGACATTGTAGACGTGCAGATCGTTGAAGAACTTGGCAGTAGCGCCGTTGAAGTACTCCCCCCCGAAGAGAAACAATTCGTTCTCGCTTGCTGGGTTCGCGATGATGGTTCCTGAGGCTCTGGCTGATGGGGGTTCGCTCGGTACTTCTGTTATGGCTAGGAATTGCTCTTGCTCTTTTGCGTACTGTGCCAATACGGCATCGAGGTCGACGGATTCGGTGTCTGAATCGACATCCTGGGTCTTGGATGCTACTTTCTTGTCCTTTTTGCCTGCTTTCTTCTCTTGCTTTGCGGCCTTGGCTGCTTTAACGGCGGCCTTGTTGCCCACGGCCTTCTTCTTGTCTTTTGCCATGTGTTTTGCTTCGGGAAAGATCCTTCCAAATAGCTCAATGCACTACTCTTTCCTGATATCGAATTGCGCCAAAATACTTTGCAAGTTGCCCCTCGGTTGCTCGGATTTTTTCAATCTCAAGACACCCAGTCTGAGTTATGCGGTTTAGTTTTGGACGCGAAACCTGACCGCGAAGACACTCTAACGTTCTCAAGAAACGAAAAATATCAAAGTGAGAAGATGATGTAGGCGGCGACTCGTGCATTTTCATGCAACTCCATCGACCCCGCTAAAATGCGGGATGGCTTATCGATAAAGCTCTCGTTCACTCACCTCCGGACTTCCAAACATTCACGGAAGCTATCCGCCAACATGATACAAGCAGCAAAGATCCTTGAACAACGGAGTCATCTGGTGCCTGGTACCATCTACCTTCGTTATGCCCCAGAGCTTCTAGAAGCTAATACAACCCAGGCAAGCTCAAGATAACCGAGCACTTCTTCCAAGTACCCCGTGACCACAGCAACCCATCAGCCGGCCACATCCAACTCTTCGCGCGCTCAGCGCTCAAAGCCGAGAAACCAGCAGACTACCCCCGCAGCGGAGAACCAGACGCAAAGAAATCCCAACTCCCATGGCTTGTCTACCTACAAGGCGGGCCGGGCTTCGAGTGCCGCAGCCCCCAGCAAGTATCCTGGACGCACACCATCCTCGACAAGGGATACCAAGTCCTGATGCTCGACCAGCGCGGCACGGGACTCTCAACAGCAATCAGCCAGAGTAGTCTGCAGCTCCGAGGCGATGAGAGAGTGCAGGCGCAGTATATGAAGAGTTTCCGCGCGGATAGCATTGTGAAGGATTGTGAGGCGGTGCGCAAGGCACTTACGGCAGATTACCCCGAGGAGAAGAAGAAGTGGAGCGTGTTGGGACAGAGTTTCGGCGGTTTCTGCGCTACGACGTATCTCTCGTTCTACCCAGAGGGTTTGAAGGAAGTCTTCATGTTCGGTGGCTTGCCGCCGCTCCGCAGTAATCCAGATGAGGTGTACGAGAGACTGTACAAGCGCGTCAAACAACGGAATGAGGGTTATTATGCAAAGTACCCAGAGGATATCGCCCGCGTACATCGCATCACCAAGCTACTGTCTCGTTTTGGCGACACCACAGTCCGCGTGCAGGGCGGCGAAGGCCATCTCAGCGCTCGCCGCTTCCTCCAACTAGGCATCTTCTTCGGCAAGCATGGCGGGTTCGACCAAGTGCACGAGCTGGTCCTGCGCGCAGACACGGATCTTTCCCAATTCGGACACCTGACCCGCCCGACGGTACTCGCACTAGAAGCAGCCCAGAGCTGGGATTCAAACGTGATATACGCATTACTGCACGAGCCAATCTACTGCCAGGGAGAAGCAGCGCGGTGGTCAGCCGAGCGACTGCTGGAGAAGTTCCCTGAGTTCTCAATCGAGAATACAGCAGACGACCAGCCTATCTTCTTCACAGGCGAGATGATCTACCCGTTCATGTTCGAGTCGTACTCTGAGCTCGCTAAGCTCAAGACAGTTGGGCATATGCTGGCCGAGGAGACTGACTGGCCTAAACTCTACGACGAGGAGCAGCTCAAGAAGAACGAGGTACCCACTTATGCAGCCGTGTATTTGAACGACATGTACGTCGACTTCGACCTGAGTATGGAGACGGCGCGGACGATCAAGGGGTGCAAGCCGTTTGTCACGAATTCCATGTATCACAACGCAATAGGGGCGAAGACAGACGATGTTCTAAAGGAGATCTTCGCGTTGAGGGATGATGTCATTGATTGAGCGCTCAGTCTCCATCGGATATGGGGGTTTCGGTCTTCACTCGCACTAACTATCAGAACGTCTAATCGAACTTATGTCTTCGCGCTCTCATTGTGCATAATCTTCCTCGCCTCCTCTAGCTGTGCCTCCAAATCGAGATCCCAGATCCAGCCCATCCGGCTCAAAAATGACTCCTCGATCTTGTCCAAGTCATCCCCGTGAAGCTCGAAGTCGTAGAGCATGCCAGCCTGCTGACTAGTCGTAACGTTTTTCTGGGTTCGTTCGCGGCGGACGTGATCGTATGCGTGGAATGCGCGTTCCAGATCCTCAACGCCGTTCACCTCCTTGATCAAATTGGCAAGGATGTACGAGTCTTCAATGCACATGCCAGCACCGGCGCCCTGATGTGGAGTCGTAGCGTGTGCAGCATCGCCGAGGAGGCACAGGCGGCCCTTGTAGTAGGTTTTGCATGGGGGGTGCATGAACAACGCCCAGATATCGGGCTTCTCCATGGCGCCGACGATTTTCTGGACATGAGTGCCCCATTCCGCAAAGTCGGCTTCCATTTCTTCTTTCGAGGTGGATACCACCCATTTCTCGTCGTCCCATGTTTTGCGGGAGCTGAAGGCAACGACTGTGGTTCTTAGTATGTGCTAACTTCTGATATGGAATGGAACATACCGTTCATTGTCTTGCCCTTTTGGACAGGGAAAGTCAGTAGATGGCCATGGTAGCCAAGGAACATTTGGCTGTTCTGCGCGACCTCTTCGCCCAGCAACTCGACCGCCTGGTCCATTGGGATCAGCCCTCGATACGCGTATTTGCCAGAGAAGAAAGCCTGCGAAGCAGAATCGTCTTTCCCAATAAGCCACGGCCGAGTCTTCGATTTGATTCCATCGCAACCAATAACAGCGCTATGTTGCGCCGTCGTCCCATCTGTGAAATGCAGCACCAGATCGCCCGAGTCGTCCTTCGCCTCACTCAAATCATCCAGTCTCTTTCCAAACTTCGCCACATGATCCGGCACATGCTTGACCAGCTCGTCCAAGAAAGTCGCCCTGTAGACTCCTCCCCGAGTACCGCCCTTGGTGAATGGCACCTCGAACAGCGCATCGCCCACTTTCTTGCCTGGCTTGACGAAGCCGTCTTTATCCGCTTTCCGCGCATCGCCCACGCGGATTGTAAACCAGCTCGAGTTGTGGCTGTCTGTGCCGTTGCCTGTTTTGCACGTGTTGAAGGCGTCGAGGATCTTGGGCGACATGAGCTCCATTGCTCGTCCGGCGTTTGGTCCAAAGGCAACGCCGGCGCCTATTTCGCCGAAATGTGGAGCTGCTTCGTAGATGGTGAGGTCGATGTCATACTGGAGGAGAGTGATTGCCAGCGTGAGGCCTGCTATGCCACCGCCAACTATGGCGAGGTTGAAAGGCTTCTTCGAGGTATTTTGGGAGGCCATGGCGAAAGATTATGTGGAGCAACCGACGAACTGGGGCTTTTGCATTAGTTTTGGGGGTTTATAATAAACAGAGTGGCCGTTCGAGGAAGATTTGAGGCTTATGAGCGATCGCTTGGTACTTACTGTTATGATTACGTCCAACAACCCCAGCATCAAGTGATGACGCATGCAGACGCAAGCATCCAGAAAAGGGATCTCACTTCGGCGCGGTGCAGTAGTCCCCGTACTTGTAGTCGCGATGGTGGATTTAGCGTCGGAAGCCTATGGACACGAGAGAGAGGAAGTCCATCGGGTGTTACAATTCCCAGGTGCAGTAGCCGATGCCCACCACGAGTGTATGTCTAGCAAGACGACTACCGGATAGTTCGCGGCCATGGTTTTTCTAGAAGAATGTGCGGGGCATGCACGACCTTGGGTGGGGGCGGAGGAGCTTCAGAGACTCGATTCGGAATCGTAAAGCTCATACGTCAATAGCGAGCTTTTGATTGGCGCCCGAATTTGAAGGGGCCGAGGCTCTTCAGATCCACGCACTGTACATGCTACTGACCTCGAGACTCCATTAACCTGGCTAAAAGTTGCTTGTCTATCCTTGTTCTTCTACGCGGTAAGTCAAAGTCTTTCTCGATCGATGAGCGACAAGTAAATACGTCTCATCTCATCCAGCCTTACAGGATTTGTACGATGAGTGCAAAGTCGATGCAATAATCGGACTTGCAACACAATGTACTGATCGCATATATCTTTGTACAAAGAGGCTAACACATCTGTAGAGCGTGTTCTGTTTATCGGTTGTATGCTCCATTAGCTCGACCTGCAATGCCGCCGCGACAGGTTACAAAGCTGCCCCCTGCCGAAGAGGGGGAGAAGCCAGTGACGGTTCTCGTGACAGGCTTTGGTGTATGTAAATATTTCGTAGTCAGCTCACTTTCAGAATCACATATCACATCTTCTCTCTTGTCCTTGTTCATTTCGTCAACACGTCCCCTGTCAAACCAGCAGTTGAACAACAAGTGATGCAGTCAGAGCACAGCTTTGATGAACGGAACTCGAGAGCCATCACAGAGAATTGTCTCAATTGAACTTGACACAAGTACACTGGTTGTTACAACTTGCTTGGCTGTGTCATGCTGGAGAATTAGATCGTAACGATAACCCAACAACGACCGCGAGAGCTAACTAGCTGCTCATGTGAGGTTGCGTATCATGGAAGGCGAGATTGATATTGACCATGTTCTCCTACTCATAACTGCCGATATAGATTCTCTTTCCCTTACCTGTCTTTCTGATCAACCTCCAATCATATCTCAGCCTTGCAGAATAGACAGCTAACACATTTCAGCCTTTCCTCTCCAGCCACGCCAAAAACTCCTCCTGGGAGATCGCTTCCAAGCTCCCTGCCATCATCCCGGCCTCCTCATCGAACAAAACACCCATCCACATCTGCGTACATCACGAACCCATCCGCGTATCCTTCGCCCACGTCCTCAATCTACGTCCTAAAATCCTTCCCCCATCCGCCCCACTCCGCCCCGCACCAGATATAGTCCTACACATCGGCCTCGCCGCCGGCCGAAAGTACTTTGGCCTAGAAAAGCAAAGCCACAGCAAAGGCTACGGCTCCATCCCGGACGTCGACGGCAAGAAGTTTCTAGACGAAAGCGCAGAGGATCTGCACCCGTCTTCGCAGTTCCCCGCAACTTTGACTACGAGCTTCGACACCGACGATGTGCTGAAACGGTGGAAAGCGCACATTAAGTACGCTGCCGAAGACGCCGCGGAGCCGGATACCCGCGGGTTTCCGGATGTGCGTGTTAGCTATGATGCAGGAAATTTCTTGTGCGGCTTCATATATTATTCTTCGCTGGCACATTACTTTGAGATCAAGCAGGATGAGCGGCCGGTGGTGTTTTTGCATGTGCCGGATTTGAGTGGGAGTCAGGATCGGTTGAAGGAGGGGTGGGAGAATGTTATTGCGCTGATCAAGGCCCTTGTTGAGAGTCGGAGGGAGGTTGGGGTCGTGGATGGGGCGAGGAGTTTCAATGGAGAGGAAGATGGAGGGGAGAAGGTAGTGACTGCGCGGACAGATAACAACTTTGCGTAGGCATGGTGGTTGTTGTCGGGTCAATATGTAACTACTAGTTTCCACGTTTCTGGGATAAGTGTGAACGTTGTAATGGTGTTGAATGCATGTGCGTATGAAGATGGACATGATCAAGCTTCGATATGTTACCTGTGAAACTCAAGTTTTGCGCTCATTGAAACAACTATCAAAATGGATATGATGGTATTGCACACGATAACCGACTCTACATGATAGCCTCCACGACCTCGGAAACCCAGTCCAGCTGTACAGCGCTAACACCCCTCGCCCAAGCCTTCCCAGTAAACACAAACTCATTGAACACAATCGCTTCGACCTTCCTACCAAACAATACTGAACTGGGGTGAATCGCTACCGTCTGGTTGCCCATCAGCGTCTTGTAACTACCATCCGGCATCATCCGTGCAGTGTTAGAGATGAATCCCCGCAACATGCACGCCAGAATGGCCTGACTTCTAGCTTCCGACGGGGTTGTCGATGACTGGTTGTCGTCTGACGACAGAAGCTTCAGCTGCATACATTGCTGTTGCAACTGCTTCCTAATATTCATAACATTCTGCATAGCCCGGTGCGAAACAAAGTGCTTATCGCACCACAATTTGCGGTCTGTTCGTTCCTCGGCATATCGCTGGACAGTAACGAGTAATGTTAGGTGGTCTCCTTCTCGGCGGTAAAGCTCTCGTCTTGCTTCCTCAGCTTCTTCCTTACGCTCTTCGGTAACCAAGTTCAAAAACACGTTCTCGACACTCAATGCAGAGATGATGTCGATAACGTCCAGCAGACAATCTCGCTCAGGCTTCGAGGCTTCGACAAGTACTCTTCCAAGCGTAGGTGTGAGTGGAAATTTGGCAATCTTCAAACCTGTATCGCTGATGGTTCCGGTGTCCGTCAAAGCTTGCAGATGCAAGAGCTGCAGAAGCGCCTTTTCGAGTGCCTCTCTCGGTGGACGGTCCAAGAAAGGGAAGTTGAGCACATCGTCGAAACCACGCGCTTTCATTGTCAACAATGCCTGGCTGAGGTCGCATCGCAGGATTTCGGGTATTGTGCGTTCCTCCATGCTCTTGTATCCGTCTTCCGTGTACAGGCGGTAGCATTGGCCGGGTGCCTCACGACCGGCTCGACCTTGGCGTTGTATGGCTGCGGACCTTGAGATGGGCTTTACGAGCAGTGATTCGAGGCCGAGCCGGTTACGGAACTGCTTGATCTTGGATTTACCGCAGTCTATCACGTATCGAACGCCTGGAACGGTGACGGATGTTTCGGCAATATTCGTTGCGAGGATCACTTTTCGCGTGCGAGGAGGTGTTGGCTGGAAGATCCGTTGTTGCGCATGCTGAGGTAAAGCGGCGAAAAGCGGGAGTGCAAGTAACTATCTAAGAATCAGCAAGTACTTTTTTGAAAGTCCGTGTGATTTGAGTCGAGCGCCAGAGAATCTGACTAGCGTTCGTGTGCGGTGAATCGCTGTCAACTAGGTAAAGAGTAGTCGACTCACCTTTGGTACATCTCTGTCCATCCCCTCCGCGTAATCGTTGACAAGTTTCTCAAGACCTTCAATAGTATCCTGACCCGTAAGAAACACCAATATGTCGCCGGGGAGTGGCTCCTTGTAGTGTATCTGGAAGATGATCTTCAATGCTGCTTCGACCCAGTCTTGAGATGGCTGTGGAAGATAGATCGTCTTGACTGGGAACTGTCGCCCTTCCACGAAACATGTCGACACGCGTCCCGGTGTAGCTTCTACAGGCACCAGTCTTTGCTCTGGAGCTCCATCATCACCTTTCTCATTCTCGACATTCGAATCGGTTTCCCCAGACGTCTGGTCATGGTCGAAGAACTTGACGAGGCTCTCCACGTCAGCCGTAGCACTCATGACGACGACTTTGAGTGGATGCTTTCGCTTAGCGTTGCCTTCCTTCTCAACGCCTGCCACCAGGTTCTTCAGAAATCCCAGTATCAAATCCACGTTAACGCTGCGCTCATGCACCTCATCGACCACTACCGCACTGTACTGCGACATGATCGGGTCCCTGAGCATTTCCTGGAGCAACATACCCTCAGTCAAGAACTTGACCTTTGTATTTGGCCCAGTTGCATTATCGAAACGGACACTGTAACCAACTTTCGCTGCAGGGCTCTGGCTTCCCATAAAGCTGCCCATCTCTTCTGCGACACGGCGCGCCAAGGAAATCGCTGCGACTCGTCGTGGCTGCGTGATTGCTATGCACTTTGTGCACCAGGGCTCGTTGGCGAGAAACTGAGGCACTTGGGTTGATTTTCCGGAACCGGTCTCTCCCGTAAGGACAAGGACATTGTGTTTCTTCAGAGCTGCCTTGATTGCGTCGGCTTGCGGCCAGATGGGAAGCGCTTTTCGTATGGGCAGTAGCTGGTCACGTTTTTTGAGAAGATGTGGCGGCACACTCGCCTGGCTTTGCTTAACGTGCTGGTTCTTGCCATGTTGTTTGCTGTTGGGCCGGCTGTGCTGAGAGTTTGAAGTGTGAGATGTTGATTTTGGTTTCTGCTGCTTGAGGGTATCTTTTGATGATGATTTCGATTCTTCAGAATTGACTTTCACGGCCAGACCGTTATCCTCCGAGCTCTTTATCCGTGGGATCGTGAATTTGTCGTCGTCCCGCAAATCCTCAATCTTCAATGACGTTCCTGTGCCTTTCTTGGGTGGTGCTCCTTCTTTTTCGCCATCTGGAACAACAGCCCGCTTTCTCTTCTTCCCCACCTCCAATTCGACAGGCTTCTCCATCAATACCTGAGGCGACATATCACGAGTTTTCTGCTTCGACATTTAACGTTGAGTTGAGGTATGATGCGTGATCGCCCGGTCGCGAACTTTTCGCGACTTTCCGGCCTTAGCCTTATCGGTACAAGATCACGCTAACCGCAACAGGTTTCATTAACAATTATTTTGCCAAAGATATCATCACGCATTGAGTTGCATGCTCAAAATAAAATCGAACGGAAATGGATATTTCGAACTAAAAAGCACTATCGCTAGCCTGAACAGATTAAAGTTACACTATTATTCGACCCATCCCTCAGTGCGCCTTGTTCCTCGCAACCGGCCTGATCCAGCTGACGGAAAGGTTAATTGCAATGATGATCGTCCCAATGATCCAAATGACCTTTCCGTAGTTCCTGCCATTGTACCGGAAGATGATGGCAAAGATGATACCACCGAAGTTGCCCATCGCACCCGAAAATCCAGACACAACACCGTTGGATTCCGGGTGCACGTGCGGTACGAGCCCATAGTCCGCTCCGTTGCCGCCCTCAAGGAAGAACGCCATACCAGCGACCAGTCCAAACATGGTGGCCTCGCTCTTCGAATCCAACACACCGATGGCGATGAGAAACACTCCCGTCATAATGCCGTAAGTGTGGAGCACGACTTTCTTCGCCCATACGTTGTTGCCTGTGTACTTGTATGCGAGATCTGAGACCATTCCTCCGAGGGGCCGGCAGATAGCGTTCAGCATGCCGAACATGGCAGCCCAGTCGCCGGACTTTTGGAGGGTCATGCGAGGGAAGTTCTTGTGGTAGTAATTGCCGAGAATGCTGTTGATAGACAACTCGGCACCGAATGTGCAGAAATAGCAGGCAGCGGTGACAAGTGTTTGTGGCGAGAAGCAGACCTTGATAATATGGCTGAAAGTAGGCTTTTGGATAACTTCTCCGGCTGCGCTGTCGACTGCGGACAAGGTTTTAGCTTTGGTATTATGAGAATGGGGTTGAATTGGAGGGACTTACGAATCACGTCCTGAGCCTCGTTGTCGCGCTTCCACTCCTCACCAGGACCTTGTTTCTCCTTGCTGAAGCTGCCTGTAGGTGAAGCACGAGGAGCATCCATAAGGTTGCCGCCCGCAGCGACGATACCCCGATCAGTGTTTCCGCTCGGACCAGTTACCAGACCATTGCCACGCTCGCTCCATTTGCCGGTAGGCGTATCGTCGCAGAGCAGAATAAGGCAGGTGGCGACAAAGACGATGAGGATACCGGGCACCACAAAGGTTACACGCCATGCCTTGTGAGGCGCGAGTCCATCTTTGACCAAGGCGTAGTATACGGCAGGCATGACGAAGTACGTGATACCTCCACCAAGGTTACCCAAACCACCGGTGATGGCATTCGCAGTTCCGATGACGTTCTTGTCAAAGAAGCCAGTGGTCCATACTTGGCAAGGTACGAAAGACCCACCAAGTATGCCAATGAAGAACCGAAGAGCATAGAGACCTGCTGCGTTCTTCACACAACCAGCAAGGAAGGTGGGAATTGCACCAGCGAGAAGGCAACCTGCAAAGGTGTAACGAGGACCGAAGCGGTCACAGCTGGGTCCAGCAACGAGACGGACAAGAAGGCTGCAGATACGTCAGCGGTGCAAGCGATAGAACACAGAGATACACGACGTACGTGGCTGTGAGTGCGATAACGTTCGAGTTCGCTACTTGGTTGGCTGTCATGTGTATGTCTTTGGCGATGACATCAGACAGAAGCGGAGGAAACGCATACCATGACCTGTTTGAAGTTAGAGTATGTCTGATTTTGGGAACGGGACTTAATACCAAAACGCAATCATGAACCCAAACCACGAGAAGAAGAACGTGCGGCCATAGGTATTGGTGAAGGGGTTGAGGAACGGGATTGAGCGCGCTTTTCGGTTGATAGGGTTGATTTCTGGCGCGCGCCAGAGGGCTGCAATGCTGAAACCCATGATGTCGAAGAGGATATAGCGTAGAGAAGTTTGACGTTGACCACTTGACAGTATCAAGGAAGGCGGAGGAAACGCGTTGGGCGTAGAAGTAAGGGTGTGGTACTTGGAGAAGGTCACAACAACGATGCTGTTATAGATACTATATACTCAACTATCGCTCTGACGTCTAGCAAAATGATTAAACATCTCCGCGAAGATTGACAAGATAACCGAGTTGCACAGTGGTAAGTCCGCGGGTAGATATGCACCCCATATTCACCCACGTCGCACTGGAGAACGCGTATCAGAACCACTGACATCAGGGCTGACCTCAACAAGGGTGATCGACTACGAATTTCCAATTCGTAAGGGAGTTCACTACCTAGCGATGACGGCCGAGACCCTGCCACGACGGGAGGCTGGGATCCGTTGCATAACCCATGCTTGGAGAGGCTTGTCCTGACTCTGCAATCTGGGTATGTATTTGAAAATCCCTGGAGTCCAAGCCTAAATGGTAGGATGAACGCGGCCCGAGTGGGTCTGGAATATGCATGGCGCGTAGTCTTATCGTGAGTTGCGGTCGTTGCGACGCTGTCCCAGGAGCTGCAGTAGTTGCCAGGGGTCTTATCAGTAGCCACACGTTAGAGCATGTGAAGACCTCCACATCGAGATATGTATATAATGGTGGCAAGATTTGAGTTTCTGCGTCGAGTACAATCTATGCGTTGCTGTGTTCACTTTGAAGCAGAGCAAAAACATTCGTAGTCCCTAACGGTACCCGTATGTCGAAAGAAGCTTCTGCCTCATTCCCTTGGCCAAACTTTGGGCAATTCTTAGCCATCTTAGTTACTTGCTAAAGTGGCGCATTTCCGTGCTTGATTGCACATTCAAGTACGTGGTCTAGCTTCCGGTTGTTGGGAGATAGGAATAATTCCTATCTTCACGCTAGAGGACGACAAGAGCCAATGGGAATGACCGACGAAGTCCTCGGAGATACCGTGAACAGATCACGTGCGACTTTTCGAGATGCCAAGCGACGGAATCGGGAATCTTGAGAGATCAGTATTGGATTTCGGTGTATCTCCTTAGCCATATTTGCAGGCGGAATATTTTCTCATTTGCTAGTTCTCTTGCTCATTCCGCTAGGTCCTCGTCCTGACGGCACCCGAGCATACCCGTTAGGCATATTGACTTGGGTTTCTTTCCGCTCCGTGATCTTCCTCCATAGCTCTCCAATGCTTGCTCTGTTTGCTGGGAGCATACTATACTGGAGACTGTACAGGTTTCGTCGATGTATAGGTGGTACGAATTGGCCAGATGCAAGGCATAAAACCACGCTAGGAGAAAAGTAATGTTTTCGGATGCGATTGCCGAGCTCGAAGTAAGATTGGAACATCGCCCGAAACGGGAGGGGCACGGACTGTAGGGTGTGAATACGGTATTAAACAGATAGACGCGTTGCGCAATCATACCTTGAGTAGCACATATGCAGTCGGCGCCAAATCCGAAGCGTCTTTGTGAGGTGGACCAATACAGGCCGTGTGCTGCAACTCAAAGCATATACCCCCTGCATGCGTCAGTCAAGGCAGTCAGTCTGGGGCACTGGGGTACATACCAGGTAGCCGGCGCGAGTCTTTGAGCCTAAGCATAATCGCGAATAATGGGAAATGGTTAAGACACGCCAGCCCTATTTCAAGCGCAGCCTTGAGACTGATGACGGCGACTCTGGCGCTTGCAAACGTCAGGTAGAAGACGAAGACAGTCGGGAGTAAGAAGAACTGCAGTGTAAAGAGGATGGTTCCCAAAAGCAATTGATCCAAATCGTAGTCGCACGAGTCGATTCGATTACGGAGTATGTTGCGCTTCTTACCGCGGAAGAGATGGAATAGAGAGATGATGATGGTAAGCTGCCAGTGGAATATGCGCGCAGACGCAATATAGAAAGAGTAGATGTGTAGTGTTAGCAGAGATACCAGATCCGAGAACACGGAGATAGGCATTGTAGCACCAGCAAAAGCTGACAAGCCGATGAATCGGATCATGCTGGGAAGGTGTGGTCGCAAAAGAGACATGCATCCTATATCAGTCAGCCAATTATCTTTCCCGTATGTACCACTGAATTGCTTACCGGCCCAATAATCTATGACCCAAAGGAACAAATCTCCAAGGAACACAGCTAGCTCAGTGTTCAACTTCAGACCTCCCGGCCAACCCATGAGCCATGAGATGGTACTTCGAAGTCCATCGACTGACCAGGCACTGAAGATAGTGTCCACTTGAATTGCGACAAAAGCAGAGTTCTCGATAATATAAGAGCCCAAGGCGATGCCCATAATGACATCGTTCGCAACTAGCCAAAGGCTATTGTAAAACCGGATGTATTCTGGGTGATTATTTGTGATGCTGCCCCAGTTGGCCTTCCTCTTACGCAAGGTGAGGTATTGGATGGGCCAGTAACAGAATTGCTGCAGTCGAATGTCAATCTGCTGAGCGGTCGCAGATACATCTTTCAACGCCGGCGACTCGGACGACCCTGGCCTCCAGTCTAGAAGTCGCAAGACTACCTCTGCCGCAATGCGATGCACAATCAAGCAACATATAAACAGCTGTGAGATCACAGGCCATACCCATACTTGGAAAAGGTAGCAAAGGGCCAGGTAAATGTAGTCCCAGAGGTCGTTCGCAGACTCGACCACTCGTTCACTGACGCTCAAAGCCCGCTTCATACGCCTGCCAATCATGCCGATGTTCTTCTGCAGAAGCGCATTCAGCTCGAATGAACAGTTTACCTGCTCAATAAGAATTGGCAGCGCAAGTTCTTTTCGTGTAGGTGGGTGCGAGACGACCTTGTGCAGCTTCAGTTTTTCGACAAGCTTTTCTTTCCTCTTTTGCTCCTTCTCCTCTAGTTCTTCGAATGCTAGATCCCATTTCGCAATCCTGACTTTGTCGCCCAGGGCGAGTGATATAGGTGCTAGCGAAAGGTACTGCATGCGAGCAGGATGAGGTCGGTGGTATACTATGACTTGTATAGTCGAAACTGCATCGCCGGGGTGTAGTAGGCGGGGAAATCGAGTCTGCGAATCGGTGTAGACCGTAAGGAGGTTTCCGTCGAGGTGATCGAGGGGCGTCTTCGGATTGACCTGACCGAGCACACGGAGAGAGGAGTGACCGCATCGTGTAAGCAGCTCGTGAACATCGTGAGGGCTGTGCCGAAGCAATGTGCCTACGACCAGGGCGTTTTCGACATGTCGAAGCTACAGCATGTTAGCCGTGCGCTGCGCATTGCCCGTTGTATGCGCACCTCGACTTCTTGTAGGATGCCTACAACGAAGACGTCCAATTCCGAATTCCTGAACCCCACTAGAACACCAGGTATAGTCGCAGTCGGCGCATCCGAGGGCCAGAATACGCGCATCAACCCATTGTGTGTGACCATGTCAACATCCTGCTACCCCGCTAGAATGATCCACGACGCTTGAGCTGCTCACGCGCTGAGATGCCGCCACCTGTAAGTCTTGGATGCTATGTTGGTCAACCACGATTGTTCAGTGCTTTGGACAACAATTTACTAACCAGGTCTGTCTCTTGCGCTGCGATGCGCTGAATGGGCAGTATCAGAAGGAAGAAAAAGACGGACAATATGGCGAACCCCTTGGCGGTTCTCGTCACGACTCCGTGGTCCCAGGCGAAGATTGCCAGTTCGTATAGGCGAGTGACAAGATCCCAGCGAGCAGTCGAGTATCCCGCGACGAATATTCCGAGCGTGACAATGGAGAAAGCGTGCATAGGTTTACGGCGGCGTCATGCCAAGCGGGTGATATAGATTCGCGTCTAGCTCTGGTCGTGCACTGTTTGACGACGAGGTGGAACAGGGGACTGGCTACGTAGGTTTTTGGTATATGAAGTGCGCTGCTACATAGCGGCAGAAAGACATCGACAAGCACCGAAAATCGAACCTCCAACGCGTACCTGGCTAGGTATACGCAAGGCACGTTGCAATCTGGCGCTAGCTTAGTGCTCCTTCCTTTCTCGACGACCACCAGAGACATGTGAACCTCAACACCAGCTTGCGCAGAAACACAGTAGTCGCCAGCGAGCAGTAAGACTCCGCCTTCGCGCATCGGTAGGTACCAGGATTCTCCTACTGTCTCTTCGCCTTCATCTCCTACAGTCACGCGTCTGCATTGACCAACTCAAAAACCTGCGCCGTCGGACGGAAGCCACAATGCAAAGCTCACGCTGGGCTCAGCATGGCCAAGATCTGTCACAGGGAAGGAGCTTCAACAGGCAAAGGTATCGTACAAGTATGGATTTATGCACAGAGACATTCACTGTTGTTCTGCACTCCCAACACGATCCGCCATTGTTGGGCTCGATATGGTTTAGCGTGGCGCGCGCGTCTGCTTTGCTCTCATATTCACAGCTTTGATCAACCTCAAAGATGCAAAACTCTTCACTGTGCTAAAACATTCATAGCTTATTTGGAGCACCACTTCGCGACTTCGCAAACAACCGCTTGAATTACATTGACAACGATATGGTTGTTTGCAATTTCTACCAGCGAGGCGCCTGCCGCTTTGGAGGTAAGTCAGGCTACGCAGCTGTTTCCAAATATATATCTGAACGTAACAGACAACTGCAAAAACGAACATCCAGGTAGTCAGAGGGATGGAAATCGGAACTCTGGTGGAAACTTTGGTGGAGGCTCCAACAACAATCGTTTTGGCACCTTTGGCGGCGGTGATCGCTACCGGCCTGGGGGTCAGTCAAACGGCGGGCAAGGAGGTAAGTCATCTATCATCCCTTATTCACCTCTCATACGCAATCCGAATGTTCTCATCACGTAAACCTACATTCTGACTCCCAACCAGCTGCCCGTGACCCGAAGACATTGCCTTATCATTTGGACAAGGCTGATATCAAGAATGATCTGACGGGGCAGCGTCCCATCTATCCACTTTCTGCTTACGGTCCTGGAAGAGATGCTCCACGCCAACTGATTGAGGGTCCTGTGGAGATCAGTCCAGAAGAGCTTCGTTCACGATATTATGCCCAACGTGATGCAGGTAATGAAGCTGGAGCAGTAAGAAATATTAAACCCCTCTAGCTTATCATAGCTAACAGACTTACAGCAACAAGAAGAGACGGTTCTAGGCGGCAAGATGCAACAACAAGTTCAAGCGATATTGGATGACATTGACGGTGCCATCCGTTATGTAGAAGAAGGAGCCAACGTTCATCCAAACAGGCTCGACATGGTACACGGGAGCGTATCAGCCAATACTCCAACCGGACCTTCTGCGTCGAATTCCAATCCGTTCTCCCAAGGTTCAGCAAGCCCCTTCTCCAGCGGAGCATCAACACAAACACCCGCCTTCGGACAGGCGTCTACGCCAGCATTTGGCCAATCGGCGTTTGGTCAGGCGTCAAATCCCAGCCAAACTACCTCTGCTTTTGGCCAACCTTCTAACCCTGGGCAAGCAACATCGGCATTTGGGCAACCCTCTAACCCTGGACAGACGAGTTCAGCCTTTGGTTCATCTTCTAGCCTTGGCCAGAAGCCATCAGCTTTCGGTCAACCATCAGCATTGAGCGGAGCAGGAGCATTTGGAAAGCCTGCCTTTGGAGCCTCAGGGTTCGGCCAACCGTCGATGCCGGGCTCTGCAAGTCCATTCGGTCAAGCGAGCAGCACAGGCCAACAGTCTGCGTTCGGGCAGCCTTCAGCGCCTGGAACAACTTCTGCATTTGGACAACCTTCAGCGCCTGGAACAACTTCTGCATTTGGACAACCTTCAACGCCTGGAGCGGCATCTGCGTTTGGACAACCTTCAGCGCCTGGAACGACGTCTGCATTTGGGCAGCCCTCTGCTCCAGGCCAAGCATCTGCTTTTGGTCAGGCCAGTGGTTTAGGATCGCAGACAAACGCCTTCAACAAACCAGCATTTGGACAGAGTGCCTTTGGACAGGCCTCACAACCTAGTACCAACGCCTCGCCGTTCGGTCAACAAGCTCAACCAGCACCATCCAACTCATCTCCGTTTGGTCAGGCGGCTCAGCAAGGAACGCAAGCCGCTCCGTTCGGGCAGCCAGCGCCACAGACGAATCCCTTTGGTCAAAGCCAAACTCAACAAACGGCCACTCAACCTAATCCCTTTGGTGGATCTGCAGCACCTCAGGCGTCGGCATTTGGACAACCAAGCAAACCAGCATTCGGTGCACCCGCCTTTGGCAGCACGCAGCAAGCTCAACCCACGCCCGCACAGTCCACGAACCCATTCGGCCAAAAGCCACAAGAACCTACGCCAGCGCCAGCGGCAGCACCCTCTGCCTTCGCCACCCAGGCTTCGAATGCTTCTCCCTTTGCGCAGGCGCAAGCACCGGCCCAGGCAGCTCAAACAGCTCAAGCAGCTGGAGTGGGCATGGATGGAAAGCCCATCGATCCCAAAGAGCGATTCAAGGAGGGCAGGCAGGAAGAGTATGAAGGTGAGGCTGGCAGAATATTGGAGGAGATTTACAGGCGGGTGGGGCAGCTTGGACGGTTCAACGATGGGGAGGATATCCCGCTCGTGCCGCCGAAGTGCGAGTGGATCGTGCCAGTTGCGTTGCTTTAGTTTGTGGACATGTGTGATGCTAAAAGAATAGGGGGGACGAGTCGAACTTGCATATGGTGGTGGATGGTGTGATATGGGGCGCGGTTGTCAAATTCATCAAGGATATGCTGTCTTGCGTGTACAACACAATTGCACAGAGAAGCAGTCGGTAAGCTCGCTGAAACTATTCGTGACATGGTCTATCTTCGATAAAGTTACTGCACGGCAACAGGGATGCGCACAAACGCGTCCTCTAAAAATTTGACACGAAACTCATTCCTGGTTGCTGTCGTGTGTCCATGTCAATGTAAGATGCCTTAGGCAGCTGACCCAAGCGCAGGTTTCGTGACAGCGGCCGACTTGACCCCAACCCGCCTATTCGGGACATGCAGCCATGAGGAGGCGAGGTCGAATAAAGCTTTGCGCATGCGCCAAATCATCGTGTCGCGGCGCAGCGTCCGGCGACTGGATAGGCTGGCCATGTAGCGGCGCGGATATGCGTAAATAGGAAGCGGGCCTTTTACGGGCGTTTCCAGAACGGCGACCAGGCGTTCGGCGACGTGTCGTCCATACGGGCGGTGAGCAGCACGCAGTGATTTGGCGGCGGAGCAAAAGCAGGCGCCTCGGTTGGAGGTTGTGGCACGTCTTCGCGGGGTGTCGGTGGTGGTGGTAGAGTAATCAGGCATGTACCGGGACTAGTCACCTACCGGGCACTTGTCACAACTACACAACTAGGTAAGATATTAAAAATCTAATTAAGCTAAGTTATAGATCTAAATAAAAATACTAACTTTTAAAGTTTTAAAAAAGTATAAGTAAAGTATAAAGCTAAAAACTAACTTATAAAATAATTTTTTTTTAAAAGTTATCTAAGCTAAAGTCTTTTAAATATAACAAAAATAGTATTTTTTTAAAGTATATATTAGCTTAATAGCTTTAACCTTCTTATTTATAAAACTTTTTAGTATTAGCTTTTATATTTACTCTATTATTTAGTTAATTTAGATTACTATATCTAGAAAATCTTTTAAATATACTTTTACTAAGCTATCTACCTATTAAAAGATATTAAAAAGTTTCTTAAGATTATTTAGATAAAAGCTATTTAATATATTAGTATTAAAGTACTATTAAATATACTATAAAGGTAAGCTTTTATCTTAGTTATATATTATTCTAGTTATCTTTATATTTACTATAATTAAAAGAGATATTTCTTCTTAAAATATAATACTTAAGTAAGTAATAAGTTTAATTAACTTTAATACTTAAGTTAACGTAAATTAGTATAGCTATTAAGAGCTAATAATCTTTAATATAAAATATCTACTTATTTTTTTAGCTACCTAGTTATACTAGCTATTACTTAACTTTATATATAAAAAAGATTAAAAATATACTACTCTATAACTTAAGTTATTTAGATTCTAGATGCAGCTTTTAGGTATAAAGTTAGAGGTGTGCAGAGAGTAGTGCCCGGTAGGTGACTAGTCCCGGTACATGCCCGATTACTCTAGGGCCGAGGCGAACGGGGTGCCAGGTTGCTGGGGATGGGTATTATCCCATCTGGCTGGGTCCGCGGGTTCCCTTTGTACGGTTCCTCGCTGGTTCCGCGTGTACGTGATTCGCCTCCTTCTGTTCGCTGGCTCCTCTCCCATCCCAAGTCTGTGTTTCGCCCTTTGTCCCGTTTCTTCGATTCCGTCCTTGTGGGCTCGCCCGGCTTCGATCGAACATCATGGCTTTGGCTTCGACTACCACGCCGCCGCTGCCGCTGCGCCCGCTGTCGTCGGCCACGGATCTCACCTTCTCGACTATGGATGCAGATGCGAATGCAGATGTATGTTGAGCGCGACGAAGCAAGCTCCGCCCCGCGACCCAGGGAGAGCTAACTGTGATGGCTGCATAGTCTGATGGGACGGACGGGTTTGCCGACTTTGAGTCGTGAGTTTTGGCTGCGTGGCCGGTCGAGGGCAATGGCTCACGGTTTGCAGGGACACGCAGAGCCTCACGCCGAGCATCTGGGACTATGTGCGCGCGTACGGCAGGACGTATCACAGGTACAAGGCGGGCGGTGAGTCTTGGACATGGCATTCTTGTGTGCTTGCGAATTGTATGCTGATCTGATGCAGCGTACCCATTCCCCAACGATGCGGTATATATTGTCCTACCGACCTCGACTTGACTACGAACGTTGTTGACCTCCGACCGCACAGCAAGAGAGAGAGCGACTGGATATGCAACACCTGATCATAAAGGCCCTCTTCGACTCGCGGAACTACTTCGCGCCCTTGAAGCGACCAACGCGGATACTAGACATTGGCTGCGGAACAGGCAAATGGTGCATAGAGATGGGTACGCATGCGGCGCATATCTAGCTACGGGATGGATCAATGCTGACATTCCACAGCCAAGGAGTTCCCAAAAGCTCGAGTAAGACGGTTCAACACCATCACGACGATACAGCGCAGCTCTAACCAACCCACCAGGTCGAAGGCATAGACCTCTCCCCCATCCAACCCAACAAGTACCTCCCCCCCCTCCCAGCACACACCATCCAAACCCACCCAACTAACCCCCCACCCAGCACACCCATAAACTGCCACTTCTTCATCGACGACGTCCGACGCAAAGAATGGTTCCACCCCGCCGAGCCCTTCACCTACATCCACACGCGCTTCTCCACCGGCATCTACCGCGACTTCCGGCGCATAATCCAAAAGGGGTTCAACAACCTCGAGCCCGGCGGGTGGATGGAATCGCAAGAGATCTTCACAAAAGTGTACTGCGACGACGGGACCATGCCTTCCGACTACCCCTTGCTAGAATGGCAGCAGCGCTCCGACGAGGCCGCAATGGCGATGGGGAAGCCGCTGCGCATCGCAAATAAAGTCAAAATGTGGTACGAGCAGTGCGGCTTTCTGGACGTCAAGGAGGAGGTCTTCGCTATTCCTATTAATGCTTGGAATTCTTGTCCCAGGTATAAGATGCTGGGGAAGTTCTTTCGCTGGAATATTTGTCAGGGTTTGCATGCGTGGACTGTGGAGTATTTTTGTAGCGTGCTGGGCTGGACGGAGGTGGAGGTTGAGGTTTATCTTGCGCGACTGAGGATGGCGGTGGCGGATAAGAGGGTTCATGCGTATTATCGCGTGTAAGTCTGCCCCTTTCTCTAACACTCAACGCAATGCCGTCGGTTTGCGCGTGTATCAAGGCTAATCCCCCCTCGCCATGATAGATATGTAGTATGGGGCCGAAAACCGCGCCTCGATGAGCCCCCCTCCAAAGTCCCCAAACCACCAAGCTGGCCCCAAGAACTCCCCGAAGACGACGAAGAGGACGACGAGGTCCACTACTTGTAACCTCCCCCACCTCGCTGCAATCGTCGCTTGCTTGTTGCATCGTTCTTCGGCGTCTGTCTATTGGTGTTTGGGTCCTAGTTTCTACATTTTCACGGCGTATGTACCCAGCATGACTTTCGGGTTGGGCTGTTTTGGTCGAGCTTGCATATGATCATCATCATTGTTGTTATTTCTTGGGAGGTCTCTTTTATTGACGAAAAGCTTATTCTCTGCGTTGCATGAAAATTGGCGGATCTTACTTTTTTTTAGTTTTGGGAGGAGGTAATGTGAATTTTGGAGTCTTTCTCTTCTTTAGATATTTTTATACCCATATCCTTCATCGGCTGATTGGATTGTATTGAATTGCTTGGTATCGTACAATGTGAAAATCCAACTCGATTGATTAGCCCCTGACTGGACTAGTATCAGTCTCACTCACCATCTCGTAACCGGAAAGGTTTGCATGATGTAGACTCACTCATACCCCAAAATCAATCGCCCGCCCGGTCTCCTCCCTCACACGCCGAATTGCATGCGCCAAGCACGCCTTCTCATACTTCCCCTCCCCAACTCCCGACGGCCCCTCTAACCCACGCCTGAAAAACAGTGTCTCAAACACTACATCGCCCTCTCCCCACTCATGCAGCAACTCCAGCACTTCGGTGTCTTCCCACCGCCGCAAAGTCTTCACACCGTACACGACAAAGTATGCGAGTGAGCGGCACGGCAGGCTGAAAAGCAGCTGCAACTTGTGCAGATGTGGGAAGCAGCCGTCCTCATATCGCATGTAGTGCAGTGCGCGGAGCCAGCTCCACGGAACGGGTATATCGTCGGCGGTGATGCGGAGCGTTTCGATGTTGGCGGGCAGGACGGAGTGACTTATTAACACTGCGGGAAGGGTGAGAGATGTTAGGCAGTAGAGATGATTGAGGCTGATAGTGGCCGACTGGTCGGGGCCGTAGGATGGGTCCGCGGTGTTTATTTCTAGGGTATTGAGGCGCGGGGTGAAGAGGTCTAATAGACGGTCGAGGAGAGGTGAATCGTTGAGGGGCGAGGTTAGTAGTTCGCTGTAGGAGACCGGCAAAGGGTACCGGTTTGGGGTCACGGAGACAGAGTTCAGGTCTGGGAGTGAGGCGAGGAGGAGATATGTCCACGTCAGCGGTGGTTGTGTGTATGAGGAGAATTCTTCCTCCATGTCCTTAGAAGCGTATCGTGCATCCATAGCGCGGATCATCTTCAGGCCTGCGTCGATGGTCGCTTGTCTAGCCTTGACGTGCTTCACGGGCTGGCTACCGTCTTTGAACTCGATATGCTTTATGTGTAGTGCCCATCCCGGATTCTGAGATACCAGGACGAAGTACTTGGGGATACTGCGCAGCGGTACTATGCCGGTTCGAACTAATGCCTCATGCGCGACATTACGGAAGCGCCGGTGAGTCAGTGCGAAGTGTTGGAGATTGGTGGTATCCTTGTCGATGCTGAGAACGATATTGAGCAGAATCTCGTCTGGCATGGCGAGAATGCCAACAGCCTTTTTGCTCGTCGGTCCAGGTGAGTGCGTCTTATCGTAGTGTCCATGTACGGCACCCTTCTCTCCAGCGGTCTCGGTAGCTTTAGGCGTCTGGTCTGATGCTATGATGCCACGCCTTTCCCAGTCACGCAGCTCTTGCACCTCTATGCCTGTCATTCTCGAGAGCTGCTCCTGGTCTGTGTTGGGTAGTGTGAGCTCGTGGACCTGCTTTGGAGTTGCACACGTTGCTCACCTTGACACGCCATGGTTGTTGGTTTGGCGAGCTGCTTTCAATAGATGTAGAGTTTGGTTAGAGGTTGTGGAGGTGAAGCAGTTGTGTGGAGAGGCAAGTTTATGAGGTGAGTGCAGCGCCAAGGCCTGCGAGTGAGAGTGAAACTAGACCTTGCACAAACGGAGCAGGAACGACGGCGCGTTCTGATCGAGGTCATGAGAAAACGCAGCTTGAAATGAGGTGACTATAGAAGAGATGGACATAGATCGCAGAATAGATATTTTGAAGAGGGCTGTGGCATGACAAAAGAAAATGCAAGTCTCATTGCAGCGAGTCCGCGCCTGCGTGTAGCGAGTTACCACATTACTATACAGGTGCAATCCCCAGCTTTTATACTACCAACCCTACATCACATGCTCATCGACCCTTCTTGACCCAACCCTCGAGGTTCTCCCTCGTCTCCGTCAGCTTGCCCTCGACCATGCCGACTGTCATGCCCGCATGTGCCTTCCCTGTCTCGATGAACTTGCTGATTCTCTCTTTTGTCCTGAGGTGGGTGTCGGCGAGAACCGGGTACCTCTCCTCGTACTTCCACGCGAGATCACCCACGTTCCTCATGGTTATGGGCAGCACGGCGTACGCAGCTCCAAGACCGACCGCGGCGGGCACGGTAGCACGGAGCAGGATATTGCGGTTCCGCGTGACAATGGAGCCAGCCATGGATGCGACGAGGACGTACAAAGCACCGGGGAAGATCCTCTCGCCAGACTCCTTGGGCGGGGCGAGCGAGCGGATAGTCGATGTGAAGGAGTGCTCGAGGCGTAGCGTCTCGGTCAGGGCGTTGTCGACAGCGGCTTCACTGCGGACGACTTGCTGGTGAAGGGCCATGCGCGCATAGCTAATCTGCACTGCGAGACGATCGGTGGGGGTCGGGCGGTAAGACTCGACGGGTGTGGTGGAGGGCGAGGAGGGGGTGGAAGTAGAGGGGGTGGAGGGCTCTGGGAGAGTGGGAGCGGTCGTGTCTAGAGGCATGTCGTCGTAGATTGGCTTGCGGTTCTGGTGGTTGACATTAGCATGTGACTTTCTCAAATAATCTCGTATCACATGTTGTAGCAATGCTCGATATCAGATGCGACGACGTACAAGGTCCACAGTGGTCTCCTCAGCATATACAGCTCGTGGTGCGAAGACTGCGCCAACGGAGAGGGCGGCGGCCATGGCAGGAACGACGGCGCGCTACAACATGTCAACTTGCTGTCTACGATAGATGCTATGGCCACTCACCTGCCGTAGCAGCGGTCTAAAGGCCATGATGTGTGAGGGGCAGACGCAATGGATGGGAGGTCGAGGGTACAGAACTTCTGATGTCAATCCGTTTCGCGCCGAGATACGAAATGTCTGTCCGTGCGTCGTCATAATACCCACGCCGCCATGGGAGCTTGCCCGCCCTCGGCTGGTGACACGGCGCGGTCACCTCACTCGCCAAGTAAAGATGCTCAAGAGGCTCGCCCGCACTCCGTCGTCGCCATGGGTCTGCTCACAATGCCTGCGCCACTCGCTGCGCCAACGGAGGCCCAACAGCACCTTCGCCGCCGCCAACGCCCGCAATCCCACTTCGCCGGCTGCCCTCTACGGTCTGTCTGCCAGCGGGAAGACAGATGACGACGCCCTGCGCAAAGTCTTTGACAATGCCTCCTTCTGGCAGAGCTTCAAGCAGGCGTCGTCCGACAAACCACCATCCGGTATCATTGGCAACAAGTACCTTACACATCCAGAGGGCTTCATAGACTTTGTCACCATCACCATCCACCGCTGCAATGCCGTCGTTGAAAAGGTCTCGACGGCCGAGTCGACATCCGACCTCAGGAACATGGTCAAAGAGCTGGACAAGCTGAGCGATCTGCTGTGCAGAGTCATCGACCTGGCCGACTTCGTGCGCGGGACGCACCCCGATCGCAAGTTCCAGATCATGGCCATCAAGGCATACCACACCGTGTTCCAGTACATGAACCAGCTCAACACCACACCCGTGCTATACGATCAGCTGAAGAGGGCGTCAGAGATACCTGAAGTGTACGAGAGTTGGTCAGAGGAGGAGAAGATTGTTGCACGAATACTCATGGAAGACTTTGCAAGATTTGGGATTGGATTAAACGACGAAACGAGACAACGACTGGTGGACCTGAGCGGCGAAATTGCAGAGGTTGGATCGCAGTTTGTGGAAGGAATGGCGCCGGAGAAGCATTCGTTAAAGTTCAACTCCAAGAGGCTGAAGGGGCTGGACCCAAACCTGGCAAAGGCCTTGACGAAATGGGGCGAGACGAAGATATCGACCATGCACAACGAGGCGCAAAGCGTGTTACGATTCGTCGACGACGCCGATGTACGCAGAGACACATACACAGCTGTTCGAACAGCCGGGAAATCCAGCATAGACCGCTTGGAGAAGATGTTGAAACTCAGGGCAGAGCTGGCGAAACTGTCTGGATACGAAACATTCGCGCACATGACGTTGGAGAATAAGATGGCAAAGACACCAGAAGCCGTCGACCAGTTTCTCAGAGCTCTACACCACGACAATCAGCCGGCTGTAAAGGCGGACTTGGAGGAACTTTTAGCGCTGAAGAAAGGTGATGCACATCAGGACAACTTCCCTGACAGCATCAACGCGTGGGATAAGTTCTACTACACACAAAAGGTACTCTCCACAATGGAGGGTCACTACAAGCAACGCACACCAGACTCTTTGTCTGCTTACTTCTCTGTTGGGACCGTGCTGCAAGGCATCTCACGCCTCTTCGACCGTCTCTACGGCGTGCGTCTCGTCCCAAAAGAGACACAACCAGGCGAAGTATGGGACGACGGCGTCCGTCGCCTAGACGTAATATCCGACACAGAAGGCCACATCGCCGTGCTATACTGCGACCTCTACTCACGCCCCGGCAAGACGCCAAACCCCGCACACTTCACGCTCCGCTGCAGCCGGGAGATCCTCCCCGCCGAGCTCTCCGAAATGTCGCACATGCAGCACCGCTTCTCCTCGCCCATCGAAGCCGCCACAGACGGCATGCCCGTATCCTTCAACGCAGAGCGAAACAGCTACTTCCAGCTCCCCACTATCGCCCTCATCTGCGACTTCTCCAAGCGCGCCCACCCGCGCCCCACCCTCCTCAACATCCACGACGTCCGCACCCTATTCCACGAAATGGGCCACGCACTCCACTCGATCCTCGGCCGCACCGCCCTGCAAAACGTCTCCGGCACCCGCTGCGCAACAGACATCGCCGAACTCCCCTCAGTCCTAATGGAGCACTTCGCCTTCTGCCCTCACGTCCTCGCCCTCTACGCTCGCCACTGGGAAACTGACGCCCCGCTGCCCCCGCAGGCCCTCGAGCACCGCCTCGCTATCGATACCCGCAACCAGTACACAGAGCTCGAGAGCCAGATCCTACTCTGCATGCTCGATCAAGTCTACCACTCTGCCGCCCCGCTGCACAGCCCCTTCTCCTCCACGCACGTCTACCACGCCGTGTACAATGAGTTCGCCAGCGTGCCTGAGCCTGCGGGCACCGCGTGGCAGGGCTTCTTCGGCCATTTGTTCGGCTACGGCGCGACGTATTACTCGTATCTTTTCGATCGCGCGATTGCGGCGAAGATCTGGCAGGATGTTTTTCAGCGGCAGGGGCCTGAGGGGAGCTTGGATAGGGAGAATGGCGAGCTTTATCGCAGGGAGGTGTTGAGGTGGGGGGGCGGGAGGGATGGCTGGCAGTGTCTTGCTGGTGTGTTGAAGGATCCGAGCTTGGCTGAGGGCGGCGAGAAGGCCATGCAGGAGGTTGGGAAGTGGGGGATTAGGGATGCGGGGAAATGAATGGGGGAGGTAGTCTGGTATGAAAGTATGTGTTTGATGTGGATAGAGTAGATCGGTGGATTATATGTATACATGTACATGCTATTGACGCCTCCTTTTTCGCACAACCACATAGACCAGTAGCCATCTCTCTGGAGAACCAATCAATACACGTCTAGTACGACACACACACCCAACTACCCATCAAACCCTCACTCCCGAACCTCAATCCTCGCAATCAACTCCCCACCCAACCTCGCAATCTCACCCACAACCGCCCCCTTATTAACCCTAACATCCACCTCCCCCTCCCCACCATCCTTCCCCTTCCCCCTCGCCCGCACAGGCTCAGCATTCCACCCAGGCCTAACCTTCCAGCTCCTCTGCCCCGTAACAACCGGATTCCACAGCCCAACAATCCTATCCATCGTCTCCGGGTCCCAGAACCACAGCACCGCGTCGCCATACACGGCTCTGAGGTCCTGCGCGAAAAGGAGCGGCAGCGGCGTAGAGGCGGGGACGTGGCGCGTTTCGTGCTGGAGAGCGATGTTCTTGAACGAGCGCTCCGCTTTGCGTTTCCTGGAGGCGGGGGGGTTGAGGGTGTATTTGGGGGCGATGTGGATGGTGATGTCGTAGTGGGATGTTGTTGTTGTGAAGAGGGAGGTTGTAACTGCGGTGATTTCTTCGTCTTCATCTCCGTCTTTACGTCCCGTGTGGGTGTGGGACAGCAGACGGGCTTCGTCTGCGCGGATGGCCTGGGTAGCGGCTTTAGCTAGGGCGGTGAGGCGCGCGGCGACGACTTTCTCGGGCTGCGCTTTGTCCGTCCATGTCGTGCCTTCTTCGTCGAGGTTGGAGGCTGCGAAGAGGACGACGCGGTTCATGGCTGGATCGATGCGGCGCCATGCTTCGAAGCGGGTTTGTAGTCTCTCGAGGTCTTCGGACTTCATGCCTTTCGGGGTTGCGTCTTCTAGATCGGCTGGGTTGTTGGTGAAGGTCGATGAGAAGTCTACGACAAGGGGGACGTGGCGCCAATCCCATCGGCCGATCCAGGCTAATGTCCTCAAGAACCCGGTGGTTGCGGTGGAGGGGACGGGCCATGGATGCGGTTGGAGGAATGTTCGGATGACAAGTAGCTCGATCAGCTCGGGCGCAAAGTGAGGCGATAGAAGATGCGATGCGAACCATCGCTTGGTCAGTCGTATCGAGGGCGAGAGAGCTGGGAAGCGCGTGCTGAGCGTTTGCAACACCTGCGAGTGCAGCGGTGTGTTGACAAACTCGCGTTTGTACAGAGCAAGCGAAGCAGCGGCAGATTCGCGCGATGGAGCGTCAAGAGTCTTGTCTTTCAGTTGGCGTTCGAAGAGTGTGACTTCGCGGTCATGGTATATGCGGATGCGGAATGTGAAACCCGACGCGACAGTGACGTCCAAGAACGCCTGGTTCGTGGCTGGCTGCGATGGGTTCTCAAGACCAACACGAGAAACGTATTCTGACTCCAAGTTTGACAAGAGGTCAGACATCCTCAGAAGAAAGGCAATCTTCGTCCGCTGAATAGCGCACAGATCGTCAGGCCAGCGCCCGGATGCCTCGAACTGGAGCACAACCGACGCAGGAGAATGCCCAGGAGACGGAGGATCCACTGAAGCGTAACGAAGTTGTGGATCCGCAGCTCTGATGTGACGCAGCTGGAGCGGCAGGTCTTCCAGATCACGAATGTCCTTCTCCAAAGCAGAAAAGGCATTCATGATGGGAAGGAAAGGCGCAACTCCAGACGCTCCCTGGATACGACCAGCACTGATCAAGTGCGCAAAAACATCGCCGCTGAACTTGACTTGCTCCTCAGCGTCAACACCAGCATGTTGCTTGAGGCAGTAGCGAACGATTTGCTCAACCACAGACTTGTCCTTTGCCGACCAGACCACACTCTCGAGAATGCTGCCATCCTTGAATCGTCTGAGCTCAGACTTGTCGCCCCAGAATTTGCGGAAAGCGGCAGCCTCCTGCTTGTTTTCCGCCGACGGTCCATGGTCGACGGTTCGGCTAGCGTTTGCTGGGTCCGTTGCGAAACTCACCAGGATGCTCTTTCGCTGGTTCTCGTGAGGACGCTTCGAGGAGACGGACCAATTGTTTTCACCAGGAAGAGTGAATGACAGTGCCGTAATTCGATCCGTCAACGCGCGAGTCAAGGTGTTGTAAAGCTTTCGGCAGGTGCTGGCGAACTTCTCGTCGTAGTCCTCGCCCGTTGGCAACTCAAACGCCGAGAGAGGGATCTCGACAGTCGCATCATATCTGTATGTCAACAACTCAGTCTTGAGGATGAATGCTGAGTCGAAGTGATCAAACACAGCGTCACTCAACATGTCGACGGTAGCCTTTGCCTCGAGGCGAAGACGAGCAAACGACCAATGCGTCATCTTGAACAACACGTTCTGACCTCGGGGTCCGTCGAATAGAACTGGAGTTGTGCCAGTTTTTGGGACGGTGACATTGTGTGCCTGCAGGATAAAAGGCTTCTTAGCCAGATCATGGCGTGCCAGGAACTGGAGGGTTGCCTTGAACAGCTGATAGCTGCTGTATCCCGGGGAAAGTGCTTGCGCGCCAACACCCGAGTCAGACTGTAGCAGAAGAGCCATGAGAACGGCCCATTCGAAGTTGCCAAACCCTCCTTGACGCAGTCGGGTGCCGAATCCGCGCTGCTGCAACCAAACTCGGCCGAGTATGCACGCGTCCTTGTATGCATCCGCCTTGGAGGCTGTAGCGTGCAGTAGCTTGAGGTATGGGGTGATATTGGCATCCGACTGCAGCGTGCTGTTGTAGAAGGGCGTCGGTGCGAGCGCTTTGCTAGGAGCCTCGTCTTCATTTCCCTTGGGTCGCACGCAGTTGGAGCTTGGAGAGAGTTTGTTCTGCGCAAACGAGTCCTCAGGCAACGCCACCAGGATATTGATCCTGCACTTCGAGGCCGAAAAGTCGTCTGCATCGCCATTGCCGCTGGGGCGCACAACGATGATGGGCTGGAGTTGGTTCCCATTCAGAGTGTCGAACGAGAGGACGAACTTGTGCTCTTTTGCCGCGTTGATACCGGCAGCCAGACAAGCCAGGTAGTATGCGCGCTTGTAGAAGTATCGGTGGTTGAGGTAGTCCTTGTCCTGGAACAGGGCCTTGGGCATAGTGACGACCAGGTCGATGGCGAGCCCACTGTCCGTGTGCGTCGCAGTCTTGAGCGGGTAGCTGCCGGTGGCGTTGATGCTCGCAGGACGGTCGTACTGCAGCTTGTACATTGCGTCTTTGGGCGGGCGGGGGCTGGGAAAGGGCGTGGCCACTCCAGCAGCCTTGAGGGCCTTCTCGGCTTCGGGAACCTGGGTTTTGTCAGAGACGTGGCAGATGTATGCGACTTGTTCCACCTACTGGCAGCGCGGCCCTGCTGGGTATCTGCTCGATGATAGTCTTCAGCGTGCGCATAGCCGTCTCAGCCAGAGCCTGCTTCTTGCCGTACTTTGGCTTGACTTCCTCCAGCAGCTCGTCAACCTGCAGCTTGAACATGTTCGACTTGAACGTCTCGGCCGTGTACACGCCGTCTTGCAGGCTCAATGCAGGCCGCTTGTGTGGCTTCGGTGCAGAGGCTGGCTTTGGCGCGGGCGCCTGCTTCTTTGCTTCCTGGGGCGCCTCTTCTTCCTCGTCAGACTCTTTGTCCTCCTGGTCGCTCACAGCCTCGTCATCCTCCTCGTCGCTCACACCTTCCTCAACATCTTCCAACGCCTCCAGCTCGCCCATGGAATCATCTTCTTGCGCGCTGCCATCCACCTCCCCACCGTTCACCTCGTCGAAATCAGCAAAGCTGCCCTCACTCCCACTCTCCTCATCGCTGTGCTCAAGCTTCCTTCTCTTAGTCACGGGTGGCGCCATAATGGTGTTGTCGAGGTCAAGTCCTTCATGCGACGATTTTCGCGCCAAACTTTTTGGCAAAAGAGTGGGTCCAGGCACATGGTAATCGATAACGTTGACGCTAGCTACCCCATGTTTCTACATGACGCTTGCTTGGAGGCAGCCTGTGTTGTCCCTCAATGCACCCCTCACTGCGGGCGGGTCCTCTCTTTGTATAAGACGCAGTCGCGGCGTCATGGGTTTGGATTCAGGTCTCTTCGTTTGGTTTATATTCATAGCTGGGTAGAAGCGTCCAATGTAATCCCCTTTCTTCTTCACCATTCAACATTCAACATTACCTTCTCCCCGTCTGATCAACTCACATCGTGTCCGTCACACTGCCGTTCTCAACTCGCCTCTCCCGCATTGCACGCGGTCCTTTTCTCCCTTCCAAACACCTACAAAACAGATCCCTCACTATGGCGTGGCGGAGCTCAGGCTCCAGCAACGAGACGCTCATCGCGAACCTCGCGCGCAACGGCCTGATAGAAAGCGACCGCGTCAAGGAAGCAATGCTGCAGGTAAATTCCACACTCGACTCCCTCCCTTCTTCCCTCCTTCCCAACCAACAAACAAACTAACCCATCCCACCCCACCAGGTCGACCGCGCGCACTACGCCCCCTCATCCCCCTACGACGACTCCCCCCAACCCATCGGCCACAGCGCCACAATCTCCGCCCCACACATGCACGCCTCAGCCTGCACATCACTCCTCCCATACCTATCCCCCGGCGCGCGCGTACTCGACATCGGCAGCGGCTCAGGCTACCTAACAGCGGTATTGGCGCACCTAGTCGGGCCCACAGGGAGCGTAGTCGGCATCGACCACATCGCGCCGCTGGTTGCGCTGGCAACGGGCAACATGCGGAAGTCGGCGACGGGGCGCGCCATGTTGGACGCGGGGCAGGTGCGGTTTGTGCTCGGGGATGGACGCAAGGGCTGGAGCGAGGGCGCTCCGTATGATGCTATTCATGTTGGGGCCGCGGCGGCGGAACACCATGAGGAGCTCACCAGGCAGTTGAAGGCCCCTGGGAGACTATTCGTGCCGGTTAAGGAGGGCGCTGTGCAGCATATCTGGGTTGTGGACAGGAAGGCGGATGGAAGTGTCGAGCGCGAGAAGTCATTTGGCGTGCAGTATGTGCCTTTGACAGATGCTCCGCCCGGGTAAGGGTAAGAATGTGGTGGGACCGAGGTGGTGGTAGAAGGGAATATGTTTCTGGGATGATATATCGGAGCATGGCGAAACAAACAGGGCAGGGCAGCTCAACGCAAGCCGAAGACAACAGAGGAAGAACAGTCAAGCTGACTCGCTTCTGTAAAAATCATGGCCGTCAAACACGAGCGCAGATTCGGGGTGCAAAATCTTCAACAGAGATACAGATAATTGAATGCTAGACGTCGAGTCAAATCATAGCATACAAAATCAAAACGTACAAAACAAACCCAAAACAACAAAATTCCAGCACAGAACCAACCAACGCCAGTACTAAGCACAACAACCACTCGATGAATCAATACTGCGTTGCATGACAATCAAACGATCTGTCTTCACTGTTCCTCAACAACTCTGCCCACAAAACCCTCAAGACCAGCAACACCTTTTGCGCCCCTCTCGTTGCCTCCCGACAGCCCAGGCCCACCTCCCGGCATGACCAACACCTTGGCGCCCACTTCGACAAATTCTCTCGTGGCGATGAATTGGAAAGTGACCACTGTCGCTGACGCCATTTCATGTGTAGGCTCCGGGTCCGCCTGGTCGTCGAAGCCAAAACCAAACGCATCCTCGTCCTCATCTTCGTCGACATCCTCGTTCCTATCATTCTCAACAGGCACAGTCTCCGTAGCAACAGACACGACCTTGGACGATGCTCTGACACTGGCAACATACACGACGGCTGCACTTCCAATACCAAGGTTACTGACGCCTTGCGCCTGGTTGCCCTCAAATCGTACAGCCATGACTCTTGACGCCTTAGCTTCGCGGTCAGCCAACACCATTCCCTTCCTGATTCTGTTGATTGCCCCGCTCGACATCGGTGTGTCGATGGGCATGATGCTCATGGTGCCGACTTGACCTGCGCATAACGTTCTAACGGGGAGGCGCAGGTTGCGCAGCGAGGTGATGCGGACGCGTCGCCATTCACTGTGTCGGTCGCGTGAGATCACATCTCTGTCGTGAGACTTTTTCAGAGCGCCAGGGAAGGATTTAGATGTTTGTACGAGCGAGTTTCGCTGTGCAGGTCTCCCACTCCCACTATCACTGTCGTCTGAGCTGATGTCTACTGGGTATGGTCCAAGAAGTAGCTCGTCTCCTACTTTCAAAACACCATAACGTAGATAGCCGCCGATGATTGCTGCTCGATCAGACACGGTTCCGTTCTTGACACTGTATACGTCTTCGATGTAGAATAGGTTAGAAAGCGATATTGTGGGTGGAGCCGCTGCCTGGGGCGGGAGAGGCAGTTGGCGAAGGAAGGCATGTAGTTTGTTGATGCCCGTTCCTTTGACAGCGCTTGTGAGTATGATTGGTACTGCCACCAATGGCGATGCTTCCAAAAGCTGCACTACGCCAGCAGCTTCTTGCAAGTCGGCTGTGGACACTGTGAGCAAGTCCGCCTCCAAAACGGATGTCGACGGATCGGAGATGATGCATGGTCTCCGACCAGCATCTTTGAGTGCTGACAACAATTTGGATAGTGTTTGACGCAGGCCGGCCTTGGTAGCGAGATCATACTTGGTAATGACCACCACAAGCGGCAGTTCCAGGTCGAGACAAAGCTGGAGGTGTGCTTGCGATAGGTCCAAATCTACTGTAGTAGGGCCGAGAAGATCTTGGGAGGCAGGTGAAGCGCCAGATTTACCAGATGGTTCATCAGTACTGTCCGCGGGAACGCAAACCAGTGTCCAATGCGGTTGCCTGAAGATGTCAGCGGCTTTTCTACCGACACGAATAAAAACTTAAAAATCATCGCAACGTTTCGGAATGAGGGTGCACGACTCGATTACGTGGGGTTCAACTTACCAGCCAACAATGCCGCGAACAGTCGTCCTTCGGAAGCGGGGGTGCCCTGCAGAATCGGAGAGAAAGATTAGGCGTCCCTGCTCCGCGGCTTCTACAGAGGCGTGTATGTCGATCCATGACGATACATCTCCAGAGCCGTAGCTGATCACCTGAGTTGTGGTCGCCCCCACTTTGCCAATAACATCGCGATAGCCTATAAGCTCTTGCGTCACGGAGCTTGTCATGCCTGATGCAATCTCATGTCTGTGCCTGAGGAGACTCAAACGGCTTTTCCCCCGCCCATTGTCCAATGTTGTAGTTGACAAGGTACCAAGTAAACTGGATTTACCGGAAGTCGTCGCGCCAGTTAAAGAAACCCGTAGTTGTTCCACCATTGTCCGGGTCTCACTGATTGAGGCAGCTAAGGATGATGTATCGCTTACGGACTCTACCTGCAAGTGACTGGTGTGTTGCTGAGTCTTCTCCATGGGGTCGATGAGATGCTGTTCCGGACGCACTAGAGCTTCAGCAACCAACAGTGTCGATGTAAACACATTTTGCTGCTGGGTACCAATACCTTCCACCCACTCACATTCTCCCACAGCTACTCTGCGAAGTACTTGCACGCCACAACCTAAGCTTTCGGCCATGGCGCGCAAGTTATTAAGACTCTCCTCCATCTCATCTTCCGCTAAGCCTACAATTGTACCATCGTCGGCAACGCCAATTTCGTAAAGCGCTCCTTTGCTCTCCTCCAGTCCGGGAAGAAGCCGTTGCGACATATCCGGACTGGGCAGTCGATCATCATTCGGAAGGTGTGGGAGAACTGGCGCCATTGACGAGGATATGTGATAGGGGCATGATTGTTGCAGACGCCACAGCAGTTGAGTGGTCAACTGCTCAAGACGATGTTGTCGAGACTGTGTCGACGACAGGGGAGGTGGGGTATTGGATAAGTGGCCAGATTCGGACACGCTACGGCCTCCAGGTATTGGAGTTGGAATATCACAGCGACGCAGAGAACCTGAAATGTGGCGTCCTGTGCTAGTGGTGGCACGAGTGAACGATCGTCGTCGTCGAAGAAGCAAGTGGAGCTTGTATTCCGTGGGGCCCTCCTGTGGTTCAGCCTCTAATCGTGTAATAGTGCTGTAATCCACAACAGAAGTCCGGGCTCTTGCATTCGATTGTTGTTCCTCATCGACACCGAGTTTTGAGGAATGAAGCTTGGTGCCATGTTGAGGCGACATACTCGCAGGATCGCCAACAGGAGGCATCGCCCATGGCGACGACACCCGCGGGGGATCTGGGTCAAAAGTGAAGATGGAAGCCATGTTGTTGTTGTTTCGCTAGGCTTATTTGTGCTAGTAGTTATGGTTGTTGGTAGGGCCGTGCAGTAGGTATCCGGGATCCTGAGGATACGTGGATGCGTATTGCTACTATGAATTACTGCATTAACGTAATAAAGATCGTGAATTTGTGTGAGAGTAATGTGTCCGGAACAGTTGCGTCAGTAATGGAAGCATTTTGGCGGGAACAGAGCGCAAATGAGAGAGAGGCTTCGTCAAGCGATAGTCGAGGAGAACTCGGGAAGGAGTTCTGGGTGGCTGCCAATTCGGCGTTCACAAGAGAAGGAAAGACATCGTCGTAGAAAACGTAGACTTCGCTGTAGATTGAAGATGAGGCGTGGGTGCAATGAAGTGATGTGGTGTCGGTGAGCTGAAGGTCGTCGTAGGTTTATCATGGCGGAGGCGCAGGCGCGGTCCGTGCGTGAAAAGGTGCAGTCACGATTGCACTGAGTATGAATCATCTTCTACCTCTTCAATTCGGTTCATTACGAATGCAGCGCCCTTCAACCGCCCTTAAATCTTCATCATGGACTCAGCTGGCTGTTTGACTTGATCTCTGGCGCCAGGTGCAATCGTCACCTCGAAACGTCACCCAATCCGTGCTGTACATGAGATCAGGGAGACATAGTCTTCATGAAGTGGTCTTGGAGCGTTTGGCTGGTCTTGTTTCTATCATTGTTTTGCTTCGCTTTTCTCCGTTAGGTCTCGCTTCACTCCGCGAAATTTCTAGCCCCAGAACTGCGATGCGGCTTCGGCATGTACTTCAACTCCCTCCCTCCAGGCATGTCTGCACTGCTAGTGTTAGATGCACCCGTTGCTGGTCACGGCTCATGTTGTTTAACCTCTTTACCATGTTTTCCAATGCGTAGTGGCAGAAAAGATGCACAGGATTACATAGGTGGACTGCCAAGTGCACATCATTGTTCCTTCCGCTTCCTCATGCGCCACTCGTTTCGCTCCTTCTGCAGCCGTTGAGGATTGTAATGCTTGCGGCCGTATGGTGGACACCCTTTACAAGGTACGTGCAGCATGCATGTGGGATGCACACCTCTGATTGTCCACCGACTTCGGTTCAACCTGCACTACACACCTTTTATTTGGTTTACGAGTTGCGGATGTTACATTGCGCTGTTGCCTCTTTCGTCTGAATTTCCGACTCATGCAATGCTCTAGACTGTGTGTGCAGGCAGGGTCATCAGAGTAACGTACGATCCCGGAGTGGGACGACGTTGGCGGTTGTTGCGATTCATTGCCGCCGTTGGTACGGATCCGTAGAAAACTCGCAACAGGAACTAGTTTGTCATGTAAACCATCTGTATTGGATTGTCTTCCTTTGCAGTCCTGTCATCTTTGTTTACTCTGATGTGTCGCTGGTTAACAAACCTTGCCGACAACCATCCGTCCTTACATGTGTTTACAATCTTTGGTGAGATGTGACGACCTCCCGTATCCGGGCTACATTCATCCTCAAGACTGGCGGCCTTGCATGACCTCGGGACGTTTATGCAACTTGATTCGTTCGCAATACTTATCTTTCGGAACATCAGTCAGGTAAGCTCGCTCCGCTGCTAAACCCTGATAGTTGTGATCTAGTACGGATCAAGTGACAGCACATCCTTCCCGCCTAACCGCGCCCCACTGCGCCGCCGGATGTAGTGTCAGCATGCGCCGCGGCAGGCCCTGACCCACATGTCAGTGAAGTGGTTACCTATACCGAAGAGCACTGTGCCGCACGGGCGACACAGTGACGAACACCTCACCTTTTGCGTCATTCCCAGTCCCACCTTGGAGACAGCGACGAATTGGATAATTTCCTTCGACTAATCCCCTGTCGCGGGTGAATGTTGCGCGAATGGGCAGTCGTCACAATACCAGATAGACTTTGTGACAAAAAACGTTCTTGCATCACCTGTAGGCGCACGTCCGGGGACCCGGGACGACCTCGAATTCAGCGGGAATGCGCAAATTAGACAAAGCAACCGACCATACCCACTATTTTACGGCATCACCATCATTTACCTGGAACTATCGACTTCCAAGACTGCGGCCATCGGAACTCGAGCCGCGACCAATGGAGAGCGGTCAGTGGTCAGCGGTCAGAATGCCAACCGTACAGTTGCTGGCCTTACTTTGGAGTGTGACTTGAGCAAGCTTGATCATGCTATGATGTCGCGCCTTCCTCATCCAGCTTTACTCGAGACAAGCTGCGCCGTTGGCAACCATGCAATCAGAAGTACACCGCAATCCATGCTATGCCATGTGCGAGTTAATTGGTCCAGGAGTCCATGCACGGAAGATTCCATCCAGACAAGGCTCCCCCTTCGCAGCCGAGCCAGGGAAAGCGAAGCGAGAACCGCAGCTGCCAATTCCCGGCGTCATGGTCCACGCCGTGGTCCAACCGTCTCACTTTAGGGTGTGCCGTCATTTCAGCACTTGCAAACCTGGAGAACGTTTTTGCAAGGCTTCCACCCCAAGCGGTGGCAACAACGGCCCGCTAAGAACACCGACCCAAGCTCTCGAGGACCATGCAAGGCAACCTGTCGGATTGAACAAAGTTGATCGTTTTCCTCAAGCAGAGAATGACGAGCCGTAAACTTACGCGCGGCCTATGCATCTGACGTGATCTGGCGATCGGAACAAAAAGACATGGCTGGGTGAGGCCTGGTGTTTTGAATCACATGAAGACACCATCCCCTCAGGTTGAACGGGGACGCGAGTGTTAGCTGGTACCTGTCAGATTTAGCCCGAGGAGAACGATCCGGGGATTTGCTAGAACGAACCCAATGCAGACAAAGAGGTGTTGGTAGTTCCCGGGAAATGAGCATAGACCCCTTTTGTGTTCTTCAAACTCCTTCGTCGGCAAGGAGCCGATGGGAGCGTTTACCTCCTTCGTCAAAATCCTCCCGTATTTCCCCATCCTGCAACATCGCCTCATCAAGGGGGAAAAGCGGACAATCAGATATTTTGCGACTAGTATGAGGTCATGAAAACACAAAATGATGTAATATTGATGATTGCTGGACGCTGCGACAAGCTCTGCTTGATGCGCCCAGGTCGTAGAATGTAGTGGGTTTGGTGAAGGAGCTTTGTGAGCTCGTCTGCATCTTTGTGCGAGCCAACACTCGGGGCTCTTCCACAGCTTGAACACCGCAAGCCAAAATATCTGCTGGATCGTCGAAGGCGGTTGTGAAGGCTAGTCACCATATTATGTTTCCTCCATCATGGCCTGCCAGCTTCTCCTCGACGCATTAAATAGCTTGACGTCGAACATCTCTCGACGAAATTTTGTGATAACAATTTCAAGGCGATCTGATAATTTCTTGTGGATGTTTCATTCATCGGCTTGCATCCGATGGCCTTCGAGGCTTGCACTTGTCATGCGCCATGTGGCCATTTCTTGCAGTCGTACGCGTAAACTCTGCCCCACATCGTGGACAGTAGCTTTTGGACGCAGTGCCTGACTTTTCGCGTTGATGTCGTAGCAAATTACTGAATGTTGAAAATTGACGCCCATTGCAACCGTGCTCCCAGCACTGTGGCTTGGGTCGAGAATTGAGGACGCGCGGCGGCATCAAAGCGCCGTTTGGCGAATTCGGGGAAGAAGATAGTGCTGAAACGGCGCTAGCTGGGGGCGCAGGGTTGCCCTGTGGAGGCTCGTATGGTGGGTACGCAGCAGGTGTTGTTGATGAGGGTGGGTACATTGTTGGAAGTGGGTGATATTCGCCCACGTTGTAGCTGGTAGGAGGATATAATGATGGACTACGCCATGTGAGCGCCATACACTTGCTTATGACGGGGAATAGCTTACGGGGGAAAATTAGAAGTGTTGTTTCCCATTGACTGACTTGGAAGGCTGCCCTGAGTAGCAGGGTAAGAATAACTATGGGATGCGGAGCCCGAACGCAGTGAATCTGAGGTTTGATGTTGTTGGTATGGACTTCGCGGGAGCGATGGCGGCTGAGGTTGATACGGTGGCAATATTGTATGCTCGTCAGGTCTTCTCGGGTGGCCGCCATGCGATAATCCAGGATTGGAGGCGTATGTAGAGGGATATGATCCTGATGTCGTGGGCCTGTGGTCTGCGTAGGACTGTTGGCTCGTAGGCGGGTAGCTAGGCGAATAAGACGGCTGTGAAGCGTAATGGCTCATGCCGTACTGTGATTGCGACATCATGGATCCCAACGTGCTGGTCTGGTTCAACAATGTGTCATCTCAATCAATCCAAGAATTCGTACCTCATATCTTGCACCTGCAGCAACGAAACTTATGGCCGTGTTGAAGTTACAGACAGATCCAGTTTGATGTTATGGCCGCCTGATATGGATGGTAATAGCAAAGAAGTCAGGCCAGGTTCAGGACGCAATGGAGTTTGGAGGCCGTCAGGTGGGCGCGATCGTGTAACAGGAGATCGCTACAATTTGGGTTCTTCGGGAGTGGGAATGTCGAAAATGAAAAGGATTGTCGGAGGGGATCGTAAGAGCTTGATATCTTTCAATATTACTAGAATCGGAGATGTTGCTCCGGTAAAATCTTTTGAGCGGGTCCAAGGGATCCCAAGCTGATGGAGGTGGATGTGTCTCTGGACTTTGATACTCGACAGGCTTTCTGTGGGGCTCAAGTAGAATTGCGGCACGGTGCGAGTGGACACCCCGGGGGTGCGGACTTTCTGATGGCCGGAAAGAAAGGGCTTGGTCAATGCGATTTCTGAGTCGACGTAAGATGGTAGTCGTCTGGCGGTGATGTTGAGGATGATTGGAAGACCGTGGGGTCATAATCAAGTAGACATAAGTGGGAGAACGTACGTTTGTATTCCTGACTTAACAGCCAAACATAGTAGTATCTGCCTTGTAGAGTAGTTATCGTAAATGCCGATTTGCATCCTTGATATTTAGTGATGACCTGCACCTCTGGAAGGGATATACTTGCATCTCTCCGTATAGAACATCCAACCTCTAGTAAGTTACAGCAGCGCTTTTCCCGGCTGTGCGGCCGGGAACTGGTCAAGGCATCGAAGGATTCACATCCCGGTTCAGCGGCCATGACCACCCGCGCCACCGTCTCCTAATCTTTGAACGTACAAGCGCGGTACCTGGCCATTCGGCATCCTCGATTTGTCATTAGTAACTCGTTCGTCGTCAAGCAATGGCTATCGTAACGTAGTTATTGTGGTTGATACTCGGGTACTGCTATCATTGTGATGTCGAGCAGCTGACAGAAGGCCCAAGTGTGCGCTATGACAGAGTCCGGCAACAATACTGATCATGGCGTTTAGCATGCCGTAAAGCGGCCGCCGATGAGCGTTGAGATACGCTTTCCGCACATACACAGATGGTGGTGGGCTGAGGGCTGCCGCGCGTGGGAGGAAGACCATGCCACGTTCAGTCTGGTCTGTGGAAGACCCATGCCAGAAGCGGACGGTTAACCAGGATTAGCAATGACAGTACATGAGCGGGCGTATACGGGGCAAGTTGGGTAGGGACTAAACCACGACTCAGGAAAGAAGCGGTGCGTGCACGCTTCATCTCCAAGCCTTATTGTCAAGGAATGAATGTCGGTACTGCCACGACATCACCTGTGAAGTCGCCTCCTGATCTCGACCCGTCTCCCAAATGTGCCATGTTGTGCTGTGCTTTCGTGTTTCTGTGCGTTCGAATTGACGTATCCAGCACGTGATACCCACACGAATCAGGGGTGCCGACCAGGACCGTTGTCATGGCTGTTCAAGTACGACACCATCGACTTCTGAGCTAAAATGGGGTGCAACAGAACATAATTTACACGATTCTGCATTGATACAAGCGTGCAGGACGGGGGACTGCACATGTCCCACGGGAAGGTGGGTTGTCCAGGTGTGATTCAGGATGCAGACGCAAAAGTGGGGGACATGACAACAATTTCCACCCCCCTCTTCTCCTAGGCCAGGGCCACGAAATACCAGGGTTCCCGACGGCGTTAAGGAAAGACCCGTCGAGACCGTTCTTCACTGGACTTCTTCTAGGGATTTCCTCCCACGTAGCGACTTTCGGTTTGATACAACACCGAACCTTGCTTTCTTAGGTGGTCATCTCAACATCTCACATAAGACCACCCATGTACGGTGCGTTCTCTTTTGGGTAAGAGGTGTTCAAACTAACCATGGGATCTGCTTATCAGATCAACAACACGACACCTACAACATGACGTCAAAAGAAACATTGATGTTTCGTCAAAGATGACATCTGCAGAGCTGTGAAAGCGGGTCGTCCCATAGCGTGCCAACCGGCAAATGTTCGCTGCAACCCACGACGATGACACGGCTACTGACAACCCACAATAAGGCCACAGAATATGGCCGACGGTAACACAGCTTACGCCTCGAGGGTGACTCCTAAGACTTTTATAGCTGGGCGCCGGCGGCAATACGTCATCTGCGACAACACAATCACACCCTACTTGCTTCTTGCTCTTCGACGAATGTTCAGATGATTGCATGCGACTCTTGGACATACTGACTGAGCTGGCTGTGGACGATATTTACTTGATCAACCGATGTGGAGGCACGTTCCGGACCTTATGCAGAGGCGCTAAGAGGCTGGACTTGGAAAGTCTCAAGCGTGCCATACTATATAACAACCCCAAAATAGATATGCCAGGCTGTCAATGTTGCGTGGTCATAAGTCACTAGCTTGTATAGATGCGGGCCTTCAATCGTGCAAGAGGTAGCGGCGCAACGACGAGCACTGCTGGGACCCCATGGTCACTTTTGGGCGTCTTGGTGTATCGAACAGATCTCCTCTTTTCAACAACAGATCGAGGCTCCAGGGGATCGTATAGACAGAACGTGTTGATCAGGACATGCATATGTTTTCCAGTGAAGTATCATGCAGACCTATGATCTAACAATGGACGAGATACCCAAGATCCAACACATGAAGTGGCAGGGAACATTGCAATCATCGATTCAACCAATTCCGCAATGTGCGGGCTGAGATTCAACATCAAATTATCAACACTACTGCGGTATAGCATCCAACGCGCGCTTGAAAGTGTCCACCAATTTACTTGTCTCCTCTAGACCAACACTGAAGCGTATCAAATCCGCCTCAACACCCCATTCCGCACACTACTCAGCGTCAGTACATACATTTGCCAATCTAGCAAGGAACAACGTACCCAGTCGAGTTCTCCGTAATGCGCCAAGATGACATAAGGCGAGCTCAAAGTGAAGTTTGTGCCTAGACTAGGGCCTTTGACCGTGTCGAGGTTGTCGAAGAATGCCACGGCAGCTTGTCTTGTGTGGAACGTTGCGGAGAGCAGACCACCGTAGCCGCCGTTGGGGTTACGGCATTTGTCGTAGAAGGGGCGCGTGGGACTTGTTTTGGGATAGTTTACTTGCTTCACTGTATGGTTGTCAGATGGGAAACCGAATGTCTATTGTGGAAAGGCTTACCACGCGGATCTGCACTCAAGACCTCGCAAATGGCTTCGGCGTTGGAGCCAATGCGGTCAATCCGTGAGACGAAGTCGCGGCTGTTGCGCTCGAGGAAGATGCTGTCTTCGGCCCAGTGATTGTCTACGTAGTCTTGGTCCCAGATTCCCTTGAGCAGCTGGTAGTTCCGGGCTTTCGGGTTCAGCACAAGACTGTTGGATGTCAGTGTGCTGTTTTGCAACAGTATCCAAATTTGTAAACGTACCCTCCTCCCATGACATTGCTATCTCCACTGAAGACTTTCGTAAGGCTACTAACTACGACGTCTGCATAGGGGAGCACGTTGACATTGATGAAGTTACCGATCGTCTCATCAACAACAACACAGAAGTCGTACTTGTCGGCGAGCTTGCGGATACGCTCGAGATCTGGGGATCTCAGCAGAGGGTTCCCAGGAAACTCTGTGAACAAAGCCATAAACCTCTCGCCGCCTTCTAGCCGCTTCTCCAGGTCATCCAATTCTTCTGAGGAACCAAAACCGTAGAACAAAGATCCAGCACCGAACTTCTCAGTAATCTTTAGTGTGTCGATGTAGGGAAATCTGTGATGATGAGCGCGCGTTATGGTTGGGGGCCATTAAACGTACCCATAAACGATTGCTTTGAGTGGACCCTTGGCTGCTAGTATGTTCCTGTGAGCATTGAAAATTGAGCTCATTCCAGTCGGATATAGGTAAACGTCATTTTCTGAGAAATCAGCAACCTGCCTGGTCATGGCATCGTCATTTCCCAAGGCGAGCGCTTCCGTCAAGGCAACGTCTGCAGTCAGCGATCCCGCAATACGTCTACGAATCGCCAGCTTCGCGTTCTTGGTCTTTGAAAGTTCCAGATTACGTCCGAACCTCTCTTCCACAAATGAAGTGGGATCCTGAGGATCACCCACGCCAGCCAGTGAACCGTTGGTGCTACCTAGATCGACCGATGTTTGTTTCTGATAGCGTCTGGGGCCTTTGCATAGTCGTGCTACTTTACTCAAGCTCGAAGCGTCAACCAGAAAGCCCTCGTCGAACAGGTGATGACAGTATTCGGCCCTCCTGCTTGACACACCATCTCCAGAATGCTGCCAGAAGGCTTTGGCAATCTTGAAATGTTCCTGGGGAAAAAGCACAACCGAAATCCTAGGTGATATCATAGCCAGTTCCTCTGAACGTGCTTTTTCTGCTGCAGGTACTAGGTCAAGGATTCGAACTTGGGATGCATCCACGTCTGGTACCTGTCGTATAAAAAACTCTCGACACCTCGATGCGGTGGAGTGCGTTGGAAATAGCATAGCTTCCTCGCCCTCTCGGCCATGGTTTTGTATTATAGCTGTTGCGAAACGCTGAATGGATTTGTGTATGAAGAATCTATGACTTTTAGCAAAGGGTTTTGCAGCATTACGCCACCACGGACCTGGGATATCCAGTCTTCATCTTGCTAATGACCCACTCCTCGCCTTCTTCGTATCCTACGTTCGCCCGCCATGTCGGTAGCGAGACGCTTACTGCCTGAGTTTCGTCAGTGCATGTTTACGCCTCCAAAAGTAAAAAGTTTGACTCACGTGCTCAGTCGCAGGCGGGAGACTTTCTCCCACCTCGACGTCGTTTTCCAGCACAAACGGAGCCATGTTTAAACGAAAAAAGTAACAGTCGATCACAGATGACAAACACAATAGAGGATAGTCAGTGACAGGAAGACAATTGAAACATACTGCTCAGTGACAGCAACGGCAATGGTAGACCAAACTACTAGCTCCGACTTCGGCAGTTGCGATGATGCCAAAAAATCTAGCTTATCGATAACGCGGGAAACTCTCCGCAACAAGCTCCACAAGCTCCAACACGTTGTCACAACACCCCAGCTTGGATGCTGCCAATGAGCTCGTAGTCGCCGGCACAAACAACGTGAAACCCCTCCACGCTCCTAAGGCTACTCGTTTGTAATCTCCTTATTTGTGTATACGTCCAGCAATATCAATGGACAACCTCACACCCTCCGACCTATTCTCGCCCTCAAAGGCACGCCAACAACGCGCCCAAGCCCAAGACTGGGCACACATAGACTCATGGCTGTCCTACAAGTATGCCGGCCGCACAGTTCCCACTTTCGAGCGCAACGAAGAGACGCTGAAAGTGCTGCGCGAGCTATCTATGGCGAATGAGCGAGCCGACGAGGAGCGTGCAGTGATAGAACGAGTAGAAAGGGAGGCACTAAAAGAATTGAATGAGGTATGAGAGCCTCAGGTAAGCCCAGGCGGGACATACCACCGGCTCACACGACGCACTACAGATCCCCACCAACGCAGACGACAACCGCATTCTCGACCAGCTGAAAGCCTCCCTTACGCCTGAAGGCAACCAAGCCCTCGACGCTCTCGCATCCACAGCCGTCCACCTCAACACCCCAACCGCAAACCCCGAGTTTCTTGCCCACACACTCATCCACCACACCACCACGGCGCAGAACCTCGCGAACCAACTCGCCCACATCCATACCCTCCAGCAATACCTCGATAAACAACAATCTCTCCTGCAAGCCCAGCTCCAAGAATTTCGCACAAACCCTTCCTTCTCCGCTCCTTCGTCCCTCCAACGCCAGACTACAGATCAGACGCGTCAGATCAAGCATCTCCGCACAAAGACCCGCGAGTGCGAGGACAAGCTGGCGGCGCTGCAGGTGCGTACCATGACGCCGAGCTCTAAGCACGTCGGGTCTGCCGAGGCGATTGGGGAGATGTTGGAGCAGCAGCAGGCGTTAGATGGGTTGCGGGAGAGGGTTGAGGGCGTGGAGAGGGAGGTCAACGCATTTATGGGACTGCCGGCGGATAGGGAGGCGGCGAGAAAGGAAGTAGGGAGGTTGGAGGTAAGGCTTGATGAAGTGAGGAGGAAGCGTGATGGGCTTTTTGAGGGGCTTGTAGGGAAGTAAGGACTGGGAGCGTTATCTGCATTGTCAATCATGACATGTCCGTGTTCACATATAGCGAAGGTATAGAAGCACAGCGAGCATAGCGGGCATTACATCATTTCAAGATTCTTATTAAAATCCATCACCCAAAGCATAGATGTCCCACAACCCCTCTCCACACAACATCACGTCCACTTTCGCAGACACGACACCGCATGCGCCCCTCGCCATACCGTCCTCACCCGACCTCCATCCGACAGGGAACCCGCCAGACAGAGCGGCTCGAGTACGAACTCGGGGCAAACAAGAAAGAGAGAGAGGTAGTGCACGCACCGCACAGCAATCCAGACATACTCGCCCGTTCGCTCGCGCTACTAGGACAAGCAAGTCGGCGACTGTGACGACGCTGTTTCTTCTTTCGCGAGGCTATACTGAGCAGCAGGAATGGGTCTGGTCGCTGAGCTCCACCTTAGGCCGCGAAGGACTGGGGTTGTCCGGTGCATGGGATTGGGAGAGATGGGGACACGGGGTGGATAAGAAGATGCGACGGGTGGATAGGAAAACGTTTGTTTGATTAGTGGGATGCTGTGGTTTGAGTGACTTGGTTTGATGGACTCGAGGGCGGGGGATATCATGTACAGATCGAGGGCTTACAGACGTACCGTACCGTATCGATTTTTGTTCTGTGAAGATCTAATTCGACGTGTGTAAGCAGGTGTAAGCAAGTATACGACATGCGACAGTTTCCATTTCAGTTGGAAAACTAGTCCTTGCATATCGTGCTGGCAGCTCGTCGGTACGTGGGAGGATGTGTAAGCGTCCAGCACTGCAGGCGCGAGTCCAACAGACCAAGTGGTACCATGATTAGGCTGCCGAGTTGGCAAACAGAACCTTTCGAGGGCCACCAAGTGTCAGGTTCTTAATGCCAGTCCCACTTCCCTCCATATCTTCAAGTAGTCTATCGAGACCACCTACGTCAAGTTCTCCTTGGGAGAGCAAGGCTTGGTCAGTTCTCCTCGCCGTCTCGCCTTCGGCCTGCTCTTGTGCAAACATGGCGTTAAGATCTCGTCCTAATGGTCGGTTCGTGCTCGCAGTGATGATAAGTCGGTGTTCTGTGGATATCAAAGCATCTCTGGGTATGGCCATACGAGACGCCTGAACCGTGGTTTCAAACTGTGTGATAGAAGTGATACTCTCTCCAAGCAAAGAAACATCATGTATCTGGGCAAGGCTAGGGCTGGGTAACGAGTTTCCACTGCTGGAAGACGCGGTGCGAGCCCAGAACTTGGCGAGATCTGCTATCCTATAGATTTCGGAGCCATACCAAATGATGACCGAATCTTCAGGCGCCCCACCGTTTGCAGAGAGTAACGAGGCAACTGAGACGCCGCCGCCCGTCGGGACCGCCGTGCTTGTCGAGCTTCCATGAAACAACGTATCCTCCTTTCTGCGGCGTGTGTTAGGCGTCATGGGTGCAAGCGAGCCCCGGCCGCTGCGCTTGGGACTCGATGCGCCGTTTGTGCTTCCTTCCTTCTCCGATGTGCCCACGAAGCCACGAAGAGAGAACGCTGCTGGATCTGCGGGTGGGCTGGGACCCGATCGATCTACATCCCATACTCCCCATTCACCGTCTGCCAAAAGAGCCAGAATATGATGACCATCAGAAGTCCAGGCCGCGTCAATAATGGGTTTACGAGCAGCAAGGACCACCGGCGTGTATGAGTCGTTCTTGAAACCTTCGAAAGTCGATCTGAACATGCTGACAAAGGCACCTGACTGGGCCTGACCACCGCTTGCACTTCGCTTGCGGCTGGCGGGCGCGAACGGATCGTAGACTCGCGCGGCGCCGGACGAGTCTGTGATGAGGAGTTGTGAGTGACGACTCTTGGGATATTGCGCGGTACTGAAAGCAACACAAGAGGCAGGTTTTCGTAGCGTTAGGGTTTTGTATGGTGCGATAGGATATGCTACGTTGAGCGAAGCTTCCCCAAGCTCAAGGCGCCAGATTTTCAACAGTCCTCCCATTTCAGCGGAATGTGTGGCAAGAAGCAGGTCATACCCATCGGTGTTGTGAGTTTGTGAACGTGAGCGGTTCTGTTGCTTTTTTCGCCGGCGGCCAGGCGTAGCAGATGTGTCTACCTCGTCGTCTACATCCATGTCGTCCTCAGGCTCGCGTTCGAGGCCTGGCTCGCCCTTGGATGTCCACGTCATAGTGACACCCCGCGCAATGCTCTGGTGTCCGTGAATCCTAACAATGTCTTCGCCAAACTGCGACTTCGCATTGAGGCACCGCTCTTTCGCTGAATGTGGTGGGGGATTCAAGGGCATGGTGATAACTCGCACAGTGCAGTCGGCACAGATGACTGTGAAGACCATCTTCTTGCCAAAAATAGGCGGTATTGTCTCGGCAGGTCGCAACGAGGAAGCGGTGGGTATTTGAGGCACGGCGATGTGCAGGACCTCGGTGTTGAGAGACAGGCTCAACTGCTGTATGACTGATGGGTATGGCTGGTCGGGGTCGAGCTCTTCCTCCTCGTCCTCGAACTCGGCTTCGGGTGCGGGCTGTGGGGCGGCGTTTGCAGGCTCATCGTCGTCAGAATCAATGATCATGATGGCGTCGTTGCTGGTCCCGTTGACCTTCTGCGGCTTGGGCGGCTGCTTGGGCGGCGACGCGCTTTTCTTGATGGGGCGCCCTCCCCTCCAGACGATACCCACGCCAGTGTCATGTGCATAGAGTAGAATAGTCGACCCATTGGGGGCTTTGGCCGGGTAGGGTGTCGCGTCGTGAACTCGGTGTGGCAGTTCGTATCTGTGACATGGCTGTGAGCTTTTAGTCTGGTGATTGATGTGTGAAGCCGCTCACCTGATCTGGACTGATTTGCCTTTGGTCGCGACGACGGGCTTCATTTTGGGAGCAGGAGCAGGAGCAGGAGCTGGAGCCGTCGGCCTTAGCAAGCTGCGCGGAGGTGAAGGACAAGCTACGTTCAAGTTTTGCAACCACAATTACTAATTCTGAAGTGCTCTGGACAAAACCAGCAGTTCAGTTGTCTACACAGGGTCGTCGCGTGGTTGGTGGTGAGTGCAGCAAGGTTCGACGAGAGCACGGGCAGGCGCGACCAACCTCCATTGTTTAGTGCTATCTCGCATCAACGGTCCACCGTACAAAACACCTGAAAGCGCGTCACCACGGGTTTCGCGACGTGAGCAAACAGCCCCGCCAGACAACTGCTAGTAAACAAACAATTAGCTCCCCCAGCGCTCCTCATGCCGCACAACACGCTTCCGTATGGCCTCCATTCGCTCCATCGGGGTCCATAAGCCCGCCGCACTGCAGTACCTGGTCGCCGAGTCCATCCTCAGTGAAGACTGCACAGAGCGCGACTATGTCTGGGACACGTACACTGATGGGAGCCCCGATGGCCCCACGGACGAAATTCTCACGACCGAATACCATGTTGTCTGGTCACGAGACGGCCTTGTCCGCAAGATCTTCAATTTCGAGATTGAGAAGGAAAAGGTCATACAAGCAGTCTTGACATGGTTCCCGGTCGATGAGCCGTTCAACAATGCCTGTCGGGCAGCGGGAATGGCTGCAGAGTACAGTGGGAAGGACCAGTCGAAGAGCTTTCTCACTCAGGGCACCCAACCGGCTACAGATCCAAACGCCCCAGTCGGTAATGCCCCGCCACCAGTAGAGACTCGGTCCCGCGCTTTGGTCGTGTTTCTCAGATCGCAGGCACACGTCTTCTTTCTCACGGGCGCAACCCACATTGTGAATCTCCCATTTGAAGTTGATCGAGCCTTTCCTGCAGCTCGTGGCGTTGTCTTGCAGAGGAAAATCGCGCCTTTGAATCCAGCGCCTTCAAGTCCAAAGATACCTTTAGCGCCTCCAAACTCCTTCCTCACAAACAACCAGTCGTTCCTATCGCAGACCTTCTCTCAAAGCTTCACGCAATACACTCCTCGTAATGGCTCCTCTGTGGCCGCATCACGGCTCAATCAAGCACGCCAACCCGGCCCTGCTATGTTCCTCGAGGAACTGATCAAGACTTCTGCGGCGCCAAACACAGAAGGACTGCCCAGGATATTCTCATTTACAGACCCGTTATCAGAGTTGGGATTGGTGGTCAACGTGAATGTGAATGGCGAGCGAAGCAGCCTGTTGACAATTCCAGGCTCTGGTCATCGAAGGCTAGAACCCGTTGATAAGGCCGAAGAGATCGTTTATGTATCTCCCCAAAATGAGGTACTCTTCGATCGCAGTGGCAATGACAAACCACTCTTATTGGTCGTCACAGCCAACCACGAGACAAATGTATTTACCATCTGGTCCGCAGCATACCTCGAGCCTAGATCAATATCAGTTTCCCGCAAACCCCACGTTCCTGTGCCAATCACCAAGTCTCGACGACGCAGCTCACATGGCACAACAGCTCCGGGAACGGGGGCGACAACGCCTGCAACGCGAGGCGGTGACAGGCTCAGAGAAAGCTTCGGCGGCCCATCACGAAGCAAGATCCATCCTCCGTCATTCAAAGAGGCGTCGCAGGCGAAAGAGCGGCTCTCAGATCAAGCAGTGGAGGATGTGCTTGCTTCGCAACTCAATCCAGTTTCTGATGTGGCCCGACAGCCGAGGGAATCCAGACGTGTCAGCTCATTACTCTCACGAGCCGAACTCTCCACAAGTTTCGACAAATCCGCGTTTCAAGATTTAGCGACGCATCGTACCAGTCTGGGTGGTAGCTTCACAGGAAGCTTCGGGGCTAGTCAGCGAAGTAGACGGTCGCTGGGTAACGATCGGACTAGTCTTGGCGGCTACTCGCAATCTCGCCATCGAGCTTCTACCCCTGGTAGTGTTGCCTCTCGAATGAGTATGGGAGCATCTGTAGACGACACTTTGGAAGACGTCATGGATGAAGATACATTAGACATGTTGGAGGACCATGATGAGCTCGATGATCTGTTCGCGCCACCTGATGCTGAAAACGACTCGCAACCCACCGACGGACTCCACAAGGAGATGGTCATGAGAGTAGTAGGTGAAATACCAATTGGGCAATACTTGAAGAGTGGACTTTTCACCTTGGGTGACGACACTTTAGAATTACAGGTACGTAAAAGCTCAATTGGTCTCAAGTGAACGCTAGCCAGAAACTAACACAAACTTGGTTTTGCCAGAAACACTCGAAAGTCTCAACCCTCAATGCTCCCTTTAATTCAGCTACACTCCACGAACGTAAATTGTATCTATACATCTCACACCCGTCCTTGCAACATCCACTGGAATGCGAAATAGTTGTTACTCGCAAACGATTGTCACCTTCAGCATCGGCAGTTCATTCCAATTCCAACAAAACTGCTCCACGATACGCGTGCGTTCCCAAATTCATAGCGACTCGACAGCTAGAGGGCACACTGGACTTCGTTAAGATACGTGATGGCCAAGTCGAGCGGGTAGCACAGCTCACTTCGACGGATCCTCGCGGGTCATGTCTATCCATGACAGCAGGCTGGGGCAACCACCTACCAACAGAGTTCGCCCTGGGGTCGATGAAGCTTTTCGATCCGTATTCAATCCTACAGCAAGAACAGATAAGAGGTTCGGCAGGGCCGAAACGAACGGTAAAGGTCAGTAACCCGCTGCGGTCTATATCTTCTTCTGGACCTGATGGGAAGCTTGAAATTATGGATGGCGATTTTCGAAGACATCGCATGCAAATATGTCTTTCACCACCCGATGGTTTTGTAGCAAAACTCTTCCAAGTGCTGTCCACAGTATTACCCAATCATGCAGGCGACGTCCTTCTCGAGATATGGTGGAACATTCGTGGTTCACTAACTACCGAGGCTCTTGAGCAACCAAATGCCGACTGGACTGCTTTTGTAGCAACTCTTTTCACTCTCGCAATCCCTTTTGTGGATGAGAAAACCCGTAAATCGAACCACCGCACGAGGTCAAGTCAGAGACGAAAATCTGGGCGGCCTCTCAATCAAGCCCAGCCTGATGAGGCTATAGACGATGAGGACTCAGCATGGCATCTCATGTGTAATCGCCAAGCCTCACAATCGCATGCAAAGAGTTGGGATTCTTCATCTTGGGGCTGGGTCCTGCATTCCAGCCCGGCGTCCACTGCAATGAGTCCGCCAGCCAAGCAATTATCAGTACGACACTCGCCCCCAATCATACAACATATAAACGTCAAGCAAGGCATGTTGCTCACCTGCATTGATGTTGCTCGTCAATTTGTTCAAACTCCAATCGGCAAGGCTACAAATGATCTTTGGAGGCGACTGTCTCCATCCGAAAAGCAAGACCTTCGGATTCCGTCCCTTTCGGAAATAGTTGTTTGCCTGCATCTCTTTCGTGAGGAGCGTAAACTGGACGCTATGTGCCAAGACTTTGCGGGCTCCTGGGTAGGAAACCTGGCTCCAGTAATAGCGCAACTTGGACATTGGTTGCGTTGGGACGCCTTCAGCTGGAGACAAGGAGGCTACTACGACCTCAACGGTGGATCCAGTAGAGACTGGACGTACGAAGATTCCAGTTTCGGTTCGAAAGTTCGACTTCGCTCGCAGCCATGGGATTCGTTACCTTCAGTACTTGAATGGCTTAGTACTGTTGTGGGGCCTCGGAACTACGCTCCATTTCCTACACTTGCAATGCTAGTTCAAAAGTCCGCGGCGTCTCCGCACTCGTCCATCAACATGGATGAGATTATTGCTAGCGTCACTCCGCGAACCATGGCCTTGCATAAGTTCTTTCGCGACGTCGACCCTACCTCGAGCCCCCGGAGAACAGTAGAGTTAATGGAGCGTTGTAACATCAGTCCTGAAATATTGGCTACTCTACCGGAAGCTGCCAAAGCACCACTAATGGAAGCCATAACAAGATGTCAGGCAAACCCACCTACCACCTGGTCAAGCTCGTTACTGAAACTCGTGCAACGGCAAGACCTCGATCTGAGCGAGATGCACAGTGGCGACATCGTTCACGACTCGCACACAAATCCGACAAGCGTACTAAGTCTTCAACCCTCGACCGCGATACGCGACGTTCACACCATATGCCAGGGTGCAGATCGCGCAGAGCCCATCCAATCGACATCTGAGGTGGATCGCCATTACATCACAAGACTTATATTTCGTGAGGATCGACGATATATGGAGGCCTACACACTTCTAGAGCCTCTGAAGCAGACCGTTGCTGAGTATCGAGTGGACAGTCGGGTAGACGACGCAGCTGTTTTGGAAGGGCAGAAGATCTTCATGCAATGGGTTATGATTCGCACATTCTCACTACCCATTGGCAGTTCTATGATCAAATTTAGTAGTAAGAAACCTCTGCTTACGGAGAAATACCCTCTATATGGATTTTCGACATCCTGTCTGATGAAGCCTATGGGCAACGTTGTCACCGCAGAGCGTCAAAACTACTCGGAAGAGAAGTACTTTTGGGCTTTTTTTAATGCAGGTGTTGCTGCTGGTTTGAGCATCTCGCGCGATGCTCAAGGAATAGATACTTCATGGATCATGTATAATAAGCCGTCGGAGCTTACGAACAAGCATGCAGGCCTTCTACTCGGTCTCGGCTTAAACGGTCATCTACGAACAATTGCTAAGTGGCTGTCCTTCAAGTATCTCACACCAAAACACACAATGACCTCTGTCGGTCTGCTCTTGGGGTTGTCTGCATCTTTCATGGGCACAATGGACACTCTTGTCACACGGCTACTATCAGTTCATGTCACCAGAATGTTACCACAAGGCGCAGCAGAGCTGAACCTTTCGCCTTATACACAGACCACAGGTTTGATGGGCATCGGTCTTCTCTACTACAACACTCAACATCGACGAATGAGCGAAGTCATGCTCTCTGAAATTGAGCATGTGGACGTACCAGATCCATCTGAGCCGCCGGACAATCTACGCGACGAAGCGTACAGGCTGGCGGCTGGTTTTGCATTGGGGTACATCAACCTTGGCAAGGGCAAAGATTTGCGAGGTCTTCGCGACATGCGAATCGTGGAACGGCTGATGACAGTAGCAGTGGCTCCGAAATCAGTAGACATTGTCCACATACTAGACCAAGCAACCGCTGGTGCAGTGATCGCTATTACACTGATCTTCATGAAGACACACGACCAGGCAGTGGCTCGTAAAGTTGATATCCCTGATACCCTACCGCAGTTTGACTATGTTCGTCCGGACATCTTCCTTCTTCGCACGCTAGCGAAACATATGATTATGTGGGATCACATCGAAGCTAATGACGATTGGATCATCAAGAATCTGCCGATGGAATATCGGGACGACTACGACCTCAAGAACGTCACCAAACTACGCAGCGAACACATGCCGTTTTACAACATTCTTGCTGGACTACTATGGAGCATCTCACTAAAGCACGCTGGCACTGGCGACATACAAGTGCGCAATTTTCTGCTCAAGTATCTCGATCAATTCATCCGTATCAACAAACTTCCTGCACTACGCTACGACTCAAGGCTTGGTCGCAACACAGTTCGTAACTGTCAAGACCTCCTTGCACTCTCGGCAGCAACTGTCATGGCAGGCACAGGCGACCTTGATATCTTCCGTCGCCTACGCGGTCTCCATGGTCGCGTTGGACCTGAATCGCCTTATGGCTCACATCTGGCGGCACATATGGCTTTTGGTACTCTATTCATCGCCGGCGGAACGCAGACATTCAGCCGGTCGAACAAAGCCATCGCGTCGCTCATTTGCGCTTTCTATCCTCTATTTCCTATGGACGTGCAGGATTCACGCGCTCATTTACAAGCTTTCCGCCACTTCTGGGTTCTCGCTGCTGAATCGAGATGTCTTGTGGTTCGGGATGTGGACACTGGACGTGCGATTTCAATGCCAATCACTGTTCATCTCAAAGCTAACGACGAGACGAAGAACCTGGTTGCACCGTGCCTGCTGCCAGAAGTTCAGCTCATCGCTCGCATACAAACAGCAGATATAACCTACTGGCCCACAACTCTCGACTTTGTGCATAACCCTATACATCGGCGTGCCTTCAACATGAACCAGACACTAATCGTAAGACGGAGGTCAGCACACGATACCTACACCTCGACGTTCAGCGCCACTCTTGTCGCACTAAACGACGCGCAATCCTCCCGTAGCGCGCAGTTACTCTTCCACTGGCTCTTCTCCCTCCCCTCAATCGCGGCGTTCGTCTCGGAATCCGATGCTGGCCTTGTGCTGCCTGTGGATCCTCACTCGAAAACTTTCTTGGACTCTGGGGCAACGGTGATAGAGAGTCGGCTGGTGCTGGGCAGGCTGGCGAAGAGTTGGAAGGCCGACGAGTTGAGGGAGTTGAGAGGCGTGTTCGAATGGGCAGAAGGCGCGGTCAAGGGGGATGGGAGGTTGAGGTGGCTTGGAAAGGATGTGGTAGAGGGGCTAAAAGCGGGGATCTTGGAGAGAGGACGAGGGGTTGGAAGTCGTTAAAGTGGTTTGTAGGTATCTGGCGGCTATGGTGCGATCCAAGCGTGTATAATGTAAAAGGGGCGTGTATTTCCAACTTGATGCGCCAAAATTGGCTCCATGTCAGGATGTAGCTTGAAAAAGAAAAGCTTTGTCTTGCTTATGTCTGTATTCTCCAGCGGGACACTGGTGAAAGACTGACGTTGAGACGGCTTAGTTGACCTGTCTAGCATCTACACAAAGACTTTATCACCTACCTAATCAGGACCAGTCAAAAACCTGCCTACACTCGATCAATACCGTTGAAACGTTCAGTGTTCTAGATCAGGGCCGGGGTTGCGGACGGTAAATGATGATACGAAGGCTCTGTTGGTGCAGACGGTAGGCGACATGTACCCGAAGCTACTGGCAACTGGGCATATACAGTGGCGTAGGGTGGCTGTGCAGATCCTACTCTCCATTAGACAATTCGCTCCGCTTCAACCCATGCTAGCCAGAACTCGGCTAACCTTTGGTGCCAACGTCCTGCCCCATGTCGCGAATCTGATCAACACCACAACACCATTCAAGTACCCGCCGCCTCTACCTTTGCAGAAATCTTTCCTCCATAAACACAATTTTGACCATGTGTTGTATTGGGCACGCCACTCAATAGAGCCCATCTCGGTGCAAGGTCGAGCAAGCTCTCATAATGAATAGGTCACCCGACCATACCTGGCCATGAGATCAAACGACTCCATGTAGCCCCATCACATATTCAATGCCTCGGTTTGCTAAGAACGTTACCGCTGCTCAGCAGGTTCTACACACAAGGATCAACATATCTTCTGGCCGTTATTCGACAGCTATGGTACACACTAGATTCAAGTTCCCCGAGCCGGCCATGGCTGCATGCGGGTTGCCCCGGGGGCCAAGCATTCTGATCCTCGTTAACCGGTGAGGTTCGTCAGAGGATCAGGGGTTATCATTGATATTCACTGGTTCGTATATGATCTGCGGCACTTGGGCCAGGCGTATAAACAGGATTCCCTAAATTATCCTCGATACTCCGATCTTCGTACTCGCGCTACACATATTAACTGACGACACTAGAGTTCTTCGCCAGTCTCCAAGGTCCAATCTTGGAGGTTTTGTGTGGTAGGTGAGCAATATGTACGCATGAAGTCAGGAAGAGATGGGATCTATACTGCATTGCGCAAGCCACGCTTGTGACATGGAGGAAAAACCGTTGATCTAGAGCTTGGCCCATAGGGGACGATCCTTGCGGCTAGCTACATGGGTGATCGTAAGATCGCAACCACCCGCTGCGCCCAAGCTCACCTGTCAGATGCAAATGTAGCCGGATGTGACAGGGTTGTTTGCGGGCATTCATGCATCTGCCATTCTTGGCAACTCATGTAGGTTGGCGATTCATACATCGATCGCTAGCGACGCCCCTTTGCTCGTTTATATGTGTAAGTGTGGCGATCGTCGCCGATCACGTTCAAGCTGACAATAGAGAATGTATGAGGGAGCACAAGTGACAAGAGTTTGATACTGGACAAAGAGGGTTCAAACGACTGCATGGTAATTTACTTTGATTCCCTGATGATCGGTACTATCGCGGGATATAGAGAGCTCTCCGCGAACGAGATATTCTTCCAATACTCCACGTTACAACATGCCATCTCTTAGAGTCTTGTTGGTGAGACGACTTTCGAGTGTTATGACAGGCCTCGGTCCGTGCCTCTATTACATCTCACTGTTCCTGGTAGGAGTTACATTAGCACGATTGCTGAACGACTCAGAGGCTGCATCTACACCCTGCATGTCGTCTGGTTTTGACATGGCTTGGCAGGGTACTTTCCAACATGCATGCTAAGACGCCCGTTTAGGCACCGCAAATATTCCGAACCGAGGATACAAAATCCAACCATGAACCCTCAATGGCTGAGATCCAACAGTGACGATACTCATCGGGGATTGCTGTGTTTGAAGAGCTGGAAAAATAGGGCATTACGATTCTTCCGGGACGTTCTCGCCGTCACAAGGACTTGGAATGGGGCTTCATAGCTACGGCAGTTGAATACCGGGCTCGAGATCGAGAACATGGGATGTCCGTACTCTTCTAAGGGATGGTCCAGAAAGCATAAATAGGTAAAGGCAGCTCGAAGAACAGAAACATCACCACCGCCAGCCAGCTCCAACAGCAAACCATTTCCAATCACTCAGAGCCTCTTGTATTCCTCTGAACTTGTCTATCGTTCTATCAACCTTCAATATGAAGTCTTTCGCCATCGTTTCACTGCTTTCTGCTCTCTCCATCGCTTCACCCATCGCTCCACCCATCGCGATCACTCAGCCTGTTGTTGTTGCGACCCCAGCCCCGGAAGCTAATACTCTCGAAGCCCGCCAGTCCAGCACTCGCACTGAGCTCGAATTGGGCAGCAGCTCTGCATGCCCCAAGGCCATCTTCATCTTCGCCAGAGGATCCACTGAGGCTGGCAATATGGTAAGCCCAAAACATCAATGCAAAAAGGGGTAGTGCTTACTTCCATAGGGCCTGTTGGCAGGACCAAACGTCGCAAGCCGTCTGGAAGCCACTTACGGCGATAGCGGCATCTGGGTGCAAGGCGTCGGCGGCCCATACACGGCTGGCATCGTGGAAAACGCTCTTCCAGCCGGCACTAGCGCAGCTGCCATCACCGAAGCACAGCGGTTGTTCACAATGGCTGCCACGAAATGCCCTAGCTCTGCGATTGTAGCCGGTGGCTACAGGTCAGTCTCTCCCGCCCATGGATGCAAACTTTCGAATCACATACTAACATTCCCGTAGCCAAGGCTCAGCTGTCATGTCTAACGCTATTCCTGCACTCAGCGCTGCCATCCAGAACCAAATCAAGGGCGTCGTGCTCTTTGGTTATACCAAGAACCAGCAGAATGGTGGCAGGATCCCTAACTTCCCTACTGAGAAGACGCGCGTGTACTGCGACCCCGCAGACCTCGTCTGCTATGGCACGTTGATCATCGGCATTGGTCACTTCTTGTACACTGACGATTCGTTGATCGATGCACCGGCTTACTTGAGTACTCAGATTGGTAGTTAGAGGTTGAATTCGACGTAAAAGAGGCTTCGTGGATGTAGCTTGGCTGGGTTGGGCTAAAGGTGGGCTGGGTGTGGCTTTTACTGGCTTGTTGCTGGTAATTTCTCTTCGTTGCTGTCACATGGTGTCCTTTTTATCACTCTTTCTTCTGATGAGAATCACTTCAGTGGGTTTCCTAGGTATACACATTTCCTCGTCATATGACACGTACAAAAAATGACATTGTTTGCTCTTATCTTGAGTTTGGATCTGGATGGTTAAACTTATATACGTGCGTGAAACATCCCAGGGGGTAGAAAACATAGCCAGTGTCATTGTTTCTGTGTGTTTTTGGTCCATGGAGATTGACTAATATACCGCTCATAGCAGTTGGGCTGGATTGCATGAAGGAAGCGAATAAGAAAAGGCAGTCATTGAGGCAAGTTGAAGAGGACAATCGAGAATCTACAGAAGCAAGCTGCGTTACCGGGAGAAGCTACAGTGGGGCTTAGAAACTCGGGTATGTCGAGAATAGGCTTCACAAAGCGCGAGACCGATAGAAACATTGTTAGTGAGAAGTGGTTTGCTGTCAATCAATATAACTCATGAGTTTGGCTTCACTGACAACTGTCTCTGATTGCGTCTCAGGCCAAGCCGTCTGGTAAAACTTCGAATGTTTTACGCAACCGGGTTGTTGACTACACAAGGAACGAGAGTTGAGATAAAAGCCTTCCAAATCCATCGCACTCACTCAGCAGAAAAAATCTCAAAACATCTTTGTCCGTGCCCTTCTATCTCTCACCTCACGCAATGTCCAACCAAACGTACAACGATAGCATTCAGCTCATCAGAGGTTTGTCCCCATGCAAAGCTATCTCAGGCCTCCACTCACTAATCCTTCCCTCTCAGCCAACGCGCGACTGCTCTACGGTAACCGCTGGACTTACGATGTAGTCATTGGCCGTGAGACAGCTATGAAGTGCAGGATCTGCCTTGTCGCTTACCCTGATACCGTCACCAATTCGCACAAGGATATAGTGCTCAAGATCGTTGATTCAGATATCTGCAAGAAACACGACAAGTGGGAAGATCCGCTCGACCATGTTAGTCAGGCCATCTTGAGTTTGGTTGAGGAGCTGGGTGCTGATGTGGCAGAAAAGACCGGTAAGTGAATAGGTGTTGCTAGTTTAGGATGAATATTGACTGATTGGTAAAGCTGGGTTTGAGGTTGGAACAAATATTAAGTGGTCGCGGTAATTGGGAGTGTGTTCGGTTATGAGAGAGATTGAGACGAAGGTTGTAGCGATAATACTTTATTACACACTGACCATGTCTTTCGAACGCACTTTTAGACTATTCGACAGGTTTGGTTCCGAAGAATTCGTTTTTTGATGGGTTACCTACGGTTACGCGCTCGAGCACAACCACCCAATTGTAAACTTTGCACAGACTCAGTATGTTAGCAAATGTCTTTTGGAGATATCAATAAATGATTTGGGTGATCCAAGTCGATACACTAATCTATTTTCGCTGCTGTGTTGTCGTCAATAACTGTGCAAGTCGTAGCTGTTGGTGTGAGCTTCAAAAAGGAGCTCGTATCACTCAGGTGCGCACAAGCAGTGCGTTCATCAGATCAGCGAACAAGCAAAACATATCAATACAAAAGGTTCAACAGCTGTCACAATATTTAGACTCATACCGTCTTCTCTGCGACTCAAATCCCTCTCGGATCAACCAGATCTCACCTAAAATCAACCAACATCTCATCGATTCGAGAATTGTGGAGCAAGCACAGACTTCGCAACACCCTTCCCGACCAACAGCGACGATGATGGTCAATGACTACTCTCAGTATATTGAGCGCATTAGAGGTATGTTTCACAATACTCTTGCAGTCTGTTTCTTTCGATGTACTTTGCGATACTAACAGCCCTAGCCAATGCAAGATTACTCTTTGGACGCCATCAAAGTTACGACGTAGTGATCGGTCGCGAGTCATCTACAAGATGTAAAGCCTGCTTGATCGAATATGACGAGAAGCTCAAAAAAGGTGGTTCAGTGCTAGGAAGTGTCATCATCGAGAGCAAGCAGTGTTTGCCAAACACTTATGCTGAAGACGCCCTTCGTCAACTGCTCGTTGAGCTGGAGTTCAACGTAGGAAGACGGATAAGTACGCAAGCACTCTGAATCCCCAGTAGAAGTACAAAGGCTAACAAAGAACCACAGGTGGATTGGAGATCTTGGCGAAGATTGAGGGAAAGAGTGGGCTCATTTACATTCAATAGTCGTGGTTGCGTCTTTAGATTTGTCGTTGTGCAGTATTAGCGGATTTCTTTAGCGTTTAGATCGATTTTATAATTCATAATGAAGCCTCGCCCTCACGACTGACAATTTCCATACGCTGGTTTTGGGAAAACGAGGCGCATAGTATCGTTTTCTGCAAAAACGGTCGGTAGAGGGTGGCGGACAAGAAATCGTTTTTCACGTGCTTAGTAATGAGGATGTAGAAAGGAGGCAAGCAAGGTTAGGTGAATCAATCAATAACTAATCATGTAAATTTTGAACGTTATATTATGGAATAGGATGTTCAGCGTGATGTTGCTTTCGAGTCGTACAGTAACAACAAATGTGATGGTGTCGGCGAATGTCGACGAGCGAACGCTAGTACGGTGGACTATAGCAGGGTCTCGTGCAACAATTATTTTTCAACCCCACCTTAGCAAATTTAATAAACACTACAAACATTAATTTACTACGTACAAGCCTAATACCTAAATAAAATACCTAGTATAATAAAATTATTATTCTATATAGCAGTTTTAATAATATTACTAGCTAAACGCCTTATAATTAACCTATCTCCTTATAGAAATAAGCTTATTAGGTTATTCTATAAAAGAGTTATATATAAGTAACTAAAATAATAAATTATAAATACCTACTATATTATTATTAGCATATATATACTAAAGACCTAAATAAAGAAATAGAATATAAGTAAAAGGCTTCTAGCAAAGGTTAAAGAGTAGGTTAAGGCTAGAATATAGTTACTTTTCTTTAAAGTTAGCCTTAAAGATATAAAGATTATAATAACTTTATAAAAAGAAAATTATTAGATAAAGAAGTATATTATTATATACCTAAGACTTATACTTAGGTTAAAGAAAAGAATAGATAGGAAAAAGAACTAAGAGGTAGCTAATATACTTATATAAGGCTTAATTAAAGAAGAGATAAAAAATAGCCTTATTAATAGGTATAAATAATAGTTTCTTTACCTTTATCTTAAGTAAAGATATTATTTTATATCTTAGGATTAATTATTTAGAGTATACTATATAATTAACTTTAAAAGAGTAATACAGTACTATAGAGATGTATAAAGAAAGAAAGAAGAGTATATTATACCTAGTTTAAACTAAGTATAGTCTATTAATAGGTATAAGAAACTTAAGCTGTATAGGATTAAGATATATATAGGTATTAATATATACTTAAGGTATATTGCTTAGATCTATATTAGTATCTTAGTAAGAACTGCTATTAGTATTATATATTAGTTTCTCTAGATAGTAGAAAGCACTAGTATATACCTCTAGTTTATATAATCTAACTATAGAGTTAAAATAATTATAATAGTATATATACAGTTTATACTTACTAAAGTAGAAGACCTAAACCTTTAGTTTAAGAATTACTATATATATAGTATAAGTATAGTAAACTAAAGAATTAAATTATAGTAAAGATACCTATTAAAAGGATTAATATTTTACTAGTAGGTATATCTTCTTCTTTTATATGTATAGTAAGGCTAAAATACTCTTTTAGACCTTCTTTTATTCTTTATAAAAGAATAATCTTTTTTCTAAAGTAAGACTTACAGATTATATAGTAATACTTATAATCTACCTTTTAATTATTTAAGTAAAGATCTTCTCCTACGTACGTATATAGAACTTATATAAGATTAGAAAGTAGAAAAGTTATCTAAGTATAGTTATTAGTAAGCTATTTATACTATACTACTACTCTTTAGAAGGTATATAGGACTATAGTATACTATATAATAAAAGGTAACTTAAGGAGTTATAGCAACAGAATTCTCTTTAAGATATAGATAAATATCTCTTAGTAAATACCCTTTAATAGTATATAATACAGCTAGCTAAACTAAAGCTTAATATCTATAATACTAAAATAGATTCTATAAGGTAATGTATAGAGCTATTTTAAAAGAAGTATCTTAAGTTAAAATAATAGGCTTAAAGGTATATTAACTCTAAGGTAAAACTAATTCTAAACTTATATATTACTTCTATTAGTAATTTTAATTAGAAGGTATATATATATATAAAGTTAGTAGTAAGTATATACTAACTTAAGATAGCTACTCTCTACTAAAGCTAGTATTATATATAAAGTAGACTTTACTAATAAGTTAAAGTTCTTAAAGTAAAAAAAGAAAAATAAGTAGATTAGTTAGTTACTAAGGCTTTCTAACTTCTTTTAAAATAGCTATATCTTTCTAAGTAAAATAGGGTTTAGTATAGCTACTTATATATATAATAAATAAGCTAGGTACCTAAGTTTTCTTCTTTATCTTTTTATTTTTTAACCTATATATAATGCTACTAGATTCTTTTTATAGTAATAGTAAGGCTTCTTATATAAGTATACTCCTAAAAAAGAACTATATAAAGTATAAAGAAAAAAATAATACTAATCTTAGTACTTTCTTTTCCTTAGCCTAAAAAACCTTTATATAGGAAAGTTTAACTACTACTATATCTATCTTTATAGATAATAATATACTAAAGGCTTCTTAAAAAGTAGTATTTATTTCTTAGTCTTAAACTTAGGTCCTTTTAAAAGTAAAACTTCTACTAATATAGTAAGATACTAATACTACCTATACTTATATAGTATTATACTTAGCTTAGATATAGTCTATTACTTTATAGGCTAGTTATACGCTTAGCTAGTAAAAAGCTTTTAGATCTAGGCTATAGGATACTAAAATTAATTAGCCTTTAAATATCTTAGTTATTCTCTTTTAGGTTTAATATATAACTATAGCTAAAAGAAGTAATAAAAAGTTCTATACTTTAAAGATAATTAGTAAGTTTTATACGTAGGTTAAATCTTTTTATACTTACCTTCTTCTAGCCTATATAACCTTCTTAGTAGTAAATACTACTATTAATAGAATTAAAAACTTTATTAATAACTATATTTTAACTAAGGTTATACTTATACACTATAAGTCTTTTAACTATCTAACTAAAGCTCTTATATTAAATATTACTAAAAATAGTTTAATATATATTAAAAAGAGTGTAAAGAAGGCTTATATAGTATAAGAGCTAGTTAAGAAAGTAGTCTTTAAGAGGAATATAAAGAGTAATATATATATAATATATATCTACTTTAAAGAGAGTCTTCTTAAAAAGATTATTAAAGAACTTACTATATATACTCTAATTAAAAAAAAGAAAAAGCTAAGTATTAAAAAGAAGCCTAGTATAAAAAAGAAAAAAACTATTATAAAGAAGTCTACTATTAAGTAGAAGCTAGGTATTAAGAAAGAAAAAGAAACTCCTATCCTATATAAGGCCTAGAAGTAGGTAATATCTTAGCTTTTAAGCCCTTAGAACTAGTGCTTACCTTAGACTAAAAGTATTACCTTATTAGATAACTAGTGCTTATCTTATATAGAAAGTATTCCTCTTTTAGATAATATCTTTAATTAGAAGAATAAAGTTATTACTTAACTACCTATTATATACAGCCTAAGAAGTAGAAAACCTACTCTTTTAGAGTAGAAATACCTTTTTAGCCTACTATATATAACTCTAATTTTCTATCTTATTTTAATTAAAGTCTTTTTTACCTTATATAGGTATTTTACTATAGTAACTAAGCGTTTATTATAGTAAAAAAGTAGTACTACCTAGCTTAGCATAACTAAGTAATATAAAATATTACTACCCTTACTAAACCTTTACTTTTTAACTTTTTCTTCTACTCCCTTAACCTTTTATATATCTACTACTACTACTTTATCTACTTTATATATATAAGTGCGCCTTATTTTTATTATTATAGCTAATAACTCTCTTAACTCTTCTTATATAGGCCTTAGCTATAATAATAATAGCTTCTATAATACTACTATTAGTAGTACTAGAACTACTACTAACTCTTATAAAGCCTACTACTTATAAGTATACGCCTAAGCTAAGCTTTAGCTTTATTAGCCTCTTTCTAATAGTACTTAAGTTTAGGCTTTTACTAGTAATACTTATACTAGTATACCTAACTTTAACTTATATAAAGAAATTCTAATTTTTAACTTTATTATAGCTACTATACTTACTAGGATCTTTACCTTTACTATATATTTATATATACCTTCTACTTTACCTTAGCTAATATATTATAAAGTACTAAGATCTTTATTATAGCTAACTTCTCTATTTATAGTCTAGGTCTTTTACTATATAACTCTCTTAATACTCCTATTATTACTTACTAAGGCTAAATTACTACTAAGTACCTTCTTATATAGTACTAATTATATATTAAGGCCTTTATTCTTTATACTTAAGAATACTTTAATATTACACTATATAAGAGGTGTAAGGTTATATATAAAGGTACTTATAAGTTTCTTTACTATGCTAGCTGTATCTCTCTTAACTCTTAGTAGAATAGAGTATACTTAAACTATATCTATAGTAAGTCTAGTAGTAGCTATACTATTAGAAACTTTAATAACTATAAGCTTCTATACGCTAACTTTATAAATAACTTATAGAGTAAAAGCTATAACTACTCTTACTTTTTAGACTAAAGTAAGAGTAAGAGTAGCTACTACTCTATTAGTAATTCTAGGTATTATAGCCTTTACTCTAGTAGTACTACTACTTAGGTAGTTACTTTAACTTTATTTTAAGATCTCTTATATAAGAACCCTAATATTCTTCTACTCTAGGAATGTAACTGCATCTTATATATATATATATCTAGGTAGTTTATTAATTAAAGTCTACCTTATAATTATTACTGCTCTTACTTCTATGTATATTATAAGTAAGTGTTCTATTATAGTATTTATTAAATTTGCTAAGGTAGGGTTGAAAAATAATTGTTGCACGAGACCCTGCTATAGTCCACCGTACGCTAGTCTTATCGATAACACTGGACACAACCGAGTGCCGATGAACTTATTGCCCCACCCGTTCGTGGTGCACAGCAATCCCCAAGATCACAAACGGACCAGGATGAAGGAAGGAGCACCAGCGCACGGCAAAGTTGCCCATCTGTTACCCCAGACGTACAAGCGGTACATCTCGGAATGGCTCGAAGAGGACACCCCGAGCTTCGACTATGGCGGCTTTGTAGTTGGCGAGGAGATATCTGAAGCTAAGCTGCTCGGAAAGAGTGAAGTATGTGATACTGAATTCAAAGGTATCAAGCTAACAAATGTTAGGGCATCGTCGCAGGTGTACCTTTCTTCAATGAAGTCTTCCGACAATTAGACTGCACGTGAGTAGCACATCATATCTCAACATCGGATACTAGTTAACTTCGAAAGTGTGGAGTGGCACATCGAAGAAGGCGCGTCCTTCGAGCCAGTTGCCCACTGCGCCACAGTACGAGGTCCCGTTCGCCAGCTTCTCCTAGGCGAGCGTGTAGCTCTTAACACTCTCGCTCGTTGCTCTGGCATTGCAACAAAGTCAAAACGTCTCCTCACTCTCCTTCGCGATGCTGGATACCCTAACATACTCGCCGGAACTCGCAAAACGACGCCTGGTTTCCGACTCGTTGAAAAGTACGGTATGCTCGTTGGCGGTGTTGACGCACACCGTGTCGACCTGTCTGCTATGACTATGTTGAAGGACAACCACATCGTCGCTGCGGGTAGTATAACAAATGCAGTTCGCGCCGCAAAATCAGCAGGGGGGTTCGCTATCAAAGTTGAAGTCGAGTGTCAGAGTTTTGAAGAAGCAGATGAAGCTATCGCAGCAGGCGCCGATATCGTAATGCTAGATAACTTCACGCCTGAAAATGTCAAAGTTGCTGCGGCGCAGCTGAAGGAGAAATGGGGACGAGGCCAGGGCGACAGAAAGACGTTTTTGGTGGAGGTTAGTGGTGGTTTGACAGAGCACAATGTCGAGAAGTATGTTTGTGGGGATATCGACATTGTAAGCACCAGCAGTATACATCAGGGCGTGCCGCATGTGGACTTTTCCCTGAAGATTGTACCAAAGACGAAGTAGGGAGGCAGCAAGAGCTTGCGGATGGGTGAGGGAAGCATTCGAAATAGCTCATAGGTAGTCAGCATTATGGTACTAGGCTTCCTCTGTCGATACCCAGTACTTAATGGTCTGCAAGTCTCTGGCGTCGACGCGCCTTCCGCTTGAGAGGGAAGGGGAAGGTGATACCTATCGGTTTTAAGCGATCAGCTGAGGGAATTAGCAGCCGAGAATGACGTGGCCGCCTGACCGACTCCAACCTTCAGCCACAGCAGGCTACACTGATTCTTGTTTGTAATTGATGTTCTTTTGAAATTACGTGTTGCAACAATGGATACATCCTTTGGCTCAAAACGGATTGATCGAGTAGATTTGGCGTGTGTTCGATGTCGAAGCAGGCACGTCAGATGCGACGCCACCCAGCCTGCGTGCAACAGATGCAAGCGTGACGGGAAAGAGTGTGACTACAAGAAATCCAGAAGAGGAGGTCTCAATAAAGCGGCACTGGCACAACGACGTTTGAGATTAGAGCAGCAATCTGAACACATACAGCAGAGCCAAGGCAACCAAAGTATCAACCATGAGCATAGATGTCAAGATTCCACACTATGTGTATCGAACAGCGATGCGTTGCCATCAGAAATTCAACCAGGCAGTCCGGACTTCGACGCGATATATATCACGCAGTCGCAACCCACCCATATTTCTCAACCATCCCTCGTATCCTTCCAAGTCAGCAAAGATCGGCTTATAGAGCTCTGCTACGAGAACTTCTGGCCTTCATTTCCTGTTACTCTTCCACTCCACTACCTCCAAGCAAGGAGGTTGAATCAGAACCATGGAATGGAAGTCCTGCTTATCGTTTTGGAATGGATTGGCTCTATTTACGCTGCGTGGACATCATCAGAAGCATACTACGAAGCCAGTCTTCGAGCCATCGATGCACCTACACTTCTCAGAACCCCCTTCAATGTGCAAGCTTTGATGTTATTCGCAATTGCCCAACACCATTCGGACTTCAAACAACAATCGCGAAAGACCTTGGATCTAGCCATCACAATCGCCCTAGAACTACGTATGAACGAACGTGGGTTCGCGCAGGCCTATGGCGAATCGTACCCAGTACTGGAAGAATCCTGGAGGAGGACGTACTACTTTCTCCAAATCATTGACCAGCACTTTTCAGTAGTAATCAACTCGCCTGTCTATGCATTGGCCAAAGTTCCAGGCACAGTTGACCTTCCTTGCGACGACGAATACTATGAAATAGGAGTTAGTCACGTATACCCACAGGCAGACACTTCAGCTAATCAGGTTAGCAAATACCCCCTACCAAAACCTGGCGAGAGTACGAGAATCGGGAGTTTGCCGAAATCGAGGTCGTTTATTCATCTATCACATACATGTATGACTTGAGTAGAATCATTGCTTACGGTAAGAACCATCATCCAGATTTTAGCTTTATCTCTATCATGGAATACTGATCAACTTTTAGTTATGAACTTGTTCGTAGAAACAGGCACGTTGAGCGATAGCTTGATACAAGTCTGCGACACCAAAATCGCCGTATGGCAAGGACTCCTTCCTAGCTGCAAAAAAGATCCATTGCGGGGGAACGGGCAGGTTGACGAAGTTATGTTCATGGCTCACCTTTCATCAGCCATGTAAGTCTTCAGCCGTGAATTGCATTTAGTCTCACTCCTAACTTGACTAGTGTATTAGTTATGACACACCGTCTATTCTCTTCATTAGCATACAGTGCTGAAGAGTTGTCAACACACGCTTTCATATGCCTCGCTCCCCTTGCTACGCCGCCAAAAATGGGACGAAACGCACATACTGCACGCGCACTCAAAGCCTTGGAAATATCGACGAGATTGTTTGCGATTCCATGTACTCTCGAAAGACACAACGTTTTCGCCATGAGCATCTCGGCACGGCTTGCGACAGCCCAAATCTCCGCATGCAATAATTTACTTGACGACCATGCTCAATCGATGGCTCGCGATCGCATCCGACTTAATATCGGTTTCTTGAAAGCAATGGGGTCTATATGGCCGCTCGGAAAGAAGATGGTCAAAGAAGTTCAACATGTCGCGCGGTCGACTTTGATCAATCTTCAGAACACTATGACGGCCATGGATACTGACCTTACCGACGAGATGGAATTGCTATGTGACGAGGTGATATGGCCTATCGATCCTTCGGCAGAGATCGATATTTTCTCGGGTCTTGTAATTCCAACAAGTTGGAATTCAACAAATCTTGGGGACCTCTAAACAGATTGTACAGCACATCTCAGCACTCGGTTCTGGTAAGGCGATGAGAACTTCTTATGACTGATTTTCTTTATATCTTGAACTCTGCCAGCTGTTGACTCGAATCTGGCATGACATTGGCACATAATGACATGCTGTACTAAAGTGCAAAATTTCTAATCTTGGAAATACGGCGATTTTCGGCGGACCTTTTGCAGCAAAACTAATACCGAGAGACGAGCGACAAATTGATAGCAATCTTTGTATTATCATCGTCCATATTCTCCGCATCAAAGACAACAGACTCCACCTATCTATCAACTCCTTGAGGTGACATCAAACTGGCGCAAGGTACATTATTATTTACATGGTTTAGATCGGTGTGAACACTCACTTTTCACCATCGCATGTACTTACCTACCACCTTGCGTAACACGAACACCCCCACCTTCAGTTCAATCTTCCCCCAACCTTCAAACGCCGTCCATCCAGCCTTCCCCCAACCTTGGAACATTGGCGTATAGCATGTTCAACATTTGGTTCGTTATCTGTCATATCTGCACTCAACATACAACGAGGTGACCCACGCTATACCCCACGAGGCTAGAACAGTGCTTGATTGGTTTAGCCCCGCGCTACATCTGTGATTGTCCTACAGTGGCACAGTGGACCCTTAACTGTCCGATGTCGTTCCGGATATTTAAAACTACGACAGTTCCCGTGCTGTGGCAAGTCAGCCTACGTGAGCATGACAGCTCTAACTCTTAGTTTTAAATTGCGCTGAAGGCTTTTCGCTTTTTGTTCCTCCCACACCCCGAGAAAGCTTCGCGAAGGTGACGCGATAAGAGACGATAAGCACATTGCCGAGTTTTACTTGCTTGAGTCAGCGAGTCAACGAATACAAGCGTGCTTGGAAACCGCAACGACGTTATGAGCGACTCCAAGGACCAGTACGATGCGACGAAACCGCACGTCGCAAAGTCCATTCGGAGCGATGAGGTTGAGAGGCAAATCGGGGAGGTTGACCCGATATACGAGGCCAAACTGGTCAGGAAATTGGATCTCCACATCATTCCGGTGGTAATGCTGCTGTATTTACTCAGTTTTCTCGACAGGTGAGTCAACGACGAGTTTCAATTCCATGGGAGTATGTTGGAGGACTGTTCTAACATTGCGCAGAGTAAACATAGGAAACGCTCGGTTGTACGGCCTCGAAGAAGACCTTGGCCTCAACTCTAGTCAATTTCAAATAGTTGTTTCGATCCTCTTTGTTACTTACATCTTGTCTGAACTACCCTCCAATCTTGTCTTGAAGAAGCTGCGACCTTCCCGATGGATTGCATTCATAACTGTAGCGTGGGGCATCATCGCCACGTTGACAGGTACTGTAAAATCTTTCGGCGGAATGATAGCCTGCCGTCTTCTCCTCGGCGCTGTGGAAGGAGGACTCTTCCCTGGGATGGCCGTGTACCTGACCTTCTTCTACACCAAGCGCGAGCTGGCGCTTCGCATCGGCTACCTTTTCGTCTCCTCTGCTCTTGCAGGAGCCTGCGGCGGCCTACTCGCGTACGGAATTGGCCACATGGATGGTGTAGCCGGTCAACGCGGTTGGCGATGGATTATGATCATCGAAGGGATTCCGACTTTCTGTCTTGGTGTCGCAACATGGTGGATCCTCCCCGACAACCCTGAGAGCGCATACTTTCTTAACGACCAGGAAAAGGCGTACGCAGCGGCCCGTCTCAAGCGCCAAACAGGCTACACGAAGCAGGCTGCCGAGTTCCACTGGGATGATGTCAAGAAGTGTTTCAAGGATTGGAAAGTCTGGCTATTCTGCTTCGCGCAGTTCGGAAGCGACACCATGCTCTACGGATTCTCGACGTTCCTGCCGACCATCATCAAGGCTATCATGCCCAAAGCATCAAGTGCGCTAGTCCAAGTTCTGACGATCCCCTGCTATGCAACTGGCGCTATCACGTATCTCATTGTAGCGCGGTTCTCCGACAAGCAGCAAAAGCGCGGAATGTACAGTGTCCTGCTCGGCGTTATCAGTATCGTGGGCTATGCGATGCTGATCAGCCCGAGCAGTTCTGGGGTGCACTATGCAGGCTGCTTTTTAGTGGCTATGGGACTTTACGTCTGTGTTGGTCTTCCGTTGGCCTGGCTGCCCACCAACCTCCCGCGATACGGAAAGCGAACAAGTGCTACGGGTTTGCAGTTGACGATTGGCAACTGCGCAGGCATAATGTCTTCATTCGTAAGTCAATCCGAGTCCATGCGGATAATCTAGGTAAGACACAGACTGACACCCAGCAGCTGTATCCCACCAAGGAAGGACCTCGTTTTATCAAAGGCCACGCCGTTACTATGGCTATGGTCGCTTTTGCTATCACTTGCTATGCCGTCATGTGGTTTCATCTGGGTAGGCTCAACTCGCGGCGCGAGAAGGGTGAGGAAGAACATCTGATTGAGGGTATGAGTGATGAAGAGATTGCAGAGCTGGGTGATGACAGCCCAAGGTTTCGCTACACTGTCTAGAAAACTGGATGAGAACAATGAAATATTTCACGTGCGGGAAAGTGTATACAGTGATATTGTCCGTCCATGAACTAGATAGATAGTACCTTAAATATCGCCTCTGTACCACTTGCGCTTGAACAGCTCCTTTGTAGCTTTCAGTGCAATCCTTGAAAAAGTCTGGATAAGGCATCATGAGATGTGCCTCGCCGTCAAGTTTCTGCCAGTCTTAGAACAGAAAACCATGTCCCACGTACGACCTGGATCTTGGTATTATAATCCATCAGACAGGATCAGTGGTTGGAGTGGCTAACGCATTCCACCATAGAATGGATCCGTCAAACTCTCATTTCGGATTCGTACAACGTTGCGACGGCATCTACCCAAATCGTCTCTTTGGGCGGATTGGGGTCTAATGGGTAAGGATACTGAGGCATGAACCTTAATTCTTCCTCAGGGCACTGGTCTCTGAATATCCTTATCCTCAATCGAACGTATAGCGTCAAATGATGCACGACATCTAAGGGCTAGGACATTGGTTAACTATGCACTGGTCATACAGTCACACAATCGCTTCAAGCGCGCGCGAAGTTCACAGTGCCACGTTCCACTTCAACTGGCTTCCTTCACTTTCACTTTGAGAGAAACAGATCGAGCAACCTGATGGCGCACTGTCTTCTTGCTATTGTTTGTGCACAATTTTGAATAGGAAAACGCTCAAAATTCGCACTCTTGAGACTGGTATTGTAAGACCACAGACACGATAGTTGGCTGCTCAAGATTGTTAAAGCACAACGTGAAATTTGTCACAACTATAAAGTCTATCTCTGTTCTTCTCATATTCTCTCCTTCTCGACTTCCATATACTCTTCAAGGTCAAGCGCACTTTCCGATTCCATTCCATTCTCAAGATTTCAGTTATCCTCATCCGCGAGCCAGCATATCAACACCAACATATCGCAATCATACCACAAAATACAATGCGCTCACCAACATCCCTTACTACAATGCTATCCATCCTCCCCGTACTCGCTTTCTCACACCCAACCACCCTCTACAAGCTCACCGACGATCTCTCATATACTTCCTTTTTTTCCTCCTTCAGCTTCTACTCCGACGCAGACCCCACAAATGGCTTCGTCCGATACCTTTCTCTCCCCTCTGCCATATCCCAAAAACTCATCGGCTACCTTCCCGACACGCAATCTGTCTTCCTCGGCGTGGACTACACCACAAAAGACCCTTTGGGCCGTGCAAGTGTGCGTCTCGAGAGCAAGGCGCACTGGAACCAGGGACTTCTGGTCGCGGATATCATTCACATGCCGTCTAGCGAATGTGGCGTCTGGCCAGCGTATTGGCTTCTCGGGACTGATGGGAAGGGTGGGTATGAGTGGCCACTGCATGGGGAGATTGACTTGTTGGAGGGGGTCAACGATCAAGTGGGGAACGCGATTACGTTGCATACGAAAACGGGGTGTATGGTGGATAATGGAACGCAGATGGCTGGGAATTCCGACGTCGTGGATGGCTCATTCTCGGGGTTTCTGACGACAGATGATTGTGATGTCGCGGCGGCTGGACAGGAGAAGAATGTTGGGTGCTCGATCAAAGCGCCAGAGACAACGGATGACGTACAGAAGAGCAACACCGATGTAGGGAGCAATCTGCTGCCATCGTACGGTACGCAGTTCAACAAAGCGGGCGGTGGTGTCTACGCTATGGAGTGGACCGAATCCTCTATCAGTGTCTGGTTCTTCCCGCGCGACAGCACGGCTTTCAATACGCACTTCGGCAACGAAACCTCCTCTGACGATACGCTCGATCCATCGACGTTCGGAACTCCACTCGCGCACTTCGCTGGCAATGGTTGCGATTTCACTGAGCGTTTCAAGAATATGCGCATTATTTTCGATACCACGTTCTGTGGCGAATGGGCGGGTAAGGACTGGGAGAAGAGCTGTGCTGCGAAGACGGGCGTAAAGACGTGTGAGGAGTACGTAAGAGAGAACCCGGAGGTGTACAAAGAGGCGTATTGGGAGATCAAGGGGTTGAAGTGGTATCAGAAGGAGAAGGAAGCGAAGCGTGATGCAAAGGTGTCGTTTGTTAAGACAAAAGGCCGCTGGTATGGTTGGTAGATTGCAGGTTGGGTTTGATGGAACGGTGCTTGGGTTGGGACCAAGCCAAACCTGAATGACGATGTGATCTGTTGGCCTAGATGATATGGGTTGCAAAAAGAAGCCGGTAATAAGAGTTTATCGACACTTTGTCATACACTTTCTCCTTTGGTCGTGTCGCTCAGTACGTAGTGAAGGAAATCTTATCAACGCTGGGGTCGAGGTCCTTGCGTGCTCCAACCGATTGTGGGAGCGGCTTGTAGCATTCACTAAGGTACAAAATCAGGTAATTTACCCTGCAGCTTTGTCGGGTAAAAAACATAGAAGAAAGACTGCGTTTTACACTGCAATACAGTGTAAAACGTAAGGTAAATTTATATAAACTTAGTATAAAATAACTATAGTTTATTATTAAATAAGTAAGTAAATTTATACTTTATTTTATAATAAGTATATAAAGACGTTTATAACTATTATATATTAAATTACACTATAAATAGTATATTTCTTAACTATTACAGCCTAGTAAGTACGTTAGTAGAGGTATCTTTATACTACGTAGAGTTTCTATTATTAGGTAAGACTCTAAGTACTGCTACTATTTTAAGCTTAATTAGGTAGTAACTCTTAATACTACTATTAATATCCTAGAATACTCTACTAGGTAGTTAAGAGATACTAGAGATCTAGTTAAAGCCTATATTTATTACTATTAGTATTTTAATAACAAGTTATTTAACTTACTATATAAATAAATATACTTCTATCTAATAGAAAAGAGATACGCCCTTTATAAAAAGCTTCTTTAATACTATTTAAACTTTTCTTTTAACTTATTACCTTTAGAGTTTATTACTAGTAAAGTAATTATAACTACTAAGTTAAGTACTATCCTTATTATAGTTAAAGCTAAAGTAGAATAAGTATAATTACTAAGTTAAGTACTATTCTTATTATAGCTAGAGCTAAAAAAAGAGATATACCTTTTATAAGAAGCTTCTTTATTACTATTTAAAACTCTATTATAGTATACTCCCTAGGAAGTGTAAAGTAGTAATAAAGAGTATTCTCTTTATTAATAAAGTTAATATTAATATATTTAACTTCTTTATTAAATAGATATATAAGAAGAAGCTATTAGAGAATATACTAATACTTTCCTTTTTAGTATATTATATCTTTATTAAATATTAGTTCTACCTTATAGTAGATATACTTCTAGCTTCTAGATAAAAAGATACTTTAATAGAAAAAGCTTTTTAAGTACTATTTAGGCTTCTTTTAAGGTATACTATTTAGTAAGTTTAAAGAGATAGCTAATAGTGTTATTTCTATCTACTAGGTTAATACTAACGTATTTAATATCTTTATTAACTAGATAAAAAGATGCTTTAATAGAAAAAGCTTCTTTAGTACTATTTAGGCTTCTTTTAAGGTGCACTATCTAGTAAGTTTAAAGAGATAGCTAATAGTATTATTTCTATCTACTAGGTTAATACTAATATATTTAATATCTTTATTAACTAGATATATAAGAAGAAGCTATTAGAATATATATAAGCGCCTTCTCTATCTACAGATTATATTTTAGTTAAATACTATACCTATATTATAGTAGATATACTCTTAGCTATTAAATAGAAAGATACTTTAATAGAAAATATCTTCTAAGTTATACGCTAAGCTCTACTCTATCTACTTATAGTAATCTACTTCTTCTAAAGCTTACCTATAGAGAATCTCCTACCTTAGTTACTTATAGATAGTTAGTATATTAATAATAGATTTAG